TCTAATAAAAACCACACGTTTCATTGTAAAGTTTGGAGATACAGGCGTCTTTATGTTTTACTTATGCTGTAAGCGTGGTGGAGTTGCTTTTTCCTAGTGGATGGTGTCGGCTGCATTAACGGAAAGATGAAAAGCTGAGTGAAACGGCACGTGGTAGTAGTTACACACGCATGTGCTTGACAGGTTGTTGCACAAATGGATGATGATGATGATTGCCTTTGTGAAGGTACGTAAGTAAACAACATCCAATAATGAAGGTGTGTCAAGGTATGTATCACATTTGCATGTAGAAGAAAGTCGAGCTGCATAAAGCAATTTGTATATGTAAAAAGATATGTATACAAATAGAATGAGTCACTCATCCTGAAACTCAATGCAGGGATCACTTCACTTTTTCTCTTCTCAACGTCATCCCACTCCTCCTTATTGTATCACAAAACCTATATACTTCTTGCATGACCGATACCGGACCACCTTTATTATTCTATCTTCGAAGCAATAGTATGTAATCCACAGGCTATGTATTATCTTTCGAGTACGTACAAGCCTTCGAGAATCCCCACTGTCTTTCAACTATCTTTGTCTAGATCAGGAGCATCTATCGAATGTAGTATACTAATAATGCTGTGACAAAGGTACAAAAGCATTTCGAAACGATGATGTCAAATATCTATTCTCTCTTTCAATCCAGGAACCAAAGAAATGATCCACATCTCGCACGTATGAGCTGATAGCACGATACCCCACATGTTATGTTGAATCCAATTTTTCATTCATTAAAAAGTTCGAGGAATAGCACATTGTAGTGTGGGTGTCTATCAAGTGAATATGATAAAGGAACAACGTTTCAAATTGACTACAATATGGGTGGATCACATCGAGGGAACAGGGGTAATTGTGCCATTGATCTTGGCTGCTGCCGCCATAACCATCCTTCATCCATGATTGCAAAATAGCTGCTGCATGCATTGACTCGAGTATTCCAATATCATCCATGGCTGTAAACCACCTTCTTTCGTCAAAGATACAAACCCTTTACTCAATCCCATCCAATCCATCGTCATCCTCAGCCTCATCCACGTGAAACGATCCATAGTTCCCGCTGGCGACGCGCCAAGTAACCAAAATGACATTTCAAGCCTCCCCATCACTGCACTTGATTGCATCCATCCATCCATAACCCTTGCATGTCCAATATTGCTGCTGATCCTTCTCCATTGGTCAGTCCCTTTCTTGGTCCTTTTCCATCGCAGCTCAACATGATGAAGATTGCTTGTATTGCGGCGTATTGATATGACATCATCGATAGGAATCGTATGTATTAAAGCAAGTTGCCACACTTAAAAAAGGTTGCCCCTATACAATGGCTATCCGCTGCTCACGTGAAAAAAGGATGCAAGTAAAGGATGCTGTTTGACACCTTGCGAATAGCAGCTGGATGATACGTTTAGTCGTGGCAGAGTAACGTGCATGAGCGTATGTTGTGGTAGAATGACAAGGTTGTGAACGCTGCTTGAGACAATGGAGCTAATAGCAACTGCTGGAATGAATGGTGTTACGATTGGTCGTGACAGAGAAGCGTGAAAGAGCGTGTGTTGCATAAACGAATGCGTGTGTTGTAGTAGAGTGACAAGAAGGCTGTGCACAGGCCATGAACTTGCCATTCAGTCAAAGAAATCGAATCAAGGTAGTTGTAGGATGGACATGATGGGTTGAAGCAGGACAATCATTTGCAGGTGGTAGTTGTATGTACTTGAATGGCGCAACAGTTGAGAATGGAAGGAAGAGGGTAGAAGCTGAGAGTGGAAGAAGTGGAAATTAACCTCGCAGACTTCATTATGAAGGCTTTGAATGCGGGGCGCACAAAAATAGGAAGACAATGGATGGACGGAATGTAAGTAGAGGTACGGCCCATTCTCAAACTTGAAACATGGTCAGAAGGTGCTCTTGGACATGCTGATTAACTTTGTTCTAATAAAGGCTTCATTCTTCATAGGTACGTTTATAGTTTCCCTATGCTGTAAGCGATGTACGATGATGATGAAGGTGATGTTGATGTAATAAAAAGCCATCACATTTCCTATCTTCCATATTAAATAGAGCGAAATGCATATACAATGTATTATAGATACACATTTCTTTACAAGGGGCCGTGTCAAGATTGAATACTATAGGTAGTGGGTGACCAAGAGATGGCGGGTATGCTAGTATACAAGAGGGAAATGAGATAGTAGTACTTGATGTGGAAGTAGTCGGCATCTGAATTGGGTTCGAGTGAGAGGGGGATGGCTGTATACTTGCGCAGTGACCAGGCGATGCCTGATTCCCTCTCTTTGTGTCTTTGCAAGGTAATCCATCCATCCATCCATCCTTCATCCATCCATTTATCCATCCATCGGTCATCTTATTAATTGATCAATCGGTTCTTTTCCAGAATGCAAATCTTTGTCAAGACCCTTACTGGCAAGACCATCACCCTTGAGGTCGAAAGGTTAGATACATACTCACTCACACATACATCCATGATATATTATACACCCCTTGAGAATACGAAAAACTTACGCAACATACGCCACTACACCATATTATTACAGCTCTGACTCGATCGAAAATGTCAAGCAAAAGATCCAAGATAAGGAGGGTATTCCCCCAGACCAGCAGCGTTTGATTTTTGCTGGCAAGCAACTCGAGGATGGCCGTACTCTTTCTGACTACAACATCCAAAAGGAGTCTACTCTTCACCTTGTTCTCCGTCTTCGTGGTGGTATCATTGAACCTTCGCTTAAGGCTCTTGCTTCCAAGTACAACTGCGAGAAGAACATTTGCCGCAAGTGCTATGCCCGCCTTCCTCCTCGTGCCACCAACTGCCGTAAGAGAAAGTGTGGTCATTCCAACCAGCTCCGTCCTAAGAAGAAGGTAACAATATCGAAATGGATCGGGCGTGTTTCAATGTTACATATTAACCCACTCATGTCCAATAGCTCAAATAAACATTTGGTTATTCTTTCTTGCGTTGCAATAAAGGGATTCGATTTGCAATTCTTCCATTTGGTAGATTTTTTTCAATGGGTTGGGATACTATCTAAAGAGGGGGGGAAAGGAGGATAGTGGAAGGGAGGAGGATGCTAGCTAAAAGGTGAAGGAAAATGATATGGGAATAGAGTGTGAATGTGCGTGCATGGATGTAAAAAAAAGTGTGATGCGAATCCAAAAATAAGAGAATTTACAAGTCGTCATCTTCCTCAGGAAGGGGTTGAGCAGCAGCCTCGTTCATTTCGTTCTGGTACTGTTGCATAAGATTGGTGTCGACTTGTACTTCGGGAGGTGCAAGAGCAGGTGCAGCAACGAATTCCAATTGGGGATTGCTATGATTTATCTTTTTAGCTGCATGATCCTCATCATACGAGATCATCCACATTACACAATGGTACTTACCCAACAAGCTTACGAGCCAACCACAAGAAAGGCTTCTCAAAGTTATAGTTGGACTTGGCGGAAATGTCATAGTATTGGAGGTTCTTCTTGCGGTGGAAAGTGATAGTCTTGGCCTTCACCTTACGCTCCTATATGGTACAACATTCATTAATGCCTGTATTATACATACATTCATATGATGGCCCCTATAACATACCTTGATGTCAACCTTGTTACCACAGAGAACAATGGGGATGTTTTCGCAAACACGAACAAGATCACGGTGCCAGTTGGGGACGTTCTTATAAGTGATACGAGAAGTGACATCAAACATGATAATAGCACATTGGCCTTGGATACTATAATGATGATGACGATGATATCAGCAATCCATTATCGCACGATCCACTTGCATACACGTACTAGTAACCATCACGAAGACCACCAAACTTCTCCTGACCAGCGGTATCCCAGGTGTTGAAGATAATTTGACCAAAGTTGGTGTGGAAAGTGAGAGGATGAACTTCGACGCCAAGAGTAGCTGTTATACCACGTCGATTAGCAACCCCCCATCTTGGAAGGACATGGAAAAACAGAAGCCAGATGAGACCAGCCATTGCACTTACCGACATATTTCTTCTCGAATTCACCAGTCAAGTGACGCTTAACAAAAGTGGTCTTGCCAGTACCACCGTCACCAACTATATATCAACAAGATGAGCCGATTGTACGTTATTCAGTGTAGCCATGATGGACATACCAAGGACGAGCTTGAAAGTAGGAGTTTGTTCAGACATGACTAGAAGCAAGATATGCGTGAGAATGAGTCGCGTATTTCGATATTTATGGATAAAGATTCATTCATCCATATGATATTGGGATGGATACGTACCTTGCAATAATGAAGATGAAAGGAAAAAGGATGGATGGCTGTGATGGATGGATGCAGGATGGTGCTTAAGATATCCTGCAATGAATACGACTTTTAAATACCGCTAGACCGCAGTTTTGGAGTTGGTGGGGGTGCGAGAGGTAGTTTAGTACTACTCCATTTTGGCAGTGAATCGACACACCCGAGGATAATGGCAACCATGACATTGAAGGTATTGTATTCGATAAAGATGTATCATTGATCGGTTCGATGCTTCTTTGTCTCGTCTTGCACTTTTGATTGATACCCTATTGCTGCACCAAAGTTGCCATTATGCAAAACATAGATTGGCAGGTTCACCGTTTTGCTAAGCTACCTGGAGCCACATCATTGATTTTGATCCCACCAGGTTCTTTATTCCCACTGAGGAATAATGAGTAAGGTAATCCTCTTTTTTTATCCAACCATTTCCATGCTCCATCAAGCTAGCTTTTCTATAACAATGAAACACGCCATTCTTAGATTTAAGTTTGCTGTGCAGGTCATTAGAATCAAGCTGTGTAACATGTGATACAAAGAACACCGGTGGCAACCGAACACGCTGCCTGCGGGAGTATAATGGGATCTAATTCTTGGATTTGAACGACCATGTTTACCTCATTGTATAGAATAAGAGTCATATAAATGTCTTAAAAAGGGTTGTGTGTTGTGTTTATTATGCTTTCAAAAGAGGAAGTAGCTCGTCTACATTCATTCACAATCAATATCCATGCTCTTTGATATATCCCTCTCCCCTTGAAACCTACCTATAACTTGTTGAATGCGTGCCTTGCCTGCATTTTCCGATTTTACACGTTGGACCTCCACCGCAGCATCTAATACACGGGCCGTTTCTCGGGCCACATCAGATCGTTTTGCCTAGTTGTACATTAGAGTGAATGAGCCATAGAAACATCGCACCACCATATACCACTGAGTATCATACCAATGTGCCAATCGCCACAAGAATGCGGTATAAATTCTCTTCGTCATGTTCTGATTTCACAAGTTCAGCGAGGGATCCGATCAGGCTCATTTGGCAGTCTTCATCCTTTTGATCATGCATGGTTAAGAGCACTGCTAAGCTGTTACTGCGAGTCAATAATTCCATCCCATATTGGCACATGAAAGAGAAAGAGATAGAGAGAAAACTTACTTGAGCGCAAGGGTGCTGATAGCTAGTCTCACAGGCTTGCCATTATAAACGCTGACTTTTTCGATTTGCAAGGCATCTACCACACTGGCACGCTTTTCCCATACAATCGTTCTTCCTCGAGGCGATACAAAAACATTGGCAATACCACGATAGGCAAGCATAGCATTGGTCATGGCCACCTTGTCATTCATTGGATTCGAAAGGCCACCCACTTTGGCAAAGAAGCTCACAGGATCACCATCAGGAACAGCGGCACTAATAGTTTCTGGATTGTATAATGCGACAAGACGTAATAGATCGAGTGCTGGAAATCGCTTTGCTGGTTCCCAGGTGGTCGTAATCTTTGCTAACACAGTGACACCTTGCCCATTGATATCACCTCCGCTCGCTGGATTACGCAAATAGGCAACTGTTGCAAGCAATGCATTCATGTCGGCATCACTCAGTTTCATAGGTCCTGCCTCGCTGTCGATCGATTGTAACTTGGAGATGATTGCATCCAGATTAGCTTGCTTGAGGGATAGGTATGTTGTCTAATCATGCGATATGAGCCACTTATCCTCGATAGTTGTTCATTACTTACAAGAGGTAGAATCTTTGATTTCGATGCTGGCGATGTTGTTTCCGAGACCATTTGTGCACCAGCGCCGCGATAAGATGATCCACCTAAAAGAAGGCTATTAGAATTGCCCTTCTCTTTTTTCAAGGTTAAGCTCACCTGTGAAAGGATCGAGAAATTGGTTTGAAGTTGAGGCACCGGAAGATGGCTGATTTGGTCGATAGCTGTTACCACCTATTACACCAAAGATCAGTGATCAAGAATAATTACGAGCAATCCGTAGTCGAAATTTACCTGTGAATGGGTCTTGATATTGTCCGCCTCCTTGACCCAGCTCCACACCTTGTGCGTTCTTTACAATAAAATCAGCAATTTGATCCAAGAATCCTTGGGGTAGCTCATGACGCCAAATGAAATTCTGTGCAGCGGTGTATGGGTTTTCTAATGCCAATGATGAGCATTGATTCGAGATATGGATTGATCCTGATAGTACTTACCAGCAACGTTGTAGGGAAGTTTGAGCATAGCATTAGGTCCCGCTCCAATGTCAATGTCAAATACATAATCATACTCTTTGCCTTCGTAGAGTTGCTTGCTTCCCGAGCCGACACCACCAACAACATCGCCAATTTTTTGCCAAGTTTGGGTTTGGGTGCTCCACTGATATGCCTCAACGGTTCCATTGTTGTTGACCATGATAACTTGTCCTTCGGACTTTCCTGGTTGATTGAGAGCCTCCGGTCCTGCTAACTTTTCTTTGTTTACATCGCCAATCTGGTTCCTAAAAAGCATTATATAAGTATGCTTGTAATTTGATCCCATTCTCCTGGATCCCAAACAAAGACTTACGATGGAATTGATTGGCTTGCAATGAGTTCATCAAATTGCTACATGATACACGTAACGTTAACAATGAATGTTGCCGTATATCCATATATCGACAAATGTTACCTTTTGCGTGTCAGCATCCGCCATCCTCTCATCCGCGCGAGTGAAAACTCGGACCACAGAGTCGCTACCACCAACCAAAATATCATCGTTTGGCAAATGGGAGACCGCCCATACTGATACACAAGGCTGCTGCAATGTTTGGACACATCCGCCATCTATTATAGATGATGAGGATCGCCTATATAGATAGCAATGTAGGTTGCATAAATTACCTTTCCAAATACGCACGCTTCGATCCTCGCTTGAAGACACAAACTCGCCTGTGCTAAGCACCGTGACAGAGTACACAAAGCTAGTGTGACCCGATAGCTCTTGAACGCATTCACCATCCAATGTCCATACTCGAAGGGTTCTAAGATGCCTTGATATTATCATCCTGATCCTCATTGCTTCACTGCTAATGATATATTTACCCATCGTTGGAGCATGAAACGAAGCCAACACCAGGTACCGTAGCAAGACCACGTACAGCATCTGTGTGTCCATGGAAAACCTTGATCTCTTTTCCTTTCTTCCATAATCGAATAGTCTTATCAGCAGCACCTATCGTTGTACGATGTCAGCCAAAAACATACTATCAATCTCCGTCAAACATGCATTATTTGTACCTGTCAAGATCAAGTCATTTTCCAAAGCCAATACAGCCCATACAGCAGCCGTATGTCCTTTCAATGTATAAGCTTGTTGGAATTCTTTCCAGACAATGACGGTCCTAAGAATAAGCAGCATTTCCTTGTCAATGATACCATTATTCAGGATCAATCAATTCACTTACTTATCCCATGAACCAGAGATGATATCACCACCAGGAGACGTTGTGAGACAACAGACATTCTCTGAATGGCCCACCAATGTATAGAGTGCTTGCTTTGTATCAGCCGGGTCGTATACATACACCAGGCGATCCGATCCACCCGATGCCACCAAGCCTAGCAACCCGTATCAGTGTCTTTGATACATGGCTATTTCCTTGTATCCTCTTACCATTAGGGAACGTTGACGATGGTGGCAAGATGGCCAAGGAGTTGACAAAGTGTTCATGACCACGGAAGGCATTTTCAGGTTCGAAGGTGTTGGAACTTGTACGTCGCCAAGATCGGACCGTTTTGTCACGAGCAGCTGAAAAGATCAAGTCGTTGGAAAGCGCACCAAGAGCTCGAACCTACATGGACCATTCCTAGTGAGCAATTCCATATGTATGACGTGTATATCTACATACATCTTGTTCGTGTGAATAAAGTGAAGCCGATAGCTTGAATGGAATAGTCATTATGCAAGAAGCGGTTGGAGAACAAGCGAGACCTGGTACGCGTCGCCATTTCTGTCCTTGAATATCAGCGTGGTGTCACACCAGCAACGCAAATGCAAATACAACCACAACCATCACTACTACGACTGCATACTATCCTTTGATAAGCCAACCTTACAAGGCTAACCCGATGTATGCTTATAGGATAATATAATTCAATCATCAAAAGAGAAGAGGGAGGGTAGAGGTGACATGGCATGGAGATAGGGAAATAGAGCACTATTCTCAAACAACATGAGGGAGCAAGCAGTATGTATGTAGACATCCTTTTCATTTGACAATATCGATAAATGCAAGTATGGAATATCTGCTATAGTCTTTATTGTATAATTGTGTATGATGGAAAGGTCAAGGTGATATGGCATCATAGCAACATTTCAGTGACAGACATTGTCGAATTCAGCTGACCAGGAACAAGCTGCAGCTTCCTCCTCTCCAAAATAATGACACTGGTCTCCAAGGTTCTGCCACGACTTGTTCGCCACCGTTCACTACCCCCCTCATGCATCACACTTCAACGACGCTACATTGAAACAACCATTCCAGAACATGGTACCCAGCAAGCGAGTCGACTTGAATACCCTCGATTTGCCCTTGATCCCTCTCGCCATGGTACTTGGGCTACCGTCAAAGACATTGAACTTCGTGCATCGACCTTGAATCAAGGAGAGAAAGCAAACGATACTGTCACATTGACGGGTCGCATTCAAGCCAAGCGTGAATCGAGTGCCAAACTTATCTTTTACGACGTCGTACAAAATGGCGAGACTATCCAAGTGGTCGTTTCCAAGGGGAAGTTTGTTGCTACCCATCAATCATTTGCAGATGCCAACCAAGCTCTTTGCCGAGGTGATATTGCATGTACGTATCACAATGATCCATAACCTACCACACAAGCTTAATGCTCCATTGTATAGCATTCACCGGTGTTCCTGGCAAAACCAACAAAGGCCAATCGAGTCTCTTTGTGACGAATGAAATGCGTGTCCTTTCACCCTGCCTTCATTCCATCCCAACAAGAACTGGACTTAAGGATCCCGAGAAACGGTTCCGACAACGACATTTGGACATGTTGGTCAATACAGAGACAACTCAAGTACTACGTGTGCGTGCAGAGGTAAGATCAAAAGCTTTATTGATAGGATTGTGAATGATTAGATTGAACAGTGGATTATATAGATCATCCGTTACATTCGACACTTTCTTGATGAACGTGGTTTCCTTGAAGTTGAGACACCCATCTTGTCCGGCAAAGCAGGAGGCGCTAACGCCAGGCCATTTCTCACTCAAGCGAATGCGTTGGATATGGATATGCAATTGCGTATTGCTCCAGAGTTGTATTTAAAGGTAAACAAAAGTGGCATCTTTGGAAGATAAAAGAGAAAGCTAAGGAATCATGCAGCAAATGGTGATTGGTGGCATGGATCGTGTGTATGAAATTGGCAAGCAATTCCGAAATGAGGGCATCGACGCTGATCACAACCCGGAATTTACAACCTGTGAATTCTATCAAGCTTATGGCAACTTGGAATCATTAATGAAGGATACAGAAACACTTTTATCGGGTGAGCCATTCAATCATTGGTACTATCACATGAATACATATTTATACATCATGATAGGTCTTGCGCAGGATATCCACCACAGACATGGCATGGGCCCTCAAAATATTCGATTCGATCAGCCATTCAAACGCATTCATGTTCTTGATCATCTTGAAGCAGTGTTGAAGCAACCTATTGCAGAGATATTGGAAGCCGATGGTACGCTACTAATATCAATATTGCCTATTTCCTACTCGTTAACGATTCATTAATGTAGATGCATCCAACCACCTTGCAACCATTTGTCGTGATCATGGCATTTCCATATCTGGGCCACCAACAACAGCACGTATCCTTGACAAGCTGATATCACATTACATTGAGCCCGAGTGCGATCAACCAACATTCTTGTACAACCATCCTCTGGCCCTGAGCCCATTAGCTAAAGATGGTGTGGATGAAAAGGTGAAATCAATTCATGTCAATGGGTTGCCCAACGGCTGTATTCTCATACTGTGAGTTCTAGGGTCGACGTATAGCTGCACGGTTTGAACTTTTTGTGGGTGGCAAAGAATTGGTGAATGCCTATGAAGAATTGAACGACCCAAGGGAACAGCGTCGACGCTTTCAACAACAAGTACTCGATCGAGAACAAGGTGATCTAGAAGCACCCATTCCAGATACCGCATTTTGTGAAGCTTTGGAATATGGACTCCCTCCAACAGCAGGATGGGGCATGGGAATCGATCGTGTTGTGCAATTGCTGACCGGTGCTACACATATCCGAGAAGTACTAGCATTCCCCGTTATGCGACCTATTTAATACTAGACCTACTTTTGTTGTAAATATAAAGAACAATGTTTGCTATACTCATGTTTTTCTGCTTACTTTGTGTGGGGCACCTAATCATTGCTCTTCTCAATGTGTCACTGTAGGAGCACGATTACGAATGATGATGGATGACAAAGACGGTGGTAGTGGTGGCGAAAAGGGTAGCTTTTACATATCCCCTTGATGCTTGCTTGTGGATCAGTATAGCTTAGATGGAACAAGTGGTTGGGTTATTCAGTTTTGTAAGAAGTATATGCCTTTTCTGGTGACAATAGAGAGTGGGTTGACCTTGAAAGAAAAAGTGATCCTCCATTGAATTTCAGGATGAGTGACCAATCTAATGTACTTTACGGTGGGCATCAACTTTAATTATTGGTTGATTCATGTAGCTCGGCATTCTTCTACACGCAAATGTGATGCATACCTTGACACACCTTCATTATTGGATGCTGTTTACTTACGTACCTTCACAAAGGCAATCATCATCATCATCCATTTGTGCAACAACCTGTCAAGGACATGCGTGTGTAACTACTACCACGTGCCATTTCACTCAGCTCTTCATCTTTCCATTAATGCAGCCGACACCATCCACTAGGAAAAAGCAACTCCATCACGCTTACAGCATAGGTAAAACATAAAGACGCCTGTATCTCCAAACTTTACAATGAAACGTGGGGTTTTTATTAGAGCAATGTGCTCGGCTTGGCCAACAGCACCTTGTGTGAAAGTTTCACGTTCAATGCCGCAAACAGCCCAAAAAATATTTTTTGGTCGTCGTCGTCGAAGAGGTCGACCCCCAGATCCAGTTTGGCTGGTGGCGACATTGCGAAATCTGGGATTAGCCACGATGAACTTGAAACTTTCACACAAGGTGTGGCCAAGCCGAGCACATTGCTCTATTTAAAACCCCACGTTTGATTGTAAAGTTTGGAGATACAGGCACCTTTATGTTAGTAAGCGTGATGCTATATGAAAAGTGGCCTTTGTTTAATGTAAAGTAGCTAGACGCTGGAGAGCCAAAGATGCAGAAGGACTTCTTTGTGTAACTCAGCTCATTATGCATGATTGGAAGGGTCAACGTATACATTTCAGTAATAGCTCATCATTGCCCGCTAACAGCCATTTCCTTCCAATCAGCGTTGTTGTAAAATCCACTCCATGTGAACGATTCTCCTGCTCCAGCCCAACATACCCATCATTCAACTTTCTTGATCCGTGCTGATTTGGCTGAGCTACGCTTGAACAGCAAACATGAAAATTAATGAATCGCAGACCCTGCGAATGTCTCCGTCTTTCAAACTTTTGGACGCTCCCATTCCAAATTTTCAAATGAAGCGTGAGGTCTTTATTAGAAAAAGTTGATCAGCATGCCCAAGAGCACCCGTCTGACCAGTTTTCAGATTGGAGGTGGGTAACTTCGGGGCGGTGGGCCGTCCGCTCTTTTGTTCCCATCATCAACCATTTGAACTACCCCTCATTTAAAAGCTTCAAAATGAAGTATGCAACTTTTAAATGAATGAAGTTGATCAGCATGTCTCAGCGAACCTCCCGACCCATTTTCACGTTCGAAATGGTGAAACCAAGGACGATACATACTATTTCCATAAATCATGAATCTGGCGCTGGTCTCCATTTCCGACATACACAGTAAATCCCACACTGCACCCTCCCATTCAATATTTTCTAATGGACATGAGGTCTTTTTTAAGACCATCTTGATCAGCATGTCCAAGAGCATCTTGCGCGAAAGTTTTAGGTTCGAGAGGGGCGATCTCACTATCAAGGATTGATGTACAGTGTTCGTGCAATTATACAAGAGGTGCCCGACCTATTTAATTTCCACTTCTTCCACTCTCAGCTCTTCCCTTTTCCTCTCATTCCCAACTGTTGCCCCATTCAAGTACATACAACTACCACCTGCAAACGATTGTCCTGCTTCAACTCATCATGTCAACCCTACGATTGTCTAGATCCGATTGTCTTTGACTGAATGGCAAGTTCATGGCGAGTACACAGCCTTCTTGTCACTCTACTACAACACACGCATTCGTTGATGCAACACACACTCTTTCACGCTTCTCTGCCACGACCAATCGTAACAGCATTCATTCCAGCAATTGCTATTAGCAAGGCCTTGACTCCATTGTCTCCAACAGCGTTCTTTACTTGCAGCAACTTGCCTTGCAGTCTTTTTTTACGTGAACAGCAGATAGCCATTGTATAGAAGCAGCTTTATTTACGTGTAACACCTTACTTTGTTACAAACGGGTTCCTATGGATGATGCCACGTCAGCTATCCAGCACATCACATCACAAGCAATCTTCACCTGGTTGAGCAGCATTGAAAATGACCAAGAAAGAGAGAGATCATGGGCCGGATGGAAAAGGAAGCATATCAACAGCTATCGCGTGGCTCTTTTCAACCAACATACTGGATTTGCAATGGCCATGATGGATGGATGCAATCAACTGCGTGATGAGAAATCCTGGAATGCTGCTTTGGATACTTGTCGCGTTGTCAGCGGGAACAATGGATTGTGTCACGTGGATTGGATGGGATTGACGAGAGCTGTTTTACAGCGATGGGACGATATTGGAATACTCGAGTCAGATCACGCAACAATCAAGGATGAAGATGTTTACGACTGCAGCAACCAAGAATACAATGACACAATTATCCCTGTTGCCCCTATGTGATTCACCCGTATCTTTTACAATTTTCAATGCTATTCCTTATCATATTTACTTGATAAACATCCACACTACCATATGCTATTCTTCGCCTTTTCATTGAATGGGACTCGATTCAACATAATACCTGAGATATCGTACTATGGGCTCGTATGTGCAAAATGTGGATCACTTGGTTGGTAACGGGGAATTGTGGTTTGAAGGGCGGAAAGGGGGATCGGATCATCTACATCATCTTGTCAGGATGCTTTGTTCTTTGTCACAACATCATTATTACATTCGATAAAGCGTCCTAGTTTAGCATGCTGATAGATGAAAGGCGGTGGGAGTCTCGAATGTTTGTATTGAAAGGATAATAAATTCGAGAGGGATGGTGCCCATCAAAGTGCTTGTTACATAAGCTTGGTTCATTGTAAGCTTGATTCATTGTTTCAAGAAAGAGTAAGCTGCGAATCAATGTAGCATGAGTACGTGAACATACGTACCGTGCTTACCTATGATTTTTTAAGCAATAGCAACCTTTTCTTATGAGAGCGATCCTTGAAGGCAAAAGATCGTTATCCGCTATCGTCCTTTCACACAAGGGACTATAGGATGAGCTGATCGCTTGGCCTATGAGCCATACCATGATCGAAAAATTTCCATAGAGCCATCATAGGTGGTATCTAAGACTACTTGAGATGGAACCATTATGCGTTCCCCGCCCAAGGCATTGGCTCTTTCAAGTTCCCCCCTCCTCTCAGCTTCGTTACACAATCAAGTACTTCTGCAACTTTGATTCTATTAAGAGAATGAATGGGTATTACTGACTTTTGCAGCTGATAGCTATTATGAAAGAGATAAAACATTGGGCAAAGACGAAAAGATTAGGTTATTGGATGATGGGATGGATAGTGTGGGGTTGCTTTGTAGTGGCTTTTTGGTTTTTGATGACATGAGTGCTTCAATAGCTTCAACAGTCTTTGGTGCTAGTGTAAGGTTCTCATGACCATCAGGTGTAATAACGACTGTATCTTCGATCCGAATTCCACCGACTGATCGATATCGCTCAAGTACATCCATGTTGAAGAACCTTTGGTATTCAGGAAACTGGGTCCAGATTTTGAGGTAGGTATCATTAAAGTATAGACCAGGTTCAACAGTGATCACCATGCTGGACTCTAAGGGCCGATCCACAAGGAAGGGTGAGTACTCCAACTTGTGGTCTGCGTGGTACATAGTACGCCTAAACAAGCTTTGATAAATTCTTCTGCATTGGTTCACAACTACGGATGAATGATTACTTACCCGCCAACATCGTGGACATTAAGCCCCACTGAATGACCAAGACCTTAGGAAATGAGACTTTTTTTGAGCACTATTATCCTTTGAGGAGTATCACTAATATCATTGTGTTCACTTACTATGAAAGTAAAAGGCATAAGGCACACCAGACTCTATAAGCTCTTCTTGGGTACCGACCAAAATGCCGATTTCGGTAAGCTTGTTACACAGTACCTGAATAGCCAGGTCCTCCATCTCTGTCCACATCACACCCGGTGCAAGACGATCCAATACAGCCTTTGTAAAGAGGACGTTAAATTTTCTTTTCATTAGTGATCAATGATAGCAATTACCTCCTGCATGGCAAGCACAATGTTGTAGATGACTTTGGCTGATAATTACATAGGTTATTATTAAATTGTGCTAACGATCGACGATCCAATGACTCACCTTCAGCCGAGAAAGTACCTGATACCGGAAACGTACGGGTCACATCGCTACTGTAGCACTGGCATTCAGCACCTGCATCTACTAGCACTAATGCATCCTCGGGTAGAGGCATGTTGTTCTTGGTGTAATGCAATGTAGCAGCACGAGGTCCTGATGCAACAATGGGAATATAGGCTTGCCGATCCAAACCATAGCAAGCTGTGATCCATCGAAAGTATGCAGCTAATTGCTTTTCAGTGGTGTGCCTTGTTTTGGTGGCCTGCATTAAAGCCATATGGGCATGAGATGAAATATAGGTTGCTTGCCGAATAAGGTCAATCTCCCATGGAAATTTGATGAGCCGTGCTTCATATAACGCTTCTCGCATTGTGTTGGTAGATATCTCACAATTGATTCCTTCGAGTAATGTGGGTCGCTCTACTTGCCGCTTTTCATCGATTGCATTATCGAGCATGTGAATCACCGTTGGCTTTAGCGTATCAGCCAAATAGGTAACAAATTTGCTTTCTTCCATAACAACATCGACATCATACTTCTTCAGGAGCTCGGATGTGCTATCAGGTGCACCTTTCCAAACCGTCTCAGTATCAGGGATTGTTGGTGGGATCAAGTACACAAGGTCGGTCTGCAAATCGATCATCACATGAAATCCAGGTTCATCCACCCCTTTTGTATGATTACACATCGACGTCAAAATACGGCACAAAACCAACACAATAAGACATTGGCTTACCAGTGAGGTAGAAAAAGTTGCTTTCTTGACGAAATTCCAATTCCACATCGGTATCATCACGCATGCTGTGATCAGCTCCTTGCATATAGATCATGGCTCGCTCGTTCTTATCAATGTCATTGCTGAGCTTGAGTAAGCTTTTGACTTTAAGACAATGTTGACGAGTGGGTAATTTGTTGTTGCACGAGTAGGTTGATGGCGTCTCGAGAGCAAGTGGCGACATGATAATGAGAAGAGAAAAAACAATGACAGGGAAAAGAAGTAAGAGACAACAGGTAAAAAAAAGGCGGGCAATCTCCTTTTTTAAAAAACAGGTCAAGTGACCAGGTGGTGACCAAATGTAATGCAGCGTTTCCAAAATTGCAATGGGATAGCTTAAAGGCACGGACGCGACATCGATCACTTGGTGACACATACGGCCCTAAGAACAAAACGAAAATGGGTACGTGCGGAACCAACCCCCACCTTTTCGAGCAAAGACCCGTTGTGGTGATTCAAGTGCAAACCCACGTGCTATCCAACACTGAGTAGCAATGCTATACAACCTTTCTCATGAATGCATGCCTCAAAAAGAACGCCTTTGTCAAGGAATGATAGAGTTTTTCAAGCTCTTACGCTGTTCAAGTGCCATCTTAGATGCTAATGTTGAATAAATGTGCTATGCCAAGCGAAAATTAGAATAAGGTTTCCATTGCCTTTTATATCCATTTGCCCGGGAAGCTCAAGGTAACCATGTAACAGCTTTATTCACGCTACAGCAAAGTTCTTGGCTAGCAATTTAATACATCTCCCATATACGTTCAAACTCATTTTGATATGCCTCAACAACAGAGGGTATGTTGGTGATGACGATGTTTTCGTTATTGCGGTAGCGGGCACTAAAGAAAGTTACACAAAAGAAACGTTAGCAGTCTGCCATGCTAATGTGCTGATACATTAAGCTGCTCCTTCATATACGTATGTTGTGTACTTACGCGATTGACCAGTTGAAGCTGCCTGTGATGACCATGCGGTTGTCAATGACAGCAAACTTGTTGTGCATGAATTGCTCACTATGGAAATACCAATGTCAATGTGCTTAAGTATCGCGTACAAGCGCCTATGCATTTCGAAAAACAAACCTTGTGTCGTATTTGACAGGGATACCTTCATCCTCATGTAGACGCTCAACATCAGATCCCTTAGCCTCAAGTTGATCATTATCGCTAATGATCCGGACATCAACTCCACGACGCTGGGCATTGGCAATAGCTCTTGCAGTGGTGTTGTCGGTCAACGAAAAGATACAAATGTGCAAGGATTCTTCAGCAGACTTGATTGCCGATATAAACGAGTGATAGCTATCTTCGGAGGGGAAAAACATGGGCATACAAAAGACCTCGCTTGGAAGCTCTTCAAGGAACTTGGGTTCAAACGGGCCCCAGTCTTCAGGATCTTCATCTTGCTGATGGTAATATTGTCTTGCCAATTGTTGAGCTCGTACATGTTCTCGACGTTCGGCAGCTCTTCCGGCCTCGTAAGATCGACACCATGCATTCCTTTTCTCGGCGTTAGATTCATCATCAGCTTTGCGGGAAGCAACATCCGCCCATGACATTGGCTTATTATCCTCTTCATCCTCTTGTTCATCCTCATTTGACTCTTCCTCAGGAATCCAGGTGGGTCGAAAAGCGTCTACACCAAGCGAGGTGGATATCAAACATGAAACATAATCCTTAAGCACAACAAGGCGTTGCTTGTCGGCATCAGATTCCATGGCTTTGCCAGCCGTGGCAAACAAACGGTTCATGAGCTTGAGAGCATCCTTGTCATCTTGATCCCCTCCTTTACTTTCGCGTTGCTCAAGCATGGTGTTGAAGTGGGTGGAGGCCTTTTCACGCATCTCACGATCTGCCACAAGATATTCGGCTGATTGCATTGACTAAGGAAATTCATCGACACCACAGGTCAAAAGGAGCGTGGTTGAGGAGCATAAGGAGATGGATACTGTACCCTTGTGACGAGCTCACGCATGCTCATTTGAGTGTCTTCTTCCCAGGGATTGATAGTCATGGTGTTGGTTTGCTAAAGGGATACAAAAGCAAAAGAAAGATGCAAATAAACGAGATGGGCGTTAGCTCGCGTTTTGTGTGAATGCGTGTGTGTGTGTGTGTCAAGCCATAAACAACACGTACATGATGTTACGTTGCACGAAGCGGACTACGATCCATTACTTGTTCGCCAACATGCCAACATGCCAACATGCCAATAACCCGTATGTCACCCATGTCGTGTTGACACCATTTTCAACGTTGTCGAATACGTTCACCCAATCATGCCATCGATTTTAAAAGGTGTTAGTTGAGATTTTAGCGGATGAGTTGTTGTTGCATGAAAAGCTATAGTAGGGTTGGTTTAAGGAGCGTCACCCGGAAAAAAGGGATACGATGACAGCTGAGTGAGTAGTGGTGTGCATAACCTTATACGCCGTTGACACTACGCATTCATAGCAAAACAGCGTTTAATGTTGTGCGTTTCTAAGTTTACACGTGTCCTAGCAACATGTAGGTAGCCATGCAACAAGCTCGTCATCATTTTCCAGCATGCCAGTTAAAGTGCATAAATCGATGTCAGGGTAGTAGTGTTTACTGCTCATCCTACATATGCAGGTATATGCAAACCAGCCACAAAGGACGAGCAAGCCTTACACATCACCAAATAAAGCAACATAGAAAATGTTGATGCGTACAGCAGCATAAATGAGAATGATTGACCCATGTTGCATTATCTTTCGATGGGATCAAACTTGCACATGTTAACATGTGTCGATGGCTGGTGCATGTGCAGCATGTCCTGCATAATCATCATCATCATCATATTCCTCACAACTCCATATGAAAGGGAGCTTGATTGATTATTGTGGAATGGGCCATTATACCCCAAAGGTCTTATCAGCAAAGGAAGTTTTGATGTTTCTATAGCGGAAATGTATCAAAGGAGCCAGCGGAAAGGGAGTCGATCAACATTGACAAGAAAGGGGAAATGTGTGTGTATGATTGAAATGATGATAGTGAGGTAACGACATGCACAGGAGCAGTGTTGTTTCCATTTTCACTATCCAATACCGACATAGCTCGTGCAAAGGATGTTCTTCATGTACATATGCATGCGCCCCACATTGGTAGTGATTTTCAAGAAGACCATCATGCCAACCTGTTGATTACAGGGGCGCATGCAGTGACCCATGATGGTGCCATACTCTTCCTTGTTCACTGTAATCAGCCTTAAAGAGGCATCTTGTGTTACGGTTGGATGGAAGATCACTTTACAACATTGCACAAACCAAAGGTTGCCGAGAATTTCCCATCACAAACATCGCCCAGAACAATGCATGTCGTTAATGCGACTGAATGCTCATCATAGAAACCACATACTACATCCGTTATTGGTTCACACGCTATTTGTGTCAAGAATAATGTCAGCATGAGAACGCCTCAGCACCCTGAACACGGGAACGTGATGCAATGTTACACATCCGCAGCTTTGTCGAATAGGGTCCCTGTAATTGACCGGGAAAAATAGCAGAGGATTTAAGATGCCCATTTTAGTGTGCCTGTAAGGGCATTCGCCAAGAGTTGCTTTATTGAGTGATCTATCCGAAACCACCATCTTTCATACAAAGGGTCCATGCTCCCTTCCTTTATCCCAATTATCGTGTATAGTACCCATGTACTATTGTTAGCGTGGGATGTGGCGTGGGTGACAGGTCCCCAAAGAATAAACCAACTTGCCCACTGGTGAAGATGATAAGGAAGGAGGAGAGAAGAAAAATGCAGGAGATTGATAAGAGAGGAGAAAATACGAGAAGAACATGTAGCAATGCGGCGTGTGTTAGGGATGGATGATGCGATAGTATTGTGCTCCGTGGCTAATAAATGTATACAATGCTCCTTATTTATCCAGAAGAGGTATCCGCCACATGTTTGTTCAATGGCGCGCCTCATTGTATTTGAGCTTATCGTGCTTCAGCTGTGGCTCGATTTTTCAGATGCCACAATCGCATTTAAGCGGCGCATTTTCTTGCTCTCTTTTACCTTCCCCCTCTTTGCACTACCTACACGGCTTGTTATATAAGTAGCCTCCATTCCGCTCATCAAGCACTTTTCTCTCCATGTCGCGCCATTACTCGGTTGCCATTGATGGTGGCCCAGAAGTCTTCACCATCGACACACGCTACAGGATTGTTCGCAAAGTAGGCTCAGGATCGTATGGTACGGTGTGCTCGGCTTTTGATTTGCATGCCGATCGATATTGCGCCATCAAAAAGGTCTATCGAATTTTTGACAAGCGTCTATTGACGAAGCGTTGCTTACGAGAAATCAAGTTGCTGCAACATTTCAATCATCATCCTCGTATCATCGAGCTCTTTGACATGGATATCGTTGACGTGAACAACTTCAACGAGATTTATTTGGTGTTCAATTGCATGGATGCGGTAATACTATACTCATCTTGGCTTTCATTCAATCATGCTGACTCACCTTATACGTATGTATCCATCAGAGTTTACATGACGTGATCCATTCTGATAAGCCCATAAACATTGTTCAAGGCCAATGGATCCTTTATCAAATGCTCTCAGGACTCAAATACATTCACGCAGCCAACGTGATACATCGTGATTTGAAACCAGGTAAAACATGATACGCCCATTTCATTTTTACATTCATAATTGATCACTAATGCATATAATTGTGAATAGCCAATATCCTTGTTAATGTCAATTGCGATATCAAGATATGCGATTTTGGGATGGCACGAGAGTATCGTGCTCAAGATGGTCGGCAATCTGCATTCCTCACCGAGTATGTGACAACAAGGTGGTACCGAGCACCTGAAGTTATGATCAGCCCAAACAATTACAGCAAGCTTAGTGAGTTATCCTTAATGGCTAATCCAATGCATGCATTACTTACATATACAACGCTATAGTCGACGTGTGGTCTGTTGGCTGTATCTTTGGAGAGATTCTTGGTCGCAGAGTCTTGTTCAAAGGCCGAGATTACATTGATCAATTACACAAGATTCTTGGCATCCTCGGGTTACCGGAAAGCATTTCATTCTGGGACCCATCAGAATCGGTTGCTACGCATCTTGAGCAGCTATGCACGGTCAATGGTCAGCCGCCTCCCCGCCATCCAATCGATTTTAGGTCCTTGTTTCCGGATTGCCCATTGGATGGTATTGACATCTTACAGCAATTATTGCAGCTGGATCCACATCAACGTATCACCGTGCCTGATGCAATGGCACATCCATTTCTTGCACCTTTTGGAGACCCTGAAGAAGAAGCTATGGAACCAGGCACATGTGATTTCCAATTTGAGCAGTATGCAGATGATGAGGATTTGCGTCAACATGTGATTGATGAGATCATGCGTTTTCGTCGTAAACAATGGCAGCTAGAGCAATGTGTGCGTAGCCCATCCATGCATGCTGATATGTGTTGTGGTGTCGGCACTCTCGGCAGTAGCAACATTTTATTGCGTCATCAACAACAACATCAACGACATGCAACCATGAGCTTACTTGACCGAACATCGATCCAATGGCAATATTCCACAGAGCACACACCACCATCACCACCACCTATCGATCAACCCTATGATGACACAAGCTCGTTGTTGGCAACAGAAGAAGGGGCATCTATGTTTTCGGGTGGATTGGTTGGTGAGCCTGAAGAAATGACAGCCGAGGAAGATGCGCTTTTAAACCAAACTGCTGGGATGGATGTCGAGCCACATCGTCAATTCAGGTTGCCAGCACGTGGTCCTGAGCGTGATCTTTTAGAGCGTGAGCTCAGCGGGACATGGTGAGCCCATTACCTTCATTTTCATTTGCATTTCTCAATTCTTTTGTGTCCATATTATGCTTTTCTTTTTCACTTTGCGCGGCTTTTAGTAATGGTTATCGTTCGTGTTAATTATGCTTTCATCTCATTTTCTATTTACATCATTCATCATGCCTATACTTTTGCTATGCTTTCTCTTATTCTTCATCCTGTTGCCTTTTCCGACTATTGCAATGTACATCTTTTTTTCATATGCTACGTCTTTTCAACTACCAACAAACAATAAAGCTATCAAGTGCCGTATACATACAACACCATGTTCATGCCAATCGAGTAGCAGCCTTGAATTTTCCCATCACCTTGTTGTTTGAAGCCTCCTCAAGAAGGGGTTGCAATGCTCCCACTTGTAATGCTTTTTCAATGGTTGCCTGATGCTTCTTCAATGCTTGCCAAAGAGATTGGAATTGATGGTTGGTCATGGTTGTGACTTGATCCATATCAATGAATTCAGTGCATGCAATGATTGCATCACCAAATGTATGGGAAATTCCGAGGACATGGCTTCTGATTTCATTTGACAAGATGGGAGAGCTGAGGAATCTGTTCTTATTGAAATACTTGCGGCCATGGGATGGTTTGTGCAACCACGCGTCAAAAGAAAGTGGTTCACCATTTTGGGCATATGACAATGGGGATTGCTTGTTGCTCGCCTGAAAACGATCATGGAGGACCTTGCATCGGCGACAAAGGTCAATAATGAGCCAGTTCTTGAATCCCACAGACATACGTTCTTCATCAGACACTAGTGTTCGCTGGTGGTAGTAAGTCTCCCAAAGGTCCATGAATGATTCGTGAAGATCGGATGTTGTCATGTTGTCAAATTGCTAAAGGTATTTGTGAGCTTCCATCAAAAACCCCTCGATTTCACGCATCCAAAGTGTAAAAACGATAGCCTACCTTTTCATTTGTTGACAGCGTATATGGCTCAACGCACTTTAGTTCCTTGATAATCTCATCACCACGTTCGCGAAGCACTAGGGCCCCAACAAGGTAGAGCTCAACAGGCTTGGGTGTATCCACCTTTGCTTGAGTTGATGATCCTGCTGCCGAAACATTGGCAGCCGTGATCTTCTCTTTTCCTGTAGCAGTCGTTGGTGGCACTTCTTGGTCGAGATGGTTTGGGGAATCCATGGTATGTTTGTGAAAAATATCCAGTAGAATACGATGAAAAAGAAAGGTTGTAAGAAGCAGGTCAGCATTTTAAAAGCATCATACAAGAGCGATGACACCATCATGTCATCACGTCAACAGCAATTAATCATTCCGGCCAAGAGAACAAGAACCTGTTGCGTGCAGGTGACATTTGCAGTAATCCACAGCTGGTGACTCGAGTGTGATTCATATACTTTGAAAAGATCATCCTCGACTTATGAATGCATCACAGGTTTCATAATGAGACATATATGGATTTGAGAGTAAGATTCATTGTTGCAGCTCAGAGCAGGATTTTGATACGTTTTATTTACAATGAACAACATGACAACAAGAAGTCTGTACATCGTTTTTGGAGTTATCAATGGTAGGTATCATTGTAGGAATAGCATCTAGATTCTTGTCATGGTGATCCTTGAACGAATACAAATCAACAAGAAGGAGCGCTGCCAATAAAGAGAAGCGGAGAAGTGGTCCGTGGTCCGTGAAACACCGTGTGGGGAAAAGAGAACTTGGATTTGGATGATCCATCCGACCCAATTCCAATCTCAGTGCATCTCAGCCGGCACCATGCGAAGACAACTTGCTATCAGAGGCACTTTCCCACAATGGCAGATTCCAATCTTCTTGCTGGCACCATTGGTGATTTGATAGTAGCGAATCCAGTCATTCATTTTCCTTGTAAATATAACCTTTTGGGCTATCGAGCTGTTGAGCAGGAAATGGACAAGTTGTATTCTTCTTCGTTGGTGATACTAGTGATGACGAGGTTGCATGGATGATGAAAAGAAGCAAAGAATGTAAGTTTGGACTCATGACGCATGCCCCATGTAGGTTGTGTGTGCTTATTACCATGTGTCAGCAAATGGGATTGAAACCTTAAACGATTAATTCGAATATGTAATACATAATGCGGAGCGAAATAGGATGGAATATCCGCCTTGGTAAGCCCTCCTTGCTCTTCCTTGCACTTCTTCCACTTATGGCACAAGTCCTCTCCGTTCTCACAAAGAAGCGATCGGCGGCAGCCCTCATTATCGCTCTCGTCTATGCATTGTTCAAAGTAAAGAGCCACTTTCAACGTCAAGCAGCTGCAACCAACAATGCACGCAAGGGCAGCAGCACAAGCAACCAGCAGCATCGCAAAGGCAAAGCTTCCAAGCAAAGAGTTGGCGTCAATTCCCACTTCTTCAAGCAAATGCGCGAGCTCCTTCCAATTTGTATACCTGGTACTTACAAAACACATGCATTGAGAGAGACTTGGGCAACGACAACTGATCAGCGTGTATACCATAGGTTTGTTCTCTAAGGAAGCAGGTTTGCTTGGAGCACTTGCAACTGTATTGATTGCTCGCACATGGCTTGATATTTGGTATGGATTGCATGGTTGTGATACGAGATACGATTATGATTAACCAAACCACGTACACGCGAATCATACATCATTAGGTTTTCTGGATTCAACGGGTAAGACGCTGTTGTGAGGAAGGAGGTATACGTATACGCATGCTTACATGTTCATCAATACTAGTGCCGTGGTGAAAGCAATTGTATCACGCAACCGGGAAGCGTTTATTGCTCGGGCAATTGTTGAGTTCGGCTTTATGATGGTAAGTGGGAGATGATGTGCAAGGATTGATATGGGATGTACTGATGCATTGTTGATTATACAAGTGGCCCATGAGTATCGTCAACAATTCGCTCAAATTGACCATCAGTGCATTGGCCTTATGTTTCCGTGAACGATTGACAAAGGTGAGCGAAGAATACAATGGTTGGCATGGCAACTATCAATTGGGCTTATCAATGTTTGTTTGTAGTTTGCACACAACCAATATCTTGATGGTATCACCTTCTACAAGATTTCCAACATCGATAACCGCCTTCAAAATGCGGATCAGCTCCTGACTCAAGACATTGACAAGTTCTCGGAGAACCTTTCACACTTGTATTCCGATATCGCCAAACCGATTGTTGATATTTTCTTGTTCGCATATAAGCTTGGAGAGGCCATGTAAGGAGCAAACTACGACATGTGGATGAGGCTAAAACTTACCTTTGCTTGCATTTAGTGGTTCAGAAGCTCCATTCTTTATGATTGGCTACTTTGTTCTCTCGGGTGTGGTGTTGAGAGCTTTCTCTCCTCCATTTGGTCGATGTACGTTATCATCATTCCTTGGAAATCCTTTCTATACTCAATGTTTTATTGTATTACAGACACGGCGATTGAGCAAAAGTTGGAAGGCGACTTTAGATTCACCCATGTGAGTTTGGATAACAAGGCATAGGATGGACAAGTGACTCATTCATGCTTTTTCTATGATAGTCTCGTATCATCACCCATTCCGAGGAGATTGCATTCTACCGAGGTGGTGAACGTGAGAAGGAAGTGGTCAACAATACATTCCAAAAGGTAATGTGAATCTTGTCTCGAGATAATCTATATACTAATTATAGTTGGGTGGGCTAGATTGTCAATCACGTGCGTAAGGTGTATACGCTACGCTTCTTGAATGGTATCTTCGACTCTGTTCTTGTCAAATATTGTGCCACCATGACTGCATACTAGTAAGTGGATGGGATATGAGGATCTCAAAGACCAGATGTGCTCATCATACTATAGCTTATTAGCACGTCCTGTTTTTGATCAGCGATATGGTAAGTATTACGAGCTCAAATGGTTGATGAAAGGCATGCTCAATGGTTTATTTATCAGCTACTTCTCATATGGGCGCTTTAACCGATGATCCTGTGAAGCTTATGGAAGACTATTCTCGAAATTGTAAGCTGATGTTTTATCGACGAGGGAATTACCACATGCTAACGCTAAGATACTATGTAGCAAGCTACCTTATCAACCTCTCTCAGGCTGTTGGAAGGCTGATTTTGACGGGTCGTGATTTGACTCGTTTTGCAGGCTACACGGTAAATGAATCATTGCCAATGGCTTCAGCTTTGTACTCATTAATACGGGTTCTAGTCTCGAGTTGCCGATTTGTTTGATGTCTTGCGAGATGTTCGAAAGGGCAAATACAACCGCACTATGGTCTCTACTGATGAAGAATCGACGCAGAATATGAGTGAGTAACGACTATGGAGAACGTTGCAGTGCGATGCTCATCAATGCTGATATCGTTTATAGCTGTTTCAACTGATGACATGAAGGGCAAAGTGATTGTCAGGGATGGTGTTATTGTGTTCGACCATGTACCTATCGTAACACCCAACAACGATGTCTTGGTAAGTACTGGAAAGGGAAGACATACTAGAAAGGATTGATAACTGATTCATTTCATCCTCTTGTAGCTCAAAGACCTTTCCTTCAAGGTGAAGACGGGAATGAATTGTTTGATTTCAGGCCCCAATGGATGTGGCAAGAGTTCTTTGTTCCGTATTCTTGGTGATTTATGGCCATTGTTTGGTGAGTACGAATTACTTTTTATTTTCTTTGTATGGGTGCTAATGAGCGAGCTTTAGGTGGTACGGTGACAAAGCCTGAAGCTTCCAAGCTCTTCTATGTACCCCAAAAACCATACCTCGCTCTTGGAACATTCCGTGATCAAGTTATCTACCCCGATACCGCTGAGGAAGCCTTGGCACGCGGATTTGATGATCACTCGCTGATGGAGCTGCTGGATACAGTGCATCTTGGATATCTCGTGGAACGTGAAGGTGGTTGGGATTCTGTGCAGGATTGGGCTGACGTGTAAGTATATCGTACCAGAAAAATAGGCATATGATCATGCGTTAAGTGGACTTTGTCTCTTAGACTTTCTGGTGGTGAGAAGCAACGTGTTGCCATGGCTCGTCTATTCTATCACAAACCCCAATTTGTAAGTGGATGGGGGACACACAGTAGAAAAGGGAGTTGTTATTTAACATTGATTATCTTCTATAATAGGCTATTTTGGATGAATGCACCAGCGCTGTCAGTGTGGATATTGAAGCCATCATGTATGAGCATGCACGAAAGGTCGGCATTACGCTGTTCACTGTTTCACACAGGTAATTTTGAAAAGGATATGGAGCGTATCATCCTACAATACATACTCACAAAGCACCATTACAGAACATCCCTGGTACGCCACCACGAGTTTTTGCTTCGATTTGATGGTGAAGGTCATTACGAATTTAGAGAGTAAGTACATAAAGAATGTGTATACTTAGATGTGGTGTTTACTCAATGCCATTTCTTGTAGGCTTGACCCTGAGGATATCAACACACCCTTTGGTTTTGGTCATGGAAAGTCCAAGCCTCAAGCCAAGCTGCATGCATAAGATTACCCATATCGCACATACTCTAGATTGCTTTCATTTATATCACTTTTACCATTCTTTTTGTTCTCGTTTTCGTATTTATCCATCTCGCTATAAAAACTGGTTACACGAGAATGTTTCATGTGCAAAAATGAGGCTGAACTGGTCGTATCGCTTAAACGTATTCCGGATTGAATAAGATCCTCTTTTCCTTTTGTGCCTGATAAAATGGGAAAGCCAAGAAAGGGTTCTTCAACCACATCTAGACAAGGTGATAGTGAAGACATGGTAACCTCTTTTAATCAAATCTTGCATAAAGCGGCTTGCTGACGCGCTATTTCCCCTCCTCTCACTCTCTCTTTTCCCTTCAGCCTTTGCCCAACCTTGCCTCCCAGCTCAATTTCATTGACCAGCTCTTGCAATGGAACCTACACGATCTCGATCACTTTATAGCCGTTCTGAAGCAAAGGTCCGTTTATTGTTGTTGAATGGGTCATTTAGCGTACTAACTCATGACTAGGATTGCAGCAGAGGAAGTGTATGTCCAGGCACTGAATGCCATTGAGTGTCTACCACCAACACCGCCATGTACGATGCTACCGAATTTCGACAAGGAGACTTCCTATGCAAAGGCGTTAGCACAATACGAGTCATCAATCAAACGAACGGTTTCTGGACGACGTGAACTAGTAACAACTATGCAGCATCAGCTTGAAGTGCTACACATACTCAAGGTAATAACCGGGGACATGACGATCAAATAAGGAAAAGCGTGGCGTATCAGTGTGGCTGACCGTGTGCCACACACACACAATGGCATTCAAACATGTAGGATCATCAGCAAAAACGTCATTTGAAAATCAACACGACGCTTGGTGAGAAGAACAGCAATTATCTCTGTTATCGCATCCACGACCTCGCTGAAGTAAGTAAAGGTATCATAATGTGCTTATTTCGCACTAACACACGTTGTATTATATATATGCAACTTTAGAGTCAGAAGGTTTACAAGAACAAGTGTGCTGAGCTTGAGCAAGAAGACTCGCGCGAAGTTGAAGGAACACAAGGATCGAACGAGGTGCGGGATATAGAAGCTACTAAGCAGCTGCATCGGCGTAGTCGCGCGGGATTGCATGCCATTCGGGCCCATTTGGCCAAAGCCCACGTGCTGGAGCACAATCACCGAATTGCCAAATTGAAGCACCAAGTAGTAGACGCAGGCAGGTAGTGAAGACAATGAAATTACCACATTCGTTGGTAGCGTTTTTTTTATACTCATCCTTTGATATAGATCGTGAATACAGGAAAAGCGTTTTATTCTTGGAAGGCCTACGCAAAAAACAACTCAAGACGTCCCATTTGGCAACCAAAGTAAGTAGAAGACCTATATGCATGCCACCTCATTGTGCAACTTGATGATTAACAATGGTCATAATAGCATGTAGAGATATTATTCATGGACAAATCAGAAATTGCAAAATCAGTGTTACGCAACATCCTGGTTGTTGAGCAAGCTGTTCAGGGACGAGAAATGTCGGTTAGTGAGATGAATTTGTGATGTGTCATCTCGAGGCTTTCATATTCATTATCATCATCATTGTGCTTTTAGATGACTCAATCCATGACACAGACATCCGAATCGATGAATGGGATGGACGACTTGGCACTGTTTACAAAGGGATATGGCATGCTTCAATTTGATGTACCTGATGCGGTGGTATATGAACATTACATCCATGGACAATTGAAAGGTGGATATGAAATTTTTGGGGGTTGGACATAATCGAGTATGCTTACGCCATTGTATCACATGTAGATGTCCAGTTTGGCACTTCATTGAAGGTATATGCCGATGTGCACAAACGGAACGTGCCGCTTTTGGTGGAACAATGTATTCAAGCCGTGGAAAGAATGGGTGGATTACAGAAAGAAGGCATCTATCGCATCTCGGGCCGTCAAACTGCCGTCAACACTCTTAAGCTTGAATTTGAAAAGGATGAGCAAAAAGTGGACATTGATCAATACGACATCTTCACAATCGCTTCAGTGCTCAAAGTGTACTTGCGAGAGCTCGAGGAACCATTGCTTGCCATGTCACCAAAGCAACAAGCAGAGTACACAGGTAAAATTAAAGCTGCAGCGGATACTTCACAAGAAAGGCTTACTCTTGTTGTCGATCAGGCACGGATGATGACGCATACCGATTGCAAATTCTCGAAGTACAATTAGCACAACTCTCCGAGCCACACCTGCTTACGTTGCAGATACTGATAGAACATTTGGCAAGGTATTACACCATAATCACGGTTGCCATGGATACCTGATCTCATCATCATTTCATGTTCTTCATTAATAGAATTGCTGCTAATGCCAAGGTGAACAAAATGACTACCTCCAACTTGGCCATGATCTTTACCCCTGCCATTCTTCACGATGAACAAGCCCCTGATAAGGTGTTACTGGATTTGATATCACATCAAGAAGCTCTTTTTGCCAAGATAACGAGAAAGAACAAAGAGGACCAATTGGGACGCTCGTCATTGGATGACCAGGGGTCACTCGCATCATCACTAGAATACAAGGCGCATGCAACAACGCCACATCCCTGATAGCGTGGATTGTATTTTTATCGCCTCTACCTTGACCCCCTTTCGATTCTTTTAATTTTACCAATTATCCCGTGTGCTTGCGTATAAACTCACTCTCGCGCGAACAAAGACTTGCTGTATGTGGTACAAGCGGTTGCCTACTTTCCATTTTCGGCATGTGCATGTTAATCCAAACGATACACAGTCCGTGCTGCATATGTTTGTTTGTTTGTATTGGATATTTGGGAGGGAATTATTGTTTTGAATGATGCGCAATGATATAATGGTGTTCGTATGATGATAAAAGGGATTGCTTTGGGAGGGTTAAAACAATACAGGTGACAATGCACACGCAAGCAGGTGGTACAGAATGCATCAATTAAGCTCATGAATGAATGTTTGGTGCGGAAATCCTTTAGTTTTGGAAGCTGAAGCGTAATCAATGCCGATCACTGCATCCATCCTTCACGAGCTGATCGCTTGTCAATTGCTTTGGCGTTCAGCATCTGCAGTGTAACACCACCCATCTTCAGCCTTTTCTCTCCTTTTAAATAGACCCCAATTTTCTTTCAAGTCTTTGCTTTTCCCTTCACCGAGTTTCTGGCACGCAACAACAACAATATCAACCACGCTTCATTTACGCATGTCGAAAACGACCTATCTCGCACCACCATCAATCTACTCGCACGATTACGAGGGCTGGCTCTTGATATCAAAGCTGAGAAGACAACTTGTTTGGCGACCTGCCCCACAACGATACTACTGCATCCTTGACGGCCAACGTTTATCCTATTACACTCGCAAGGTATGTTATCTCATATCTTTACTTTTCACTATCGACATTGTGAATTAACGCAAACATTTATAGAATGATCGAAAACCTAAAGGAGTGCTTGATCTTACCCGATATCGACTTATTACAGCATCACCTTCATGCCGAGGTCTCCTTATCAACCGAGCACCATCGCAAAAGTCATTTCAATTGATCGCACAAGACAAGGATTTGCCTGATTTGATGCTGGTTGCTGATTCACGACAAGCAAAAGAAGAATGGACGACATACATGGATTATCAACGTGGCAACAACAATGTTCTTGATAAATGGCTAGAGCGATACGACTTGAGCAATGAGCAGCTGCCATCACCACCTTCGCCATCCATTTCTTCTATATCATCCACCTCCACATCCACATCATCGGTTGTCAAATCACCGATTGACTGCTGGCAACCAACAACACCAACCTCTCCAACAACTACAATGGACATGTCAGGCTTGATCCACTCGTTCATCTCAAGGCGCAAATCATCCCCTGCTTTAAATAGTGGACGTCGACGACCATCCCTTACACCTTCAGCATCACCGTTGCATTCCATCATGGATAGTCCTCACGATTATTAGACTCAAGGTGCTATCATATTCCTGGCTCCCCTTTTATTACCAATCGCCTTGATGGTTGATCCATTCGGCTTACATACCAATCCACTGATCCCCCCCATACATCATCCACTTTTTGTTTTTACATATAACTGTATCATACGTTGTTGCTTTGATTTCCTCATACATGCTCCCCAAAAGATAATTTGATAATATACAAGCGAGGTTGAATGTCATCCTTGCCTCTTTATGTAAACCAATGAATGACCGCAAATGCTGATGACTATACATGGATACAACCTTAAGCTAAATACGAAGTAGAGTGTCGCTCCAATGGTGCTGGTTAATATGGTAACAAGCATCAACCGGTGATCGAGACGTAGGCATCTTTAAAGAGACTCCCATACATGAATGTTGATTGCTATGGTGATGAAGCATTTAAAACAGCAACCACTTGTTGCCGCATAATTCCCCTATGCACTTTTGTGCACCTCCTCATGATGAATGACCATGTTTTACTTGCCAAGAACAAAGATAACGGTGGTATTGGTCACATGATGGGTTTGAAGCAGCTGGGCTGAGGACGGGGAGAAGATATACCGACACCAGCTGGGCTGTGTGTGACATCGCGGTATTACGTGTCTTGAAATTACCTCTTCAGTCGAATGACTCAAAAGACGAGCATCGTCACCTTGCCTTGTTCGGAAAGACAAACTATTTGATTCCATAGCCTTTGGAAAATATAAAAGTATGGGATAACGTTTATTTGATCCTCCATCTGTTTCAGCTATCCATGACATCCGAATTGCTATCTTCCCTACCTTCATCATTAGCACCCTACCTAACAACTGATCGCTTGCCAAAGGTGCTGGTGGCAACCACCTTGACATATGCCGTAACCAAGTACATCATCTACAACCTTTACTTGCATCCCACAGCAAGGATACCAGGTCCATCAGTGGATTGGATACCATTTCTCGGAAATATGCGTGAGATTATCCGAGAAGAGGTGAGAAAAAGAACAATCATCGGAACTAAATTGCACCGCGTACTCACACGTCATGGCTTCTTAGAGTGGAGTGCCACACAAGAAATGGTTGAAAAAGTATGGAGGCATTGTCGTCTATCATATGCTATGGAACAAGCCACGCGTAATGGTCTCGGACCCGAATCTTTTGAAGGAGGTATTGACGCACCATGTTTATGACTATACAAAAACACCTGAAGGCAGCAAGTTCTTAACCCTCCTCCTTGGTAACGGCTTGCTTGTGGCTGAAGTATGTATATAAAGATGATGATCAAGGAATACGATTTCAACATATAGCATGTAAAATAGGGTGATGTACATCGACAGCAACGTAAACAACTCAACCCAGCCTTTTCTTTGCAATCGATTCGTGAGCTGGTCCCCGTAATGTTTGTTCCACCTGTGCAGCTAATGGATCGGTGGAAGCAGGAATATGCCGAACGCAAGGATAGCAACGGCTTGATGGAGACGAACATCTCAGAGTGGATGTCACACGTGACCTTGGATATTATTGGGTTGGCGGGCTTTGGACAAGAATTCCTAGCTGTCAAACATGAAGGCAGCACGGACCATGTTAACAAATTGAGCTGGGCGTATCGACATCTCTTTGATCCCACAGGATCTAACCTTGAGCGATTCTTACGATTCCTTATCCCAGGATACCGGTATCTACCCACACGACGCAACCTTGATTTTCGTAAAGCTTTGGGCATGTTGCATGAAGAGAGCCTTGCAGTTGTTCAACGTGGTATTGAGCGAGCCAAAACCACGAGTCGCCAAGACAACCTTCTTGCACTCATGATCAACCTCGTCGATGAATCAGGAAATGGCATGAGCGTTGAGGAGCTTCGTAACCAATGCCTCACGTTTTTGGCAGCTGGGTAAGTTGAAGACATTGACACGCTACTATAAAATGATCGACTCATGATGATGGTTGCCATAGACATGAAACTACAGCAGTGTCGTTGTCATGGACCCTTTGGCTTTTGGCTCAAAATCAAGACATTCAAGATGCATTGCGTGAAGAGGTTACACCCATGTTTGCTAATCTCGATTTTACGCATCGCATGTTCCAAGATGATCCATTTGATACAACCGGCCACAGCTTGCCCTCTTTTGAAGCTATCAACAACCTTCACTTGCTAAACAACGTATGCAAGGAGTCATCCCGCTTGATCCCTGTTGTACCAGTCACCAGCCGTGTTGCGACCAAGGATGTTACACTTGGTGGCCACTTTATTCCCAAAAACACAGCCATCTTTTTGCCACTTATCGTCAACCATCATTCTAAGGAATTATGGGGAGAAGATGCTGAAGAATTCCGACCAAGTCGTTGGGATGAATCAGAAGCTTCACGTGCTGGTCCTTATGACTTTTTACCATTCTTAGCTGGAGGAAGACAATGCATTGGAAATCGCTTTGCTATGATTGAGCTCAAGATCATTTTGGGTTTGCTGATCACCAACTTTCAATTCTTTGAAAAGCCTGGATTCACTCCAAGGAAACGCCAAGAACTCACAATGCGCCCTTCACCCAATATGACACTCCTTATCAAACCCGTGGTTTCATCATCGTAGAAGAAGCATAGCTCAATTGATACCATAATCCTTTATAAAACATGTTGTAGCTATTCTTTGATGTATTGACTCGTCTTTTGATCCATTGGATGTGATGGTGGTTTGACATTCAACGATTGTAGGAAGCGAATAAGCCCATGTTCAAAGCGTCGCAGCTAAATACAACAAAAGAGATGTTAGTGTGAGAACTCTGCACGCCTTGGTCAACTTACAATCAATGCAGCTTTGTTGTCACCAGTCTCGGTTACAATCTTCCGTGTCCAAATAGTAAAGTTGCCATTCAAGTTCCCAAATACCACATCGGTCAATATCCTGTCGCCAACGAATGCAATCTTGTCCGCTGGAATGGGGTGTAAATGACTTGCAAGAGCTGCACCACCCGATGGCTTCTTTTCCTCATGTCTCAAAACAGGCACACCTAATGCACAAATGAATACCGGTTTCATGCTCCCTTGTTTTGACTTACCTAGTGCATCTTGTAACTTCGTCGCTTGTAGAGAGAGATGAAACAAACATAATCAGCTTATGATGTAAGGTATTCTCCCAACACTGTAAATACTTATCCGCATGATCCTTATCATCAGGGGTGCCTGCCGAGTTGGAGACGATCACGATCTTGTCACGTCCAAACGTTTCCTTGCATACGGCCCATGCTTTCTATATCGACGCGTTGATCGACAATCCACGACAATAGACCACGTTACTTACTTCAAAAGGAGGATGGATATGTGGAACGTAGGGAGCCGTTAAGCAGTTATCCTTGTCAAAGCCCATCGCTTGGATACCACCTTGACGCTTGAGCTGCTCAAAGTGTATGTTGCGTATGTCTATGTTCACTCATTAGCCACCATGTGCAAGCATACAGTTTCTCTAAACGTACCATTCACAATAAGGTGAGGAACTGCTAGACTTGGATTCCACAGTAAACGAAATGCATTGACAATGCCGGACACATTTAGACTTTGAACCATTGGAAGAGCAAGGTTGATCGATCGTCAAGATTGTTTGGTGCGGAACAAGAGCCGTAGGAGATACAACCATCATGCTGATCGCGAGAAAGAGATACGGTTGCCAACGAGATACGTTGACCATGATACCACCACCATTTGACAATCCTGCTAATGTTTTGCCATCAAACGACAATCGAAACACCCCTTGACGACAACAACGTGGATGACGATGGGGGCCATGAAATAGTGTATCCCACCACAGGCACAACAAGGTATGCATAAACATACCAAAATAGCAATGCATACGCTTCAATTGCTTATGCATCTCGTTTTTAGCAGAACAACCAAGTCCAGGATGCATAGTGCTGATCATGTAACACGAACCTTGATCGAAAGTGTGGACAATGCATGAATGTAGCTATGCAACAACACAACAACTCAGAGATTAATCCACGATGATGAGCTAAGAGAGATTGAGAAGGTTTGGATACTTCGATGCAGATTACCAGCATCTTCCTTCGTACAAAAAGGAGGCAACAACAAACACAGCAACAACGATTGGACATGATGATCGTGGTGGTGGCGTCGTGCGTCTCCTCGAGATGGATCTGCATATGTAGGCATAGCTGAAAATAGATCAATTTTACCTATTTGAAGAACAAGGGGTTGTTTATATGCAAATCGTGCCAAGACATTTGAGGAATCTTCCAAACAGGCAAGGAGGAGGGGGTTTAGTTGTATTGAAGGAGCTACGTGCATTTTCCAAAAATCGTCATTTTGTCAAATAGCACAAGATGCATAATGTATTTTTTACCATATGTACATATACAAAAAGATGACAAGTTGTATGTATAGAATGAGTGGAAGGGTGGGATGAAGGTTATTATAATGATGTTTAAGCGTGGCCAACAGCAGCTGAGAGTGAGACAGAGTGGTAGTGGGGGTTGTACTCGAATTCTTGTGCGGGCGATTGTTCAGCAATAGCATTGAGGAACGTGTCCAGTTGAATGGATGCTGCTTGAATCGTCAAAGGAGATGATGAGGATGCTGCAGCTGCAGCAGCTGAGATACGACCATGATGTCTTAAGAGCTGTGCGGACGCCAGCGTTCGCACAGGGTATCGCTCTGCTAATGTAGCATCTCGATCAAGTGCCAGGTAAATGGATGCGCCTAAACCATCTACGGACATCATATCAAGGTTTCCTCCCCAATGACTTGCCAACACTTTGGCTGCTCGCCATCCGCTTAATGCTTCCCACTCGGCTAAACCAGCTTGGCCGTTATCGGAAGATGATGATAATGCTGATGCATTCTTTTTGCTATCATGGTAGCGAGTAATTTCACCAAGCAAAGATGAGCATGTTGGAATACCAATAGGATCACGAGGAATATCAATTCCCATATCGTTCGGTAGCAATGGTGATGTGCTGTTGAGTCGGAAACCAACCGATGTTGGACCACCAAATACATGCAGCTCCATAGGCGGAGGAGAGAATTGCTTCCATTTACGCTGAATCCAGCTATCACCATGTGCATGCGCTAACTCTGCTCTTAGTGCAACAAGTGACGACTCATATAAAATCCGATGGAGAACATTAGGGATGTATGTAAACTCTTGGTCGCTCATGCTGCTAGTAGTAGTCTTTACAGCAATGCTGGGAACAGGTACTTGACCGCCAAGAGCTTCGGAAAATGCAAGTTGGGCATCCTTGGCAGCCTGTTTGGCAATTTCAATTGGGCTAATTGCTTGAGTTTCATTGCCATTTTGCTGTGCGTAAGATAAATGTTGATCTACATACAAATCAATTAGGGAGAATGGCCACAAGAAAGGGGGTTAAAAGTTGAATTAGCTTACCAAGCAACATGTGGATGCCAAAACCAATTGTGTTGATATTATCCAGCAGTGCCAATGAAGCAGCTGTGGGTGAGGTAGTAAATGCGTATCGTAGTCGTATCAAATTAGCTGCCTGACGTTGATGCAAACGACGAGCAACATTGTGAAAACCACGAGGTGATGTTGATTGAAGAGATGGATGCAGCAAAGTGCAAATATCGTGAAGATAGTCGTGAGCAACATGGCGTACAATAGGTGTTTTTAGTGCTTCTGGAGAAAGTGTCGAGAGCAATCGTAGGATGTGAGTGTATCTGACAGGTAATTCGGAGCACAAAAAGGATGGTGCAGTGGCAGCAGGCATCTCGTTTTGATTATTCTTGTTGCTATTATAAAGGTGTGACAACTATAAGCTGGTTGTGAGTAAATTGTATTTGGCAAGGTTGTCAATACGCATTTCACATACCGAGACACGTGTTTCCTGCGAGGCCCAAAAACCAGCGACGATGCGACGGGGTAGCACGTTGAGCACTTGCGATTGGAGCATTACAATTAAAAGTGGTCTAGAAGTATTATGTAAAGGAAGACGATGAAGAGGGGGAAGAAAGCGATAATGAGCAGTCTTTTATAGATGAGTGGTGGGCATGCAGTATCCATAATGATATCGCCGAATTGATTCTCTGTATTCTATAGAGAATCCCCTTGCATTGCTTTACTTCCCTCCCCCCAACCTCCTCCTCATCCTCTCCCTTTTCACGCTACGCACATGCGTATGTTGATTTTCTCTGTCATCCTCTTCGTCTGTTAACCCCGCCTTCCATTTTAGTACTCAAGCATTGAACATGTTCGCTCGTCCATTTTTCTCTCCCCTTCTCTTTCCTTAATAACAATCATTTACTGTACAACAATGGTGCATCCTTCATCATGCCTTTGGTCCGACATTTACGCACACTACATGCATTACAGCCTAAAAATCATTTAAACAAAAGCCAAGATTGGGGTATGTATACCAATTGGCAATTATCAACTATGGTGAAAATGGATGGCTAAGCAGCGCAAACAATGCATTTACATGCAAAGTACTGCTATCTACATACACACGCCCTTAATTGTAACATCCAACTGGGGCCATGTTCTCATGATCTCTTTGTCAATATGATAATGAACCATTATTAGTGAGCACCAGGCAGCATTGTTTGCCACTTACATGTATGTATATCGTATCCAATGTACGCTGTGCATTGGTTATCCTATTGAGGAATCGACGTTAAGGTTGCGTGGTAAAATAAAAAAGATGGAAGGAATAGGGCTAATGCCAAGCCAGGGGAAAAGGGACTATGCAATACAGGATCCTGGAGTCAACCAATATGCTGGCTAGCTGTAATTAGTTGGAATGCATCGTCAAAGGACGCGCATTTGTTGTATAGTTATACCTGTCAACGGTGGTCTAAAATTAAACTCATTGCATGTGTAAGCTGCAGCAAGCTTCCAACAGGAAAGATCTATGGTTATGCATAGGCTATTGTTGACGTGGTGGTGGGGTGTATCAAAAGTTGAAGGATACGAGGAGGAGGAGGAGGGATCATGTCAAGAATTGAGTTGGTTACTACCGAACGAAAAATTAGAAACAATGTAGTAGCGGAAGGACAAGGACATGACACAAGTTACAGAGAGAGGAGGCGACAAACGAATTTAAACTTTTTGAGAGCGAGAGTATCGGACAATGCGAAGCTGGTTGATCCACCGCAGCATAGGTTACTACAACATGCAATTGCTGATACAGCTTAGCTTCAAGTGCTATACGTGCAAAATGAAGCAACACCCGATTCGCGATGGGATAATTAGGAAAGCAGGTTGATACAAGGCAAAGATAAGCATCTTTCTTCGTTATGATGCAGACCTATCATGGTACAAGCGGCACACACAGTAATTTTTCTCTTCTGTTTCCTGTGTCCAATTACATCATGTACATCATCAGGGTTGAAACATCGGGGTTATGCGCTTGTCGAAAATTTGATGTTTTATTTGACAACCTCTCTCTCTCAGGGCATCACACACGCGTGCACAAACAACATCCTGACACACATTAATCTAACCCTTCTCGCTATTGAACATCCGTTTTCCTATTTCTTTGCTTTTTTTTTCTCTCCTTTGTGAGATTTTCAATTTCTCTTTCTTTCCTTGATCAACACCATGTCCTTACCGATCCGGGTTCCTACAAACACACATCCTTCTCGACTTCCTCCCAACTATGGTACAGTAGAAGGCGGCGGCGGTGGTGGTGGTGATGCTTCATCCTTTCGGAGTGCTGTGGAGTCGTTTACTGGATCATATTCTCGGGCGTCCATGTTGTATGTTGCCGAGAACTTGACGGTGTCGAGTCATCATGGTAGTATCCATGGTGATCTATTGGAGCGAAATGATACTCAGCATGATGATGTTGATTCCACACACAAGCTTCTTGTTGGTCGCACGTACTCTTTTCCTTCTCTTTCTCGTCACACAACAGTTGCCTCAGCGCTCGTTGACATTACTCAGGACGTATCAGCTCGCTCGACATTTCTCCAATCGGTGTTCAATGCAGTCAATGTGCTAATCGGCATTGGTATTCTGGCACTTCCACTTGCGTTTCGATGCGGTGGATGGCTCGGTGGTCTATTTACATTCTTATTCTGTGCATTGGGAACCAACTACACTGCCAAGATCATTGCACGGTGCTTGGATGCATCCCCTGGGGCATCGACCTATGGCGATATGGGAGCAGCAGCATTCCATGAAGGTGGACGAGCCTTTGTGAGTAGTGTCTTTATCGTTGAGTTGATGACCATCGGCATTGCAATGGTTGTGTTACTTGGTGATGGAATCCAATCATTTTGGCCTGAAATTGATCTCCTGACGGTGCGTCTATTATCATTCGCCATCCTTACACCCACCATGTTCTTGCCTATGCGCCAACTCGCTATCACAAGTCTCATTGGTATCGTTGCATGTGTTGCTCTCTTGTTGACGGTGGCTGTGGATGGATTTACGAAATACAATCGGCCTGGAAGTTTATGGGAACCCATGGTACAAAAGACGAAACAACATGTGTCAAAGAAATGTGTAACATTAACACTGTTCCTCCCCCCCCTGTAGCCAACGGAAGTGGTTCCTTCGGATCTATGGAATGTGCCACTTGCTTTTGGTCTCGTGATGGCTGGGTTCAGTGGACACGCTGTTTTTCCATCGATTCTAAGGGACATGGAAGATCCAAAGCAATACGATCGTATGGTGGATATTGCGTATGTGGTTACAGCAGCGGCATATGTGCTAATGGCTATTATGGGTTATTTGATGTTTGGACAAGAGACTATGCAGGAGGTGAGTGCATAATGACGACATAGACAACAAATGGCTCATACACAACCTTGATACAGATCACGCAAAACCTCGCTGCAACTCCCGGTTATTATCCCATCGTGACCAACATTGGTATTGGGCTTATGATCCTCACCCCATTAGCAAAGTACGGTCTGATGCTGAATCCAGTGAATCTAACATGGGAGCTATGGTTACTCAATAAGCCAGTGGTCGACGCTTGGTGCAAGTTTCACACTTGGAGAAAACACGTGATCACTGCAACAGCACGTATCCTTACTAGTGCAATCATTGTCTACATTGCCACGGTCTTCCCAGGCTTTGATCGCGTTGTGGTATGTTTATATTCTCCTTTCTTTATACAAGGCCACTAACATTACGATTATAGTCGTTGCTAGGCGCTCTATTCAGCTTTGGTATCTCGGCAATCTTTCCATTACTTTGCTACCGCAGGCTTTTTGCAGGCACCATCCCATTTTGGCAATCAGTACTCAACAACATCATTCTTTTGATATCCACCGTTATGGCCATTCTCGGCACCGTTTGGAGCTTCATTCCAAATAACTTGTAAAGTCGTAGCAATCATAGCCCATATTTTGCTTATACCAGCTCATTCTATCATCCACTTTGATCTTGTATCTTCAACGCATTTCCTCCCATTCGTCACTGCTTCAGTTCTCTTTTTAATTACACTTTGACTGTGTTGAAAAACAAAAGCCTTTTGTACACGAAAATGAGGAATATAAGAATTACTATATAGAATCCACAAAGCATAGCCGCTAGCGCTACTATAGGAAAAAAGGGAGAGAGAGAGAGAGAGAGAGACAAAGAAAGAGAGAGACAAAGAAGTATAATGGATACAAGAGCGAGGCGATATGCGTGCGTGCGAGTGTTTGTTTGTTGTGGCAATCGAAACAATGGGAACGGGGGCGACAATAGAAAGGGAGGAGGTTGAACAGGATATGTATAATAAGGCGGTGTCAAAAAGAAACATGGAGTATGTCGTAGATATGTGAGTGTGTGAGTGTGAGTGTGTGTGCGTTGTGTTCAATGTACGTATGTGTTGTAGCCGCTCTCTAGATTTCCCCTTGTTGTTCTTCTTCAGGGCGATATTCTTTGGCAAGCTTTGCATCCTCTTCCTCTTTCGTTTTGACGGCGCGAACGTAATCGTGATTGACTGGTGATTTGTTGTCATTCTTGGCCGTGGTGGATGCGTTGCCATCACCAGAAATGTGTATGCTCTCAAATTGCGATGAGAAACCTTCTGTCCACTCCTGATTCGAATCGCTGCTAGTAAAATCACCAAAAGGATCATCATCATCATCACCATCTTCTTGAGTGTTTACTGGAGCTGTGGTAGTATTCTTGGTTGTCGCAGCGCTTTTGTCATGTTGTTCATCCTCTTCATCCACCTCTTCATTATCACGAATATGGCTCTGTGTTCGATGAAGCATGCTTGTTTGGGGTAATCCTGCAAATCCTCGAGACCAGTCAGCTGGAACACGACCCGATTCCTTTTTCCAAATGAATAAAAATCAGTCAAAGCGCACACCTAAGCATTATACTACATCATCACTCACCTCATCATCATCACTGCCGTATTCCTCATCATCATCAAGGTCGTCATGCGCACCTCCCATATGACCCTCATTCGCACCCATACCAAAAGCAGTGCCATAAGAGTATTCACGATCAAAATCATCACGTCCCCTATGAAACACAACGTCAATAAACCAACAGCCCTCTGCTTGCTAATTGTAATTACTTACGTGATCCAATTCTCGGTCTCTTCATCTTCATCGTCGTCGAGATCACCATCTTGTTGACTCAAGTAACGTGAATACTACCAGACAAATTAGCTTGCGTATGTCACAATTTCGTCACACATGTTACACACCTGTCTTGCTGTAACACCATCCATGGGTTCCTCATCTTCTTCGTCAGTGGCTGCACCATCCAATCCATCATTAGGGCGGGGACCAGCGAGAGGTAAACGATCACGTTCCTTGGTTTCCTTGAGCTCATTGTTGCAATATGCGTTCCAACTCTCCAAATCGATGTCATCTTTGACCTGGCTCAACACAGCTTCAGGATAGCCTTCAAATAGCTTGATGATTTCATCGGCAATGAATGTCAAATGACCCATGTATCCCAAACGCATTCCTTTCGGCTTAGCACTATATACGGATATCCGATAAGCTCAACACATTATCCGCATAATTCATATTGCCTTTTTACGTACCATTCTTCATCATTTGCCTTTTGAGCTTGCACCATGCGATCAGTCAATTTGCCATCTTTGAACACCGAAATTGCCAAATTACGATTGTAACCCTTATCCATGCGGCCATTGAAGATCTGGTGCAACATGTCATAAATCACATAGTGCAAAAAGTTGTTCCATGGGAAGACAAAGAATAGATCCTATATCAACATTGTTAATAATGCAGATCAAACGCAGGCATATATTAGCACTTACGACACATGTTGGCATGACACGGTTTTCCACAAATTGCATTTTGAGGTAATCACCAATCGTTGTCCCATCTGCATCTTTGGTCGTATCAGATTCTTGCTTATCCTCAGGTTTGACAGCATCGGATTCCTTGGGCGATTCTTCCTCCTTCTCATCCTTCTCATCCTCGTCTTCTTCAGCTTCACCCTCTTCATCATTAAGGTTGGACATGTTGGAGCAATGCAAAAGTTCGGCAAAGAGCTCACAGATCTTGAGACGTTCGAATCCAAGGGGCATCTGCTCACCCAATGTTGTACGCATAGGTGCATTCTATTGCATGATGAAAAAGGGTTATTAGCATATACCTTCATTTAGCCATAGTAACACTTACCACAGACCGAGGCTTGATTAGCAGCTGGTTAAAATCACCCACACGTTCGGCTAGGACTTTGAGCATATCAGCAAGGGATACTGAGACTTGTCTAATGGCTGCGTTTGCACCATATCCATAGGCACCATTCAACATAGGATCATTATCCATGTCGCTGTAATATCAAATCAGTAAGCTGCTTGCATAAACATCCGTTTTCCCATCCTAAAATACACACCTGTTGTTGTGGCGGATCAAGTCGATAACAATGGTGACACCGTTGATCAACGTGGAAGTAGAATTGGGCGCCTTTGAATCAAGCATGAAGTCGGCTAACTTACGAATCACCCGTTCACTAATATAGCTTATGGTTAGATGGTATATCCAATCCTTGCTCACTTTTCATATACCTCTTCAAGTCAATGATAAGGTCGTTCAAACCGATACTTGGTGATTCCATTAAGCTCGTTTGAGACATTCGAATGATTTCACAAATGCATTGCTGGGCTACTGAATGTTCCTATTAAGAAAGCGGTTAACATTTGTAGCAATAAAAGATGATGATCAAGAAGGTTACCTCACTATCCAAGTAAGGATCTAATCTATCCACCAGATTATCGAGTAATCCATGGTCACTCAACCACTGCGTCATTGAGATGTTTTAGTGCCTTTTTGTTCCTTTGTGTTGCTCACATCACACACACATGATTTACCTGTACGATTCCTTTTCCTTCTGACAATTCTTCCACACGCACCAACGTCAACAAAAGATCCATAATGGCTGATGTTTGCAAATGGCCGAGAATCTGTTCCAGGTGCTCAGGCTTGGATTTGATGAAATCAAGGACCTAAAAGGAGATGCATTGTATGTGAATAATGAAAATATCCCGAACAAGACCTCCCTCCACCATGATCATCATGATACTCACTTCACCGGTCCGTTTGGTCAAAAACACGCTAATGGTCTTACAAAAATACTGTGCTTGAAGGGAATCGAGACAAGCTTCTTCATCATTGTCGTCTTGTTCTTTTGAGTCATCTGCCGCGCGTCTTCGAGGAGGAGCAGGACGATTTAAAAAGGTCCAAAAAGATTCGAGCATCCCCTTGTTCTCCAATACAACGGCATCCACGATCTGAGGAATCTCGCACGCCATAATTTCACATGCAAGGAAAGGATATCTATGGTCATGGTCATCCAAACCGTATCTCGAAACAGTCGATAAATGGGATGCTCACTTGAACCGTCGGCTTTCATCAAGATCCGTTGCCGTGATATAAGTCAATAACTTGTTCAAGTTCTCTGTCTTCGATAAGCTAAAGAAAGAAAGGAAAATAAAAGTCAAGGATTGTTATGCAATGGACGCTGCTGCATCTAGCACAGAATGAGATTGAAGCGATGCTGTTAAAGTGAGCCATGGGGGTGAACCATGAAGGAATAAAAAGGATACAAGTCGATGAGTTTTTGGTTGTGCGACTTTGCTTCTTGCAAGAGATCTTCCTCTTCCAGAATATCTTCGAGCTCAATGTCTTCACGATCGAGTAGAGTGTCGATGGCTGAGGGATTATGGAAACCGAAACGCCAAAACATGATGGGGTGTTTGAGAAAGAGTGAGAGACCACCAAAAGGCGCGATAGTTTGGTTATACGTACAATACCACAACCGGTCGTTTCCACTCCGCTATAGCTCTCTGACTATTTACTACACCATTGCGCCATTTACAAGTAACGAATGCTTCAAGTTTATGTTCATTCTTAGTATTTCATGATGATGATACAAAGCACCATTGATATCATTGTTGACGGAGCTATTCATTGTTCATGATCCTTTGTTCACCTTTTCCCCTTTATTTTATTACCTCTGCTAGTGTCTTTATAATGACGTTGCAGTCTTTTGTAATTGTTCTCTAAAGAAACAACCAATAACACCAGCTAGTCTTCTTCAACTTGTATTAAAAAGGCATCAATACGTTCCCTGTTGTGAATCTTTAACGATGTTGGTATCCTTTTCATGGTTTCCCCGAGGACCATGATGATAAACACCTACATTTGAAACCATATATAGAATGCGGTAAAGAAAACAAGATGGCAAGTAACATGATGTTACAAGGGTGCAAGCAAGAAATAGATGCCGGCTTTGAGAAGGTTACACGAAATATCGATGGCCGCATTGCATGTGTGATACTAGAGGGTACATGTAAACAGTACACTTTGCAATTTTATTCATTGGACGCCATGTATTAGGTGCATACGTAAAGTGCTTCGCTATCATCCAAATAACATCCGTAGCCAATATCGACATCATGGTATAGGGAAAAACAGCAGTAATGATTGCAAGCACACCTTCACTCGATTACCAGCTAATCAAATGACTCAATGCTATCATCGAATCTTGTCTTTCTTCATTGGATAGAATATGCGTTTTCGATTTGGTCATAAAACCGGGTTTGAATGAAGGGGCATGCTCAAATAGCAAGCTGCCAGATGTTCTTAATTCAAAAGCCATCATTGTAGTGGTAGAATCTTATGCCAAATGCATTTCAAGCGGTACAAGGAGAGATTTTAAACAATAGGAAGCAGAAAGAACTGCTTTATTTATGTACACAGCACGCAAAGACTGGCAGACGTGCTTAGATACGCATCAACTTGATTATTGTTTTGTATACTACTCTATCGTTGTCGCCCTCTTCTTGGCTTTCCCTCGAATAGGTGCATTACTATTGTACGTCGTATATTCTATAAGATAAAGTACCCACTACGGTTGTGTTGTCTTTTCATTCGTCGGCTTTGACTAGCCCTGCTGCTTTGGCACACGTCAAATGGAGCAAATGGCCATGTCGATGCTCTCGTACAACAATGCTATCGCCCAGGTATTGATGGCACTTGTGGCATTCAGATTGCGGATCCACATAGATCGGACCAATGTCCTTATAAAGATCGATTACTTGGCTATTGGCCTATCGCAAATCCAAAAGTTTATTAGTATATGATGACACAACCCACCTGTATCCCCTATCCTAATGTTACATACCATGACATTTTCACCACGACTTAAGCTAACAACGATTTGGCTGTTGCGATGATCATGCAGCGAGCGACGAAGGGATCGAATGAGAAAATCTTGCAGCATTTGAATTGGCCAGTCATCCGGTATTAAGTCTAGCACCTATGGTTGGATTGATTAGCACCCTTGTTATTGGTAAAAAGAATGGAAAGCATACCTCGAGAATATCCAAGTAGTAGCCTTGAGTAGTAAGGAGATGCATAGTACGGACCAACATGAGTTGACTACATAAAGACTCTTGTGTCAGCACATTAGGTTGCACAACAATGAAAAAAGGTTACCTGTCTTTGATGCTTAGGTATGTTTGGAGTAGCATCGAAAATAGTGCCCTTCGTTCATCGTTTTCCTCTGGTAATTCCGGCAAAGGTATAGCATCTTCCTCCTGTTGCTTTTTCTTGACCACTTGTTTTTTGCTCAACGAAGATGTTCTTGCTGGTGTAACCGATTCCTGCATAATAATTGCAGGTACAGTCCCTGTGCTTTGTCCCTTGGTTACACAATACGTCTCAGCACCGACGAAATCACCAAGATCGTGAATCAATATCCGTAATGCATCTTCATGCCTTTTCATCTACATAAATCAGCAAACGTTAGTTACTATTATCCTCCACGTCACTCTATCGAATACTTACCCTCCCATAAACGATTACTTTTTCGATATCCAAAGGCCCAGCCTTTTCAATAGCCTCCAACAAAGCTCCAGGATCATACAATTCTGATCGTTGCAGCAAACGAATAAGCAACAGCCGTCTGCGAACCAAACTCGATTGCTGATGTGCGCCCAAGTATCCAACAAAGGTCATTTCATTCTCGCTGACATTGGATGGATTCACTGTTTGCTTGTATTCCTCAACCAGCTCATGCAATGTATCTTTGGATACGGCTTCCAACTCCAGAATGACGGATCGCACGTACGTGAGCGCTAATCGTGTATGGTGTTTGGGTTCTTTGCTCTTGCGTGTGGTGACAAGGTAATCCAAATAAGAACGCACTGCTTCATCTCCAAATTGCTCAAGCTTCTCCAAGATTTCAGAGGAATCCATCTCCTTGGCACGTGGTGATCGTACAAAAATCTCAACACCATCGACAGGATTTTGCTCCGTAACCCACCAAGCATATTGCATTAACGCATGCATAGGCAAATGCTCGGGGCTGATATCACGTAAAAGCAGTCGTTTGATTTGCTCCAAACCATTGGTAAAGCGGGTATCTGGCAACTCGCCCATGTAAATCTTGGTCAGCGTCTCAAGCACCTTCTCATACATATGCTTTGATTGATACAAGATGGATAGGGCGTAATATTTCTATACCATACATGTTATTATCCCATTCTCCAATTCCATGCATGCTTGTAAAGTACCTTGGATCGAATCAGCGTATTGACACAATCCTCTAGTGAGCAATCATTGGGTCGTTCGAGTAGCCGGTGTATCGAATCATCTTGGTCGTTTGTCACAAAGAGCTTGAGAAGTGCTGTATCAATTGCCTAATTAATCCTCAATGAATACCTCAATCTTATGCACGCTTATGAATCAATTTACCTTGCACACTGTATCTCCTTTACCAATCAACATCCGGCGCTTCCCCCTCTCAATCGTTAGATACTTTTCAAGCGCCTCGCGAGCATTGCGTAACAAAACACGTCGTAGTTCCATTGTTGGGCTCGACCTCTGATGATCCTCTTCCAAATGTGGTGAATAATTCCTTTCCATCGTCTTGGCGACTGTGATTTTTTTCAATAAGCACAACTTGCATACAATAACATGTGAAGATCAACTCACCCATATCTTCAATCCTTCCAGTACGTTCCAATAGACCATACACGCCATCAAATAAAAGGACGTAAGGTGACTCGTTGACACGACTTGATGCTGCCAAATCACTGAAAAGATGGATCACCATGCGAGGATCAATGTTTCCTTTGGATAGAAGGGTGAAGGCGTCTTCAAAAACTGTTTCTTGGAGCAAAAGTAGGCCTGCCTTCTGATAGATGTAATCAAGCTCGGATTGCTAGAAGCAGTACACATCCATTAGATTAACCCATTATTGCTTTGTTCCTATTACTTACCATACGCTCCACGTAAACGTTGTTTTCGGTTGACATGGTATTCCTTGCTTGATCCGCCATATCCAATGCCTCTTCCAATCTTCGATCATCCAACAAATTGTCCACTTGCACCACGAGGGGGGTCACGATTTGTGCTGCCACACTGTCACGACCATGAATCAAAATCCTTGCAGGTACGGTAGAGAATTTTGACACTTGGCGTTTCAAATCACTCTCGAGCTCCTCATCATTGATGTGCGCATAGGGTCGTCTTCGTAACCTTTCTGCCATTGATTCCATCCACACCTTGATACCATGACCAAATGACATGCCACGTGCTTCGAATGATTGTGGAAAAGTGATTACTTGCAGTCGACGCTGATCAAGAATGTTGTGTATCTCGATTGTGCCGTTACGTAACAGTGCTGCGATGTAAGGGAACTCGACGCATAAGGCTTTTGGATAGCTAGCCCATTGAAGTGTACCACGAATAGGAGATCCATGCGAGTCGGTAAAAATGCCTATTGTCGTTTGTGCACATAGCTCTGGTCAAGGATAAATACTTTTCACATGCATACACATTCCCTCTGAATCATAATAAAAAGGATATCATTTGATGGAGATGATATACTCCCACTGACAACCAGGAACTCATCGGGCCGAATGACAGTGAGCACAGGTTTTGGTACGGTTTGTGAACCAGCGCCAAGCATTGTAGGTGAAGAGATGGTGACTTGAGGCGTCGGGATCAAAGGTGTCGGATTCGGCATAAGCAAATTGATCAGCTTGTAATGATTATAGTCTGCAAGGCAAAGGTTTCTTCCATGACGTGCCAAAGTGATAGCTCCATCTGGTAGTGGCATTTCCTGTATGTAAAAGAAGTGAGTCCCTGCATGAGCCTTATGCTTATTCAAGTAATACCTTTTTGATTTGTACAAGTTCGCCGACCTTGTATATCTGCAGGACGCGTCGCTTCACGACACATAACTCAATGGTACCATCCTCTCCAATACGACCTTCTTCAGCGACATTATGGGCAAAGCATGACACTCCTTTGATATGTGGTATCGAGGATACGGGAATGGGAGCAAATGCAGGTAACCAGTAAAAGCTCAAGGTAGAATCTATACACAATACAAGCAAATCAGCATATCCCATCACATGCATAGCCATCAACCCAACACATGATCGTTACCACAAAGCACAACGGCCTTTGATACTTGGGGTATAACAAGAATTCGCTCGATAGATTTGCGACCAAAGCCAAGATTGATCTTGTTCTCAAGTCGAGAAGCATATGGAACCTGTTGAATATCATGCCGATCCCCATCAGTTATCACCAATGTATCCATCACCAAGACATACACACACCTCGCCGGGTTTGGATTGTTCTTCGAGTATAAAGTGCAATACACAACCATCCGATGTGCCGAGATAGAGATTGGTGTCTGATAATAAGCATCCCAGGGTAAGTAAAGCGTATCATGCTGTACAAGAAGTGTCGTCTTACCCCAAGCTTCTACCGCGTCAATGGTGAAAGATGTCGAGGCAGCGTTGCTTGCTGAAGGCAATAGAGTGTTGAATCGTGATGGTGGACTTGGTGGCAAGGATGGGTTGACATCAGGAGGAGAGCCAACGGGTGAAGGTGCAGTAGGACGTCGTGTAAAGAAGGAAGTGGGTTGTTGTTGTTGTTGTTGCTGTTGTATTGAAGCATGCTGCTGATCGACTACACCATTAGCTGACGGCAGAATGGTCTGCGAGGTGTATGGCGTAAAGGGCATTTCTTGCTTCTCTCTTCTTCTTCAAACCAATGCCTCGAATCACGATATGCTGCAGAAAAGAAGGTGCAAGTCTCCACACGCACGCACAGCACACACACCACCAAGCACATGGCCTTGCATTAAGCTTCCGACATAAAAGCTGCTGCTGCTGCTACTCATCACCCCGCACCGGCATTTCACTGCAACGCCTCCTTTCATATTTTACTTTACTGTGTACAAATACTCTTCTCAGCAGACCTTTCCTTTGATGTAACGTGCTCTCCACTCATTCCCTGTACAGAATGGTTTCCCAGAATGGACCGGGGATCCGCATTGATTATATAAAAAGGGTGCCCACCACCCACACAGACGACGCACACACACACATACGTCCGTTACCCCCCACTCTTTTATTCACATACAATGAACACCATCGATAATACACATTCCAATGATAAAATACGTCGTTTTATTTTACGTCTCGAAGATACTCTTGTCTGTGGTATGGTTGCCCTGGATACCTTGCCTCTTCCCTTTCCACTTATCAACGCAACACATAGCTCTTATTGAACGAGCTCAGTTCGCACACAACCACTCCCTATACATCCCGGGCGCTTTAGACTTTAACAATATGACTGGAAAACGCAGCTTTTTGGAATACTTTTTATGGGAAACAGAAAAGATGCATGGTAAGAATTCATCACCAACATCATCACAACCAGCGATCCTCAAAATGGATTGATGCGATCCAAACTTCTTTATATAGCCAAAGCAAGACGTTACGTGACGTAAGGATACAATACATAATGCGTTGAAGTGAATATCAATCATTCATATATAATCATCAACGTAGTCCTGGAGAGTACTATCCATTTACATCACCATTACCTGCACCCACAGTCAAGTTGCCACCATCACTTTTCGAATACCCATCATTTTTGTGGCCCAACGACGTCAACATCAATGATACCATTATGGATGTATATACCGAATCCATTGTACCTACCATATGCGCCCAAGCGGATGGCGATGATGATGATGACAATGATGATGGTCAATATGCAAACTCAGCGATGCGGGATATTGAGTGTTTGGAGGCACTAAGTCGACGTATTCATTATGGTAAGCGACACAAGGCTTGCAAAAGTTTTTTTTTGTAAAGTCGGGTTTTCTCCCCGTGATCTATAACGGAAGCTGACGTGATGTTGTGCATGCTTGTGTTAGCGAAATTTGTCGCTGAGATGCGGTTTCGGGGAGATTCAGAAACGTTCGCTCGTTTGGCTCGTGCTTATGACCGACAAGCAATAGCCGATCGGGTCACGGATCGATCTATGGAGAAAAAAATGCTACAACGACTTGGAAGAAAGGCACTTGTTTATGGCCAAACATTATTGGAGGAAACCGGAAAGAGAAACCGGTTACCAGCAGCGCAGCAAGTAGTCCAAGTATACGAGCAATGGGTGATTCCATTGTCAAGGAAGGTCGAGGTGGACTATTTGATCACACGAGGTCTCGCATATTGTACCGAGTAACTTTGTATAAAATAAACAAACCTTATCCTTTTCATACATATACTGTGCAACCGCTTACGATAGGAGAGAATCAATGCGTGAACATATTGTGTGTATGTACGAGGGCGGAAAGTGACACAATCAAACAATACATCCGAAACCTGGGCTCAACACGCATATACGCTCACTTCAGGTGCTCTCAACGTCCTATCTTATTATACATACAAAAGTCCTTCTTTGTTCTTGGTCTTTCTATTTTAATTCTTTTAACTCAGCATCATCACATCTACTTCTTTCCTTATGCAGATGTCACCAGCGCATGAACATCAACCAATTTCATCCGCACCTATGCCATTATCACCGATCATGACTGAAGCTGCTTTTGACAACTACCTTCCACCCAACCAACTACCTCCACCACCTCCTCCACCGCCTCCTACTCAACAACAACGCACTTTGTTGCGTGATCGAGGTGCACGCCATCCACCACGCATACCTCGTTTACGACGTCTATCTCCTCCTGACACCGATAACATGCGATTTCGATGCTTATCAGATGACAGGGTGGTGGATATGGATCGACTGTGTGGCGAGAAAACTAATATCCCTGGGCAAAATCAATCGGTTTTGGAATTTGATGTAATGGAGCAGGATGGTGGGCAATATAGGTAACGACAACAATGACTTTTGTTAATGCGTTCAACGTGCTAAGCAAATCTTGCTAATACCCACTTTCAGTGCTTCTTATGGCGTCAGCAATATGCTGAGAAACGATAATTCAGTATTCTGGTTGGTACAAGAAATGCAATACATCGTTCAAAACATTGATGGCTGTACTTGAATTTGATGTAGTTCTGCAAGGAGTGGTACGATCAATATCCTTTTACGTTATAGAGGGAAGCGGAAAACAGACCAAAGTTGTGTGATATCGCAAATCGTTATCAAGGCACCCCAATACGGGTAAGCACCACCTAAACGCAACAACCAACGTTTGCAACTTTTCTTTTTTACTCATCTTCGTATCATGCACCACCACACGTTTTAGATTTACAGCACCCTGTGAGTATCATCCTGCTACCCAAGAAGCCTGCTACATGTGTGTGATATTAACCTCGCTATGTATCTATGTAGGCAAGGATGGGATGGTGTTTGTGTCTCGGTATCCTATTGATGTGGAACGTAAGTAAACAAACAGGGTGATGGTTGTCTTTGTAAATGTAACTCGTCCAATAATTGATATGGGTTCATTATCCCAGGTACACGAATATTCGATGACTTTACGGCATCAGATTACGAGCATTACATGAATAACAAACCTGATGACGATTTGGATCCAGTGGGATGGTTTTCCCTTGACAATGAGAGGCATGTTGTTATTCCCGTGGAACATCGGTAAGTAAGATGAAGGGTGCCCCATGACTCATTATCTACCAGAGATTCTCTTGTTGCATCATCGTGATGACTGACATAATCCCACCCACATCATAGGTCGGCCAAGTATGTGCTAGTAAAGTTGATCCGATCGGAATTGGAGGTGGATAATATCGATATCCAGTATCTTGGTTTTGTGGGATACTCGGGAGCACGTTCATTTGCCAATGCTAGGATTTGCTAAAAAAGAAAGAAACGTAATCTTGTATGCATGCATTGTTATTAATCAGTGAATGAGGAGATATATGCAATGTCTGAGTGAGGGGTTATTGTGCATGAGTGAACTATGCAACAAGCTCAGCCGCTGTTGTCTAGCTACGTGCATGAAATGGTCATTTGTCAATTCCAAGCAAGGTGAGAGAAAAAGTAGGATGATGCTGATTTTGACATGGGAAGTAAATAGATCCACACACGGTTGATTCCGCTTCCCAGCGGGTCCCGTAACCACTGCTTTTGTTCCTTTCCAATAGAAAATGCAAAAACGGCCTGCTGTGTGTTGCGTTACACCAACCCCACACCCGCGTCTCTTGCTCCAATTTCCCATTCTTGTGCCACAGCCGCCATCGAACGCATATAAATAAGCAAAGCATCCGCTCGGCACTACTTGGTTTATTACACGCCTTGGTCTCACTCTCCCACGATGAGGTTCCTTTGCCGCTCTTTGCTGTTGGCAGCAATTGTTGTCGTTACGACAGCAACTAAACAAGGTCAACACACTAATAAGACATTTCCTCGTTGCGATTCCCCTATTTACTGCGAAGGCCCTTTACTCAAGACTGTGCAACTTGCAAAGTTGTATCCTGATTCCAAGACCTTTGTTGATAAGGTATGTGTGGAAGAAAAGAGAAAGAGAGCAAAAAGGAGTACATATGAAAACAAGGAAAACAAACAATATGCTGATCTAGTCATTGTTGCTTCACTGCCCCCACTTGTTTTTTCTTTATAATAGCCTACCTCTAAACCTCTCGATCAAGTCATTGAAGCGTTTGAAGCCATGGGTGATAACCCATCGACGGACTCCATCCGCAACTTTGTTGATGCCAACTTTTTGGAGGAAGGTACCGAACTTCAACCGGTCAACCTTAGCGTCAAAGCCGATCTCCCTTTGTTGGACAAAATTGACGACTTGACGTATCGTGGATGGGCATCTCAAATACACCAATATTGGTCCAATCTCACCTTTAAGTTTGACCTGAACCAACTTTGTGATGGATGTGTGTCAAGCATACTTCCTGTAAAGCGGCCATTTGTTGTCCCTGGGGGTCGATTCCGGGAATTCTATTATTGGCAAGTCTCATTGTCTTGTGTGAAGATGCAATACCCCTGGAACTAACTCATTTTGCAAATACTTACAGGGATAGCTATTTTGTGATTCGTGGCTTGCTTGTCAGTGAGCTGCATAATGAAGCCAAAGACATGTTACTCAACTTTTTGGACTTTGTTGAAGAATACGGCTTTATTCGTAAGCATGCATAAAAAGAACAACATTATGATACGATACTAATCGAGGATCGATGTCTCTTGGTAGCCAATGGTGCACGTATTTACTATTTGAATCGATCCCAACCACCGTTTTTGGTAGAGATGATCAAGGCATACTACGAAGCTACACACGACGACGACTTTATCAAGCAAGCATTACCAACACTTGACAAGGAGTACTCGTTTTGGATGGCCAACAAGAGCATTGATGTGAATGGTCACACCTTGAATCAGTATCGTGTACTTAATAGCTCACCAAGACCTGAGTCATATTTGGAAGACTATACGACAGCTCAAAATGTGACGGATAAAGCACGGTTGTACGGCAACCTAGCTACTGGTGCCGAAAGTGGATGGGACTATACTTCTCGGTGGTTTCGATACAAGGATAGCCAAGATGGCGACTACTTGTTGAAGTCGCTCAATAATGATCACATTGTGCCCGTTGACTTGAACGCGTTGATGTGGAATATGGAAGCAACTTTGAGTGAGTGGCATACATCAAGTCGCAAGAAAAAGTACTACAAGCGCCAAGCAGCAAAACGCATTGAAGCCATGAAGGAGGTGCTATGGGATGAAGAGGATGTTTCCTTTTACGACTACAACATCACAAGCAATGGGCTAAATCGTGAATTCACACCAGCTACCCTCTATCCATTTTGGCTTGGAGCCCATCATCGTCTCAGCAAAGAACAAATGGGACAAGTGCTTGCACAAACTCAGCATTGGCTTGAAGCCTATCCAGGTATCTTAACAACATCCGTATACAATACATCTCAACAATGGGATTTCCCCAACGGCTGGCCACCATTACAATATATTGCATTGCGTGCAATGCGAAACGTGTACGACGTAACCAAGGATTCGAGTATCGTCGATATGATACATGCATTGGCGGACCGATACCTTGCATCCGCTTTTTGCTCGTGGTACGAAACAGGAGGCTTTGTCCCTGGGATCCTGCAACAGATGCCCAATCAAACCGATGTTGGTCACATGTTTGAGAAGTTTGAAGTTACCGTTATTGGTGATGCTGGTGGAGGTGGAGAGTGTAAGTAAAATAGAAAGTGCTACAATGAATACCTCTTATTGATTCCTTTCATCCATTATAGACACCGTTCAAGCAGGCTTTGGATGGACTAATGGTGTGGCTTTATGGATCTTTGATACGTTTTCAAGTGGGTTCTCTGCACCCGATTGCAGTGATCGAGCAGATCTCGTGTTCCCTCTTTCATCTTAATCAATCAACCACTCCTTCTCTCCCCCCCTTCCGATTATACACATGATCATTATTGTATTCTTCTATTCCTATCAATCCTTTTTTTGCTGTGAAAACAATGATCCATTTTTCATTCCAATGTCACTTGAATGGCCCGTGCACGTGGCGGTGTCTTTTGAGCACCAACCGGAGATGCGATGAGTTCACCTTATACCTCTTCTACCTTCCACCACCTAGCAACGAATGTCTTTTCACATCAACTCGCCTTTGCCTTCCAGCTTACAATGTAAATACAATCTCTGCATCCATGTAGCCCATTCACTGAATAGAGCAAAACAGCCGAATGTCGTAAAGCAGCAAGGATCCTGAACAGCTTTTGTGGTACTTCTTTATTGTTGTTGGTGGTCATTAACAGAACTACCTGGCTAATGTGTCTCTCCTTATAGATCCAGCTGAAGAACTCGAAGGCATTATCCCTCCAGGAATCTTGAATGAGGCGAAAGGGCTTGCTATATACTCGGTACTCAAGGGCGGGTTTCTTTTCTCGGCACGTGCTGGATCTGGGCTTGTGATTGCAAGGTGAGATACCTCTTGCTTTTGCTTGACTAAGGGCTACGTACTCATGGATATCTTTTCTTTTAGATTATCAGATGGTTGTACGTAGTATTGGGGAACAAGAAGGAATGGCAATTTGAAAGGGGGTATCATTGACTGATGTGGTTATTCAATAGCATGGAGCGCCCCAAGTGCCATTGCAACTGGAGGTCTTGGAGTAGGTGGCCAAATAGGTAAGCTATAAGGTTATCCATTCATTGATGATGAATACGCTAAAGTTAAAGTATAGGTGCCGAGTTGACCGATTTTGTTATGGTCCTGAATACCACTGCAGCTGTTGAAACCTTTATGCATCATGGTAGCATTACTCTTGGTGGAAATGTATCAGGTAATGATGATGATGATGGGGTGTTCCTACATCTATTAGATATCTAATGATATGGTATGTTGTAGTCGCTGCTGGTCCTTTGGGTAGAAATGCCGAGGCGTCAGGGACAGCATCAATCAACAGCGTAGCAGCCGTCTATTCGTACAGCAAAACACGTGGCCTTTTTGCAGGGATCTCTGTTGAAGGATCTGTGATATTGGAGCGTTCAGATGCCAATGCCAAAATGTATGGACGTCGAGTATCAACTTTTGAATTATTGAATGGGACCATCCCTCCTCCACCACAAGCTGATCCTTTGTACAAGGCACTACAATCCCGTATATACTCGCGTACATCAAGCACTACCCGTAGCACGACACATAGCAACACCAGCATGGATAGCACAGACATTATGCATCGCGCCGCAGTAATAAGTGGAGGTTATGGAGGAGGATACAATCAGCAACCACAAAGTCGACCACTTCAAGCACGTGCATTATTCAAGTTTGCAGGCGAGCAAGCAGGCGATTTGGCATTTGAAAAGGGGGACATCATCACCATTATCAAGAGCTCGGAAACTCAACATGATTGGTAAGTGGATAGTGGGATGTATACATTATCCAAGGTCACTTGGTCACTTATCATCGCTTTATCCAGGTGGACTGGCTCAATTGGAACACGCATTGGCATTGTAAGTGGTAATCATTTGGGCTACGGGTGGATGCGTACTAATCGAATGCCTTACCTAGTTCCCCGCAAATTTCGTTCAGCTGCTTTAAACGTAGCTCCCCATGGACAATAGCATCTTTTTGATATCCCTATCTATAGTAGTGTTGATCATCATCATCCATTCTTCTTAATAATCTACCTGCCGATATAAAATTAATAAAACGTTGCTACCCAGTAGTTGTCGAGGTTTATATCTGAAATGGATAAAAAACACAAAGAGCAATACACCCTACTGCATTCTTGACCTATCAATACGTATGTTGGATTGGCATGCATATACTCAGTAGACATACAGAGACCATATTGACGTTTGATATGATGGCCTAAGAACGTATCACTTCCTCTAATTCCTTAACGAATCAGCTTTCATGAATAGGCAAGCATATAAGATGGTGCTAAAAGATGCAGTGACAAGTATTGATTTATATTTTTGGGAGAGGGGTTCGAGTTAAAAGAGGATTTTGGGAGAAGTAATGACATAAAAATACAGAGAAGGGGTCTGAAGGATATACATATAAAGAATCTAATATGATGATGGGCAAAAAGAGGGACTAAGAAGATGGGGATGTATACGGATTTTAAGAGATGGGCTATCGTTTATGGACTTGTAATGGCATTTGCATTGTGATGGTGGTCGATTTGGATGGTTTGCACCTTGTCAAGTAAGACGAGCGAGTTTTCCAGCACGTTGTCAAAGTATGCAATGGTTTTCTCGGCATGATGTATCTTATGTTCCATTTCGCTACGCTTCTTTTCCTTGTTCTCGATGGCTCTGACAAGTCGATTCTGGATTTCCCATCCTTCTACACGAAGTGCCTTGCGTGCTTCACGTCCAATTCGGCTACATTGACCTTCCACATAAGCAGTGTCACGTACGGCAGTCTTGAATTTCCGCACCAATTTGCGCTTGACAGCATAACGCATATCCGAAACCACATAAACCAGGAGACCAGCACCGGCTATGCTCATGATAGGAACGATCATTTGACGCATGCTACGAGCACTCACTGCACTTGACAAGCTCCAGATACCCGATACTGCATCTTTGACACCAAGGAGACGTGTACCCACCATGGCAACGGCACCAAAAGATAATGCACAACCAGACATCTTATCATCCAAAGATAAATCGAAAAAATCGGTTGGTTCCACTGAAATGACTACTGCACGATCACGATTCTTGAGACACATCTTTTCCACAGTACCAACACGGGGGTAATTGCCGAGATGTTCAGTGCCCATATCATGGATACGATCAATGCATTGGCTAGTGTCCTCACGAGCATGACCTTCGACGCGTCGTACTTGCTTGAGTAACGTTTGTGACATGGAATCGGCTATATCTTGTGCGTATTGCCAAATCAAAAAGATGCCAGGATATTCAATGCTATCAGCCGTAGTTGTAATTCCTTCAACAGCTGTATTCAATGCCTGACGAGCATGTTTTTGGACACCAAGCACAGTGATCTCTGCAACCTTTTCCACTTGATGAAGGAGACGATCACGTACACGCAATAAATGCTCATATCCAGGCTTATCCTCCTCAAGCTCAAGTTGCACCTTTTCACGTTCCTCCTTTGCAAGGGCGCTATTGGACATGGAAAGACCATTGACATCGCTGAGCAAATTGACCAAATAGTTCTTGGCTGGTGATAACTTGGATTTGGTGCGATTCTCTAACACAAAGGCACGGAGTCGCTGTTCCAATCGTGCAAATTCGGGAGCATCCAATTTGGTGGAACCAGGCTCAAGATCCACATCGCCTGCACTAACAAAATGGACCAAATCATCGGCGTCGGCATAGGTTGCAGGTGAAAGTTGACGAATCTGATCAAGAATGAGACGCTTGCAACGTTGCTTGTCGCGGATGGAATCGAAACGATTGACGACAATAAAGATGTGAGTCTTTTCATTGGCTGCATTCCAAAGGAATTCCTTGCCCTAAAAGGTAGCAAAAGTTCCACATTGAGCAACACGATCTTTTCTACTCTTAGCAACACGACTTACCGAGAGAGTGAAATGATTTTCAGCACTCACTACAAAGACGACGACATCGATTTCCTCTTGACGAGCAAAGACAGCGGTTGTTTTGACTGAATCAGTATTGAGACCAGGGGAATCGATCAATGCAATATCGACGACACCATTGTGTAACAAGCTTTCTTGTGTATTACGAGCATCCTTGCTATAGATCTTGAGCATCTTATATTTGTCACCCTCATCGGCCACGGTCTTGAACATGTGTCGTTCCTCAATGACGTGGTATGTGTTGGGATCCAATCGGTTGTAAATGGATGCATCGGGAATAGCGTGGATAGCTTCAACTCCATCATTCAACATAGCATCCAACACCTCGCAAAACATGCTTGTACATGGTTGTTGATCGGCAGGAAGAACTTCACGCTTCAACAAGGCATTGACGAATGTCGATTTACCAGCATTCAAATCACCAGTCACCAACACCTTGGAAGATGTATCAGCAACGCGAGTACGAAGCTTCTCCAAATGACGAAGGCATTGAGAGAGGCGATCATCCAAAAGATTAGCAATAGATTTGCTTTCAAGAGCATTGAGATCGGTAGAAGAATGGCCCATCTTTAAGTCCAAGTTGAGAATGCTGAGCTCTTTAGCGAGATCACTTGTCAATAAACGATGCTGTTCCAGTTGACGTACAAAGGGACTTGTCGATTCATCTTGAGAATGGATGGATGATCTTCGATGCAAAGCGTCAAGAATAGAAGAAGGAGAACCCACATCAGGCTGAGAAGCTGTTTCAAGTGGACAATCAATGTTGGATGCAATGGGTGGCATCATTGTCTGAGCTCGTTGTGGTAAAGGGCGATCATTTGGACGATGCATCATTGGATATCGAATAGGAAATTGGTCCTTGTTGGATGATTGTAGATCCTCACAAATACCCATCACTGAAGTGATATGACTCAAAAGGCGTTGGCAGCTGTCATGATACATTCGTTGCTCTTGTGCTGCATTCAAACGATGTTGCTGTGTGCGTGCAGCTTTGGTGGATGTTGAAGGCGATAATGGACCTGGTGAAGTCACTGGGGATCCTGAAGTAATCAATGTGCTACCAACTCCTTTTCCAAATAGAAGCGAACGTGAACTGAGGTCGGTCGAAATGGAAGAAGCGCCATTGTCAAAATAGCTCTCGTCCAATGATTCCACGCTGGGAGCCGAATTGCGTCGCAAGTATTTCATGGACGATGCCGCACTTGACGGTACACCAAAGTAACTGCTGCGATCGGTCATTGTAACCTTCAAGAGCTACAAGTGCAATGAGAAAACGCAGGTGTAGTTGTTGGAGTGAAACAAAGAGTGGAGGATGCAAAGTGCCCTGTTTTCAACAAAGAGAAAAAAAAAGACCGGGATCCAATAACACCCCGACGCTTGTGTCACTTTCACCCGGGTTGGTCTCTGCGCATTACACATTATCCGTCATTCATCATTCTTCCTTTACACAAGCCATTCATATTGTATTACTACAAAACTATCCTCGTCGTCTCCGTCTCTACACCTATTGCCATAACAGCGCCTTGTAATTTTTTATCTTGTTCCATAACAACGACTATTTTGATTGGGTTTCACATCTTCAGCTGTTGTTTGTTTATCTACGATAACTACTGGGGGTTGTTGTACTCCCTCCTATCAGTTTAGGATTTGAAAATCCCAAGTTCCTCTAACAACCAATGACATCTCTTATATGATGTAACCATAGTGCTACATGCTACAATATGGGTTACTGTAAATTAGCTACCACTACTTGATCTATGCAGCTGGTGAGGTGTGATGATATGACAACCAAGAAAGAAGGCTTGTGAGATGCTATTAATGCTGTACGCGATGTATGGGTGATGGTGGAGATCCCTGTCCCTAATGCCACTTACTATCTTCCATGAGTAGTAAGAAAGTTGGGTTATACATTCATTCTCGTGTACCTTTGCTTCTAACCTTGTACCAATCCGTAACCTACCAACAAAGGCGATAGAGCAGATGTGAGGGCATAAGCGTGTATATATAGTCAATCTACGTCAAATTGCGACATAGCAATATGATGTTGCGTCTCTCGTCAAAATGCAGCATTGCACAATTTCAAGTGCCGTCAGGATAGGCAACTCAATTCAACCATCGTCTATAGAGTTGTGCTATCTTCCATATGATAAAAGACCTTTGGCATCGTAAGCGTATCAACAAGCGAAATAATACAAAACACGCGTTCTTTATGTGGCCATTACCATGGATATTGATTCCAAATAACAGCAAATGGCATTAACCATTGCCTTGTGCTCAAACGTGTACACGGCCTCCAGAAGAATTAATGACTAGGCGCACGACAAACAGTTTCGATTTGCGCACCAACCAATCATGTGCAAGTTTTTAGACCGTGATACGCTAAATGAGACTGCTTGTCGCGGCCTCTTGGTGTCTTTTTGGATGATTGGTGAGGACGACTTTGAGGACGACTTTGAAGAGTAGGAGCACGACTAGGAATGATGATGGACGACAAAGACAGCGGTGGTGGTGGAAAAATAGGAGGTAGCTAGAGGAACATAATAAAGGATTGGTTATTACCGCACTTGGACTTTGGTAGCTTTTACGTATCCCCTTGTGGATCAGTATAGCTTAGATGGAACAAGTGGTTGTGGTGTTCGGTCTTGTAAGAAGTATATGCCTTTTCTGGTTACAATAAAGAGTGGTTGACCTTGAAAGAAAAAGTGATCCTCCATTGAGCTTCAGGATGAGTGACTCATTCAATATGTATACGTATCTTTTTACATATACAAATTGGTTTATGCAGCTCGACCTTCTCCTACATGCAAATGTGATACATACCTTGACACATCATGGTTGGACGCTGTTTTACTTACGTACCTTCACAAAAAGCAATCATCATCATCATCCATTTGTGTAGCAACCTGTCAAGGACGTGTCTGTGTAACCACCACGTGCCGTTTCACTCAGCTCTTCATCTTTCCGTTAATGCAGCCGACACCATCCACTAGGAAAAAGCAACTCCATCACGCTTACAGCATAGGTAAAACATAAACGTGTCTGTATCTCCAAACTTTACAATGAAACGTGGGGTTTTTATTAGAGCAATGTGCTCGGCTTGGCCAACAGCACCTTGTGTGAAAGTTTCGCGTTCAATGTCGCAAACAGCCCAAAAAATATTTTTTGGTCGTCGTCGTCGAAGAGGTCGACCCCCGGATCCAGTTTGGCTGGTGGCGACATTGCGAAATCTGGGATCGGCAAGCTTGATCGCGAAACTTTCACCCAAGGTGCAGTTGGCCAAGCCGAGCACATCGCTCTATTCAAAACCCCACGTTTCATTGTAAAGTTTGGAGATACAGGCAGCTTTATGCTTGTAAGCGTGATGCTATATGAGAAGTGGTCTTTGTTCATTGCGAAGTAGCTTGACCCTGATACAGCCAAAGATGCGCAGGAACATGTTTGTGTAACACAGCTCATTTGCATGACTGGAACGGCCGATGCATCATGCCTTATGCACTATCCAGCAGCAAGTCATCATTGACAGCTAGCAGCCCATTCCTCCCATTCGCCTTTGTTGCCCACTCCAATGCATGTGAACGATTCTCCTGCTCAAGCCCATCATGCCCATCATTCAACTTCCTTGATCCGAGGGGATTCGGATGAGCTACGGTCAAACACAGAAGTATCATCCAAGCATAAGAATCTAATTAATTTGCAGCTCTTCCACTTTTAGCTTCTTGCCTCTTCCTCCCATTCTCAAACGTTGCCCCATTCAAGTACAATCACCACCTGCGAACGATTGTCCTGCCTCAACCCACCCATCATGTCGATCCTACAACTCTCTTGATCTAGATTGTCTTTGACTGAATGGCAAGTCCATGGCGTGTACACAGCCTTCTTGTCACTCTTCTACAACACACGAGTCTCTTGACACTACACACTCTCTTGCACGCTCATCTGCCACCCCAAGTGTAACAGCATTCATTGCATCAGTTACGCTTAGCGAGACCTTCCTCAATTGTCTCCAACAGCGTTCTTTACTTTGCAGCAACTTGCCTTGCAGCCTTTTTTCACGTGACCAACAGATAGCCATTGTATAGAAGCAGCTTTATTTACGCGTAGCAACTTGCATGAATACATACGACTTCTTATGGGTATGAATACGAATACGGATATGGATATTGGTTTGGTACATGGGATGGAAGGAACCGGATGTATACAACGTGTGGAAGGTGATCCTTTGTCGAGTTGACGATGTTGTTGCTTGATGCCATCATCCTGAACGTTGGTGCACCCAATCATCGTACTTAAACGCTACTTCTTGGCAGCTACAATCGGCATCCTTTGTTCAAGTTGTAAGTCATCTACGGTCATCATCATCCACTTCATATTTTCACTCACCAGCACGAGCATCAAGAGCCACCTCACATCCATCCATCCACCTTTGCACAATACTACACGTCCAAAGGATAGAAACTTTTCATACGATGTATCTCCCCCATTGAAGCAACTCGTTGTACCTCTCAATCTATCACTTGTGAATGATGTTGGATTAAAAGATCGCTATTTCGGGTTAGCCACCAATTTCCGTGTATCTATGTACAGTGTAAGAGACCTTCCTTCCTCCGGCGTTGGACACCGTCACGTGTGTGGGCATGTGGTACGAAAGATTTATGACATGTCAAATGCAAGTTATACGTATCCCTTTGTTAGCTTGTGATAAAAGGAAAAGAGAGGAAGGGAAAGGGCCTGGTTCATTCATTGTGTCTTTAACAAAGACGTATTCGGTAGCATAACTCACCTCCCTTGTTTTGTAATTCGATCAGCGTCGTAACACACGTTCTTATTCTGTGATTAGAATACTGTAAAAGAGTCATTTTATGATATAAAGCCAAGTACCATAATGACAACCATGACAATGAAAGTTGGAGGATGACAATGAAGCGCTAAAAATCACCATCAATTAGCACATGGATCGTGCACTAAGTGGATTATACACCATTGATACTCACATTCATTTACTTTTGAAAAGATGCCAGCAACGAAAACGTGACCGGATCTAAGATAACGATGTGTGGGTATAAATATGGGCGACGACGTCTTTTATGTGCATGGTGGGTGTAGGTAATTTCGGTGATACAGTAAGGAGGAGGAAAGAATAATAAAATGACTTTTTGGAGATGGTGATGAGCTGATATGAATGTAAGAATGGCTCGACTGGAGCATCACAGCAGCAATTACCAATAGCTGTCAAAGGAACGTGCTAAGAAGCACCCATGATTCATATATGATAATGAAAAGTATAATGATTTATTGAATGCTATCATCGAACACGGTGCCTTCTATCATCACTATCACGTCTACGTCTTCGATCCTCGTAACGCTCTTCACTGCGATCCCTCCTTCTTCGCTTTCGGTTTTCCTCCTCATCCTCATCATGTCGCCTGTGGTGTCGTGATCCTCGATCATCATCATAATCTCTTGATCTTCGCTTTCGATCCTCATCATGATGTCGACTGCTGCGATGGCTGGAATGCTCATGCTCATGTTTCTTCTTTTTCTTTTTCTTGTCCTTCTTCTCTTTCCGCAGCTCTTTGAGTTTCAAAGGATTGTCGACAATAGCACGCAAGGATTGTTGTTCACGCTTTTTGATCATCAGCAAAGGATCTTCTCTGATTTTGGATTGGATATCTCGTTCATTGTTCGCATTGGCATTGGAAATGGCAAATCGTTCAGCAGCTGAGGAAGCAACCTATCCCATTTTTGCATGAGTTTGCATGTCACACATACAAAAGATCCATCCTACTTACTGTTTCTTTGCTATTCTTATCTCGAATAAGATTATCCACACTCTTCTTGCCAAGCAGGTATTCCTCCATCTCATCGGCATTGCCACCACCTCCAGCACCTTGGTTGGGAGCTGCATACATCCAATCAAGCCGATCGGATCGTTTCCTAGGAAACGGTATGTGTTATTGGCAGGTTTTGATAAGGGATAGAGTAGTAGTCAATGTATACCTTTGTCCTGACTCTTCTTGTAATCGCTGAAGCTCTTGAAGCTGACGCTCTTCCATGAGCTCCTTTTTCATTTGCTCGATCTTGTGCTGTTCCTCTGCATGCTTGCGTTCTTCTTTCCACACTCGCTCTTGATTCTTCAAAGTAGCCGGATGCCAGCTTTTCTTCAAGTTCAAATCTACAGCACGTTGTGAGTGATCGGCTTGATTGCACACTATTCCATGTAGACATACCTCCTCCACCCATGATAGACGACTGTAAAAGATAAAAAGGGAAAGTGGGGGAGTAAAGAGAAGGGTGGCGGACTAGAATTTATTTGACTGACTCTTGGAGCCATCGCCATGCCAACAGTTTATCTATCATCTTCCCATCTTGCTTATGCAATAAACCCAATGTGAATCTTGCAATTCACCATAAAGACCCACGCTTGTTGAGAGAACCCTCGATAGTAATTGTAGCCCCTTTCTCCTCCCAACTCTTGCCCAATCCACTGTATAAACGATTCCTGGCATTTCTTGCTTTATTTAACGTCTACATCTTTCACTCCCAGCTTATTATCTCTTCTCCCATTCTCGCCATCTACATCTTGGGGAAGAAACCTGGCACCATCCTCGACAAGGTCAAACTGCCTTCGAATGATTTATGGTGGCAGCCCCACTTCAAGCACACAAGTGATGTGTCATCTTGTAAACCTACGGCGTATGGAAGATAGAGCCACTATCTTACAGGCAAAATTCCTGGAGCGAGCACACAACCTTCCAGAAGATAGCTTGATGCACAAATTACAGCCCATCATGCGCAAACAAAAATACCGAACAAGGTCATGGAATTCGCCTCATGACCATGAATGCTATATGGAATAACTTACCATCACCCAAAGCCCACACCACCCGTAGCCAACTCAAAAGAGGCCATAACTCACTTCGTTGATCAATGATTGGACACATATAAATCACGTCGTGGCACCACGCTTCTTAATGCTTGCCGTACCAAACGTGGCATTGATCCACTCATGTGGCTCCCAATGTCCCGTAGAGAACGTAGCCGCTGTATCCGTTGGCGGTTAGGCTGGCTACCAGGTGGCAGACCACAAACATGTCCCAAAAAGCTAGATTCGATATTGAGAGGTACCTGTAATTTACTTTCAAGTATACGTTTACTTCCTTTTTCATGTATCATAGAAGATGCACATTCTAGAAGCTTTATTTCGATGGAACCAAGTGATTATGAGCAAAGACAATACATCTAGCTAATTCTTTTGTGATATCCTCTTGACGTTCGCTTGCGGTCCTTGTCGTGATGTCGAATACTAGGATGGCTTGAGTGACCATGCTCATATTTTCTCTTTTTATTTCTCTTGTCCTTTTTTCCATTCCAGAGTTCTTTGAGCATAAAAGGGTTGTCGACAATGACACGCAACGATTGTTGTTCACGCTTTTTGATCATCAGCAATGGATCTTCTCTGATTTTGGATTGGATATCTCGTGCATTGTTCGCATTGGCATTAGAAACGGCAAATCGTTCAGCGGCGGAGGAAGCAACCTATCCCATTTATGCATGAGTTTGCATGTCACACATATAAAAGATCCATCCTACTTACTGTTTCCTTGCTATTCTTATCTCGAATAAGATTATCCACACTCTTCTTGCCAAGCAGGTATTCCTCCATCTCATCGGCATTGTTACCACCTCCAGCACCTTGGTTGGGAGCTGCATACATCCAGTCAAGCCGATCGGATCGTTTCCTATAAAGAAACGGTATGTGTGATTAGCAGGTTTTGATAAGGGATAGAGTAATAGTCAACGCATACCTTTGTCCTGACTCTTCTTGTAATCGCTGAAGCTCTTGAAGCTGACGCTCTTCCATGAGCTCCTTCTTCATTTGCTCGATCTTGTGCTGTTCCTCTGCATGCTTGCGTTCTTCTTTCCAAACTCGCTCTTGATTCTTCAAAGTAGCCGGATGCCAGCTTTTCTTCAGGTTCAAATCTACAGCACTTTATGAGTGATCGTCTTGATTGCACACTATTCCATGCAGACATACCACCTCCACCCATGATAGACGACTGTAAAAAGATAAAAAGGAAAGTGGGGGAAATCGAGAATGGGTAGCGGACTGACACTTGAGCCATCGCCATGAGCTGCTAACTCCCTTCTTGCCTGATAATAGTATCATCTTCATATGCAATAAATCCAATGTACATCTTTCAATGATTCACCATAAAATGCCACTGCTTGTTGAGAGAACCCTCGATGATTACCGTCAGGTGGAATGAAAACACGTGATGTCCCTCTTTTCCTTACCAACATGTGGTATCACCAACACTCACAACATCTCACCCCCCACGTGCATTCTCTAAGGTTGGTGTTGTCACTCAATCAAACATAGCATCGAAAAAGACATGTCGCTGGTTGATCCTATACTTGCCCTAGCAACCATAAGCTTTTTCTTATTTTTGACCCACTGTGCTTATCTCCAACCACGTAAGATTCTTTCTACTGATGTAGCTTGTGTATCCCAGCTACAGCACACCTCTGTTCTAGATTGAATAACGGTATAACAAATGTACGTTTATCCTTGTTTCATGGTAATAAAAGAATAGTATATGCATAATGATATAGGCCATAGTAGGGCATGTCAAAGTAAAGCTGAGACAAAGGCAAAGATGAGTGGTGAGAGGGAGGGGAGGCGGATTAATTGTCGGCGTTATTGATGACGGATGCTGCTTGCTTTCTTCTCTCTTTCTTCAACGACTTGTCGCGTACACACATAGACCGCAAGCACACTCTTGTACAATATCCTAGAACTGAAAAAGCAACAACAACTACTACAACAACAACAACGTCTTGTCGTTCTCTCCTTTTACGATAATGAGGTATTCATCCATGCATGTGTTTTCCAATGGGGAGGGAGCATCCTATTGAATAGCCTTTTATTCTTCTAGTCACGAGCACGACACTTGGAAACAATCACTTCAATTGCCAGCAAAGGATATCCGTCCCCAAACAGAGGTAAGCAAACGACAAAGAGGTACAACAAAGAGAGAGAGAGAAAAAGTAGTAATCGAGTGATCTATACAGGATGTCACTGCTACCAAAGGCAATGAGTTTGAGGATTACTTTTTAAAGCGCGAGCTCTTGATGGGCATCTTTGAAGCTGGATTCGAACGACCTTCACCTATTCAAGAAGAGGCTATTCCTATTGCATTGACGGGTCGAGATATTCTTGCACGAGCCAAGAACGGCACTGGCAAGACGGCTGCCTTTATTATCCCCACGCTCGAGAAGATCAACAACAAGAAGCCCAAGATCCAAGCATTGATTGTTGTCCCGACTCGTGAATTGGCTTTGCAAACATCCCAAGTGTGCAAGACGTTGGGTAAGCATTTGGGTATCCAGGTCATGGTATCCACGGGTGGTACGACGCTCAAGGATGATATTATGCGTCTTGGCGAGACCGTCCATATCGTCGTGGGTACTCCAGGTCGTATTCTTGATCTTGGTTCTCGTGGTATTGCCGATTTCAGCGAAGCCAATACCTTTGTCATGGATGAAGCCGATAAGCTCTTGTCGCCCGAGTTTGCTCCCGTCATTGATCGTCTCTTGAAGCTCTTTCCACGCGATCGCCAAATCATGCTCTTCAGCGCCACTTTTCCCATGATGGTCAAGACCTTCAAGGACAAGCATCTCAACAAGCCCTACGAGATCAACTTGATGGAGGAACTTACTTTGCGTGGTATCACCCAGTTTTATGCCTATGTGGAGGAAAGGCAAAAGGTCCACTGCTTGAATACGCTATTTTCAAAGGTAAAGGGGAATGGAAAAGATATGGATGAAGGATCGTTATTCATGTTTTTATGGTAGTTGCAAATCAATCAATCCATCATCTTCTGTAACTCGACTCAACGTGTGGAATTGCTTGCCAAAAAGATTACGGATCTCGGATATTCATGTTTTTATTCGCATGCCAAAATGCTGCAAAGCCATCGCAACCGTGTATTCCATGATTTTAGAAATGGTGTATGTCGTAACTTGGTCTGTTCAGGTAAGTAGTAGTAGACGCTTTCTTCATCTTTTCCTATTCAACAACAACATGCTGATGATGAATTTTGTCTATAGATCTTTTGACCCGTGGTATCGATATTCAAGCGGTGAATGTGGTCATCAACTTTGATTTCCCCAAGAATGCAGAGACTTATCTCCATCGTATTGGTCGTTCGGGACGCTATGGTCACTTTGGCTTGGCTATCAACTTGATTACATATGAGGATCGATTTAATCTTTACAAGATTGAGCGTGAATTGGGCACTCAGATTGCTCCTATCCCTGCAACCATCGACAAGCGACTCTATGTGGCACCCAATGCCTTGGATTCAGCACAAATTCAAATGCCCAACCGTGAAGTAGCAATGGCAACCCGGCAACAGCAGCAGGAACAGTTGCAACGTGGGGGACAACAACAACATCACCAACAACAACAACAACAGAACCGAAGAGCATACTGATCCTTTTTATATTTCGCGCTGTAAATACGTTATTATTCACAAAAAAACAAATGCTGGGCCTTTTTTTCATGTGTGCAATGGTTGTGTGAATGGCTGTGGAACAATGAGGAGTGTGGTGGGGTTTGGGACATATACTTTAAGTCACCTTTCAAATGGCAGGTGGATGATTTATCACTTCGACTCAGTACTCCAAGAAGATGCTTGACCACTTTATCAATTCAATCCATCAAAACTTCACACGCCCACTCACATATAAATAAGGCTGTGGTCACCAACACCATCATACGTCCTTTCTTTCTACTTGTATGCATACCATCAATGACCTTTGGTAAGTCTCAAGGATAGTCCCTATGTGATTCCAAAGATGGAGGGTACTCATGCATTTATCTATATAGCTCACGTCATTGCTTTACTACCTTGAGGTGCTCATTGGTGCCTAATGACATTTGGACGCGTTCCTTGGTGGACCCTTTGTGGTAAGTAGAGCTATCATTTATACATTATTGTGTAAAAGGATGCTTGGTCTAATAGGCATTTGGGACTCCTTTGTAGGTGACAAAAGTACATGCGACTTGCGCATACATCACAAAATCGATATCTACACTCTCAAGTTACAAGCTACTATCGACGATATCGCTGACCTTTATACAACATTGGATCGCATTTATATTTGGCGAAACCATCACGAACAGCTGATTGATATTGTCCTTCAAACAGTTATCAAAAGCAAAAGTGATAGATTCATGAAACAAAACTGGAGACTCGTTCTAAATTGCACAACTTCTTGGATCGTAAGCCCACTGAAGCCGAGGTTCGTGCAGAGAAAGCAAGAGAACGTGAAGAAGAGCAACATCGAGGTATGCAAGAAAACAACGTCAAGGTATTCAAGTGCCTTCCCGTATGTTCGAGGATGAACCGGTAGATGACATGCAACTTGCTGTCGAACCTATACCTGCTCAAAGAACTAAACGTGAAATTGTTGATGCTCGTCTGCATCTACTTCTTGAGGAGGGTATGAGAAAGCGCAGCTGCTAGATTTAGTTTGATACATGTACTGTTATGCCTTTTCCCTCCTATGACACCCATGCGTAACGTATCCAAGTAAAGCATTTATTATGTTGATTTATAAACGGGTGGAGACAATATGGGACAAGTGGGGCATTTGTTACTATGTAAATGCGTGTTCTTAACGTTTCATAGGGTAAACTTGACGATGAGGATTTCAGTGAGCACCTCGTGTAGTCGACTATTGGGTGGAACTCCTCTATCCAATCACTGCATAAGGCTTGTCCGATTACGGAGTATAGAACGCCTAAAAATGGTCGGGTGGCTGGGTTATCTCTCTCTCTTTCATTGATTTACATTATTACCATGGTCAAAAAAAGTAGGCACATGGATGATATAGAGAAAACAAGACCAAGTATACTCATGTTATCCTTCTAGAGCCCCAAAGCAAACGTATAAAGCTCGCACGGAGATACAGTATCAAAAGAAAAATCGATAACCACAACCGCAAAGTACGCCGTGAAGCAAGAAAGAATCCCAAAGCAGCCAACAGTAAGCTCCCCCATGAACCCACGATCTCGCCCGATGCCAAGTACTGATTGTAGTGTATAGAACCCAAGAAGGATCCCGGCATTCCCAACTCTTTCCCATTCAAGGAGGAACTTTTGAATCAGATTGAACTTGAAAGACAACAGGTATGTGTGTGTGTGTTTATGTGGATATAGGAAACATGGATTGACCTAGTACTACTACTACTATAGAAAGAGGAGGAACGATTGAGAAACAAGGCTGCCAATCAAGCCGAGAAACGAAAGCGAAAGAAAGCAGCAGCAAAGGAAGCAGCAAAAGCAGCAGCAGGAGGAGGAGAAAGCAATAATTAGAACAGCAACATTTATATATACGATTTGTCTTTTTTGTAAATACAGCATGAAAACGACGAGAACAATGCAAAAAGATGATGATGAATGATGTTGGGGGAATATAAGAATGTCTCTATCGCTTTTGTTGGTGTTCATCAGGATTCCAATAAATGGTAATTTCGCCATCACCCAATGTCCTAGTATCCAAAGTGGATTGGTGTTGCAAAGAGGAGGAGGATGGACGAGATAAATCTTCGACACTAATTGAATGGCGATCATGGAAAGGATCTTCATGATCATTATTATTGTCAGGGGCGGGTGGTGCAAGTGATTGTTGTTGTTGCTCTGCTGGATTTAGCATGGTGATGGGGCGAGGTTGAGGTGTAGGTGGTTTGTGTACACGACGAGCAGGAGCCGTATTGGAACGAGAAAGATTAGCTTCACGTGTAAGCACCGTACGCACTGAACTACTACGGCTAAGACCATCTGCGGAAGGGATTTGGATTTGATTGACACGCATGATTTGGGGTCGTGCACGGGAAACAGCAATGGCATAGCCTGTTTTGGATGGGGTGGTTGGGTTATCTGCAGTCGATGCCATTGAACTACGGGTATCAGCTGATTCACCATCACTGTCATAATCAGTGACATTTAAGAATTGTGAAGCACGATTGCTATCTCGAGCCGTCGTCGTCGTGGTATTGTTATTATTGCTGCTGCCAGGTGGGATATAGGTCACTGGAATGACACCCGAAGTCACTTGGCGTGTATTGCCAACCTATTAAAACATGTGTTAAAGACCTCCCATGCATATAAAAATGTCGAACTTACATTGGATGTCTTTTCACTTGTGCTACTGTAACCAACACCCAAATTGGATGATGCAAATGGTAATAGATTCTTTGACTTGTGCTTGTAACGTCGAATCAGCAAACATCCGACGGCTGTAAATATCACGAGACCTCCAAGTAAACCACCCACAATACCACCAATCAAGGCACCCTTATTATTATTTCCTTTAGAATCGGTTGGCTGCTCATTTTCTTCTTCAGCGGATGAAGCATCATTGGTTGGTGTGGAGGATGAAGCACTTGAGGTATTAGATGATGAAGGTGGTAAACCAAGCACTGAACGATCTACGCAGGTAGATGCAGGGCACACGCCACATTCTTTCATAGTGCCGAGTGTGCAAACTTGATTCGCACTGCAACCTGGATCACATTTTGGTTTGCATGATGATGGGGTGCAGTCTATATCATATGTATCGGCATTTAGCGTATGTGTGTGTGTCGATTTGATAATTGTTGTTGTGTGTGGGTGCTCTCACTCACTGGATTGTGCCATAACATGATTTGAAAAGACGAGACAATAGACCACAACTAGTAGTATCAAGAGTTGTGTCTTGTGATGCATTATATATATTGAATACAAAAAGGAATGGAATGGGTGGGGGTTAACAAAGAAAGAAAGAAGAAAGAAAAAAAGATGAAGCAAACAAGTTTTTTTGTTGTGCGGGATGTTCTAGACAAGCTTAAAGTTACACAAGCATGGTTGTTGGCAATGAAGGTGACAATTAAGCTTCCCAAAACGAGCGACGAGCACCTGCTGTGTGACATGCTTTTTCAGTGCACAGGGCCCATTTCCAGCGCTTCTTGCTGTTGTTGCCAACGCGACCTTTTTTGTCGTCGATGTATATGACAAAGTTCGGCTATATAGATAACGGTAGTGATTGCCAATAAGATAGCCGCTGCCACCGTGATCCAAATAGCTGGGCCTATGGCTGATGCAAGTTGCACGGATCGGCCCGGAATATGCTCTTCGGCTTCTCCCAATGCTTTGCCCACTGCCTTGTATCCAGCTACTTCCACTGCAATCGATGCCAATGCAAATGCAAGTGCTGTTTGAATGATAATAGAAAGCAAACAGGGTCGTCCAAGTCGATCGGATCGCCTACAAGCTCGCAATAGACATCCCACCAAGGCAAAAAAGCAAAAACATGCTGAAGGGATCAAGACACCGGCTTGTGCAACAGAGAGGAAACGATGCAAATCTTCTGGTATAGCATCTTCCAAAGTACCCAAGAGCCCACTTGCATCTATACATGTGTATATTTTAGATATCATGATGCGTGTACATTGTTGTTGCTACGTGGTTACCAAGGAGAACGTTATTGGTTACATACCATAACGATATCCCAAGCTTGGATCAGTACATAGCGTGGGTCGTTGTCCTGACGTAAAGCTTTGACAGATCACAAAGGATGCAAAGGTGATGGTATCCGGGATACCAAAAATGTTGTGTCGTATACGATCAAATAACGAATTGGTCACCACAGCATCTACCCGCACAAAATACACGTTCCGTAGTCCAGGGAGGTTGCCACATAATGCAATTACTTGTAGAATCAATGCTGCTAGTACACAAAGACTTGTTATTATATTAAGTGGTGCCATATATATATAATAGTAGAAAAAACAGTGATTGAATGAGAGAGGAAAGGGGAGAAAGAGAAAATGCAAAAGGGAGAGAGTAATGCTATATAAACAACATGCATGAAGCTAATGCAATCCCATCAAACGGGCAAAGAGAAAAAAAGAGAGAGGCGCACACACATGCATGACAATCAAGACGAGAACCAAATCGAATCCACACAGGGGTACATACATGGCGAATTCGATCATGATGCAGCTGCAGTAAAAATGCATCATTCAATGATAAAAAATAGCAATTACGGTGATGTCACTGATTTGCGAACGAGTAGAATCCTCCTTTTACCAACAGGTGTCTTTTTGTTGGATGCTGCTGGAGCTGCTGCAGATGCAGTTGTTTTTGCATGTTTATCGTTGAATGGGTGATGCTTTTTCTTTTCTGCTTCTTTCTTGCTGTCATTGTCGGCAGGTGTGTTGTTGTGTCGTAGCCAATCAAAAAGGTGCGTAACCTGCCGATGCATCACTTGGCCGATGGTGGTCCGTTTTTGATGAGATGATGATGATTTAGTAGCATTGTTGTTGTTACGTGGTCGGGTGGTGGTGGTATGTTTTGTTGTTGTTGTTGATGAATGAATGCGTGATGATTCCAAACCAAGTCGTTTGATAGGGATGTTGCGCTCTGTAAGAAAAAGTTCGTGAGTTTTGGGTGTGTGTGTGAAATGACATCGGCAAAATCGATCCGCTTACCTTCAATCCATTTACTCAGCACCGCACGATCCAATTGTTTCAAACCTCCACTAGCAACGACTTGATCCAAATTATCGACCAAAAAAGTCTCAATGGATTGCTTGGCACTCAAAAGAATGGATTTGATTTGAGGACATTGTTGCACGGCATGACGACTCAAAAGATCACGAACAATACCCTGATAAATGGCAGGTGCGTGGTACACACTCATATCGGGTTGCAACAGCCATCCAAACAAGTATCTTACAAATTCAAATGAATACTTGATGCCATCAATGCATGATAGCAACGTCGGGTATTGAGAGCAATAGAACGCAAATTGAGTAGCCACCATGTGAATGGCGTGATCTCTAGCAAGGTTGAGTGTGATGGCAAGGGCTGGGTATTCGTCGTCGTCGTCGTTGTTCACATGATCGGAAGCAGTAAAACATGCATGCAGTGTTTCGACAGCATTGAAGCGAGTGATGCGTGAAATCACTTGGCTGCTGAGATTGGGGTATAATGCAAGCACTTCAATCAAACGTGGGCTCACCCAATACGTCGCCAAGGCACGATCCGGTTCACTTGTCAGTATGTCTACAGCTCGACTGTGGATGTTGTTCATTATCACATCGTGGTGGCGTCGTGCTCGTATCTCGCTGTAAGGAATGATTTGAATCACGGCATCACGGCATCCTGAGCAATAGCACGTCCAGTGGTGTGTCAGTTGACTCACGTCTTCCACAATCCTCTCTTTCAAGTGCTCCATCCCAAGGTAGTCTGCTGCCGAATACGCTTCAAGTAATTGGTGCATTGTCTCCAAAGTTGTTGTTGCTGCTGCGCCTTCCTTTTGCAATAATACAAGATCCTGAGAAGAATACATAAAGCGTAATGCAATATCAAGTCCCGTGGCTGAAAACACGCCCAAAGGTAAAAAGACAATGCTCGTATCCGATTCATAAAACTCGCTTTCAAACATGGCTGCAAAATAAGGCGAATGCTCTGAAAGAATGTGTTTATGACAGGCCCAACGTGAAGGTTGTTCGGCTGAAGGGTCCGGTGTACTACTAGTAGTAGTAGCAGTGTTGTCTTCGGTATCGCTATTATTGTTGCTGTTGACCGATATGCATTGTTGACGAGATCCTGGATGGCCCATAGCCAACATGACGTTGGGTGGAGCAAGCTTATCTGATAAAGTAGTAATCATGAGAAAGAGGTGGGAACGGAAAGTAAAATAAAAAACCAGGCGATCTTTTGTATTTTATGGGGAAAGGAAAGGTGGCATGACAGATTCGAGATGGCGCGGATGCTGAATTTTGTATTGCACACGTGATGCTTCGCAATAGAATGACTCAAAAACTAGTAGCAGGCAATAAGCAATAGCATCCAAAAGAATGGGTTTCATGTTACAAGTATAGAGGGAGAGTTGAGGTAAATACATAGTAGGGGATACAACACAACAAGCAATAATAATGATGATTGTCTAATTTTTAATCTGCTGGGAGGGCGGGGGGAAGAGATCTCCACCATCATCATCATATCACCACCATCAGTTACGCGTACTTTCTCTTGAGTAGTACCACCAAATGACACCAGCCACCGCAGCAGCAGATCCAAGAGCAAGTATCACACCCACAAGTCCATCATCCCCAGAATTGGAGCGTTTTGCCTTTCTTCTTCTTCTTCGCATCTTTTTACCACCACGTGCGGTAGGTTGTTGTTGTTGTTGCTTTGCTTGTTGTTGTTGATCCTCCTTTTTAGCATCCCAGTCAACCGCCTTGACACCATCAGGGACTTGCAACTTGCCAGTATTGTCAAGCTTGACAGCACGACCAAACCATCGTCCAGCTTCCCATAAATCTTGCTCCACACCCATACCATTGGCATACATGATACCGATATTGTATGATGCTTGTGCGTGACCAAGAATAGATGCTTCCTTCCAATAACGAAGTGCCTTTAAAGGATCATTGGCGACATGGGTGACCGATTGCACTGCTTCACCTTCGGGTGATGATCCATAAAGATAAATAAGACCCGTTTGGAAAGCAGCACTGCAGAAGAAATGCTCGTTGCCATAATGGGGACCATGGTTACGTAAAAGCGACTTTGGAATCTCGGCATCCTCTTCCAATACTGTAAAGTCAATGTCGATACGTTGGGCAGTGATGTTCATGGCACGGTTAAAGTAAATCAAGGCTTGCTCATAATTCTTTTCCACTTCAGCTTCGGGTGATCCTGCACCATAGGTGCTGCCAACAATATAGCATGCAAGGGGATCAGGACCGTTGCTAATGCTTGTACCCGCCGATTCAACAACAGCATCCGCTGCACGCTTGTACCAACTAAAGGCTGTCTTTGGATCCTTGGGAAGATCTTTTTGATCCAACTGTTTTGTGTTACATTAGTCCCTATTATTGCATAAGGAGAGCCCCCCCCCATTTCATTATACTCTACCTCACAAATACCAGCCACCTTGATCATGGAAGGCGTGTGACCACGTTCAGCAGCACTTTGATAATAACGCAAAGCATTCTATATAGTATACTACAATGAATACTTCTCATTGTGACCTACATACACCTCCCTTTTTTTCCTTACCTTGAAATCAAGCATGCGAGTTTCGAACCATTCACCAAGATGATAAGCACTTGTGATATCAATATCCAATTCTGATTTCCAACCATTTGAAACGGGTACAGCCCATTCGACGCCTTCACGCTCCTTTTCCAAGTGAATGGTAAGAATACGATACTTGGGTGCAGGTTGTTGTTGTTGCTGTTGTTGCTGAATGTTACTGCTGACCATGACGGGAGAATCGACTTGAGAAGAAGTGCCTGCATCATCACCATTGACAGAAGAAGTGGATGATTGAATGGATGCTGAACCAAGAGCAGCCGCTTGTTGATAGATATCCGCCATGTCAGCCGAAAGGGTTGCAGGATCATTTGTATTGGCAGATTCTGCAAGCGCCGGCGCTGGGAGAATCATGGACGAGTTTGGTGAATGATTAGGCGAGGACATGAGAGCATACGAAGACGCTATCGACAAGGAAGGAGACGTGGTCATGGATGATAAAGGCGACATGGATGTCCTTTCAAGTTGCCACAACGACTCAAAATGGTTGATAGGCGAAAACAACTTGCCCTAAACACACTCTCATTAGACCCCATGCAAAGCTTGGCATTGGCAAAAGACATTTTACCTTGAGCACGGGCTCCTGTCCCTTCAAGCCTGCACACACATGTTGATGCTCGAATCGCACCTCCAAGTCCTTGGTCTTGCAAGTCTCGGGAACAAGGAAGGAAATGGTCACCTGGTCGTCACTTTGGCTCCAAATGTAGGTATTGGCTTGAAGCTGATCCTTCGAATCGGCCATGGGTGTATGCGTGTGTGTGTGTATATGCCAAAGGAAAAAAGTATAGAGCTAAAATGAATGTGCACAGCACTGCATCCATAACAAATAATTTCCCAACTCCGTACGTGTTAGTGCATATAGACTCACTCACTCGCGCATTGTTCCCCACACACCTACAAACACCCTTGAGATCTTATGACCCTGGTATGGGTGTACACCTCCATTTGACATTTGCATTTTCTACTACTGAAATATGATTGCTATGGAAATAAATGACACCATTTCATTGTACACTGATTGCCTTACAAAAGAAATGAAAACAATAATAATGGCTGAAATCTATGCAGTAATACATCTATGGGTAATGCTATCTAATACTATGAGTCATCGGGTGGGGATCCTACTTTTTGTTAGCTGGTGGTGGTAGAGGAAGAGCAGGCTTGGATATCCATGCAACAATGATCTTGGTCACTGACTGAAATAAAGACGAAGGCGTTGTCAAGCAATTGGAACCTTGGCGCTCGTACAACCCTCCCGAACCATATTGCATCCATCTCACTCGTCCAGACAACTTACTTCCAATGACTTCCATATCAATAATGACCCTGCAAGGTACTTTAGCCCAAGAGTGACGTTAGGACCCAGATCCCACACCAATGCTATATGGTGATTCGACATGCGTGCCATTTGTGCGAGTGCCTTATGACCGAGATCGAGCGTTAGTTTCACATTGGTGTCCTCCATCGCAGCAAAAAGAAAAAGTGGTCTTGTTGTTAAAGGTACACAACCAAGCCGCCCAGCTGATCAACAATGCCATCCACACTCCCATTTATGGAAGTCGCCATGGCAACCCGGTTGACAGGATACATTTATGCACATGGTTGCCAGCGACTATGAATGTTGTGCCCATGAATCTAATCCCATACATCTCTTCTCTTCCATCATACCACCGTTTAATTGCTGACACCTTCAAAGTCCAAGTTGATGCGAATACAATCATGGGGGATGATCCTCTTTGTTTGCGCTCTATGTGATGTTCTTTAACGTTACTTTGTTATCCTTCCACTTCCATTGAGTCATTATGATACTTTGCCCTTTTGACAAGATAAAACGAATGATGATGCATGATACACAAACATTTCCAAACATGCTACAAGTAATGCCCTAAGAAGCATGTATAATCCCAAATCCTCACCATCCATCGCTGCAGCTCATCAAGGAGTAGTGATCATGCTTCAAGTTTATTGTCTGCTTGGAAGGAAAAACGAATGATCTATGATAATGCTAAAAGACGTACGTAGCTGTAATAAAGACGAAAAAAGCCGCCATGCAATGGATCCTTGCGCTAGTGACACCCATACCCATATTCCATTACAACGCGTACTTTCAAGTCGTCATGGCAACTTCCAATGATTTCCGTAGCAATAATGACCCTTCAAGATACTCTAGCCCAAGAGTGATTCACGGCCAAAGATCCACTATAAAGCGCCATGCGTGCCATTTGTGCGAGTGCCTCATGACTGAGATCGACGAGAATCAGTTTCACATTGGGTGTCCTGCATTGCGGAAAAGGAGAGGGAGCGAGAAGAGTGGGACTAAAAAAGGTACGCGATCAAGCTGACATAATCAACAATGCTGTCACCCACATTGCCCAGTTGCGCCACCCCCAGCACCATAACAACAACAACCCAAGACTTGTTATCAATCGAGTACCATGTTTGGATGCATAAAGGATCATGATCCATTTTTGGTTTATACCAATTTCACCTGAAATCAAATGGAGGATGTGTGTCATTGTTATCATTGGTGAGGAGGAGGAGGAGCAATGCTCACAATTATGCAGCCGAGTGACACTCACAAGACAGCAACCCGGGGATAAAATGGATGGCAATGGAACAAATATGGACGTTTAGATAAAGAGGTAAATCGGCATGTGAAGCGTCGGCAGAATTGCTTTTATGCTGACATGTATCCACATTCAATGATTTTGGTTCACATGAAAGTCAAAATAATTCCCATGGTATTTGTTATGAAGATCACAGGTTGCATTTTGACAGCTATGTTCTCACACTTGCTTTTTATGAGCATACGATGAATGATTTTAACCTGTCAACATGAATAAAACCACCCAAAGAGATAGCATAGGCATGGGGGGATAATGTGGGGAATGCAAAAAGTAGGAAACAAAGAACCGGCAGAAACAAACGACGCCGTTGTGTGTGTGGCGGATGACGAATCGGGGGATGATTCATTATCATTTGTTCGCCAACATGTGAATTAACGCTGTGTAAGCAAGAAATAGAAAGCGGAAGCTTTTGTTTTACTTTTTTTCTTCTCTCTCTCTTTATCTCCTTTCCCCCCTACTCTTCTTTCGCTCTCTGTGTCTCTCGTCATGTCGAGTACTGAAGCTACCCCTGATAAATACGAAGCCGTCCGTAAGGACATTATCAAAGTCTTTCCCGATGAAGATTATGACGATGGTTCATTTGCCCCTGTGTGGTAAGCTTTCCCCACACACACATATATACACACACCAACAAATATACTGATCCCCGATTGTAGCCTTCGTTTAGCCTGGCACGCTAGTGGTACTTATGATCGTCATAAGAAGAATGGTGGCAGTGATGGTGCTACGATGCGTTTCAAGCCCGAAGCTGAAGATGAAGCCAACAATGGTCTCGAAGTTGCTCGTGCTCGTCTTGAACCTGTAAAGCAAAAGCACCCATGGATCCCTTATGCTGATTTGTGGACGTAAGTACTTTTTTTTGCGGAAAAGGACGGAGATGGTGATGATTTGATCCGAGAAAAAGAGAGAGAGAGACTCATATGGTAATCTCTTTTATAGCCTCGCTGGTTGTGTCGCTGTTGAACATATGGGTGGTCCTCACATTGATTGGATCCCTGGTCGTCGTGATAAGCATTCTGAAAAGGATTGTCCTCCTGTTGGTCGCTTGCCTGATGGTGCCTTGGGCAAGAGCCACGTGTTGGATGTGTTTGTCGAGCGTTTGGGCTTCACTGTTCAAGAAACCGTTGCCCTTATCGGTGCCCATACCGTGGGTCGTTGCCACAGCAACCGATCTGGTTTCGAAGGTCCATGGACTACCACTCCTACTCGTTTCTCCAACCAATTCTTTAAGCAATTGTTGTATGAGAAGTGGGTTGAAAAGAAGTGGGATGGTCCCAGACAATTCGTTGATGAGGATGATGACCAAATGATGTTGCCCACTGATATGGCCTTGTTGGAAGAACCCTTCAGACCCTACGTTGAGCTCTATGCCAAGGACAAGGAGAAATTCTTTGAAGACTTTGCCAAGGCATTCTTAAAGTTGATCGAATTGGGTGTCGAACGCAGAGGAAAGTTGTAAATAGCCTCATTCTCTCCCCCTCTCCTCTCTCTCTGTGCCGTGCCTTTTCTTTTTTCTCTCTTTTTGTCCTTTATATCCTACAGCTAGAGCAACTCTTTATTTTACATTTGATCCCATAAAACGCGGTATTATTCCTGCAAATCACAACAAATCACCAACTCAGGTCATGTGAATGTTACATACAACCTGCCAAGTCAGGCTTCTTGGCTCGTCAACTTTATATAGAGATCATGCGGAATTGATACAAGCTGCTACTCCTTCCTTCTCCTGCCCACTTTTTTACTTATGGATAATAGAACGGGTGAAAGCACGCGAGTCTTTGCTGGCCATATCAAACAATACTTTGCTTCACTACCACTCTTCACGGTCGTCGTCTTGATCCTCTCATGGACGATAACATTGCTCGATGTGCCAGGTCGCCTCAATTCGTCCTCGGTCATTGTCAGCCACTACCTCAATCTAAGCGCGAACAAGGTGCTTTCCCATTGGCAAGGTAAAGGATATCAATAGTGACGATTGACATGGATTGACACTCTCTATGGCAGCGCATCGATTGGTGTTTTATCCATTTGCTTCGCTTGGGGTCACCTACTCGTTGACGAATACGCTTCTCGTTCTTCCCTATCTCGCCAGCATGGAACGCAAACACGGCACTGTACGCCTCGCATGGGCATTGTTGATCTTGATGACGTTTGCAACATCCGTGGCCTATGTGATATTGATTGGTGTCTACAGCATGGTGTCATCGGATATGAGCAAGTATTATACATTCGCCGGCCTTTCAGCCTGGACGGTTGGATTAGCTGTGTGGTCTGCTATCGAGGAACAAGCTGAAGGACAAAGCAATGATAGGATGTAAGTAAAAAGTGGATCAAGGAATGGCATCATACTTATACATGGCATGGCAGGCTTTTTGGTGTGATTCGGATTCCAGGTCATATTATGCCGCATTTGATTATTGCATTCTATTTCTTCCTTATGCCAGATCTCTCATTGATCATTCATCTCATCACTGCTGGTATCGCCTATGGCTGTAAGTGTGGATCATTGGGATATTTGTAAAGGATGAACGTCACTCATCATGATGTATATCCAAGATGCCAAAAACAAGTTACCACCACGACTCGTCCCTTCAGAAGATACCTACCGGAATTATGAGCAGAATCCATGGCTTGGGCGTGCTGTCAATCATGGCCGCTTTATTAGTGTGGATAATACCTCGGCTTACCTTCCCATTGCAAACAGCAGCAGCCAACATCTCAACACTGATACCAATACCACCTCCACCGCCCCATCATCCAGCTACACTCCATTTTCAGGCCAAGGACAACGACTTGGTGACGCTTGAAAACCATCATTTCTCAATTGCATTCGATATAGTGGATTACATGTGATATACCAAAGATGAACAAATAAAGGCAGGGTTATAAATATTGGATGCATATACATGTATAGCGCTCTACGTTGATTGTAAATAGGATGGTGCATAGGAGAGCAAAGACATTTACATCATCCCTCTATAGAGTCGAAGCTATGGTGGATGTAACAATCATTTCATTGATGTTCTTCATAGCAAATCATTTATGCAAAGTCATGATCATCATTGTATGAATAATAGCTAAAGCAAAGGATTCTAATAAAGGAGACTTGTAGACATCATCAATTGCTAGAAGAATATGAAGAAGTGTCAATGGTTGTGCTTCCTAGCTGTCACTCTTAATCACCGATCTACTTGGATTTTCCCACACACTTATGATGCATTGGCAGATCAGAGGATCACATAGGTCAATGGTTAGCAACTTGAATTTTCTGTATGTATTGATCCACAACATCATCTCGGGTTCTCAAAACTGGGTTTGGCCCATCCCATTCCTGGATTCTTATTGTACAATAGGGCATCTAGATCGTCTTTTATTGTTACACAAGAATGACACATATTCCTACATGTTGGCAAGATCGTCCAAGCTCTTTCCCTCGACACGATGGATGAGCCATTCGGATTGGGGCTTGGCACCCATGGCTTCATAAAACTTGCGAGAAGGCTCGTTCCAGTCAAGCACCACCCATTCGTAGCGACCACAATCCCGTTCCTTGGCAATGACAGCGAGTTGGACCAATAGCTTCTTACCAATACCGAGACCACGGTATTCAGGGCGGACAAAGAGATCTTCCAGGTACATGCCAGGCTTACCCACCCAAGTGCTAAAGTTGTGGAAAAACAAGGCAAAACCAGCAGCCTTGCGTTCTTGATCGGGAGAGGCTTGATGATAGGCAATGATCACTTCGGCATAGCGACGCTCACCAAACAAGTTTTGTTGAAGGAGTTCCTCAGTGGCAGTGACAGCTTCGGGTGCCTTTTCGTACAGAGCGAGATCCTTAATGAATTGCAAAATCAAAGGGACATCAGCAGGCGTGGCAGGCTCAATGGAGATCGTCATGTCGAAGGTGAAAAGTGTGGGGAAAGAAAAAAGAGGAAAGGGGAAAGAAAGCGGCGGTCCGAGATTGTTCCGCTCCCATACCTCTTTGCTTCTCTCTCGCTCTCTCTTTTCGGCATCGCAAAATCCTCCGCTACCCACCCATGACTCACAGTTTGTCAACCCTCATTCAACAAACGTACGACAATGCCTTGAAGAACGGCGACTTGTTGTTTTTCGAAGCTGAACACGCGGTCAAAGACAGCAATGGCATCAAGGTAACTTGGATAGCAACACGCGATGGTGGAACGCTCATGGGATTCACGTGTTGATTGTGTCTACCACCCCTAGTTTGAAATCACCTATGCACCCACGCTTGCTCAAAAACCACACCATGAAAGCGCTGGCACGGATGATAACAAGAAAAAGGCCAAGATCAATCCCTTCTTACCACCCCATCCTGCTCTCACGGTCAAGGATTTGGAGGAACACACCGTTGTTTTGAACAAGTATTGCGTTGTACCACATCATGCATTGATCGTCACCAAAGGTAAATAATATAGGCAACAATGGTTGGCGTTGACGAAGGACTCACATATCATTTGGAAAAAGAGTACAAGAGCCAAACCCAACCCTTGTTTCCAGAGGATCTTGCCGCAACATGGAAATGCATGACTACAGCTTATGGATATACACCTGCCATGGCATTTTATAACTGTGGCCCTTATTCTGGTGCAAGGTAAAAATCAATAGGCGGAGTGGTGATGCAATCAAAGCTCACATTTGCATGAATTAGCCAACCCCACAAGCATATCCAAATCCTCCCATTGCTCAAGGAACAACCACAGCCACCTATCAAGGCACTCTACAACCAAATCCAGGAACGTAAGGCGGGTCAAATCTATGTCCTCGACAAGCTCCCATTCGTACATGTGATGACGCCATTGGATCGCAGCTTTATTGATTCGTGCTCTGATAACCCTGAGCCATTGGGTGATTACCTTGGCCAAATGTTTTTCGGTTTGCTCGATGCCATGTTCCAACAAATGCGCAAGCACGCTGAACCCAGCCGAGAAACATCCTACAATTTTATCATGACAAACGACTTTATGATGATGGTACCAAGATCCAGTGAAATTGCCAATATGAATGGCTTGCAAGTGTCCATCAATTCCCTTGGCTTTGCAGGCATGCTCCTTGTACGCACCCAAGAGGAACTCAATACTATGCAACAATATCCCGACCTTTTGGAGTTGTTGGCCCAAGTCGGTTTCCGGTGGAACCCTGATGCAGAGCCTGATGTGGAACAATAGATAGACCTACTTTATTGGAAATAATAGGGCATTTGGACATTGGAAGGTTATGGCTTGATTGAATGATGGATGGGGTGAAACTAAGGTGTGACAGCCTCCATAATGCAGGGTAGAACGCCTGCATTGTATAGAAATTTCTTGGCGTATGGTAATAATGCAAGATAACAACGTTTTACATGTATACGGTGCATACATCCAACTTTGAAAATTCTTGACTTTGAGCAATACCATCTAAAGGTATTCACCGAAACGAGACAAGTCCATTTTTCACCTTACGTACCATCTGCAATTGTTCAAACAACGGCCATCCGTGGCTATAGTACATGTTGTAATAATGGCGTGTGCCGATTACTGGAGAACCCTATGTAAATGAAGCACGTATCCAAGGATGCCATTTTCGCTTATACAAGTGTTCTCCAATACGTTGTGCGTCTTTCACTTTCCCATCCTTGTTTTCGTGAATATAGGTTGTTGGTGATCTACTAGGTGCATGCAATGGTGTTATCGATAAAAGTAAGACTTGCATATACATAAGCACCCCGTTTTGCCCACACCATGCACATCTATACGCCTATCGTCATGCAATATGCGTGTGGGGATGATCGTGACGATGTTGATAAATAGTCTCCTGAGAACTATCCATTGCGTATATATGCGCCATCCTTTAGGTAGTCCACCTTTCTCTCAGTCCTTATCTCACACTCAAATGCTTCAAGGTCGCTGTTTGTCATCCGCAATATTGTTATGCTTTGCTATCCTTATGACCACATCGGTTGTCCCACATGCTGCAGCTGCCGCACTTAAGGTGGTCGAATCGAAAGATAAAGCGATTGCCATGTGCAACAACGAGCCGCCACAGTACAGGGATCTTTCTTCCGCAGTCTACCGTGATGGACCAAAAGGCAACGACATTTTCTACAAGTGCAAAGATAATACGGAAAAGCGATCCACCTTCAATAGGTCCAAGGAATGTGATCCAAAATCCTTTGGACAGCCGAAAGCACCAATAGCCCACCACGTATACAAGTGTAATGAAGATGGTCGTTTGGTTCTCGAGCAATGCGCCCTAGTCCCTTCAATGACTGCTTTTGCACCCTCCTGTACCCGAATACCAGGATACAACTAAGTAAATAAAAAACCTTGCTGCTTGACTCTTCCTGAAAAAATAAGAATGCTAAGGAGTCGGTAGTGGATTAGAACGTCTCATAACCTGATTGATGCATAAATGTTATTACCTATGCCATGTCGGTATATTTTACCAGGTTTCTGTACCCATGAGCAAGTTGAGTCGGGAGGTATCACTCACAGAGATTTAGTTAGCCATTTGTCCCAGCAAAGGACGATACATAAAAGTCACGTGAAGCATGCTGTGCTATGCTGGATCAGTGATTCATTGGATCGCTGCACAAAGTCAAGGACCATTACATATGAAAAATGGGATGTGCATATATCTACTCCATCATAGGATCAATGTCAATGATAAGCTATAGCGTCAAAGAAAAAGGTGTATTGGCTGTGTTGAACCACGCGGTTAGCGTGCAAGTCAGGTACCGCACCTCAATGGGTGGAAGATGGTTTATTTCCTTTTTGCGATTGGTTGTGTGACATTCAAGCAACTTTAGCACCATATGCTGCTAAAGCAATATGTACTCTTCATCCTCCTCCCCCCCCTTTCTTTTCTTTTCACCCTTCAGGACAAACTCACTCAACTCAACTCAACTCAACTACGCTCCCTTCCTACCTCCTTTCAACGTTTCTCTATCCTCATCTCTGTTATACGACAGTCCTTTCATTAACCTTTTAAACTATATACAACATGGCTCATGTAAGCGACTTGTCATCTCTCTTATGAAGCCCCAGATGCTCATCATGTCGCGTAATCTAGAGACTTGGCGGTCGCAGAAAGAATGTCAAGAAGGGTTTCCAGTTCACCTTGATGGTTGTTGGTATGCCCCATTCATGGCTCCCTTTTTCCCTTCCTTCACTCTCTCTAATATCACATGGGATTGATTAGGTGCTTCTGGCACTGGACGTACCACCTTTGTCAACACTCTTTGTGGATCTAATGTCCTCGCTAAAAAGATCTGCGACAACCCTGAAGAAGCTCATAATGAACCAGGCATCACCATTAAGCCCATGTCTGTTGGTAAGTATTTACCTGCTGCCGATCGACCAGGCACATTTTCAATATGCAAACATTGGATCTAACCCTTTTTTCTTTCTCTCAATAGAATTGGATGAAGATGGTGTACGGTAAGCCATTCAACATGAGTACAGCATGCGATGATGGATGAACCTCACACACACACAACACCTATCTAGGATCTCGTTGACCATTGTTGATACGCCTGGTTTTGGTGACAATATCGATAATGAACGATGGTTGGTATTGTATGGAAAGATTTTTATGTGCGCTGGGTGATACTGATATGTAGCTTATAGCTTCCAGGAGATTGTTGGCTATTTGGAAAGACAATACGACGATATCCTCGCTGAAGAAAGCCGTATCAAACGTAACCCAAGATTCCGCGACAATCGAGTACATGCCTTGCTTTATTTCATTTCACCTACCGGTCATGCGTAAGTCCTTTTTAACATGAATCCAATACGCCCTGCTGATTGTATAATATAGTCTTCGCGAGATTGATATCGAATTGATGCGTCGCCTAAGTCCTCGAGTCAACGTGATCCCTGTGGTCGGTCGTGCAGATTCCTTGACACCCCAGGAGTTGCATGATTTCAAGCGAAGAGTAAGAAGTGCAGCATGATCGAGAACAGCAACATTTAAGCTAACGATCCCTTTGTAAAATAGATCATGGAAGACGTTGAGCATTACAACATTCCCATTTACAACTTTCCATATGATGTCGAGGAAGATGATGAAGATACCATTGAGGAAAACAGCGAGCTCCGAGTAAGTTTGCTAGTAAAGAGAGAGAGAGAGAGAGGCACATCCACCATGCAATGCATATCCTCATCATCGTTCTATGATCTAGGCATTGCTACCCTTTTCAATCATTGGCAGTGATGAGGAGATTGTTGTCAATGGCCGTACAGTACGTGGTCGTCAATATCCATGGGGTGCTGTGGAAGGTATGGAGCATGCCTTTGTAGTCAACATTTATGCTCAGTTGTTTTCGTAATTGTAGTGGACAATCCCCAGCATTCGGATTTTGCTCGTTTGCGATCAGCCTTGTTAAGGTAATAAGCGCTACATGTCCTCCCTCCCAATGTCATCATCGTTCATTGACCCTTTTTCTTTGTAGTTCTCATCTTCAAGATCTCAAGGAAATCACCCATGACTTTTTGTATGAAAACTACCGTACCGAGAAGCTGAGTCGTACCGTGGATGGTGGTGAACAAGAGTAAGAAAACAACAATAGGATATCGGAAAATGCAAAAGCTAAAATGTCATTGGATGTATAGGGATGCTTCACTCAATGCTGATGATATGGCTAGTCAAAGCGTACGTTTGAAGGAGGAGCAGCTCCGAAAGGAAGAAGAAAAGGTAAATCTGATATCCGTTTTCCGGTACCCACGCAAGAAATAGGAGGCTAATCATGATCACACAGCTTCGGGAGATTGAGCTCAAGGTCCAACGTGAAATTCAAGAAAAGCGTGCCGAGCTTTTGAGCAAGGAAGAAGCACTTCGTAGTCTTGAAGCGAGATTGGCTCAGGCGCAGATTTCCGAAGAGTAAAATGTGATACATACACATACACACGGTCTCTCTTTTTTATCCTCTCTCTCTCTTCATCAAATTGTTCATTCGTCTTTTTGTTAATCGCGCACTTAATATATCCATTGTCTTTTTCTCTCTTTCTTTCTATAACCATTCATTGTGTGAGGTTGTCATTCATTCATTTAGGCGACCGGGGTTCATTGAGTCGTTTATTTCTATTTCCGTACATGTGAGATAAGTGACCCGGTGCATAAAAGGCCTAATCGTTATGCCGATCTATCAAGAGCATCTTTATTGTGACATTAGATAATAAAGTTTAATCCCGCTACAACGCGTGGGCAAAAACACATCAACACTTGCCAATGGTTTTAAGTGATGGTTACTCAAACCATCGACCATCTTTGGGAAATGATGCAAGAGTAAACTGCGGGACCAATCAAAAGGTACCGAGACAACGGGCCGCTTATAAATATGGGGGTTGGGTTGGGTCACAGTGTCATTCACATAACCTTCCTTCCTTCTCTTCCCTGCTTTTTCTTACATAATGCTCGAAACTGGTCCCGTAAAAAACACACCCGAAGGCAACACCTTCCAATATCAATCCAAACTCTCCAAGCTACCTATTCCAGACCTCCAAGGCACTATTGATCGCTATTTATCAGCTCTGAAACCTTTGCAGGTAAGATAGATAGATCTCATTGATAAAGGATAAACGTGGCTCATTCTCATTCTCTTTCTTTTTTGTTGGCAGTCTGAAGAAGAACATGAAAAAAGTCGAGCTGCTGCAGAATCATTTTTGAATCACGAAGGCCCTTCTCTTCAAGAAGAGCTCAAGGAGTATGCTGCTGACAAGCAATCCTACATTGAAGAGTTTTGGCAAGTGTTTATTGTTTCTCGCTGATACATATGAATGAGATGATGATACTAATGCTTCCTTTCTTTTTAGGTATGACTCGTATCTCCAGACAACGGATCCCGTGGTGCTCAATCTCAATCCCTTCTTTTTGTTGGAGGACGATCCCACGCCACAACGCAATGACCAAGTCGTGCGTGCAGCCTCTCTCATTTACTCGACATTGACCTTTATTGATGCGTTGAGGAAGCGAACATTGGAGCCTGATGTCTTTCGTGGTACGCCACTATGCATGTCACAGTTTACGCGGCTGTTTGCTACGTCTCGTGTGCCCACCGACAATGGATGCTACATTGCACCTTCCGAAGACTCTCGACACATTGTGGTGCTAGCCCACTCTCAGTTTTATCATTTTGAAGTGTTTGATGAAAATGGCGACTTTGCATTGACAGAGAAGGAGATTGCACAAAACCTTCGAGCTATCAAGAACGATGCAAGAAAGGTGCCCGTTACAGAAATTGCAAAGAATGCCATTGGTGTCTTGACAACCGAGAATCGTCGCAACTGGGCTCGTTTGAGAAAGGATTTACAAAATGATCCAGTGAATCGGGATGCGCTTCAAGTCGTGGATACAGCTTTATTCATTGTGTGCCTGGACCATGTGTCGCCATCCAACGTGGAGGAGTTGAGCACCAACATGCTATGTGGCACCTACAAGTTGGATCAAGGATTACAAGTGGGCACTTGTACCAATCGTTGGTACGACAAGCTACAGGTAAGAAAACAACAACAACATTGCCATGCATGCATGTGGAATACCCACGTTAACGAACTTTTTGGTAGATCATTGTATGCCAAAACGGAAGCGCTGGTATCAACTTTGAGCACACAGGTAATCATCATTCATTCCGGCCCTTGCATGGCCCATTGCATCTTGTGTCACCTACTTAATCCTCTTTTTCAGGCGTTGATGGTCACACGGTCTTACGTTATGTCTCCGACATTTACACGGACACCATCCTACGATTCGCCAAGACTATCAACAGCCAAACCAAGTCCATCTTCCATTCTCAAAATACCCAAGATGCTTCATCCCCAGGCCGTCGTGGAAGTGCCTCGTCAGGTTCATCGGCCTTTGATAGCAACCCACGTCGTATCGAATGGAACATGACTCGTGATTTGACTTTGGGCGTACGCTTTGCTGAAACAAGACTCTCTGATTTGATCCTCCAAAATGAAGTCAAAGTCCTCGAATTCACAAAGTATGGCAAATACTTTATCACTGACATGAAAATGAGTCCCGATGCTTTTGTTCAGGTAATTGAATGGCCAATACGTTTATTCGATAGATGCTCATCCCTTCTTTGTGGGTTATTAGATGGCCTATCAAGCAGCTTATTATGGTCTCTATGGCAAATCCGATTGTACCTATGAACCTGGTAAGTCATTACACTTTCTTGGTTCGTTTTTCCCACGACCCACTGACCACCCTTTTTTTCTTTGCAGTGATGACGAAAACGTTTTTGCACGGACGCACGGAATCCATCCGCAGTGTAACAGAGACCTCCAAACAGTTCCTTGACACGTTTTACTCGCCCACAGCCTCATCGCATGAAAAGTTGGAAGCATTACGCAAGGCTTTGAAAAGACATACGGCTCTCACGCGTGAATGTGCCAAGGGTCTTGGTCATGATCGTCATCTCTATGCACTTGAATGCTTGTGGGAGCGTACGCACAAAGGTGAAAAGAAGCCTCTTATCTTTACGGACAGCGGCTGGAAAACGATGAACCATACGGTGATCAGCACATCCAATTGTGGTAATCCTGCATTGCGACTCTTTGGTTTTGGCCCTGTTGTATCGGATGGCTTTGGTATTGGATACATTATCAAGGAAGACGGCATTGCTGTAAGTAGTAAAACATCTATTTTCTTTATCATCATCATCAACTCACATGTTGGCTATTTTAGTTTGTTGCATCCTCCAAGCATCGTCAAACCGAACGCTTCCTTTCTACATTGGAAAACGTCTTGCTTGAAATCCAATCCATGTTACTCAAAGAAAAGTATCCCAGTGGTCTATCGCAACGACAACGATTGCTTGCCATGGAGGAAGCCCACGAAATCGCTAATGGCTATAGCTACTTTGATAATGGTGACGAGTTTTCCGATTCCTCATCCCAAAGCAGTACTACTCGCAAGATTGGCAAGCGTTTGGTCCTCACACCTTGATTTCCCCCCTTTCATTATTTAAGCATCATCATATCTATGTATTACTATAAAAGGATTCCCATCTTACAATGTATCTATGAATGACGAGAATTGGTTTTTCAATGGTGTTGCTATCGCTGTGTAAAAGGTGGCATGAGATGCTGCATACCTCTTTGTGCTGTAGATGCTAGTAGCCCAATTGCAAAAGTATGAGCCATCCAACGCATCGGAACGACTTATCATGTGACTCTTACGAAGATCATAGCAACGGCTCGTGGTGCTTAATGCAAGGCATGTGGCGTCATGACATGATGATAAGAGCCCTCTTGGTACCTGTTTTGTACGCATGATATTCACGTGTGATGATGTTGCATGCTTGGAATGCGAACTTGCGCATGTTATTTATCTGCATCACGTAGCACACTCGATCAAAGAGCATCCTGCTGCTTTATGTACAATGTCAACAACTTCCGATATCGCATGCCAAGAAGCGAGAATAGAAGCACGAGGAGTAGAGCTATTATTATAGTAGACACAAGGATCATTTTCAAAACACCTTGTGGAAAAGAAGGTTACCATATAATGACTCTTGTATACCTTGAAGTATTGGGAACAAGCATATAGAGATCGCCAAATGTGGCTATGCTCATATAAGAATACCATGCACACTTATCGTCGTTGTGGTGGTAGTGGCGCAGGAAGTTGTATATTGGATCCACCAAAAGATGCAACATGTGCCACGTGTTGCAATGTGAATTAAACAACAACCAATCATCCTTCAAATTTTTAACAATAGGATGCCCTTGCGTCGTTTGTGCACTGACTGGTGGTGGTAGATCAAGAGAACCAGTTGAGCGCTTGTCACCAGGCATCAACCATTATTTGTTGCAATCTATTTTAAGAGTGGGGGTCTGTGTAACAATGTCATGTAATAGTAACTGGGGGGAGGAGGAGGGGGGTGGAGAGGGATTTTTTCTTGCCAAGTGCCTCTCCATTTAGACGACATATGCAAGGGAATCCGATCATGGAAGGAGCTGGTTTGAATATGAGTAACGAACAAGTAATTCAACCTTGTTGACGTAATGCTAAAAATAACTCTTCAATGTGAAGAGAATGGTAGCCGTGGTGGAAAGCCTGTTTTCTGCATCATGCGTTTGATTACCATACAGAGAGTGCTACAACAATGATTAAAGCAAGTAACGTGGATTTGAGAAATGGGATCGGTGATGATGATGATGCCAGTTGTGCAGAATACTAATATGATTCAGGATGATGCGGTATGCAGAGACGGATCAATTCCCATGATGGTAATGCATGCATCATCATTGAAAAGCATCGGTGCTTAGTAGTAGTAGCAACGACTCTTTCTCCTTTACACTTTTGTCCATTTCCATTGTGCCTCCTTAATTTGTATCACACTTCCCACCGTCAATTATTTGTGTGTAATGTTTGAACGTTTTTAGCAAGAGAAGCAAAAAGTAAAGCCATTTCAAATCAAAGTTAATGATTCATATGCTTGACGTAGAGATAAAATCTAGCTGCAAAGAGGATTGGTGGAGAGGGGATGATGCACAGCTCCCTTGGAGTAAAGAGAGAGCGAGAGAGAGAGCTAGCTTATACCAAACACGGTAGAGCTCCGAAATGATGCGTTCAGCAGCTTTGGGTTATTTTAGGCAGGCCGCGCCTCCCCTGATTTCGATATAAAAGAACGCCTGGACCAACCAAACCTGCGAGTTTCTTTCTCGTGGCTTCTCTTCTTTGCACCCAATGTCAACAACAGCAACCGATGATACATACGCACTACAACACAATGACGACGTAGACTCAGTCCGTAAACGCTATGAAAGCATGTCGCTCGACGAAATGTCCAATCAGTTGGCCGAGAACTATCGACAGCTCTCCGAGATGCTCGGCAATCGAGTCAGCATGAATGGTGGTGCTGCAGCACCTCTTTCGTTATCGCCTTCTTCTTCCAACAGCTCATTCAATGAAGAGCAAAGCCCTATCGACAATGACGATGCTACGGCGACGTTTGACTTGAATGACCTGGACGACGATGAAAGCAAACGACGCAAGATGAACAAGTTGTTTTCACGCGCTGTATCGAGTGGACAGATCGAACGAGTTACACAATTACTAAACGATCCAGCCTATCGCGCATACATTGATATCAATGCCAAAGACGAAGATGGCACCACACCCCTTATCTACGCTGCTTGTTTCGGCAAAGTCGAGATTGCAGAAGCATTGCTTCAAGCAGGAGCAAAAACAGATATCCAAGATGCTTGTAAGTTGTTGTGATGGATGCCTTTCTTTCTATAATAAGGATGATCACTCATCGTTTTATACTTTAGCTGGCTGGTCAGCACTCATGTGGGCAACAACCAATCACCATGGCAACCTAGTGAGAGTATTGATGGATTATGGTGCATCCGCTCAAACACGTACAGCCAAAGGCCGCACCGTATTCGATTATGCCGGCAGTGATGAAAAGATGGTAGAGATCTTGGCCACCAATCCACGCAACAGCATGTCATCATCCGTCATTTCCAGCGATTGTGAGGATTATTATTACGACGATACATTTATGCAACGTGAGGATGAACGTCGACGCAACTTGCTTGAAACGGCTGTTGCTCTCATTGGTGGATCATCATCATCTCATGAAACGGATGCGGATACCGACAATGACGACGACGAGGATAATGATGATGAAACAACAGTTGAATTCCAATGGGATCGTTGTCTACCTGATCAAATGTTTGTGTTTGGTGGAGATAGCCTTGAACACATCCTCGATACAGTCATCACCCATATCAAGCTACCTTTGGAACTTCAACAAGATATCAATGTCCCTGCCAATGTCATCTTTTTGAGCGCACGTTTTGCACATTACTTTTCAAGTCAAGAACTTTTGAACCAAGTGATGGATGGTGCATTGAATCGATTGAGCACAGTGATCAAGGTAAGCAAATTTACGCTATAAATGTAATACATTGGCTGACTCTTTATTTGGGGAATAGGAGAATGAAAGCGATGTTCATGCACTTGCATTTTGGTTATCCAATCAATCACAGCTTTTGGCGTACCTCAAGCGAGACTCGGGTCTTGTAGTGAGCACAGCTGAATACCAATTACGCCTTTCGGAGATGATCTCAGAGACCTACATGAGCTTGGTATCGGATACGCAACGACGATTGACCAAGGTGCTTGGACCTGCCATGTTGGAGCATGAACAAGTTCCAGGCATGGAAGATGTGGATTTTGTGGATGATTGGCAACGCTTTTTCCGCCGTAGCAGCAATCGCCGATCGGCCCTTATGCAACAAAGCAGCGTATCCATGCGACGCCATGCCAGCTTACCACCACGCTACAAATCAACCGGTGTTTTACTCCCACAATCCGTTACCAGCATTCTTTCAACGACATTTTACGTGCTTCAAAAATACCAAGTCCATCCTACGATCATCATTCAGGCATTGGCTCAATTCCTTCACTGCATCTCTTGCGAAGTTTTCAACCGAATTCTCACCAACAAAAAACACCTTTCACGATCAAAGGCACTTCAAATTCGTATGAATCTCTCGTATGTTGAAGATTGGGTGCGTCACAATCGCCTTCCCACCAGCCTCCTTTCCTATCTCTCTCCCTCAACACAGCTTTTGCAATTATTGCAATGTCTTTCTCAACTGCAAGATTTCGAAAGTTTCATCATGACCTTCCAGCACTTTGATCAATTGAACGCTTTACAAGTGAAACGCTGCGTCGTCAATTATCGTTATGAAGTCAACGAACAGCGCCTACCGGATGAAATTGAACAATACATTGTGCAGCTGGCTCACGACACCATTCGATATCGCGAAAAGCAACGTCAACAACAAAAACAACAAAAATCCATCGAAGATGAAATTCACGAGACACTGGATGCTCGATTTATGCTCCCCTTTTCTTTACCCACAACTGCCAAACCCGTTGGTGTCCATTCACGATGGTGTGATGCGGCCAACAAAGATCGTAAAGATCCTGTACCTATGATTCCAGACGCATGGATGGAGAAATTAGACTATGACGACGATGATAGATTGTAAACTATATTGCCCCTTATACCCCTTTTTGAAAATCCCCAATCTCCCCCGTGTGTATAGCTGTGCTGACAATCTTGTATATGCTTTCTTGTAATACTGTAAATCAATATGTTTTCTCTCTATGTTATTTATCTTTCTTTACGTTGATTGAATAAATCAAATGTATGTGTGTGAAGAATCCTTTTTGGATGAGTGAATATACTTGTCATATCAAAGATAAGTGAGATCTCACGGTGTCCATGATAGTAAATGGTATTATACAGCGACATTACCAGGAAAGTTCCCCATCTCCCAGTGGTGTGCCACATTCACACACACACGCCAGCCAAAGGACTATGTAATCATTAGTCCATCATCAGCCTACATGGTATTACCTACCCTCCTGTCCCCGGCGGAAAGCGGCAAAGCCTCTCTACTACCACTACAAAGAAGGGTGGTTAAGCAACATGTTCAATCCCCTCATTGACGCTCCCTCGTAGCATCGTCTAATTGTTGTATAGATAAGGTGTGTTGTACGTATACAACAACTTGAGCAGCGGTAAAATGGGACGATTGCCTATCATTGACAGCGGAAATAATATCCATATGGAGACTTTAGCAAAAAGCTTTCTACATTGTACCCGGTATAACACCCATCAATCACTCACATGGTGTCACGTTTCCCTGTTGTTGATATTTTCCCCGCAATTGAGCGCCTGTGCCAAAGTTTAATATAAAAGGAGCAATTCTCTATTGTAGTTTACCGGGTAACCAACAACAACTCTTTCTCCTTTTTCCCACAACATCATGCCTCGTATTATTGGTGCTATCTTGTTGGCAGCAGCAGCTACTGCTGGTGTAGTGAGTGCTGGCAAGCATCACAACAACATTCAAGAATACAAGTTGATCCCTGATCCTGAAGGACAATACCCACGACTTGGAGCGTGCCCCGATCCCCATGCTTGCATTCTCCCGCCAGATCTGTAAGTTGATTTCGTGTAACATCAAACCGAAAAGGATACACAAACTCATCATCTCACACTACTTACAGGTCCACTTTTCTCCCTGGCGCCTACTTTGATTTACGTGTCGAGTTGCATGCTTATGATAAGAAGAATAAGAATGCTACCCAAGTGACACCCTACACGCATTTCAAGACGCAAGTACGCAAGGATGGTGGCCCATGGCAAGATGCCTCTTCCTTTTTCCATATGGATCAAGAACCTGGCTTAGAAAATTGGAACTTTACGTGGGTGGATTCCATTGATGCCCGCTTTGGATCGGATCCTGGTGTCGATGTAGCTGTCTCATCCCGCATCTGGCGCAAACTCAAGTTTGATTCCCCGGGTATTTATGATGTCAGCGTCACCTATGGCAAAAAGAATGCCTATACGGTACGCTACAACGTCCCTGAAGTAAGTGAAAAAGAAACATCCATGTTGGTTGTGTCATCATCATGACTTTTAATACGTATCCTATATAGCCTAAAAAACCAAAGCGAAAGGCAAAGAATGCTATCTTGTTTATTTCTGATGGAACCAATGTTGGGGTTAGTAGTAATCTTTTGTCCCACCACCGTCCCATCTCGTTGTGCACATTTCCTAATGAAGCGATTCTATCCATACATATAGATGATCACCGCTGCCCGTACCATGGCACGTAAACATACCTCTGGAAAGTTCCACAACCTCCTTTCTTTTGAAGACTTTGATCACCTCGGTCACGTCATTACCAATTCAGTGGATGCCATGTAAGTGCGAGTGAGAAATGTCGTCATTGTGGCGGTGATGTTGTATGATTTACCTTTGTGTTTGCATGCACATACAGTGTTACCGATTCAGCCAATTCCGCATCGGCTTATGCCACAGGCCACAAGTCATCTGCCAGTGCATTGGGTGTCTATGCTGATTCCTCAGAGACACCTTTTGATGATCCCAAGGTTGAATTGATCACTGAATTGATTCGCCGTCGTCAACCAGGAAAAGGTAAACATTGCATTGCGTTATCTATTTGCCTATATACTCATTATGATGGGCGATTATGTAGCTATCGGCATTATTACGACTGCATCGGGTCAAGTACGTAGGCTAATGAGAAGTCATTGACATGTGATGATGATGCTAACTACATACAACAACAAAGGATGCCACACCTTCCGCTTTTTATACGCATACACGTGATCGTCAAAGAGCTGCAGAGATTGTTGACCAGCTTGTCAATGGCGTTGACAATTGGACCGAGCCAGGTAAGTGACATTCTCTTGTCAATCATTTATCATCTTACATATGCATGATGGTACATAGTCATTCCGGATGTATGGCTTGGTGGCGGTGCTGAGTACTTTATGGGAGAAAAGGCACTCAATGGCAAAAACTACTATGATGATCTCAAGAAGCTTGGTTACAAAACGGTGTGGAACAAAAAGGAGTTGCAAAAGTATCATGGCAACGATAAGCTTCTTGGTGCATTCCGTACCTCCAATCTTGATACGTAAGTGGTGGGATAATGACGCTCTATCAACAACGAAATACCAACAACAATAACGTAGGTGGTTGGAACGTAACATGTTTGTGAACAACACCGTTGGTAATGGTGCTGCACCCGATTTGAGTGGCAAGGATGCTTTGGGTACAGAGCAACCTGGTTTGGACGATATGACGCTAAAGTCACTTGAAGTACTCACCAAACGTGGTGGTGATGATGGTTTCTTCCTTATGGTGGAGGCTGCATCGGTCGATAAGCAGGTAAATTTTTGTGTACATATGCCATCATTCATCTTACATGGTACTCATCCTCTTTTCATTTTACGTAGTTGCACGCTCTTGATTTCCCTCGTGCCTTGGCTGATTTGATTGAAATGGATGTCACTATTGGTAAAACGGTTGAATGGCTCAAGGTAAAAAAGGGATTTGCTACATACAACAACACATGATGGATGGTTGACAACAACCCAATATAGAAAAATGATGCCTTTGAAGATACCTTGCTTGTATTCACTGCTGACCATGCTCACGGATTCGATGTCTATGGCTCTGTCAATCAGGAATACGTTGGCAATCATCGCAAGGATGCTGACATGCGTAGTGCTGTGGGTCTTTATGAATACTCCGGTTGGCCAGGCTACAAGGATGAAGATGGTGATGGTTTCCCCGACAACTTTGTACGTGTATACATTCTCATTTTTGGAATCTCTTTTTACTAATAATGCTATACCATACATAGCTTCCTGAGATCGTTCTTGCTTCGGGTTCGAACAATGGGTATGTAGGCAGCAACAAACATGAAAAGACCTGTGTGTGTGAATACTCATGTCGATTTTCATTAGCCCTGATCATTTTGAATCTTGGAAAATCGCCCATGATAAACCTCGTGACCCTGCTGTGGAAGTGCATGGTGTGTATGTTGCCAACAAAAAGGATCCTGCCGGCAACTATGGAAGTAAGTTTGTTCATCGTATGTCGTTTCTATATATATATATTCATTCTTATTCTTTATAATAGAGGGCCTTAAATGGCATGGCAACATCCCTGTTACGGATCCAGTGGACACTCATACAATGACGGATGTCTTTATTTACTCAAATGGTATGCCAACCATACATTGTAGGTTGCCATGATACTGTGTTTAACCCCACTACCTCTAATTTACAGGTCCTGGATCCGAATGTTTCCGAAAGACACTCGAGAACTGGCAAGTGTTCTATGGATTGACCGAGGTAATGTTATTTATTATATGAACCGGGCCATGCGCAAATTATTGACAGTGAAAATGTATTTACAAATGTACATAGGCAATGGATCTACAAGCTGAAGATTAATGACATGATTCCATCATCAAACTCCTCTCTCTCTCTCAAGGATACTTACAATAATACTAGATGTATATGTGTGTACAGGCTATAATAAATTCTCCAATTGATCCATTTTCTCAATCAGCGGTTGCAGAGACGTTGAAATGGCTTCCTCAGCGAGTTGTTCGACTACTTTTTCCATTGGACTTGATATCGGTGGCTTGCATGCAGCCATTACATCATCAAGGCTAAGAGCTCGATCATGCGCTGCTGCATCACGATCCAGGATGTATCGCAAGAATTGGGCATGGTTCCTATGTGTTGTGCAAAAAAAGTCAATCCATCACGTCCTTCCCATATACTTTATGTATCGTACCTTAGCACAAGATTGAAATTCTTCAAGATCGTATGGAGTCGTTCTCCAATATCAGGGTGAAGGACATTGGTTTTGAATTGGTTGAGATGTTGCTCGATCAAATCCATTTCCTCCTCCATGTTTTGTGCATGTATACCAATGCAATAGGCGAGACGATCATTGTTGGATGTGACAAAGATGTCGATGGTTTGCTTGAGATTGAGCAATGTCTTTTGTGCTGTGGTGATCCCCTCTTCAATCCTCTCTTTTGTTTCTTGGTGTTGCATCTGCTCCTCCAAAGTATCATTCAATGGCTGTATCTTTGACCAGAGGCTGTTCAATGATTGTAATAGTTGGTAAATGTGCTCAGCCCTTTCGACACGTTGAATGCAATCTCGCATGATCGATTGGAATGCGTTTGATATAAAAGTGGGTATGTGATGGGAAGGCGTCTTCAATAGAGCATGCAAGATGCCTTGTTGTATAATGTTGTCCATGGCTGTATTCTCTGCATCGTTGATAAGGGTATCCCATTCCTCCTTTGCTTGCTTTGTCCGGTGTTGCTGTATGGTGTAAATGTGTTTGGCATCGCGAGGAAATTCCACGTTGCATAATTGATTCTTCATCGTTTCCACCCTTGTCTCGGATTCCATTTTGAGGTGAGGTGGCTGTATGAGCACTTTGCGTACTTGAGAAACCGACTGAGATAGGTCATTTTTGAGACGTTGAATTGTGTCGAGTGTCGTTTTGCTCTTGTCTTTGAGATCAGAAAAAAGTGGTGCGTAGATGGCATTGGCATCTTGTTCAGCAATCAATAGAATCATCGCCTGGATAATCTCTGAGAATGATCGTGCCTCCTCGTCGTACATCGAATCAATGCTAATGAACGTGTGTGAGCTAAAGGATCGGCAGAACTGGGTATATAGGTTCACTCACTTTGCCGTTGCATTCTCGATATTCTGCTGAGCATCGTGTACTTTGTTGTCTATGTACAAGAAGACGTCGTGTTAGGTATCCATTCACGTCGTAGGGTTGTTGCTAGTACACATACGTAACAGCTTTTTCGTAGACAACGAGTGCGATCCATCGAGATTCTCCAAGAGTTCATGTCGCTGTTCAAGTTGGCGTGTGTAGCATTCGAGATCACGAAGCGAAACCCATCCATTAAAGAGACGACTTGCAAGGACACCATTAGATCGATGAGCGTAACGTGTTTGTCACCATGGGGACATACCTGAATGGCTTGGACTCGTTGATTTGAGAGCTTAATGGATCAAGTTGCACTGTTGTATCCTCGTTGAGGGACATTGTGACAGTATGAGTGATAGGTAAGGAACGCAGACAAAATGGGAATGGGGTATAACAAGTTTCACGCGTGCTTTAATTGCGCCCGGGTCTATTCAGCATGATCGTCCACGTGACCTTCAAGCCATGCATGGGAGGGGAATCTCACCATCATCATCTTGAAAGCACACCATACCATTTCCATGGATACCATTGACAACAACCCACATTCTAGAGCTCGTGACATGTATACTCCACTCCTTCTTCCCATGCCATGTAATAAATACGTGTCTTTATTTTGGTAGAAGCACTACTTGCTGCGTGTGCTTGATGAATAATCAATGGTGTGTAGTACCACCCACTTTTGTAGATGTGACCCATTTTTGAAATGTCATCTCTTTCTTCTGGTCATGAAAGGCTCCTTGAAGGAAGCAAGATGCTCGCCATCATCATCTCCTGAAACATATTTTCGTGTTCCTGGTACATAGAACATGAAGCTACAATTGAGTGATGTATACAACCAGAGATGACAACAATTAAAAATCTCTCTGTGGTCTGTGGGGTTGTGTTGGTGGCACGTTACATGAAATGGGAGAAATAGGTAGGTCTCCCTCCACCAAAATAAAGAGGGTCTCTCGGGTCTATTATTCACGACACAACACACTACTCCTCCTCTTCCTCCTCCCCACTCTTTTCGCTCTCAATGTTGCGCACTACTTTGACCCAGTCATTCCGAGCTATTCAAAAACCCTTGGCAGGTTCCCGTGCATACCACCAAAAGGTATAAGGGCAATGGGAGGTTTATATGTATATTAAACTCTAACTCGTGTGTCTCTCGTACAAGGTGATTGACCACTATGAAAACCCTCGCAATGTCGGTTCATTTCCCAAGACGGCGACAGACGTTGGCACTGGTTTGGTGGGAGCACCTGCATGTGGCGATGTCATGAAGCTTCAAATCAAGGTAGACGATGCCACGGGCAAAATTGTCGACGTCAAGTTCAAGACCTTTGGTTGTGGTTCTGCTATTGCTTCCTCCAGCTTTATGACCGAACGGGTGCGTGGCATGACCTTGGAAGAGGCTGGTAAGATAAAGAATACAGAAATTGCCAAGGAATTGTGTCTACCTCCTGTCAAGTTGCATTGCTCAAGTAAGTCATCATTGGTGTATTTGGGAGGAGGAGGATGAGATCAAATGATGATGGGAAATGACTACTAGTGTTGGCTGAGGACGCTATCAAATCCGCCATCAAAGATTACAAGAGCAAGCGACTGAACAAGGCTGCAACTTCATCATCACCTGCTGAACCTGCCGCTACTACAGCTGCCGCCTAAACGATCCCCCCCCCTTGAGCATAGTCGTTGTCATATTATTAATACAGGTTATCAATAATGAATCTTTCTCATGTGTGCAATGATGGATGGTTGGTCTGTACGTATATGCATCGATTGTGATTTACTTGATTTCAAGAAGAAGGTGCATCGCTGCGGATGATCATATCAAACGAGGACAAAGAATGCTATTGGGTCATTGTTGTTCGGCGACTCATGCATCATGGATAATCAACCAATCTATCGTCTCGTTCTTTCTTCTCTTTGTGAGTTCAGCAATTCACACACCCACCAGCATGTACATGTTGTCTGCTCTGCTCTCAGTTTTCGAACCCTTTTCGATTCAAGCTTAACCACCGTGTATTAAAGAGGAACAAAAAATTGGTCTTTGAGTATGCTGCAAAGTGAAGAATGAAGCTGATTATATCCCACTCATCGGTCAAGTCCCTTTGGCCGTTTGGTGGCGTATAATGCACATTCTTTCATCATCAATCCTATTCCCTTCTCTATGCACATCATAATCCATCCCCCATTCGCCTTATCTTTTTATCTTTATCCCTCGTATCCTTCATGCTATCCCAAATAAAGAATGTCCTGATCACGTGGATCGACCTACATCTTTCTTGATGTTGATTTTGAATGCCGCTTCATATACCAATGCCATATTTTTAGAACGAGGGTGATAAGATTTTAATCTTTCAGATGCCAAGTGTTTCTCCTCAACAATGCAAACAAAAAAGTGCAGAGCACATCTCCGAGTTGGGAAATGTTTTGATCTTGTGACATGGATTTCTTTGTTCTCTTATCATGGTCGATCCCAATGTCGGCTCCACAAATCGGCCATGTGCATTCCGCTCTATTGGTTTGCTTACCAAACCCATGGTACGGCGAAGATCGCGGTCTATGCAACATAGCTATTCCCCACACAACCACTTTATATAAATGCACTCTACATAGAGACCCCCCGGCTTTGCCTATATGTAGTCAAGTCTTGGAAGGACAATGGGGCTGTGCGTGGTTGTTCCATTATCACCCTCCTCCTCCTCCTCTCCTTGCATTATTATTACTTGTAGTAGTATAAAACTCCATGATCATCGACAAGCGCATGACGATGATAACAACTTAAAAAGATTGTTGCTCACTTGATCAAAAAGGTGGCTCATTTCCTCCGTTTTCCCGTGGCGGGTGGGTAAAAAGGAATTGACAGCTTGTTGTTGTTGTTCATCGATAGGATTAATGGCAACAACAACTGGCTGGTGGGATATTCGATTGGCTTACACCTTCGAAACAAGCCTGATGCAAGTAGCACATGCATAACCATAAAAGTAGCCTGCAGAGGAATATCCCAGTATCGGAGCCATCCGTATTTTCCTTGCCTTCGATACGTGCCTTTATTGGGTTACCGCGCGTTTCCTGGTATTCTCTTGTTCTTTACGAGTCATCATCACCAGGATAATAAATGTGATTGATTCTACATCAAACTCTATCTTTTGCTTCTTTTCCCGGAAACTTGCCCTCTTTTCGTTTTTCACACTTTCTCTCTGTGCACAGCCGTGTCATGATGATATTGTCAACATCTCCTAACAATAAGCGTGTTGGCGGTGGTGGTAGCACAGTAGCCGATGGCATCTTGTTCAAATACAAGTTGGCTAAAGGATTGACGATTGCCAGCATGATTTTGATCATCATCATGGCAATACATACGCTTGTATCGCCTAGTAAGTCTACATGGCATTGATTGAGAGATGTAGTAGAAGGGTTAACGATTTAATGGCATCTTGTATCAGCAGTGCCACGATGGTTCCACAACAATTTATCAGACGACAATTACCTTCATGATGGCAGATGCGAGTTACCAAGCGAATTATCGCTTGTTTCAAGCGAAGATGGAACCTATACCCCTCCCAATCCTGATGCCACACTTTTAGAAGCGATCCATCATGCCACCTATAACGATATTGACAGCTATTGTCGCAACGTCTATAGCCCAACCAAGGGCTTCAATGATGCTACGCTCTATAACACCCACGGCGAATGCGGCAATTGGCAACAACGATATCGACAGCTACATCAAGAACGATTGGAGCAGTTTGAGTTGATCAAGCAAGGCAACTTCGATGCTGTAAAGGAGCCTCCTCAATTTGTATCCTACTTGTGTCGAGAAGTACCCGTCAAAGGCAACCGGGGTTGTGGTGGATTAGCCGATCGCATGAATGGTAAATGATGCCCCCACCCGCTTTTTGGCTTTGGTTTCAGCAGCAGCAGCAGCAGCTGATTGATTTAATTTTAGGGATGATCTCCACCTTTTTTTATGCATTGCTTACCGACCGAGCATACCTTGCTCATTGGGCTGATGCCAATCCCATCCCATTGGAAGTGTTATTTGAGAGGCCAAACATTGATTGGTCTTATGACCCCAAGGAAATGAAGGAGCTCTTCAATCAACCTGATAAGGGTCTAACACATCAGGATGTTGATACACTTAACCAAAAATACCCCGTGCTTGGTCGAACTTTATTTCCCAATGGCCCCACACAAGACTTTCATGAGCTATGGAATGGCACGGTATGTGGTGATGGTGGATTTTTGGAAGAGAGCATTGTGCTGATGATGATGATGATGATGATGCTTTTTGTAGTTTGTTGAAATACGCTCCAATCGTGGTTACATTGTTCGTACCTTTAAAGAGTCATCCGTGTATCCAGACATGTTGAGCACCATGGGGCTTAACAAGGAGAACACCTTTGGATGCTTGACTGATTTTCTTTTTCGACCTACCATTGGATCCCGCCGTTTTATTAACGCATACCGTGGTCTTTTTCAAATGGAGAGCATTCTCAGTATTGGCATGCAGGTATGTATATACATATATAAATCGATCATGTTGTCATGGCAACGTATTGATGACGATGATGCTTTTAGATCCGCACAGATGATAATGCCCTGGCCAATCCACAATGGGATAGCAATTCACTTGAGCAATGGGATTACTTTTTAACTTGCGCCAATCAACTCGCTAGTGTCAAGCGGCGACCGCATCACAAGCGTGTTGTGTACTTTTTGATTACAGACTCGGTGCGTTTACGTGATGAGTTTGCATCCATCAATAGCAACAGCACGCTTGCCGAAATGTATTTGGGCCAATATCATAATGAAACCAGCACCGTCATCACCGGCTTGCCCATTCAGCACATTGAACCTGATCAAGTAGAAAAGTACATCCATGTTGAACATCACGTGGATGTCACGATTGAACGCATGACGCCTGGTGTTAATAGCGCAGTGATTGAGAATTGGCTTTTGGCAAACACCAATTACCGCATCATCAGCCCACAAGGTTATGGGAAGCTTGCCGCATTTCATTCCAACTCGGATAACAGCACCATCTCATTGCCAAGATATACAAGAAAACAAGATGCTCCCGATTGCACAAGCCCCGATGCCATGGTCACATACGACTGGCTTGCCACTCAATGGAGTCTTGGTTGATGACAACAACATCCCTTTACACTATTGCAAACATTTCTATTTCATATCCCACCACCACCACCCGTTGTACTATTACCACATTACAGCATTTTGCATTTTTGTCTTTTTCATTACAACAACATAGCTTCAGCTTTCAACAGGAAGAAACTTTAGATGAGCAAGATGATCATTGTGGATCGTTTGTATCACACCAAAAAAAAGTAGTTCTTGCATGGATGTCAAGGGATCTATTTTGTATGTATGACAAGTTCATTTCTCAGTTGTCTCAGCACCGCGTGCTTGTTGTGCTACGTCAAAGTCAGCCATGACAAAAATATAAGCAGCCTCATGTACAAGGTTTGGAGATTAAAAAGATCTGAGAAAAAGTAGGCAGTGGCAATCCGACGGGCGGGCGGATGTCCATCGAACAACATCGAGACAAGCTCAACAAGCTGAATGAGATTGGATATGTAGATGCTGGCTCTAGAGCGACAATCCAAACTGCGATCTCAATTACACACACTTAATGATCTGCGTTACCATCCCTCTGCCGTATTACCACCTTCCAACATTGATAAACAATGATATAGAATCAAGCATCATAAAGAGTACGTTTAAGAACACAAGAGGAGCAAAGTTTATTGGGAATGTTGATCCTATTTACTACATGGATATGCATCTATCTGGAACAGTAAAGAGATCGATGGTGCGTGCATTGCCTAATGGGGCAACATACCTTGCGAAATCCCTTTGGTGCAACATGCACTGTTGCGATGAATTTCTCTTGTGTGATAATAGGTGGTATGGCAGTCAACTTGTTCTTTTGTTCTTTGAGCTGGCTCTTTAGGAGACGACGACGACGACCCATTCCTGCTTTCTTGCTCCATCCATTCCTTCTCTCGTAATTCTGCTCGCTCAACCCATTCACGCACACACGCACACACACACACACACACACACACACACGACGTCGTAGTAGTTGTTGGTCATGGGCAATGGGACCCCTGATTCAGTGGTGGCGAAATGGACCACCGCCATTACCGATATCGATCTTGAAGCTGTCCAACAACTGTTAAGCAGCCATGGCGACGACTTGCTTTGGCAACCACTCGACAAGGATGCATTTATCAACCACCGCGACATTGTTGCTCAGCTTGAACAGGCGCAGCAGTTACTCGGCAACGACCTTGATAACATGTCAGCTATCCCGTTTTTGCTACTGGATCTTGACGAGAATGCAACAAGCCTCAAAGGAGAAGAACACATTATGCAAAGAAAGAGATCTGAACTACTCCAATTTCTTATTAAAGTAAGTATTGGTTCATTCTATGTATATGACCTCCTTGTTTCTACCTCCTGGCATGATGGTGGGCTGATTATAAGATTGGTAGCACACAAATCCAAACGATTTGAATTCTCATTTCTGGGGTTCCTGTCACAATACAACATTGCATTTGGCATCCTTTCTTGGACATACTCACATGATGGATCAACTTGTACAACAAGGCGCTTCCATGGATATCAATAATGATTTGGGTCATTCATCCACAACCATCATCACAGCAACAAAGAAGGATTCAAAATCACCACGTCCCAAGAAATCAGCTGAACGATTCAAACAGCAGCTGGATGAGAATAGCAGTAGTCAAGATGAATTATTACGACATCAAACAAAGCGTCAACAAGATATTGCTCGCTTGGCAAAACGTTCAGCTGTCAAGAACAATCCTCTCTTTAAAAAGTTTGAACAATCACCTTCATCATCTTCTTCCAGCTTGGATACAACAACAACAACAACAACAGGACGCAAATCACCACGTCGACTCAATGTACCTGAAAAGGTGGACCTTGTGCGTAAAAACTCAAAGGGCATCAGCTCGCTAAAGAACAAGTCCTATGTCACATCGAGCGTATTTCGTCAAGGCGAATCACCATCACCCTCACCATCGCGTAGTCCTTCACCTTCCATTCCTCCACCACCATCACCAGAACCATCCCAACAACCTGATACCAACACCCCATCATCAGCCATTGTCAAAGAGGAAGAGGATAATGATGATGCAGCTACAATCGAGGAAAATCAACCACAATCATCATCGATTACAAAAGAGACGAGCAAGGATGAGGAGATAGAGCAACAAAACGAGTCATCGACAGGAAAAGAGCCAACGTCACCTGAGCAATCACCTGAAGATTCTAAAGATGTACACTCAAAGGACAATGATGAAAAGGTAATGAATGATAGCTCTTGAAACTGCTTTTATTAAGCGATTAGAGTAGATGAAGCAAGAAGATGATCCACGCGATATCCCAACATCGTCGACTGCAGACAATGATGATGATGATGACATTATTCCGGTTGACAACAAGGATGAGGATCATGATGAAGAACAACCAGATACGCCAACACAAGCGAATTTACATCGATCAGCAGCTTCCGATTCTTTGAAATCAGCAGCTTCTTTACAAAGTGACAAATCGGAGGACAGCAATGTCAGCAAAGTATCACCAAGCGCTGAAGAGCAAGAGGAGGAGGAGGAGCAACCATCAACAATGATCGAGGACAAGGTTCCCAGTGACAAGAATACAGCAAGATTTTCGAGTGATAGCAATCAATTATTTGAAGCTCCAGCGGCCATTGCTCATGATGATAATCCTCGTGCTAGTATGCGTAGTGAAATGAGCGACCAATTCTTTGACAGTTACGAAGAATGGATCGATACACCTCAAGGTCGCATGTCACTCACCCCACCCGCTCGTATGAACAACAATGATAAACGACAATCATCATCACCTTTACGTCAATCCATCATTGCTATGATCCCCACGCATGAAGAAGAAGAAAAAGAAGGAGATGATGATGATGATGATACAACATCCCAACAAGGAGAAGCAGCTCCACCAAAGACATCTTCCGAGTTTGATGAAACATCTGTTGCTTCGCGTACACCCCCAGCATCTTTTAGTCCACAGCAAAGACGATCGATGGGTACCGAGAGCATTGATACTTTGCCACCACTAAGTATCAAAGGAGAAACAGGGGTAGAAGAGGAAGAACAAGTGCCACCATTACCAGTGAATGAGATTACTACTGCTGCTGCCAGAACACGAGCCTCTCATCAAAGCGACTATGGCAGCATAGCAGTACAATCAACATCCTATTATGTGGCTTTGGATAAGCAATCTGAAGAACGCAAAGAAGAGGAGGAACCATCTCATGAGGAAGAGCAACAACAATCGGCCTCAGAGACCGATACAATTCGATACACCGAAGAACGCATAAATGAAAGCACACAACAAAGTCAACAACAACAAGGCACCGAGGAATATGGCAACATTGCATTACGCACGACCTCCAATTATGTGACACATCGACTTTCTCAGCACCATCACCAAAAGGGTGAATACGAGGAATTTACGTCTGACTATCGACCTCCTAGTGTGAAGCTTGAATTACCCGAGATTAAGACACAACATCCAGGACAATCGACATCAGCGTTTGGCAAATTGTATATCCGCATCCACAGTGCTCAGGATATCCTGCTTCCTTTACCCAAGTTGACAAGCTATGTGCGATGCGTTGTGAGTGATGGCGAATTTGAATTCATGTCGCGATACGAGTTACTTGGCCAAAAGATCACGTTTGATTATGAATGTATCATTGATGCACGACCGGACATGATCATCACAGCAGCATTGCATGTACGACCTGATCCACACGTGCGACCCAAAACGGGACTAAGCAAGTTGCTCACATCGGCTCGCAAGCAACGGGAAACTATTGGCGGCTATGTTCATCCTGACGATGGCGCTATTGGACAAACGCGATTTGCACTTGGCCATATGATTCAGGCATGCAATCAAAAAACATACCAAGCCAGCTTGGATTGCTTCAATTCGTGGTATGTTCGATCGTCACGTGAGCAAAAACGACAACAAAGCATGGATGAGGATATCCTCAAGGTGGTAGGAAGCATGTCCATGGAAATGCTTTATTTGCCTGTCACCGATCCTACCCTTGTAAGTAGTAAAATGATCCCCTTTTATGGCATCATCGTTTCTAATTACTTCTTCTTGTCACCTATAATAGCCTATCCCCAAGAATCTAAGAGAGTGTGATTTAGCACTACGGATACGACAATGGCATGATACTTGTTGGCATAGTGGCTATCTTTCCATACGTGTAGCAGGCTCCAAGGTATGTGGGAATGGTGGATCGTGTATGTAAGATGCTTATCGTTACTTTTTAAGTTATGGGATCGACATTATTGCAGGTTGATCGGAAGTCAATTGCTTGGCTATGCATCCAAGACGGCTTCTTCATGGACACCACGTGTACAATATGATATTGCAGATGCATTAAGACTCGTTGCTTCTTCGGATCAAGTCATTGTGACCCTAGTCGATGTACCTGATACCCGCGTGTTCCAAGAAGACACCATCATTGAGGAAACCAGCCGAGGATACTTCCGAATCACTTTTCCAGATATTCATGTCGACTGCGTATGTGATGAACCCCATGAAAGTGAAGCTTGGGTCAAAATGTTGAAATCCATGATCGGCCGAGTGCCCCTGAAAGTACCATTCTCCCTATAGTTACCTCTACTACTACCACTACTATCATATACATACACACCCACAACATCCTTTGCATTCCCCTCCACCTCCTCCTCCTCATTGACATTTATTATATATATATCCCTTTTCATCATTCTTAGCACACCGCTATATGATTGTAGTCTCCCTCCCTCTTTCTCGAGCCCATAGACTCTACAATGTTGTTCTTTATCCGATACAGTAAAAAAAGTTTATGTATAATGGATCAACTTCGGGTAATACATAAGCGATAAGACGAGCTGATGCAATGTACGCTTAGCTCTTTTACAATTTGGGTCTTCGCCAAGAAAAAGGTAGAGCACAGGTCGCTTGATTTCAATTTCCTTTTTCACCACTGGGACAAATGCAGTTTTCGCGTTTGATAAAACAAGAGATGGGGCATATGATAGTATAAATGTTGATCTAGCAGTACAGCTTTTGGTCTGTCACAATCTACATAGTGCTGAAGGTGGTGTTCATAATCGATGTTTTGAGCTTCTTAGAGAGCACCGTTAGAAGAGATCATCATTAAAGTAGCACAGCACTCGCTTTGTCGCTTCAACTTGGAAAATGAGTGCACTTGCAATTGGATTTTCCCTATGATGGTGTTTGTTGCCTCACATTGTTCGCCATAAATGTATATATATCAAATGCTTCACAACTTACGGCAGCAGTATTAACATGCCGGTGGCAATGCTTTAATTTCACATGCTATGCTCCACGCCAGAAGTACAATAGATCCAAATCAATGTTGAGTCCAGGTCCTCTTTTCTTGTTTCCCTTGACGTTCTTGAAAGCAAGTCTCATCATATACTTCAGGTTCGCTTTTGCTGATTCCACGGTGTCAAAGTTGCCGATAAAGGTCTGTACAACATGCTTCTGGGCTTTGCACAACTTCACCAAACTTGGGTATCTCTCCTGCCTGCAATACTCCTCCATCACTATTATATGAAGTAGACTTTTAGTTTAAGAACCGATTCAATAAAACCACCTGCTTACAAGTATAAGATCAGACATTGTCAAATAAAAGCACTGAGAAGAGGACTGGTAGTGATAATGCAGCTGGCGAAGAACACGGGACTTCGCTATTTGCACCATGTCAAATGCACCATGTCAACTTCAGCACCCGACATACTTAAACCATGGCACCGTAACCAAAAGATGCATCATGAGAGATAGCTATATCTATCAAAAGTAACGAGGTAGCGTGTATGAGTAGTGACTCTTCAAACAATACGATTAGGCTTACATTTCTATAAGGATCCAACGTATCACAATGAGGACGATGTCTACAACCTTATGAACGACCACAACGATCAACGCTTATTCACAAAGTTTTCAAGAAATGGGATACGTACATACAAAACCTTGGAAGTTTGACCTTGTAAGCAATCAACGAAGAATGACAAAAGAATGAGACGGATAGGAATAGTATGATGGGCGGCGGCAACATCCTTTTATTGTTTGCGTTGGGCGTGGGTATTGCTGTGACCACAAAGAATGATAAAATGATTGTTGGGGATGATGGATTGATAAAGTGATGGTGGCGCATATACCAGGATTAAGTCTGAGGAGCCTAGTGCAATGTTGTCTATGCATACATACATCGTTCAATTAGGGCAGGCGATAAAAATCTATCGATGAAACCAATCACTTGTACGCCTACTAATGCACATCCCCATTGTTAAAAAGGTGCCTTACCATGATGTTGTCAACCTACTTTTTAACATTCGTATGCGTCTTCGGTAAGCAGCGAGTATGATCGTATCGCCTTTAATATCAGCAGCCAATCCCATGGCACTGCGCAATTGTGCTTCGAATAAAGAGACATGGTGCAAATAGCAAAGCCCAGTACACGTGCATGAAATCCGCAGCTGCGGCGTGTCAATTTGCGGATCCACTGGCTTTATTGTGAATAAGGAATCTAAGTGTAGAATGTAGCTCTTCCGTTGGCACAAATAAGTGTTTACTTCTGGATCGTCATTTGCAATTGCTCTCATTGCTATAGCTGTTTGCTTTTCTCAAGGCAAGATGAAGGAATCCAGCATTGTGTAAGTGTGCAACTCCTTTGTTGGTACCATGTAAGCGTTTGCTTCTGGGTCCTTTGTCTCTTTGGTGTCTCTGGTCTCTTTGGTGTCTTTGGTCTCCTTGCCTTTTACTCTCAAGCTAAGACGAAGGAATCCAACATTGTGTAAGTGTGCAACTCCTTTGTTGGTACCATGTAAGCGTTTGCTTCTGGGTCCTTTGTCTCGTTGGTGTCTTTGGTGTCTTTGGTCTCGGTGCTGTTCTTAAGTCAACGAGAATGCTGCGCATGAATCACATTCATCATCCATCAAAACACCCTCTAAATATAGCGTAATAGAGAACAATTATCATCAGATCACTTTCATAAACAATCCTTTATATATGGTACATAATCGTAAGATTCATTTATCGCCATTGTGCCTGTAATCCAGATATTCATGTCGATTGCGTTTGTGGTGAACCTCATGAAAGTGATGCTTGGGTCAGAATGTTGAAAGTCATGGTTGGCCGGGTGCCCCTGAAAGTACCATTCTCCCTATAGTTACCTTTAGTACCATCTCGACTATCATATACATACACACACACAACATCCTTTGCATTCCTCTCCACTTCCTTATCCTCATTGACATTTATTATATATACATCCCTTTCATCATTCTTAGTACACGCTATATGACTGTAGCCTTTCTCTTTCTCAAGCCAATAGACTTTACAATGTTGTTCTTTATCCGATGAAAAAAGTTTATGTATATTGGATCAGCAACGTTCGGGTGATATTAAGCGACAAAAGGCGAGCTAATGCAATGTATGCTTAGCTCTCTCTTTTACAATTTGGGTCGTCGCCAAGAAAAAAAGTGTAGTGCACAGGTCGCTTTATTTTTATTTCCTTTTTTGCCACTGGGACAAATACAATGCCGTCTTATCACAAACAGGCTTTTGATCATCGCGTCATTGTTGCCTGCTGCCTGTAGATTTCTGCGATTGTCTCATGTGGGTGCTGCTATTGTTGTTGACAAGAAGGTTGACCGTTGCCATTTATATTTTGCTACCTTTTTCTTTCCCTTTCCTTTTCATCCACAGCACAACGCATACACATATGAAACATGATCATCATTCAGCGGCAATATCTGTATACCAGCTTACGAACACTTGCATTGGGATCACTTGTACTTGCCATGGTGTGCTCTGTTGCATACATTATCCGGCCATTGAGTATACCTCCGCCTCCAGTGGAGTTAACGACGTCGTCATCGACAACACCAGCCGTTGAATCCATGGAACAACAACAGCCTATGGGTGATTACTTTTTGGACAAAGCCTATGTCACCATCATCCACAACGAGTTGGAGGTATGATCAAACGAATGTTTCTTATGCAACCATCATTTGACACGCACTTTGAAAAGATCAATCCTGCCAAAGTAGCCATGTATTCATTATATAAAACTCGTCCTCAAGCACGCATGGTGGCTATTGTTCCAGACACCTTTTCAGAGGACAATGCAACCTCGCTTCAATCGATCGGCTTGGATACCGTTGTTATCAAGGTCAGTCGCTTTTAGTGTATGTGGCTGTGAAAAAGAAACTCAAGAATGGCCCATTCGTTTGTCTCGTGAATAGGCACCACCTTCTTCTTCTTCTTCTTCTTCGGCCCTTGTTGATACTACGGCAATATGGAACGTTGTACCGGCGACGATTGACAAAGTTGTATACTTCTCCACCGAGATCATGTTTCAAAAGGTAACAACCCGTTGTATGTAGGTGTCCATGTGATATGAAAATTATTATTAACATGAAGCAGAATGTGGATCATTATTTTGGGTATGTTGCACATACCGTGCTCAAGAAGGATAACGGGCCTGTAGGCTTAAAAGTCCTTGAACGAGGAGAACAAACATCCTCCTTCTCCTCCAGCAGCTTGTTGTTATCAGAAACATTTCCTATGGCAGATCAGGTATAGTACGTGGCTGGGCGCGTGATGTATGTAGTGTGTGTTGACTTATTTCTTGGCATACACATACAGGAGGTGTTCTGGTTCCATGGGCCAATGAAACCATGGAATGCGCATCACTATCACGGCATTGATTGGCAGACCCATTACAATCCGCTTCCGTTTTACCATTGGCGTCATTTGCATGATGAATTGGCCTTAAGCATGGGTGAGACGCCACAATGGATCAACCAAGATCGACGCCGCTTGGTGTGCGATGATGCGTCGTCAACGATGATGGTCCCCAAGAACAACAACGTTGATCAATTTACAGTCTTGTTGAGTACATACAATCCCGAACGTATTCAGCACTTGCAACTTTTAATTCAGCATTTGCTACAATCAACAAAAGTCCACAAAATCTTTGTCACATGGCACAACCCCCATTTGGATGTGCCCGATGCTCTGTTGCAAATGGGTGAACGGGTGACTATCTTGCAACAATCCTATGATTCCCTTAACAACCGATTCAACCCGATCAACGCCATTGAAACGGAAGCCGTCTATATCATCGATGACGACGTCTTGGTCGATATACAAGACATTGAATTCACTTTTGAGGTAGCGTATGTGCGTGTATGTGTACGTGGATCAAAAGGGACTCATGTTAGGTATGGTAGGTTTGGCGTTTAAACAAAGATAGCATTGTGGGTCATTTTCCTCGTCTCCATGGATACAACCCGGAAACACACAAGGGCTCCTATCGAGTACCAAAGGATGATGAGGCATACAGCATGATCCTTACCAAGAGCATGTTTGCTCGTACCGATTATTTGTTTGCATACACATGGCAAGTACTACTGCCACCCATTTCTATGATACAATGTTGTATATAGCTGACACATGTATGTTAGTTTACTAGACAAGGAATTACATCATATCATTGATGAGCGGACCAATTGTGAAGACATTGCATTCAACATGATGGTTTCTGGAATGACGGGCGCCAAAAGCATTGCCGTGATTCCATCCAAGCCAATGATCGATTATGGTGGAAAAAAAGGCATCAGCACCAACAACCATCACATGGAAGAACGAAGAGAATGTGCAGGTCGCTTCATCACCGAATATTGGGATGCTGTGGATCCACTGATCATGTCACATTCAGCCGTGGTGCGTCGTGTAGGACCTCAAATACAGAAAGGAAGATGGGAGCATATGCAGGCAGATCTCCATTCCTCTTTTGTGTAACTTTTGCTTTCATTAAATTGTAGTATATTGGATTTCACTTGTGCATAAATTTGGATTTTGTTGTATCATGGTTACGTGGCGGTTGCGGTGGTGACGGTGTAATGTGCTATTTGCTATGCAACGGGGTCCTTGTGTCTGAGAAAAGTCAACAGCTCATGGATTCATAATGAAGCAGGGTATCGTATGATGAATGGTATGTAGTATCATGGAAACAAAGATCCTTCATTAATGTTGCTGTCATTGTTGTATACAATGAATCCCATATCACGTGTACTCGTAAATGATGATCGTGTATACTACGTATCCACGTTTATTTTTATGATACAAAGCTAAGCAAAGCGAGCAGGGTGGAGGTGGGCATGCAAAGCATAGCAAAGCATAGGATGGGCGGAGCCTGTGACGGTCTGAGATACAGTGGAAGAGGGGGGATATCAGGCAAGCCTGGAAAGGGACGCGTGTCCTTGAATTTCCTTTCCTATTCCTGCTACAACGATCGCAACACAATGTCTGACGGCAAACTCGAAAAGATGGAAAAGGACTTTAGTCCTCAGGTCGATGCCTTGTTGCCTGAAACAGAATCCCTCACCAAGGTAGATGCTGGCGATCGTGTCTCCAGAAAACAAACATGGGCTGACTTGAACGAACTCTAATGATAGCAAGGCAAGCTACAAGAAGCTCTCGACAAACTTTTAGCATTGGAAAAGCAAGCACGCAATGTGAGTGACCAAGGGAGGAAGGGAGGGTGGCCATTGAGAAAAAGACAACTGACATTGTTACTAGGCTGCTGATGCTTCATCCACTGGACGTATTTTGGTGCAAGTGGTCAAACTATGCCGCCAAGTCGATGACTGGAAGCTGTTGAATGAGCAAATTGTCCTCTTGTCCAAGAAACACGGTCAACTCAAGGCGGTACGTTTTAAAGAGACACGTTTACGAGGCGACAGACAACTGATTGGGATGTTTTATATATAAAGGCAACGACAAAGATGATCCAGGAGGCATTCTCCTATCTCGACAACACACCCAACATGGAAGTCAAGCTTGAATTGATTGATACTTTGAGGACAGTAACGGAAGGAAAGGTACGACATTTGGAACCCTTCTTTATGAGTGTGTAGACGCTGACACCATCCTAGATCTATGTCGAAGTGGAACGTGCACGTGTCACCCGTATCCTTGCACAGATTCGTGAGAGTGAAGGAAAGATCAACGAGGCAGCCGACATTCTTCAAGAGTTGCAAGTCGAGACCTTTGGTTCAATGGAAAAGCGTGAAAAGACCGATTTCATCCTTGAGCAAATGCGATTGTGCTTGGCCAAGCATGACTATGTACGCACCCAAATCATTTCAAAAAAGATCAACACCCGATTTTTCCAAGACAAAGAAAACGAGGTAAGAAGCGTACATGGGAAAATGATGGGACACCCATCTAACTTGGTATATAGGACCTCAAATTACGATTCTATGATTTGATGATTCAACATGCACTTCACGAAGAACAATATTTGAACGCCCACAAATTCTACAAGCAAATCTACGACTCTGAATCGATCAAACAGGATGACAGCAAATGGAAGGATGTAGGTTTTTCTTTTGTGTGTGTGTATGTGGTATTGCAATCAGTATATTGACGTAGCGTTTAGGTTCTTGAGAAAGCAATTCTTTTCGTCGTCTTGTCACCCTATGACAACGAGCAATCTGATCTCTTGCACCGTTCTTATGAAGATCCCAACCTTTCCCAGATTCCCTTGTATCAGTAAGTACATGCGACACGTTTTTCCGAGAACAAGGTTCAATTTAACATGCCAAATTATAGAGAACTCGCAAAGTGCTTTGTGACCAGTGAATTGATGCGATGGCCAAAGATCGAGGAATTGTATGGTGAAGCACTCGGCCAAACCACCGTGTTTAGCAAAACCAGCGACGATGGTATCAAACGATGGAAAGAATTGCACCACCGTGTCATTGAGCACAATATCCGCGTTATCGCCAAATACTACACACGTGTCACCACCAAACGTCTTATGCAGTTGCTTGATCTCAGCGAAGCCGATACAGAGGAATTCTTGTCGAAGTTGGTCGTGTCAAAGACAATCTATGCACGAGTGGATCGACCCGCCGGTGTTATCTCATTCCAAGTCAAGAAGGATGCTAATCAAGTGTTGAACGATTGGTCAAGTGATATCAATTCCCTGCTGAACCTCGTTGAAAAGACCTGTCATTTGATCTCCAAAGAGGTAAGCAAAAGATCCTCCTGCCAAATGCTTCGATGGATGTGTGTGAGCTGATTGGGTATTCTTATTTAGGAAATGGTCCATAGCATAGCAAAGGTTATGTAATAGGTTGTTTACGTCCCCCATTCTATTATAAAGCAAGATGAAAAAAAGAGAGATAATGTGGATGGATCTTGGCATATTGTAAACGATAAATGTATGCACCATGTATGTATGTTCATGGCGTGTGAATCAGAGGCGCATGTCCAAACAATGACAGCACTCGTTCATCATCATCATCATCATTCACTCTATCCATGTTGCACAAAAATCATCGTGATGGAGGAGGTGGGGAAACGTGATACTGGCTATAAAGATGAACGCTACTACTATTGCTGAAACCGGAAAAATGAGCAAGCTGCGAAATGTGTCAAAATCTAAAACTTGCAGGGAGCATATGACGTTAGAAATATTTGATCACCAGCACACCACTCATACATATGCACTAAGCGGCTGGGATCCGCATGGCATGTACTCAAAACCCTTCGCTGAGAACACTTCTATGGTCCATGTCACACACACACTGGTACGCATTGGTTCATCCCATGTCGGTGCTACGATGGGCCGCGAAACCTGTATATTACTTGTTATGTATATACCCACCATCAGCGATTGTATATATAACCCCCCGGGCTTTATAGATGTACCTGGATTTTCAGCAACGTTTCTTTTCATGATGATCATCCACAACATTTACTGGCTGACTTTGTTTGCTACCACTACTACTGCATTGGCAGGTGCAGTAGCTGCTGCTGACCACTACAAGACTCGCCAAGTTGGTGCAGCGAATACACCTGAATACTCTATTTACTATGGTAAATCATGCACATGTATAATAAATCAAATGATAGGATATGTATTAATAAATCTGTATCCTCAGAGAATGAAAATGGCATACCTATCTCTCCTTTCCATGATCTGCCATTTCGCCCTAACCCCAATAATGCATCCATATACAACATGGTTGTCGAGATCCCTCGATGGCATAATGCAAAGTTAGAGGTGAGGAGGAGCAAGACGGCTTTTTTTTCCCAAGCTACTTGTAGTAGCATGCTGATGACATCAATATAGATCAACCGTACCATACCATTTAATCCAATCCGCCAAGATAAAGCACCTGATGGTGGTGATTTGCGTTACATTCCAAACATCTTTCCCTTCTTTGGTTATGTAGGTAATTATGGTGCCATTCCTCAGGTAGTATCATGGATTCATTATTATCGTGAGCCTGTTTTAGCTAAATAGATGATCGTACATAGACATGGGAAGACCCCAATGTTCCCAATCACGACATTGGTACGAAAGGGGGTGACAATGATCCAATTGATGTCATTGAAATCGGTGATCTATTGGGTCATCCTGGCCAAATTAAGCAAGTCAAGATTCTCGGTGCATTGCTCATGATTGACAACAATTACACGGATTGGAAAATCGTAGCCGTGGACATCAATGATGAGAAAGCCCATCATTTAAATGGTAATGTTGGGTCTCTTTATATGTATACATGTATGTAGTTGCTCACGACAAGGATGATATAGATATAGACGATGTTGAAGAAAGTATGTTGACAGCCATCAAGCATTGGTATGCTGTTTACAAGGAGCCCGACGGTTCACCCGAGAATAACTTTGGCTTTGATGGTCGCTTCATGAATAAGGTAAGGGCATTGTGTGTATGACAATGATCGATGCTAAGACACAACGATAGACGTATACGGAAGAGATTGTGCATGAAACGCATGGTTATTGGCAAAAGCTTGTGAATGGAACAACAAGAGCTGATGACATCTCCACGTATGTGATGTAAATCATCCAAGATGTTAATATGAAAAACTAACAATGATGGGTGTAGGGTAAATTTATCTGTCAATGGGTCATCACATCAAGTCAAGAGCGATTCTCCAGAGGTGAAGGATGTTCCCAAGGTAAGGTTCTTTGTGTGTGCTTTTGCTCGGATCTTGAAAATGATCTTCTCACATCTGAGCAATAATAGGCAAATCCAATCCCAGATGCTAAACAGCCAGCCTCTTCGCTTGTTTGGTCACATGTCTCGCTTAATCTCTCATTTTAAAAAGACTCTTTAACCAATTGCTTCAAGAATAAAAGTGTACTATTATATCCATAATGAATGATAAGATGATGCTATTGAATCTGTTGTCAATGGGGATGTGGGTTGGGATAGAGATAAAAGAGGATTTCATATGCTGCAAGGGGCGATGTACACAGTCACGAGACTATAAACAATATTTTTGCGTTGAAGCGAAAGCCATCCTCTTGCCTTCTCGCTATCGTAGCGCCAAAACAACATGTTGAGAAACGCTGCTCGTCTTGCCAACTTTGCCAAGCCTGCTCAGGCTGTAAGTCTTCTCTTCCTCATTCACACATCACAATGCCATGCCTCCATTGTCCTTTGCTTGCTCACATTTCTTCCTTCTCTTATAGATGCGCATCAATGCTGCTGCTGCCAATGCCTTCCGCACCTACGCTACTGCTAAGGCTTCCACCTCTGAAGTCTCTTCTGTTCTTGAACAACGCATCCTTGGTGCCGAGTCTGAAGCCAACCTTCAAGAGACTGGTCGCGTCTTGTCCATTGGTGACGGTATTGCCCGTGTCTATGGTTTGAAGAACTGCCAAGCTGAAGAAATGGTTGAATTCTCCAGTGGTCTCAAGGTAACAAATGATACTTCTTCATCATCAACAATACGCCTTTGTTTATTGACATTCGAATGATGATTTAGGGTATGGCCCTTAACTTGGAACCTGACAACGTTGGTATTGTCGTTTTCGGTAACGATCGTTTGATCAAGGAAGGTGACACTGTCAAGCGTACTGGTGCCATTGTTGATGTCCCTGTTGGTCCTGGTGTCCTTGGTCGTGTTGTTGATGCCCTTGGTAACCCCATTGATGGCAAGGGTCCCCTTGAGACTGTTGGCCGCTCCCGTGTCCAAGTTAAGGCTCCTGGTATCTTGCCCCGTCACTCTGTCAACGAGCCTATGCAAACTGGTATCAAGTCTGTTGACTCCATGGTACCTATTGGTCGTGGTCAACGTGAATTGATCATTGGTGATCGTCAAACCGGCAAGACCGCTGTTGCTCTTGAAGCCATTCTCAACCAAAAGAACTGGAACAATGGCTCTGATGAGGCCAAGAAGCTTTACTGTATCTACGTCGCCGTTGGTCAAAAGCGTTCCACTGTTGCCCAACTTGTCAGCACCCTTGAAGAACACGATGCCATGAAGTACACCACCGTTGTTGCTGCTACTGCTTCTGAAGCCGCTCCTCTTCAATACCTTGCTCCTTTCTCTGGTGCCGCTTTCGGTGAATGGTTCCGTGACAATGGCAAGCACTCTTTGATCATCTATGATGATTTGTCCAAGCAAGCTGTTGCCTATCGTCAAATGTCCCTTTTGCTTCGTCGTCCCCCTGGTCGTGAAGCTTACCCTGGTGATGTCTTCTACCTCCACTCCCGTTTGTTGGAGCGTGCTGCCAAGATGAACAAGGACTTCGGCTATGGTTCCATGACCGCTTTGCCCATCATGTAAGTTGTTGCTACATCATTTAAAAATTGTATGTTGATAAGAGATTAACATTGTTGCCATATCATAGTGAGACCCAAGGTGGTGATGTGTCTGCTTACATTCCTACCAACGTCATTTCCATCACTGATGGCCAAATCTTCTTGGAAGCCGAACTTTTCTTCAAGGGTATTCGTCCTGCCATTAACGTTGGTTTGTCCGTTTCTCGTGTCGGTTCCGCTGCCCAAACCAAGGCCATGAAGCAAGTCGCTGGTTCGCTCAAGCTTTTCTTGGCTCAATACCGTGAAGTTGCTGCCTTTGCCCAATTCGGTTCTGATTTGGATGCTTCCACCCAATTCTTGCTCAACCGTGGTGCTCGTTTGACCGAATTGCTTAAGCAACCCCAGTACCATCCTTTGGCTATCCAAGTCCAAGTTCCTATTGTCTTTGCTGGTGTCAACGGTTTCCTTGACAAGCTCCCTGTCAACAAGATCGTCGACTGGGAAAAGGATTTCATCAGCCACATCCAATCCGAACACAAGGATGTTCTTGAGGAGATCCGCACCCAAGGTGTTCTCTCCAAGGACCTTGAAGGCAAGCTCCGTGACATTTGCGAAAACCACGTCAAGTCTTTCCAGTAAACCTTTTATTTTAAATCATCGCATTCCCAGTGAGCTGCTCGCTGATCCACAATAAAAAAGTAGAAAGCAAAAAAGTAATCTTGTGAATGTGTGTATGTTTATTACTACTTCTTTTTCATCCATACAACTTCAGTGTCATGAGGATAAATTACATAGCCATCAGCATTGGGTTTGAATTCATTGGCTGGATCTTGTACAATTGCTTCAAGTTCCTTGTACAATGCTTCTTTGACGTCGTCAGGTAAACTTGCAACATAGCTCTTGGTCATGACACGGCGACACACGTGATCCTTGTGGATGGTCATATCATAATCAAACATGCGTTGCTGGAAAGGTAGTTCAAAAAGCTCAGCAGCTTCCTTGGTATCAAAGCATTGCTTCCATTCTCCCTTTCGATATTGCGGCACGTCTTGATCAAGCTGTTGATAACGTCTACCATAACGTGTGATGAGCAAACAATCATCCTCTTCATAGTAGTATATATCACTTACTCTTTCAAAAGACGCACCCATTTGCTTTTTTCACCACTTTCCATGTTCCAAATGAGTATCAAAACGCCATTGGGTTTAAGAACACGATGCATTTCCTTGAGACTGGCAACATCTGCAAACCAATGAAAGGCTTGTGCAACGATCACGGCATCCTGCGATTGATCCTCCAAAGGAATGGACCAGCTGGTGCCATCAAATACAGGCACATGGGGCAACAACGAGTGTAACTTTTCACGCATGTTTTCGGTGGGCTCGACTGCTGTAATGTGCTTGTATCCCACCTTGTCAAGCAAGATGGTCATGATACCTGTGCCTGCAGCAAGATCAAGGATCTTGGCATGATCCGTATCAGGTACCAGTGACTTGATGTGATCCAATGCCGCTGTTGGATACGAGGGTCTTGATTTAGCTATAAAACAAGGAACATGGTCAATAAAGAAAGAGGGTTATAGGATTCATCTTACCGTAATCATCAGCAGCGACGTTGAAGCCTGCAATGGCGGTGGGGTGTACGTTAGCCATAATAATTAAGGAAGAAAAAGAAAGAGCGGATGTGTGTGAGTCATTTGCTTTTCTCCGAATGCGTGTCTTTTATATACGATATGTATGCAATGGAAGGGAAAAAGAATACCAGTTCGATGGCGGGAGTGATTTCCATTAGCATATAATACCTCGGCTAAACGAACATAAAAAGGGCACTTTAATAGTGGGGCCATGAAAGGGTCGGATGCAGAGGGTCACATTGTACTCCCAAAAATTCATCAGATTGACTGACAGAAAATAGGATTGCCCGATAAAATCAGAAGGCCTCTTTAATATGCGAGAATCTGGAGGGCGTTGTTTCTCATTACCCCTGAGAAGCATGTAATCGTTATATGTACTCGGCAAATTTACGTCCCCCAGTACCCGTAAACCAAACTAGGATCTGATTCATTACATAATGATGATCTTCAGCATATCCCCGTGACACTTGGATGATACATGTTGTCAGTTAGTAAAGTAGAAGAGGTCCAAAGGTAATCGCTTTGGATCGTTACATCAATTGTTTACATGATAATGGAAAAGTATACTAGCATCCACTATACATGTAGCTTGACGATCATCCTTCAATCATCTAAAGTTTCCTTGGTAACCACCAACCAATGCAACAACCAGGGTGACCAAACCTCGGTATCCACGTAGTTATGGGATAGCAAATGGATACAATCACGGCATTTATTGAATGATAGCATCATATTCTAAACGATATCCTTGAGGTCAATCTTAGTGTGCCTTGCTCTGATATGGAATGAGGCGAGCCTTCTTTACTTCACAGCAGCAGCATTATCGCCATGTTATCGTTGCCAATGTCCGACGTCCAAATTAGATTCCAGCAGGTGAAACAGCTGAGGATGTGTCCCTCTCCTCTTATCCCAAACGCAACACACGCAACACACGCAACCCCACACACGCAGCCATGATCAACTCACTGTTCGTGATAAATCTACAAGGGTAAATCCACTTGAGTCTTGTTGGTACGCATTGTCCCATTGACTCGTTGCTGTTTACAGGAAGATCATTATCGAGAAGCATTGGCGTGGTATCATTTCTCGGCAAATCGTCGACGTGTTCAATGACGAGAGTGCCAAGTTTATCAACTCGGTGCCAGAAAACATGAATGGTGACAAGGATTGGAAGGAGCCCTTTTACAGTCGAGAGGATGTGCCACCTATTTTGGAGACGCCCAAGTACTGGCTACTCAACGTCCTACGCGATGATTTGATATGGTTGTGTCCTGTGGATCGTGAAGGTAAAGGATGCATTGGGTTGGCATATCGACCTATGTATTAAGACGTGTGAGACTATAGTGGATCCCATGCTTGTATTTGAATTCATTCATCGCATCATCGATATCCTTACCGATTACCTTGCCGAGGTGTCCGAGCCATCGATACGAGAGAACTTTGTCACCGTGTATCAGTTACTGGAGGAGATGATGGATTATGGTTACCCCTTGACAACAGAGCCAAACACACTCAAAGATATCATTATGCCACCCACGATCATGAATCGAGTGATGACGACCGTCAATGCAGCTGCAGGGTAAATTTGAGGAAAGGAGGAGGAGGATATGGATGATGATAGGGCTGACACACCACCCGTGATGGGACATAGTGTTGCTCCCAAGTTCCCACAGAATCTTTCCAGTATCCCATGGAGAAAGGCAGGCGTCAAATATACCCAGAACGAAATCTATTTTGATATCATTGAGGAGATTGATGCTACCATTGCACAGTGAGTATCCTTTGTTATGGGAGGATCAGAGAGAGAGAGAGAGAAATGGGTGACCTAATATACATGAAAGGAACGGCACGGTTGTTTCATGCGAAGCTCATGGCAATGTCGTCGCAAATTGCCGGTTGTCAGGTATGTATATGAAAGAGAGGGATCAACAAAGCGACACGCTACTCACGCATACGTGTATTAAGGCATGCCGGATTTGACCTTGAGCTTTGTTAATCCTCGATTGATCGACGATGTGAGCTTTCATCCATGTGTGCGGTAAGCGGATGGAAAAAAGGATTGGATAAGGCTTGGCTATAACGCGACATCATTATCAGTTATCGGAAATGGGAGAGCGACAAGGTGCTTTCTTTTGTGCCGCCTGATGGTCAATTCAAGCTCATGTCTTATAGGTAAAAATGGGATGTAAAGGCAATGGGATCTTGTAACTAAATGTATCCTTAACTTTAGAGTCGCATTGACGCACTATCAAGCAATGCCATTGCAAGTGAAACCCCAAATACTGGTATCCAAGAATGGAGGTAGGGTTATGGTAAATCACAATGAGGATGGGATGTTCACACGCCATGATAGGCAAATTTGATATTAGTGTGCATCCACGAACAACTGATGGCAAGCCTATTGAAAACGTAAAGCTGTCACTTCCCATGCCAAAGAGCACTCTAAGTGTAAATGCTACATGCAACAGCGGCCAATACATGTATGATCCAGTGAGCAAGGTAAAGTGTCTCATTGTTAGTCCCATTGCTGGTAGCGCTGATGACGTCCTTTCTATTGTAGTCTATCAAGTGGGATATCGGCAAAATTCAACAACGGGATCGGGCACCTATGCTTTCAGGCACATTCCGAAGCAGGTTAGTGATTGATTGATGGAGAGAAGGATAGGATAGGATGGTTGCTAATCATGGCTTTAGTGATCTCGATCCTGATACTGGCATGACAATCGGGGTTGAATTCCAGATAAGCATGTATGCTGTCTCTGGATTACGTGTGGATAGCTTAAGGCTTTTCCATGAGGGCTATAAACCATACAAGGTACGAAAGGATCATCATCATGCGCGTGGATATAGGATTACTCATCGGGTATTTGATAGGGTGTAAGGAGTTTAACTAAGGCTGGCAAGTTTTATATCAGAACATAAATAAACCATCTATGTAGAGTATGTAATTGGGCTCATTGTTGTGGTTCATGCATCTTGCGGATATTCTCATCCGGCGGGCTAATGCTTATTAATGCACCTTCTTGACGCTGACTAAAACCGAACACACCTCTCTTTTCTTCTCCACTTCCTTTACCCCGCACTTTTTTTTACATATCTCATTTACTATCATGCTTGCTGCTGTGCTCTCTGATTCCCCTCGTCAAGAAAAGTTCAAGTATTCCCTTCAAGTGAAGGAACATGTCGTTCCTGAGGCGCGATCGGACCAAGCCGTTGTGCAGATTCAAGCGGCTGCACTCAATCATCGGTAAGCAGCAGCTGTCATCTTCCCATTCGCCCATGGTGTAACTTTTTATTCACTCGACATAGTGATATCTGGATTCTCAAGGGCTTGTATCCTGGTATTAAGCCTGATTCGGTCTTGGGTGCTGACGCTGTGGGTGTGGTCCTCAAGTCCAGTGGTGCTGGTGCTGCCAAAGTCGGTCAACGCGTCTTGATTTCACCTAGTGTCAACTGGGATTCCAATCCACGAGCTCCAGAAGGCGCATTTAGCATCCTTGGCTTATTGCCTAATCCTGGTAAGTAATGTCATCATCGTGTGTGATTTAAGGTTTTGCTGACAAATCCACCCACACTACAATCATGCAGGTACCCTTGCTGAAACCATCAACATTGACGAAAAGGAGGTCTTCCCTTGCCCCGATCATCTTACAACGGCCGAAGCTGCTGCTTTACCCTTGGCTGGTTTGACTGCTTACAGGTAAAAGAGAGTGTGAGTGATTCGATGATGCCATGGCTCACCAAGTATGTAGAGCTACTTTCACCAAGGGCCGAGTTCAAAAGGGTGACCATGTCCTTGTCACTGGTATTGGTGGTGGTGTCGCTTTGTTTGCTCTTCAATTTGCCGTAGCTGCTGGTGCCAATGTCTATGTCACATCATCAAGCCCTGAAAAGATTAGAAAAGCCGTTGAGTTGGGTGCTAAAGGAGGCGTCAACTACAAGGATCGTAAGTGCTATGCGTAAATCCTAATGAAAATACCTCTTGTTAACCTTGGTATCATTTTAGCTAACGCTGGTGCTGAACTCAAGAAGCTCCTTAATGGTGCAAAGATTACCACTGTGGTTGATGGTTCAGGTGGCCAACTCTTTGATCAATTTGTCCGCGTGATGGATAACGGTGGTGTCATTGTTCAATATGGCCAAACAGCTTCTCCCAAAGGTGTCAACTTCAACATGACCGCTGTGCTCAAGAATATCGATATTTGCGGTTCAACCATGGGTTCTCGTGCTGAATTCAAGGAGCTCTTGGAATTTGTCAACAAGCACAAGATCCACCCAATTGTGTCGGACGTGTATCATGGATTGACCCAACAAAATGTGGATGATGCCTTTGAACGCCTTGAGTAAGTTGCTTCAATGCCCTTGTTTTCTTTCTCTTGCAATGCAAGTAGTTTAACCTCTCGTTTATAGACAAGGTGGTCAATTTGGTAAGGTGGTCCTTGAAATCCAAAACACACGCCAAAAGCTGTAAGCCGATTAGTAAGAGGATAGCAATATCACTGCCATTTGATACACACCAAGAATACAACATGATTCCTTTGTTACATAATTTTGGATATTAGCTCATTGGATTGATGTGCTTGGTAGAGGAAAATGGAGCATGTAGATAGGTGTTTTGTCATGTGAATGAAGCAAGTAGCCCTGTTGCTTTCTACGTGGTGTATCAATTACATAAGCCATCAGCTCTAGAGATAACTTTGATGGCTGTAGAGTATGGATTGCCTGAATTGAGGGAGTGCTTAAAAAGGGAAAAGATAGAATGCTTTATTGCATTGCCAACGATTGTTGCTTCCTTGGTGGACTACATCACTTGACGGGGAATTTACCCATGTAACTTGACCATCGCCGCAACTATCAGCGATAGACGACGATTGTCCACCGTACTTGACGTGTGAGTAAGTAAACGTGCCTTTTCTTCAGCGCTCGTTGTTGATAGCAATCTTTAAAATCGTATCCAGCGCATCTTTTCCTTCCCGTAACAGCTTTCCTTGATCATGGAGTATCTTCGTTATCAATGTTTCCAAACTATGATGCCAGCTATTAGAAATCATTCACGTGGATCATTGTTGTGTGTAAAACTCACACGCGCAATGATGCCTTCATTCGATGTGCTGAATACTCTGCCCATATCAGATGAAGTGTACTTGTCCGATTGCCTGGGTATTGGCATCCACTTCTCGCTTATGAATGCGATCTGCAGGCTTTCAAGGCATGCTCTTTGGAAGTCTTCGGTGCTGTCGCAATATGATGAATTCTCAAGCTTGCTATTCTTCCGATCCAGGTTTTGTACATGATCAATCGTGAATCAACCTTCTCGATATTCATCCATGACTCAATCATGGCTCTTGCAACAAGGATTTAATGTCTCTTGTTTCGTGTCCGATTGACCATTCTTGTTTAAAGTAATCTAATGGTTAATGATATTACGTGATAGCTGCCAATTCAATGTCAAATACCTCATTGCTCTCCTGCCCGAGATTGACATACAATCCATCATCGAATTGCTGCTAACGTCTCTTCAGCAACAACGCGTAACTTGTAGAAACCGCTGTATCACCCCTATACGGGCTGTAGTACAAATGCCAGCCTAATCCAAATTTCCATGTGCATCTTGCAAGGTAGCTACATACATCAAAAGGACATCGTATGTATATAAGTAAATGCTTCATCAAGCGAGGTGATTAGGCTATACCTTATTAAAGGGCCAAATGTCACAATGACAACAAGGAAAACGGAAGTATGTACTAGGATAACAACGAAAACTTAGCGATCATGACAAACGTTAGTACATGGATCGCTCACAAACAGCACTCACAATCATGATACTCACCAAGGGCTTTTGAAGGTGTCAGCAATCAAAGAGTAGTATGACGGGAAGAAAGAGATGGGTGGGAGCAAAAAAGACGACAACATCTTCCTTGTTTATCATAGGTGGGTGGTGGGCGTGGGTAATCCTCTGCTCACAAGGAATGATGAATGTTTGTTGGAGATGAGGCATTGATAAATTGATGGAGCACGTAGTATGCCAAGATCAAGCCTGCCTGGTTGCAATGTTGTTGTCTATGCATGAACCAAAAGTCGAGTAGTAGGAGGATAGCCATATCACTGCCATTTGATACACAAGAGTAAAACATGATTTAGGATATTGGCGCATTGGCTTGATCATAAAGCTTGCACTTGCAGCCTCATGTTTTGGTTTTCAATGCTAAGCTTTATTGACTACAGTACTTAGATCTCGATAACCACCTTGCCGAATTGATTGCTTGTGCTATTATAAACATCCTCCCCATGGTTAGATTGTATTCTCGTGTACAACATTGAGAGACTTACCGAAGCAAATCAATGGCATCGTCAACATTTTGTTGGTTCAAGCCATGGAATACCTTAGAGACAACAGGATGAATCTTGTGCTTATCTACAAACTCGACCATTTGCTTGAACTCGGCACGGGATCCCATGGTTGAGCCTCTGAGTTCCAAGTTTTGTGCTACTTCATTCATTCTGAAGGATACCGATGGTGATGCGGTTTGGCCGTATTGGACGATGTATCCACCTTGTCTCAACACCGTCAAATACTCATTGAAGAGAGCACCTCCAGCACCATCAACGATAGCTGAAAGCTTTGCACCATTCAAAAGCTTATCAAGTTGCTCCATGGCATTTGCTATGTCACCATGCATTTAATATACAGACATTTCCCGTTTCCCGGTACTGCGGACTTACGATCCTTGTAGTTGATGCCGCCCTTGGCACCCAATTCAACCGCCTTATTAATTTTATCGGTACTCGATGAGGATACGTAGACATTGGCACCCGCGGCAACAGCAAATTGCAAAGCGAAAAGTGCTACACCACCACCAATACCAGTGATAAGGATATGATCACCCTTTTGGACTTGTGCCTTTGTGAATACAGCCCTAATTCCATATAAACAACACTGATAATGGGAATCACAACGCACTCACCGGTAGGCTGTCAAACCAGCTAAAGGAAGGGCTGCAGCTTCTTCTGTGGAGAGATGCTCAGGGCAAGGAAACACTGACTTGCTGTCAATATTGATGGACTCCGCAAATGTACCTTTTGTGTATACTAATGTCAGCTGACAGGAGAAATATATATACAAAGAGAGTATTTCTATAATCACCTGGAGAAGGTAGTAAGCCAAGGATACTGAATTCACCTTCGGGACCACGAGGATCGGAATCCCAATTGACGCTGGGACACAACAAGACGCGTTTGCCCACTTGTGCATTATCACCAGAGGCAACAACTTGGCCAACAGCATCAGAGCCCAAAACAGAGTCGGTCTTGATACCAAAATATTGACCCTTTAGAATCCACACATCTCTTTTTTAAAGAAGCAGCAGCATGTCATGAGTAACGTGTGGTGGTATGTATGTCGCGTCTTTTTTCTCCTCATACCGGTGGTTCATGGCAGCAGCTTGAATCTTGACAACTGCCTCATGTGGTTGGGCTTTGGGTGCATCGTAATCTTTGACTTGAGCCGAGTATTCAAACGACTTGTCAGGATTGGGGATATCAGTAAGAATGGTTGCACGCATAATAAAAAGGTAAAGAAATTCCCTCTGTTTCCCGCCCGCATACTTAATATAACCCCCGGTGTTTCACCCAGCTGATTTGTCATCGCTAATGAACGATGCATCTAGAAGCGAGGTGGAGTAAATAGTAATACCGTAAATGAAACAGGGTTCCTTTTCATTGTGTACCATGCAAAAAAAGGGAATAAAGGTTGTGTAACTTGGAAACGGTATCCACGCATCCATTTTATACTCGGCAACGAGTCAATCGCCATAAAGTAACTAAACAATTGCCAATGACGAAGCAATGCACACTTTTACAAAAGCACTCTTTGTTCTTTGAATCCCCTTTCATTTTCTTTTTGTCCAAAAAGGAAAGCTTCCAAGAAAAGAAGATAGCTTCCAGAGAGAGGTAAATACTCAATAGCCATCAATGAAACCCCCAGAAGAACGCGTCGCGTATACAGCCTATCCAACTTCACCAAATCACCACCAATCCAAAACATGACCACGTGATCCCGATCTTGCACATGTGAGATGAAAATGCGATATGCTAATTATGCTGAATCCTTCATTCAATGGGAATCGAGGAATACAAAAGACATGGTAACGTGGGTATATCTCAAGTGAAGACAATAAAGAAAAATCATAGCCAACTAGATTAGGTATTGGTGACCACATAGAACCAAAGGGTGTCGTTGTGTCATTGTGCCATTGTTGTATTCTTGGTTGCCGCCTCATAACCATTATCATCCAGGTCCAAAATGGCTGCTTCGTGATTTGACTCGAGTACATAATATCCATGGTGGTAAATACACCTCTCGCCAAAGATGTAAGCCCTCTCGTCATCTTATTCAGCTGCATTCATATGGTGATCCATCCTTCCTGCTGACGACGTCCCAAGTAACCATAGCAACGCTCCAAGATTTCTCATCGCCGCAATCGATTGCATCCATCCTTCATAACCACTGAAAGTCCGGCATGTTGATAAGAAAGAATCCCTGTGATCGCTGCTGGTACGCTCCCTTTTCCATTCGGCTGCTGGTCTATTTCTATCGCAGCTCAGCCAGGTGAGGATGGCTGGTATTGCGTGGTACTTGATGGCTGCATCATCCAAACTGATCATTATGCCGTATGCTTCACTACTTGATATCGATTGTTAGTCCCCAATCTCTTGATCAAAAGACCCCCCTCCATTCTCTTTTGTACCTTGATAAATGAATGGCTCATAATACAATATCTCCTGTACCGGTGTACTGTTGGATGACCACGCGTGTATTCATAGATGAAACGATAATGATGGTGATGATGATCGCACTCAATGGTTGTTGTGTAAGAAATAAAAACTGCTGAATGGGATGGCCATCGTTTGCAAAGGTAATGGAACGTTGCTTGGCGATGGATGCTGTGGGCAAATGCTTGAATAACCTTGGTAGCAGAAAAATATGGATGCTGTTACTGTACTCATTCATTGCTGTTGACATGATCCACTTGTAACAGATGCCCATTGTAGGATGATCATCAAGGTAATCGCTGAAGATGAGAAGCGCCAATTCATGGGATAAAAGCTGATGGCATTAAAGCTGTGCATGGGCGTGTACTGCCTGTTGCTGATATAATCCATCCATCACTGATGTACGTTGATAAGTGTTCTCCGAAGGAATTCCTGATAATGAGGACCATCAGACGCTCGAATAAACGTTGATGACACCAAAGCTTTCAATGCCGTTGTTTGACGCTGATGTATGATCCACCGTATAAAAGATGCATGAAGGAAAACAATTCCTCGAGTCCCCGTTGAACCGTACTTGGCAATGATAGCTGCTGTAATCCTGAGACTTCAAAGCGCCAACAATACATTGGTTTCTGCAAGATGGTTCCCCTATAAAAACCACATGTCAGCAAGCATACTTTCATAGCACTGAATTGATTTGTACCTACATACATAGCGATAGCGGTGATGAAGTGATGGAATAAACCTTGAGAATAGACACAGCTTACTTGCAGTGGTTCACCTAGTAACATACATTTCAGCAAGAATCTTCAAATGGCTTTGGAATGATACGTACTTCAAATCTCGCCCACCACAAAGACTTAATCAAATAGGCCTTCATGTTCAGTCTTCCACGATAAATGTCGCCACCATAAGAAGTCGATGAAATGGCCTACCAGCTCACTTCTTGAGGAAACGTGGTACAAGACACCATTTGCCATGGGCCCTTCACCAGCTGACTTTGACATCGCTATGATCCGCTGATCCTGCATGCTGGCAATAAAGATGTCCATATTCGCTCCAAGTCGTACAAGAAAACATAGTGATCTTTCTCTTGGAAATCCGTTGAACGAACGATGCATACGTCTACGCTGAAACAACATGGTCGTCTCCCCAAGAAAATCCCGTAAAGTGACATTCTTCGTAATGTGTTGCCGTGATGTAACAATATAACCAAAGCGATCCTGCTACTGTATATCTTTCGTAAGCAACCTGAAGGTGACAACTCCCAGAATGAACACTTTTACCTTGGTGCATATTTCAATAGCATTCTTGCATCAAATAGCCGCATCTCCATCCCATCCATAATTTGCTGCTGCTGCTGTTTCATCGTTAATAACAGCACCTGTATTGTTAGATCCAATGCCATACATACCAGTGAGACAATGCCCAGCGTCATTGCTTCGAGATCGGTATCTTGTTGCTGCCACAGATGCCATCATCCACCATGTTCAGTCGATCATAAACGCGATGTAAGATAATAACCACAGCATTTGCTTTTCTTGTCAGCATACCCAAAAGAGGCAATGTAAAGACGTGTCGAGACCTCTCCTTGTGTGGCTGCCATGGAACGAGTACACTCGACACCCTTTTGGATCTTGTATGAAAGAGAGATCACCAACCTACATATAAACTTTAGTATCGCAATGTTCAACTTGAAGAATAAAGTAATGCAGCGATTGCACGTACGTGCCGTATTGGAATGGAAAGCTTGGGTGATGGGTAGATCGCGCTCGTGCTTGTGGTCGTTGGAAAGTGTCGCCATTGGTCACCTGTACATCATCGACACTGTGCATTGAAGGCAACAATGGCAGCAGTTAATGCTCTGTACTTTGTAAATGGAGTTACTCTTACCTTGCTTTGTGAAGCGGGAGTGGAGAAGAAGGTCTTCGTTGTGTTCCTTTTCGTTGTTCTCTATTTGTGCACTCCACGCCATCCCCGCCTGCTGCATCTACCGTTGTTAACATGCCCCTCAATAATACCCTGAACACTTTGGATAAATAATAATACCATAGCTTGAGTTTTCATATGAAGCATAGCACTCATAATTAAGCTATCTCACGATTGGATGCTGCTTACATACCTTCCTAAAAGCAATCATCATCATCATTCATGCAGCAACCCTGTCGACGACACGTGTGTGTAACCATCACGTGTCGTTTCACTCAGCTATTCGCCTTGCTTATTGGAGTGCTCTTGACACCATCCACTAAGAGAAAGCACCTTCATCACGCTTGCAGCATAGTAAAAACATAAAGACACTTGTAACTCAGAATTTTACAATCAAGCGTGGGGCCTTTAATAGAACAAAGCTGCTCGGCGGGGTCAAAGCGATCTTGTGTCAAAGTATGAAGTTCAACGCGGCCATTCCCAGATTTGGCCAATGTCGCTACCAGCCAAAAAATATTTTTGCTCGACGACGAAAAAAAAAATTCAAGAGGTCGAATTTTTTGTTGTGTAAACGGTGTTTATTATGCGCCGCAGGTGCAACGCAAATGAACAAAGCTATAAGAATGAAGTCCCTAGGACCAAAAGTAAAAGATAGGCTGGCACTCACGTGCCATCCACGCTTTCATCATCTAAATTAAGTCACCATATCATCCGTTTCACATTTTGTGGACGAAATGTCAGGCTGCTTGTCATTAGGTGGAGGGCATTGCTGGTTTGGTGGTGAGGTAGAAGTTGTAGCCGGAGCGCTACTGTTATCCGTTACAGGGATTGGTGTGAAGTTCAAAGGAGGTGAATGGGATGGAGAAAAGTTTCGTTGGCGTTTGCTATTGGTTCGATATGTAAAGCTTGCTGTGGTGGTATCGTGATTAAGGTTTGCTTGATCCGATGTAGTGGATTCAGGGGCAGGTGTCTTTCCTTGTTTAATAGGGCAATCTTTGCGAACATGGCCGAGTTCTTGGCAGAAGTGACAGCGTGGTTGAGGTTTTTGGGTACATTGAAGGCGAGTGTGTCCCGAGCAATGGCAGTAGCGACAATACAATGGCATCTTGGACCAGGTGGCGAACATACGAGATGGGTACGACCCATCATTGCGTGATACAGTAACAGAGTGGACTAGTTGTTGAGGTGGTACATGGAAAACGTTGTTTTTGGTTTCGTGTTTGGGATTGGTGTTGATGTAGGCGTAACCTTTGCCAGTGAAAAAATCTTGTTCGAGGTATATGCCGAGTTCAAGTAGTTGTCCAAAAGGTTTGAGAGCTGCAGGGATTGACGAGGAGAGAATTGATCTTGTATACAGAGGAATATGGGTGAGGTTAATTTTGACGACGTCCCATTCATCTGGGATGGGATGAGAGCCGAAAATTTTGGATCCATCATCAAGGGTTACAGGTTGTTGTATGAGTTTGTCAGCGATAGCTTGGGTTTCGAAGGCAACTTCAGCAATGGCATAGGATCGAGTGCGATGCACGACTATACCATGTGCACCTTGTTTTAATGGTGATTGTCCAACAGCTCGCCGGAATTCGGTGTCTGTTATTTGTAAACGGGATATATCAAAAAGTAGAGAATGGGGATTTTCGGCACGTCTCCATACTTGTCGACTATGCTTACTTTGCGAGAAAAGAACTACAGGTTCCCGATGGTTGGTGGCGAGGGAGGCATACGATATGGGTTTATCGTGGGATGGTTTCCCATCCACTGATTTTTTAGGTTTACGGGGAAGAGCCATGATTCAATTCAAGAGGTCGAACCACTTTGGCTGGTGGCGACATTGGCGAAATCCGGGATTGGCAACCTTGATCGCGAAACTTTCACACATGATTCCTTTGACCCCGCCGAGCAGCTTTGTTCTCATAAAGACCCCACGCTTCATTGTAAAGTTTTGAGATACAGACACCTTTATGTTTTACATATGCTATAAACGTGATGCTATATGAAGAGTGGTCTTTGTTCATTGTCAATTAGCTAGACCCTGACAGAGCCAAAGATGCAGGAGGGCTTCTTGGTGTAACTCAGCTGTTTTGCATGACTGGATGGGTCAATGTATAATACTTTATGGACTATCTAGGATCAGGCATGTATTGCCAGCTAACAGCCACTTCCACCCAACACCAACTTTTGTCTACTCCATCATAATGGAACAATGCTCCTCCTCCAGACATTCATTTCCGTGATTCAATTATCTTGATCCGAGCTGATTTGGCTGAGCTACGGTCAAAGAGAGATTACATCAATTCACACATCAGCATACGTTCGAATGTCTTCAACTGATTAATCCTTGTTTGGCCGTAACTCAACCAAATCAGCTCGGATCAAGATAATTGAATCACGGAAATGAATGTCTGGAGGAGGAGCATTGTTCACATGCAGTGGATTTTGCAACAACGCTGATTGTGAGGAAATGGATGATAGCGCGTAATATATGGACTATTGTGGATAGTATACAGTATCATCCATCAATCCTTCCAGTCATGCAAAGTAGCTGTGTTACACAAACACGTCCCTCTGCATCTTTTGCTCTGTCAGGGTCTATCTATTTGACAATGAACAAAGATCACCTTTCATATAGCATCACGCTTACAGCATATAAAACATAAATGCACTTGTATCTCTAAACTTTACAATCAAGCGTGGGGTCTTTAATAGGACAAAGTTGCTCGGCGGGGTCAAAGCGATCTTGTGTCAAAGTATGAAGTTCATCGTGGGCATTCCCAGATTTGGCCAATGTCGCTACCAGCCAAAAAATATTTTCGTCGTCGTCGAAAAAAATTCAAGAGGTCGAACCACTTTGGCTGGTGGCGACATGGCGAGATCTGGGATTGGCCACGATGGACTTCATACTTTGACACAAGATCGCTTTCACCCCGCCGAGCATGTCGTTATATTAAAAACCCCACGTTTCATTGTGAAGTTTAGAGATACAGGCACCTTTATGTTTTACATATGCTGTAAGCGTGATGCTATATGAAGGGTGGTCTTTGTTCATTGTGAAGTAGCGTAGCTAGACCCGGATAGAGGAAATATGCAAAAGGGCGTGTTTGTGTAACCGAGTAATGCTGTTGGTGCAGAGTGCATGATGGCTCCTTATCATAAGGCCGCATTGGATGACAGCCATGTGAGAATCTTCAAGATGTTGATGAGACCTTTTGGTTGTGTCGGTGAGTACTTTCAGGCACGCTGATGGTCATAATCCTTTATTTTCTCAAAGACTTCTCACTTCTTGGCCATGCCTATTTGGATTGAAGTTGGGATGTAGCATTGGGTCGTATGTAGGTGATCATTCATGTTGGCTATTAAAAGTGTCTACCCGAAAAAAAAGATCATACATTGGGTTGTCAATGCAACGTGGTAAGGCCACAGCAACAATACAGTGCCTTTCACCTAGTGATAAGGGATCTCACATACCCATGGTCTAAAAAGTGGAATGTGATAGGATGAGGGTATCATCTTTATTCGTCATTAAAGATTCGTCTATGTGATTTATATTGTTTGCAAGCCTTCTCAGCCTCTCGTCCTTGGTATCCATGATGGTAGGCTTCAATGTAGCACCAGGACTTGCGCTCAAACCTCCTAATGGTTGCCAGGGGACAGCTGTCAAGGAAGCCAGGCAAATTATCCCTAAGACCAGCAAAGGAATAATCGCACTGCTCCCTTGCAACCCTCTTGACGTAACCCCAGTATCTTTCGATGAAGTTGCATTCACAATGAAACTTGGGGTATAATTCAAAGAGGTGTCCAGCCCTTTTCACCACTTCGGAAAGCGCCGATTCTTGCTCTTGAAAATCTGTTTGTGAGGCGAGCAAGTGATGTGCGCAGCACATGTTGTCGGGAGCAGGGGGCTGGCGGCATGTTAAATTAAAGCGCGTTGCAAGCCAGAGACCACGCTCTTCAAGGATCTATGTAAAACACACACAATCAGCACAAGACGATTAGACCAACACTCTGTAATGTATGTACACACCTTCTTTACGCCCTTGAAATAGTACCGCTCCTTTCTGCCTTTCGGCCCAACAGTCCACTCACTGAAGTACAGCGGCTGCCATTGCTTCTCGTGATCGCCGTTGTAAAACCACGCGGTCTTGAACCATTCCGTTCGGTCCTTGGAAGCAGGCTTCTTGTTCAACGGCATCTTGCTGGCAATCAACGCGTTTTTCTTAAAGGCCTGGTGGTTGGAGCTTTGATCAAAGATGATGGCAGCTAACGCGGAAATACGTATGTACAATGATAGACATTCATAACGACAGCAAAGTATCTTGAGAGATACAAGAAGGAGAAAAGAGAAGAAAGAGGCGAGGAGAATGAGGGTGGCCAAATTAAAAACTCAAAAGAACAATCACATCGCATGAATAAAGAATTAGCGATTGAGCCAATCAAAGGCATTGTGAATCTCAGCAGTGGTTGTACTTCTCGTACATGCCTTATTAGCTTTGCTCTAAGATCTCTGATCCACATGATTCCCCTTTTGCTACTTGTGTTTGCATTTTCGATGTTGTATATAAGAAGCCGTCATCCATGTACACTTCATTGTGTGAAAAGTGCACACATCCTTGATTGTCATTCATATTCAATGTTGTCCCCCCACATGGCTGCAAATGACATCATGTCGTAGATAGGATACATTTCTTTATACCAAGTGCATGTTATATAACCAAGGACAAATATTCTATTACACAAAGGGTTCAAGGTTGAATTCAAGGGCAGTGGTGGGATGAGTGAGTTCAAAGTTCTCGAGAACGGTGGGATGTAAGACGCCGAACGAGCCAACAATTTCTTGCTTGCGTTCACCGGTTTCCTCGTTCACGTAGCGAAGATGGATATCAGCGGAACGACCAGGGAAGTAAGTGGGGTCTATTACAGTATTAGTATCATGGACAATGATAGATAAAGAGGGGTCCTTTTACTTACTTTCAGATTCCTGGATCCAGTAACCAAGTGCATTACCATCCTTTGCAACCATATGCGTGTTGAGCATCTCCATCAATCGGTTCAAAAGACCATGGATGACTTCGAAGCCAGAGGTCTTGGACATGTATGCTGCACAAACATGGCGCTCGTTTCGGGTTCTACGTTCGCGTGACTCATCCTTCAAACCAATATCGGACACTTCAAAGACCTTGATAGGAAGAGGAAGCTTCTTGTTGCTGTTGATGGTCTTGAGGACACCTGGAAGCAAAGATGTACGTACAACTTGGTATTCAGCGGTCTTGGGGTTGGCAAGCTTGATGGCAGTGGTGTTGTCATCGACACGGTTCAAGAACTTGAAGTTTTCATCATGCGAGCACTAAAGAGAGGGGTAACGAGGGTTAATAAAGAAAAGTTTCCACCTCATCCATATAGCTTACCAAGATCAAAGGAGCAACTTCAGTAAAGGCAGACATGGCCAATTCACGGCGTACGTGATCAGACAATTTGTTGGTGGGCAATGCTGAGGCAACCGTGTTGACACCAGGCATCTTGCGAGGCAAGTTGTCGTATCCATAGGAAATGGCCACATCTTCCATGATATCGGCAGCGTGAAGGATATCCCAACGGGTAGGTGGCACATCCACCAACACCTCGTTCTTATCATCAGGGTTCACCTTGGCAGCCAAAGTCATCTTTTCAAGAAGCTTGCAGATCTCATCACCAGGAAGATCAAGAGCAGTGCATGAGTTGATGTAATCCACCTTTGCAGTAGCGCGCCATGGGTCCAACTTGGGGGTTTGCTCAACACGGCCACCAGGATACACAATCTCAACAGGTTCCACGCTATGCTCACAAGGATGAGAACCATGCCTTCCCTTTATCCCCCTCTCCAAATCTACTACTTACGTGAAAGGCTCGGCACAGTATTCTGAAAACATGGCACAGAGGATATTCAAGACAATGTTGGACTTGTGTTCATCAGTGGAAGTGATTTCGATAAAGACGTTCTTGGTCGACAACTTGATCTTTGAGTGCTCAGAGTTGATAATAGGTGGAAGGGAGCACACTGTGCGGTTGGCATCAAAGACAACGGGATATACTGGAGAATCACGGATAATGTGAAGGAATTTGCCAAGATGCTTGTCACTCTATTATTACAATGCCAATAGGGTGAGCTGTTGGTGAAGCATGGATCGACGTTTTATCGCACATACATCGTATAATTCCATCAATTCATCACCATCGACCTCCTTGGTTTGGTTGAGAGGAATAAACTTGATATCCTTGTGAGGCAAAGCTTCATAAGTGAAGGGACCTTGGATGGTGTCGAGATCGTGAGTACCCATGGATGCAAGAGTACGCTTGCTATAAAGAGAAAAAGAGAGATCACACATCCTTCGTCAACCACTATTTCCTTTCTACCTCATGTCCATCAATCACCCCTTACCGGCAAATGTTGTTGTGAAGCTTGTCCTGAAGATCAATGAAGCTCTGATAGCGCTCTTGAGTGAAAGTGATATTACGCAAGATAGCACCAACGACGTAGGGTCTGATTTGAGCGGTCTATCATCATGCATGATCCTTTAGTGTCCACCCAATTTGCTCATGATCGAATAATCAAACTTTACCTCTGGCTTGACAATAATCTTTTCTAATTGACCACTGGCGGGCTTGACAAGTCGATAGTTGGGTGCATCCATCTTGCCTTCAAAGATACGCAAAGCACGAGAGATACCCTCCTCACACAACAAATCGTATCTAGATGATCCTCGTCAGTTTCCTTATTATCGATTGCATGTGCCCTTTATCTTGTTGCCTACCTGTTGGCAGGAATATCAATCTTCAACTCTGGGCGCTCTGGGACACCGTTTTCATCGTTTGCTTCGCGTTCAGAGGTCTAAAAGGGTCATAGCAATGTCAACAAGCTGTACAAAGGAGAAATGGTTGTCGATGGGTGTCACATTACGTCTTCTTCAAGCTCAATGCCAAAGCGGAAGCAGAGCTCATTGAACTCCTCGGAGGCTGTAAAATGACAAGCAATTAGCAAGCCATTGGGATACAAGATTGAAGAGCGTGTTGCGTACTGTAGTTTCTCTCGAGTGCTTCGAATAGACGCTGCTTGTCGACGGATACGGTGGGCATGGCGTGTTTTTGATAGGTGGGGTTACCAACAAAGGAAGAGGTTCAAGCTCAAGAGTAGCACCTTGAAACTTAAACGAGTGGCTTGTAACCGACTCATAGTGAGATGGATGGATAGCAGGATCACCTCCACACACCCCCCACACCCACACAAATACAAATAAATACCTATTGATCACACCCATCCATTGTCAACAAGTATCATTCATTCTTTCATTCCTTGTGTATACCTTTCATATACATCTTCAATTTGGGAGTGCACCCTTTTCTTCATCCAATAATCATTGCTGCTCATTTTCCCTCCGCAACATGTGCCTTGTTTCATGGCATGTTCCATGGGTTCCCAAGGGAATCAATACACACACACATCAAGAGGACAACTTGGATATGGAATGTAAATCAATTTTTGGCAAGCAAAAAGCTGAGTGCAACGTGATCAACCTTCCTCTGCACCTCTTGTGAACCCCACATTTTTCCGGAGAGTTCCATGGACCAAATCAGGAACCCGTCTTTGTGAGCGAATCATATTTGACAGATTGATCCGATTACCTTTCTTTCCCACTTTCCCACCTTCCCACCCTGCTGACGCTCGTTGTGTATGTTGAAGTTCATCATCTACTAAAGTTAAGCTCAATGAGAATGATGCTGACATGGTAACAAGTGGCGGGTTATTATTATTTTAGTGATGTGGAAGAATTGGATGCCACCATGTTATTTTCCCTCGGTGGGTGTGTACATACGATCATGATTTCCCACCTTGCCAACCCATGACGTTATTGCATATGGTAAATAAATCCTTCACGCACCTTTTCTGGACTGATTATGTTAAACGCTAAATAGGGAAGCTCTTGTCTCAATATGGCCATTAAACAAAAGTGATCTGCCGATGTCCAGCTTTCTTGCGTTTCTTTATAAAGCGTCCTTGTAACTCCTCCTCTCCCCGCATTTTACATATAACCTTGATCTGCCTTCTTCCTCCTTCTCTCATTCCCACACATACACACTCGCACAACACGACACTACTCCATCCATGCCATTTCTCCAGGGAAGCTTCCTGCTGTACTTTGTAGCCTGTTTTGCCTCCCTTGGTCAATTTCTTTTTGGATGTACGTTTATAAAAAGGCATCATCACCATGCTCGATCCATATACTAATGCTTGTTTCAAAAAGATGACCAGGGTGTGCTTTCCGGCATTTTGGTTAATGAAGATTGGCTACAAACTTTTGATTATCCAAATCCTGTCATGCAAGGCTTTGTGGTCTCCATCTTTTTGCTTGGTGCATGGCTCACCTCCTATTTCGCAAGTTGGGTCATGGATCGATTGGGTCGACGGTGGACCATTGAAATTGGTTCCTTTGTCTTTATTGTGGGCGGCATTCTCCAAACAGCATCGAACACACGGGTCGAAATTCTGCTGGGTCGCCTAATTGCTGGTTTTGGTATTGGTTTTTTGAGCACAGTGCTACCTGTGTACACGGCGGAATTGAGCCGTGCCCATAACGTGAGTCAATAATGCAGCAAACTAAGCGCCGCCCAACCCCCTTTTATAACATCATTGGATCACTTTTTCTAATCACTGCTTACTTCCTTCCTAATAGCGTGGTCGTGTAACAGTAGCTGGCATGTCAATCAATATGTTTGGTTACATGTGTTCAGGTATTGGTCGTATACATGTATCCTATGTATAGAAGAAGGACTAACATAGATCCCATCATAATAGCATTCATCGATTATGGATTCGCATTCATTGAAGAGAGTAGCTGGTCATGGCGTGGACCCTTACTTTTGCAATGCGTCTTTGCAGCTATTCTTGCAATTGGCTGTTTCCTTTTACCAGAGTCTCCTCGATTCTTGGTATCCAAGGAACGTAATGAAAATGCAGTCAAGGTGTTGGCACGTCTTTATGGAAGAGATGAAAATGACAAAGACGTCCAACTTGAATACCAAGAAATTGTCAATGCTGTCGACTATGAACGCACTCTTGGCCAAACCAGCTGGAGAGAAATGTTCACAACCTACAGGCGACGTTCCTTTATTGCTATCATGGTACAAGCCCTTGGACAATTGAGTGGAATCAATATAGTGACCTATTACGCCCCACAAATGTATGCCGTCGTCCTTGGTGAAGGAAGATTAACCATCTTGATGGCAGGATTTACTGCTTTGGTATACTTTGTCGGTGCACTTGCAGCAATCTTCCTTGTTGAGAAGGCTGGTCGTCGACCTCTTTTCATGACCGGTAGCGGACTCATGGTGATTTGGCTTATCCTTATGGCTGTCTTTACCAAGATTAACCAAGGCCTCACATACGCCATCCTTGTTATTGTATTTACCATGGTTTATGTCTTCACTTTTGGTGCATCATGGGCTTGTGTTGATTGGTTATGTAAGTTGCATATACCCCGCAAAGCGATGAAAGTCTTATGTATTCTTTGTATAGATCCTGCCGAGATTTTCCCGTTGCGTGCAAGAGCCAAGGGCATGTCACTTGCCGTATCATCCAATTGGCTTTGCAACTTTGCTGTAGGCCTTTGGACACCTGAACTCTTTGACAAGATTGGATGGGCCACTTATTTATTCTATATGGCATTCAACGTCATTGCATTTGCCATCGGTAAGAAAAAAAGTGCTCTATTATGAATGCATCTATTGATAAAGTACTTTGTAGTTTATTTCACATTTGTTGAAACCAAGGGACGTAGTCTTGAGCAGATTGACGCTGTATTTGGAGACGTCAATCATGCCGAAGCGCTTTCCGAAAAACCACCACCACCACAAATACAAGAAAAGGTGAAAGATGACACTGCTTAAAGTTGATCCCCCCCCCACATGTATAGTATTACTTTTAAAAGACAATTTCGCATCTTAATATAATGTATCTTTATCAATGATGATCCTTTTTACTATGGCTTGATGACTTGGCGGCATTGACAGCAGAGACCTTGCTTTGATGACTTGGTGGGATAACAGGTTTTTTGAGGGATTTGATGTCATCAGATGCAAAGCCGGGTATACGCACATTCCAGTTTCGTTCTAGTGATATTGACGATGAACATCCTTGCCTTACGTTTTTCCTCCTAATGATCCCTTACCCAAATGTAATTGAAGATCCTTGACTTGAAGTGTGTCTGATTTGCGATGCTTGGCCAAATGACAGGCAAATTGAGTAACGGATTCAATAAACTCATCAGCAGCTTCCATTAATATCTACATACAAAAAAGTCAATATCCCTGTAGGATACTCTCAAATCACCCTATCCTTATCTTACCTCCTCCACTTCGGGTTCAAGTCTTTCTGTGGGTGCAAGTTGTTGCAACTGCCTCCTGCTGACAATGGTTTGACTTTGTAAATCCAAAGGATTAGCCGGACCCGATGCTGCTGCTGCCATAGGGGTTACACCAACAGGACGCGTCGAAGACGATAGATCACCCCCAGCAGTAGATGTCACTGGTGTTTGCACGGGTGTCGTAGCAGCTGTAGTAGTAGCCGTAGCACTGGTGGATGGCGAAGGAGCAGCAGACTGTGGTAATGCTTGTTGCTGTTGTTGTTGTGGCTGTTGCTGTTGCTGTTGCTGCTGCTGTTGTTGTTGCTGCAAGTGTTGTAGTTGTTGTTGTTGAGCAGCTTGTGCCATTGCAATGTGCTGATTGGGATTAAACACGGGAGGCAATTGGCTAAAGAGTTGTTGGTAGACTTGTAATCGTTGTTGAAAGTCTCGTTCCTGTGCTTGTAGTTGATTTCGTTCCTCTGCTGAGAGATCGGTGCGCTCAAGTGCCTGCCGCACATTCATAAGACTCCCATTCAGCAGCTGGTATTGCTGGATCATTTGTATTTGTGGTGGAAGCGCATTGTTCATATTGTTATTCATGTGGATATATAAAAGCAAGTGAAGAAAGAAGCATACAGTCTTTGCTGAGATCCCCCACTCAGCTTGGGAACAAAAATTGTGTCACGTGATGTCCAATCATAAAGGTCCGCGAGGCCTTCGAAGAGAGAACAACCGGTATCGATGTTGAATTGCTGGTGCATCCAAATATTTATCAACCTACCTATGTACCATTTTATCAATGCATTCACCATTCGGCTCACATTATGAGCACACAGAAATTCACACGCCCACGTTCATAGAATAAAAAGGATGTTGTCACGTTTCATATCACTCCACCCATCTCTTTCCTCTATCATGTCGCTTTTTTGATTGATGCCGCCGTTAGATGTCAAGTTCTTATGCTTGTTGAGGTAGGTGCCCGCTTTCTTTGACTCTGTGGATTAGTGTTGATCCTTGTGGTCATTCATCATAGTGCTTCATTGTTATCATGCACCTCGTCTTCATTATGATATTTGGCTCTTTTAATAAGGTAAAAACGAATGATAGTGTAGTATTTGATGAATCGTTTATTCATATGCACACCTTTCGATGTAGCTACATTCTATGAAGCCATTAAGAAAAGAACATCCTGAGCAAAATTGTTGCCGACAGCCCTATGAAAACTGTGCTTTGGCTTGTTGATCGTATGGTGTGCTATCCATATGAGGCCGAGATCAATGGCGAGGGTACATCGCTCGAAAGTCCAGTAACCCCTTCGCAAACAAGGAAAAACATGATCTTAAAAGGAGGATACACCATTACAACAATGGCCACTTATTCGTTATTGGGAGCGCGGATCTTCATTTCGTAAATCCTATATGCTGCAATCTCCAGAACAGGTGGCAAGAAGAGAACACTGATCGCCTGCACCAAAGCTACAACAAGGAATACAATAGCTTCTTTCAACGTGATAATATGCAATGGTTCCAATCATATTGTACGAGTACGATGGGCAACTACTGCAGAGAATAACGGGGATCAATAGCGTTTTGGAAAGCTGGTTACATATCACGTTGCATACATACACGGCTTGATCATATGAGAGAGCTGCACAAGATTTCCCCTTTGGCGAGGCCTGAATATGCGCCACCTATTCTTCAGCGCTTCAAATCCAGGAAACGACCAATTAGAGAAACGACCCACGAGTTGAACCGTACAAGCATGATCATCGGCAAGAGGAAAACGGCATACCACATTTCACATCGGCGCTGTTACATCACGTGCAATCAACGAGTGAGCAACAGCTCCAGCTATTGTGCCCGCTTCTTCATCTACAAACCATCATCTCAAGCACCACCACATAGCTCAATCCTGGACATTTCATATGTACTTTCACGTCATATGCCTAGACAATGACTTGTGTCCTAGCTGATACCTCTATTGAACGGGTCCTACGACCAAATAATGGACCCAGTGGAGCATGTGATCACGGATCAGGGCATTTCTTAATATGCGTCATTAGCCCGGTCGTGCTCAAGATTGATAGGATATTCAAATTTCAAAGACTTGTTGGCCTTGGCACTGCAAATGCCTCAATTTTTGTTGTGAAAGCTCTAAAGGCCATACAAATTCACCAAGCGCAAGATTCCAAGGATCATCTAGCTTCAATTAAGCAGCAGGCGTTGATAAGAAATGAATCGATGTTTGCCTGACACCAATGGAGACCCACCTGCATATTGCACGAGTGAAAGCCTTACTAGGGTTACCATTTTACATGCGTGTTGGTATGCCTGGTGCACGCTCGTCGTGGCCGAAGAAAATTCTTATAGCTTATAAGCTAGCATCAATCATATTACAGATCAATACATATGTCAATAAAAAACTTCTCTATACGTTACAGCCAAATTGCGCTAGAAGATGTGTCATTCATACTAATGAGTTTTTGGTTGAAGATGTCGACGTTCATAAGCAAGCATCACATTCCTTGATGATAGCTCCATGGATCAATCACAGTATCGAATGCATTCACCTGGTTGCCAGGGTCTTGTTTCCATGGAGATGAGACGATACAAATGTGGGCGGCTCTAATCATGCAACAGCGCCTGGTTGAGTTGCAATGGGGAATGTGACACAAGGAATTCGACAGGTGGCTTTGATGTGTGCTATTGCAATTCCACTGCCCACTTTTGATTTTCTCGTTCACACTCTTTGTTGATCTCTATTTCCAAAATGCCACCTTCCAAAAAGACTGAAAAGAAAAAGGTTATCGACATTGAGCAGCATGAGTCGAGCAGCGATGAATCCGATTCCGAGCAAGAGCAACAACAACAACAAAAGCAACAACCTTTGAAGCGCAAAGCCGAGGAGGAACCTGAACAGCAACATATGAGCAAAAAGGCCACTACCGGCAATTCTTTGTTTGTTGGTCAATTGAATAAGAAGGCGACTCGACAAGAGATCTCTGATTTCTTTTCCCAAGCTGGTACGGTGGTGGATGTGCGTATGAAAAAGACCATGAAGAACCGAGAAAACAACCCTGGTTATTGTCATGTGGAGATGTCTTCGCCTGCCGAAAAGGAGGCTGCTTTACAGTTGCATGGCACCGATTTTCAGGGATTCAAGCTTAACTTGGATGATGCTTCCAATTTCAAACCAAAGGGCCGCCGCAATGATAAGCTCAGTGCACCTTCCAACACCCTCTTTGTCGCCAACTTGCCCTTTGAAGCCGATCGCGATTATGTAAAGTACGTCTTTGAGAAATTCGGTGATATTGAACGTGTCAGTCGCATCATGGCCAAGGGCTACGATACTGGTATTGCCTATGTCGAGTTTAAGGACATGAAGAATGCCGTTACGGCTCTTCAATCCATGCAAGGCGAGAGTGTCAAGGGTCGTCCCATTCGTCTTGATTACGCCGAGAAACGCAAGAATAACAAGCCCCATCCTCTCAAGAAAAAGAACTTTGTCAAGGAGCAAATGTCATAATCGTTGTAGTAATACCACCATCTTTCATTTCAACCCATTCCCTGCATACACCTTCTTCCTCCGTACAATCAATCACACACACACATACATATACAATCACGCATGCATTTTATATATACAACTGTGGACCATGGATACATCTTGTAATGCATTAAAAAGAGAATTTGACATCATTTGGTTGTGTGGTGGTACGTGTTTCCATGTCAAGCAACGAGCCATTTCCTTTCTTGGCAATTAGCATTGGCTGGCTGGCTGCTCATAACTGCTGCTGGGCGGTGTAAATGTGTGGGCGCACTCGTTTCACTTTTACTACTACATCCATCTTTATGCGTTCTTGGCAAAAAGTCTTGACCCTACTTTCCCTCTTGCCATTGGCAACACAAGTGGTCCGTGGCGATGCCACTCACATGGTAAAGCATACACAATCTATCATTGGATAAAGAGAGCTCATGGGTGGTGAAATGATAATAGTCAAGCAATGATTACTTTACAACCGAATGTTCAGGTGTTTGGAGCAAAGGCAGCATTCCAGGTGGCCAGGATGCCTTCATTAAAGGTATGCAGTGTCTCTCATGGGGTAGGCGTGATTGTCAAGGAGACTCACGAGGAACTTTTAGTGGACTTTGCTGATAGCTCTCAAGGCAAAACGGCACTTTTGGTCTACGAGTGGCAGGATTTTGACCTTGTTGGTCGAACCTTGGGCAATGATACAGTTGGAGGAAGGGTAAGGGCTTAAAGAGGTCTCTACTCTGTCAAGATGGACTTATGGGCGAGAGTACATGTAGAAAAAGGTGGTGTGTGATGAAGAAGCGATTACACAACGACTTTGCAATGCATCTTCCTATGGCGAGTTTCTAGTGTCTTCGGGGGACAGCCATAGCTCTATTTTCACAACGGCGATTCACCTCAACAAGTCCGAGGAATCTGCTTTATACAAGGTTGACAACACTGGCTATTACTGCGTATCCATCCTTCCCGCCAATCGAGATAACGAATCTATCAGCACATTTGACGCGACGATCGAATGGAGGAATCCTTATGGCAATTTACCTGCAGGCGATTATCCGAAATTACTGGTAAGATCATCAGCCAGCAGAAGGACGAGGAAGGATATCAATTGACGCATGGCACCTCTCTATGTATGTAGTTTTATGGCATCTTTTCCTTGATTTATCTTGCTGTCGGTCTATTTTGGGGTATTCAATCTTTCCGTTATTGGAGTGATATTCTTCCTGTGCAGGTAACAAGGCTGGGGGATCTCATGTCAATAGGAAACATGCTCATCATAATGTAGCATTTTCTCTCTGGAACCATCTTTTTCCTTATCGTCGAAATGGCTATCAACTGGGGATTCTGGGAAGCTTACAATCAAACGGGTAGCCCATGTAAGTTGTTCATCATGTTGGAGTAATGGATGTGGGTAAGACTCATGTTACATTCTTTATTCAGCATATGGTCTATTGGCATTGGTGGCATTGACAAGTGCAGGAAGAAACAGGTAGAGTCGTTTTCTATGTAAAGGATGCTTATATGCTTAATCACGTTCTTTTTCATTTGTAGCATGTCATTCTTTATGCTTTTGGTGGTGTGTATGGGCTATAGCGTCGTCAAGTAAGTAGCATAGATCATGGAAACATGGTATGTTGTATGCTAATAGGGGGATGGTTTTCTAGACCAAGCTTGGGTGCAACAATGAAAAAGTGTGTGGTATTGGCGTGTACGCATTTCTTCTTTGGTGTCGTTTATTCTTTGGGTGTCATGTTGTTGGATCCTGGTAAGTTGTCATGTTAGTGTATATGGATGGTATTGACACTTCTGCATAGAAACGGCTGGTTTCCTTGTTCTCTTGGTCATCTTTCCCTTGGCTATTACCATGTCAGCATTCTATGTGTGGATTTTCAGTTCATTGGGTGCGACGATTAATACCCTGGGTGAGTGTATATATGTAGAGGGGATCTATAACGAGTATACTTATCTACATGATGATAGAAATTCGTAAACAGCACGTCAAGGCATTGATGTATACCCGCCTCTATCGATTGCTGATCTTTTCGGTCCTTATGGTGGTGCTCATCTTTGTCATCAACATGTTTGCATTCAGCGGCAGTAGTGAAGTGGATTGGGATGCGAATAGCTGGCAGTGGCGATGGATCATGCTGGATGGTTCGCTCAATTTGCTTTATTTCGTTGTATTCTTTGTGATCATCATCTTGTGGCGTCCTACCAGCAATAACCAGCGATACGGTTTACAACAAATCAGTCAGGATGAGGATGAAGCAATGGATTTGGAAGATCAGCTACGTCGTGCTGGTGGATCTCGAGGATTGAACGATGATGAGGCAGCTATCTTTGAAGTTGGTGATGATGATCTTAGTGATGATGGTCATGACAAGGTCAAATTGGTATCGGTGCCAGCACGTCAAAGCACAGAGACCCGATCCTCTCCCCCCTCTTATGCGGCTGCAACATCTTCGTCAACCCCACAACATCAAGCACCATCCACACCCAATCATCGAGGTGAATCAGAAGGCAATGCATTGTTACAAGAAGAGGATGATGACGAGTAAGTATGGATGGATAGAGGGTGTGCAAATCATACAGGGTTTAACAATCGTCCCCCATAGGCCTGATGACGATGAACGTGCCCATTTGACAAAGAATGCCCGTAAATAAGTTAGAGAGACTCTTTCAAAATGTATCATAAGATAAAAAAAAAGCAGCAATATACATTACATGATCCCAAAGATATATACATGCGTGTGTACGTGTGTTGTGTGTATGAATTTTTTATATGAGTGATGGTAAAAAAAACAACATGGTGGATGGAAATTAGAGATGTTTAGATCTTTTGCATGGCAGCAACATCAACGGATTGGACGTAGTCCTCCAAAGCCTCGATAGCCTCAGTCAAGTCATCCATGGAGACCTAAAACACGAAATGTATGAATAACCCCTGTATGATCCTATACCAACTCGTTTCCAATTTACCTTGTCATCCTCAACAACGCAGTTGATTTGAAGCTTCTTGATACCGAAACCAACAGGGACGTGTTGGAAACCACCCCAGAGGAGACCTTCCATGGAGATATCACGGACGGCCTTGGTCATAGCGTCAATATCGGTCTCATCATCCCAGGGCTTGACTTCCAAGGTAACGGTGGTCTTAGCAATAGGCTTGGGCTTGGCAGCCTTCTTGGCGTTGTATTCGGCAAGACGTTGGGCCTTGATACGCTCAGCCTCTTCATCAACCTCCTCATCATCGGAACCAAAGAGATCAATGTCATCATCCTCCTCAGCGGCAGCAGCAGCGGGAGCAGCAGATGCAGCCCTATCATATCGTGATAAGCAAATCTTGTAAAAAAAAAAAGACGCGTTTTGACAACACACAACTTACTTGGCAGTCAAGCCTTGGACAGCAGCAATGTGCTTGTACCATCTGGCCAAATGGGGGTAAGCAGTCTCGGAAGGACCTTCAGGAAGGGCTTCGAAAACAGCCTTATCGGCATCAGAGGCTTCGACGCTAATCAAGTTGCACCATGGTGAGTACTCCCATTGATAAAAAGTGCATTCACATTCAACAAACAAACAAACTTACCCCTTGACGTAGGAAGCGTTCTCAAAGAAACCGTTCAAAAGCTTGAAGGCGAGAGGGGTCTCGAGGGTGAGGGACATTTTTTTTATGTACAAGGAAAAAAAAAGAGAGAGTGAAAGTAACAGAGTGGCAGCGGATGCAAAGTTTTTTCAAGCACAGCGGATACCCAATTGATGGCTTGGCTGTTGTCGTACTTTTTTTCCATCCGACAAACCAACACAGCATAAGAGATCAACCCAATTTGTTGCATCCAAGGTACTTTTTTATTCGTTACGGATGAACCTTGAAATTGATTGGACATTTTATCATCAAAGGGAGAAAGAAACGTGGGTTAGATAGGTTAATGTTTCAACAATGTACTGCTTTTTTGTTTTATGTATGCTGCGTACGTGTGAGCGTGTGTGTCTACATACATGTCAAATACTGCTGCTATAAGGCTCCTTGCATAAAAAGAGAATGAGCTCCGTACTAAAGTATAAGCCATGATAAACCCACCCCCACCTTATTATAATTTTTCTTTTGTTCAGGGACTAGGCTTCCTTTGGATCTCCTAAAATGAATGATTGGGCATGGTTACACGCATATACGTAAAGGAAAGCGCGCGCAAAAGGAGATGACAAAGAAAAAGAGAGAGACCAACCTGATCCTCCCTATGATGATTTTCAAACGAGTGGGAGAGTGGAGGGAGGGGGAGAGACACACAACCACGTATTGCATAGATGCTGCAGAACCTGTGCATTAACAGCATGGAAACGACAATACAAGTATAGAGAAGGGGTGATGGATGCTGTCGTCACTATTGTAAGTTCTCATCATCCCTTTTCTATGATGACCTTTTTATTTTGACACATTGTCTTTTTTCTCTCTCGGAACGAGCCATGTTTAGCAAATCGTTGTTTACTTTCCATGGGCAGTCAACGCGCCCACATTACTAAACGCACTAAAATGTGCGTCCAGGGTGAACGGGATTTGTTAGGGGTAAATCCGAGTCCGTGAGTGTGGGAGAGAAGGTAATAGTGGGTGGGTGGGGGGGTTATGTTTCTTTGTCCCAAATCATGCATTATACAAGGGCGTCTTTGGCAGGAGTTATGCAAAAAAAGTGGAAGCATGTTCTAAAAAGGTAGTCGACATTCGTCATTTTTGTCTTGTGAAACAGTAGAAAAATGCTTTTTGATCGTCCAGTTCCATCCTCATCATGTCATTTCAAAAAAGTTGTTTCATGTCGGTATTTGGATAGTGCTGCAACACAATACAGCAGCAACAAGCAGCGGGGTGGAAAAAAAGTGTGAGGAGTGCAAAAGGAGGAAAGCCCTGTTCCAGCAGCATTGGCATTTGTGTGACCCAGACAACATGCTGCATTCGGGTCATGTTGCGTATTATGATTGGTGTCATCTCAGATCCATGAGAGCAAAAGATCCGGTTATTTGGTTCTTTTGCTGCAATGGGTTGCATCTCACAATGTTGTGTATATATAAACCCGCTACTTTTTTTTTTTACCTTTCATCAACCCCCAACACGCATCACACATTTCACATTTTACTTTTACCATCATCATCACCATCATGTCCTGCCAAAAACTATTACTCTTGGAACCTTTTGAATACGACGAAGCCGCCAATGGTCGAAGCACTCCACCCTTAGTGTTCACAGAAGATGAATGGGATGACACGCCTGTGACTTCGCCAAGTACTACTGTCACTACCTCTTCCGAAAATGATCCGAATAGCTTGTTTGGGGACCTGGATTTGGTCGAGGTGTCCTTTATTCCTCCTCCACCCCCACCTCCACAAAAATCCTTTGTGGATGAAAGCGCAACCGACATCTTGTCCATGTTGCTCTCACAATTTGATGCAGCAGCTGATTCACAATATCTTGTCCACCAGTAAATCAAAAATCGCTACCACCACGTACCACTTCCCCCTGCTGCATCATGTCAAATCCTGTTCCCAGCATCTTTGTCCGGATACCCCTGCTAAAAAAAGTTCCATTTGCTTGTATACATTTGTAAATCACATCCATCATTTATCAACCCACCCCCCTTTTTTGCTTGCTTATAAACAACACAACACACTTGTACATGTCCTACTATAAAGCATACCATATTTGTTTGTTCAGGCTATATTCTATGTGGTGTGGCTCGTTAAGGTTAATGACCTGTCTAATGATTTCCCTCCTTGTTTTTGTTGATTGGGCGTATTTTGACAGCACAACAGCATGGCATATTATCTTTAGCCGATACATAAACGCACGCATGCATTAAATTGTCTCTCCCCCCAACCTCTGTTTTTTATTGAATCCGATTCCGTAACACCACACCATCCACCATGCACAGCAGCTGTTTGGACCAAGTTGCAATAACATGTGACCATTCATGTCAACTTGGTCACATTAGGCTTTGATATCAGGTTGCATCACGCATCGACACGTGTCACCTAGGAAGATGAAGGGAAGACGCTTTATCTTTCCTTTGATGAACATTCTTTGCATTTGATTGTTGATCATCATCATACACATTCCTAAACAAGTATGGGTGCTAAATAGATGATGATGAAGACCCACATACATACAATAACAACCCCCCTTAACACAATGACATACAATAGGGTGTGGGATGAAATTAGTCTCTCTCTTTTTATTTATGCATGCCCTTGCGAAGCAACCCTATTAATGCATCTAACCCCAGTTGTCTCTATGATTCCGTACATATGGCGTTTGATTATTAAATCATGCAAGGACGGTTGTTGTCAGACACCGATACACCACCTGCTGGGATAATTTGGTATGCTGCGTATCGCCGATAGAGAGAACCGTGGCTTGTTCTTCTTACAATGGGCAAAAAGAAAGGCAACAATGGACCAAGCCAAGAGCATTTGCAAATCTACCAACGCATGAACTTTTTATACCAAGCATCGAACCTCATGACAACATTGGTGCAACCCGAATCGCCAACAGCAAAGCACGGCTCCCTTGCACCACTCGGACGCTACTACAACAATACAATGAAACGTATCAGTAAACGCCTCCTCTTGCGCTCGTAAGGAAAAATCACGTGCGTGCAGCTTTTGGGGGATATACCAATGCTTCTCTCTCTCTCTTGTTAGTGATCCATCCATCAAACGCACCATTTGTAAACGATGTGATACAACCTTGATACCCGCTTTGACATCCACTGTTCGAATGAAAGGTAAGAAACAAAGAGTGTAAAAGGTAGTGTGGATATACCTATTTGACATTGGGCTTTGTATTAGACCATGCATCCATTATCCATTGCAAGACATGTGGCACCGAAAAGAAGTTGTTAGCAGGCCCCCAAGTACTTTTTTCTCAACGACCAGAAAACATTGTCGAAAAAGGAAGCAAAGAAGCAATGTAATAAAGCAATCATGTGCGGCCAACCAAATCCGTTTATTTGCTCTCTCTCTCTCTCTCTTTCTCTTTTCCTTTTTCCTTTCTTTGTTGCCCACCATGATGAATGCTTACAATGAGGCCGATTGGGGTGTCTCTACGGATGGAGACGTATTCTCTCCTTCATTCGACCATCGAGATTCGCTTGGCCAGTTCAACCCATTCCAAGACTACGAGGTGAGTTAATCAGCAGCACCAGCAGCGGTGGTTCTATTTGACGGAGCGTGCACACGCTAATACAAAAAGCAATTAGACGACGACTCCTTCTTCTGCTGCTGCAGCTGTCGATACAACGTCCCGTGCATCCACGCCAGATCTACCTACAACAACGGATACGAATGCGTCCAATGTATACATGAAGATCCATGTGGATGATCCACAAAAGCAATCAGCAGCTGTGCAAGGATCCTTTATCAGTTATTTGATTACGACAGAGGTAAAGAGCGAGGATGGATGAGGATGAGGATGAGGAGGATGATATTTATGGATGGGGGTTGTATAGACCAATATAGAGACATTTGCATCAAAACGATCGAGATCTGTACGTCGACGCTATCAAGACTTTGTATGGCTCCATGAGAGTTTATCGCTTGAAAATCCTGCATGTATTGTGCCACCACTACCGGAGAAGCACCGATTGTCATACATCAATGGCGACCGATTCAGCGATGCGTTTCTTGAACGACGGCGATTAGGGTAACCCCACACACACATCCATCTCCCACACGCTATACTCAAACGTTTTACATGTAGGCTCCAATGGTTCTTGGATCGTATTGCTTGTCATCCTTCTTTGCAACGATCACAGTGCACTCGTATATTTCTGGAATCACCCGACTTTGTAAGTGGATGGATGGAAGGAATCATAGTGCGATCGCTTATCAATTGAGTATGTAGAAAAATGACAAGCGTGCCATTCAAGCAACACACGTCCCGAAGCCTCCCTCCATTTTGGATACATTGGGTGATGTCTTGATGAACGCCTTTACTAAGGTCAAGAAACCGGATCAGCGCTTCATTGATATGCAAGAATACGTGGATAAGCTGGAGGACAATATACGCAATATTGAATTGCTCTATGCACGGATCAGCAAACGGCAAACCAGTATGTTTGTTACACAAAAAAGTGGTCGTCAGGGCGACATCATTTTCTCATTCTCTTGTTACAGGTTTGCAACATGACTACGTGAGCTTTGCTTGGAGCATTCGGGAAATCTCGGCCATGGAATCATCCATTGATATGCCATTACGACAATTTGCAGAAACCACGGAGACCTATTCTAAATACCTAAAGGATATGGTAAGTGCGTGCGTGTGTGTGTGTGTGTGTGGGAGTGAACAAGCAGCTGTTGTAGATCCGCTTACCAAGTACGAATAGACCAACACGGAGGATATCCTGTTTCTCAATGATCTACATGAACTACTCGCCTATTGCCAAGCTGTCAAGGTATAAGGATGATGATACTTCTTGTCAAGGAGCCAATACTAACGAGGTTACATAGGATGTGCTACAAAGGCGGGATGAAAGCCAAATCGACTTTGAAGAGCTATCGGTTTACTTACAGCGAACATTGGCTGAACGCGAGAAGCATCCTGAAAAGAGTGCAGAGTTGGAACCAAAAATCAAAGAGGTACAGGGTGTGAAAAATAGATGATGGGAGGGATTCTTTATTGATGAATGCATTTGCATAGCTTGAAGCTGAAGTGGCAAAGACCAGTGATATCACCAATGAATTTTCAGAGCAAATGACAGAAGAATTTGAGATCTTTCAGAAATCAAAAGCAACAGAACTCAAACAAGGCATGCTGGCTTATGCAGATAGTCATATCGACTTTTACACAAAGGTATAGAGGATGAATGGTACACACATTGGAAAGTGGTCAATCTAAATGGCGGGATTACAGGGTGCAGCTTTATGGGAAAGCATCTTGCCAGTGTTGGAAAGCATCCAATTGGACGACGATGGCAACAACAACACCAACAACTCCATTGAAGAAGAAGACGATGCATGATGATATCACTCCTCCTCCACCTCACGTTTGCATTTGACATGAACCTTTTGATCATATTATATCATTCTCTTATATCACCCACCACCCATCACTACTACTATCACAGCATACATATCAGCATACTCAATCATCATCCTCTTTCAACCAATACAATCATTCTTTTCGCACCAAATCCTTGTCTTTATGTATCACAATGTAGCCATTGGATTATAATCTAGCTTTGACTACAACAGCAGCCGCTTCTTCTTCTTTGGCCCAATTCCGGACTTGGCGTCTGAGGATTTTACCAGTGCTATTCTTTGGGATTTGAGGAACAAAACGAACACCGCCTCTTAGTCGTTTATGGCTTGCCACTTGGGATGCAACATGATCCATGATCTTTTGAGCAAGTTGGTCATTGTGTTTTACACCACGTTGAAGTGCAATGTATGCTCTTGGATGTTCAGTAGCTTCTTCAGCATTATTGACACCGATAACACAGGCGTCAGCAACCTCTGGTATCGTTAGCAACAACGCTTCAAGCTCTACAGAACAGATGATGGATGAGATTCATGGTGTCTTGATCCCGATGATGTTGATTTTTACCTGCTGGTGCCACTTGGAATCCTTTGTACTTTATCAATTCCTTGATTCGATCCGTGATAAAGAACGACTGGGTCTTGCTGTCGTATTTGCAAATGTCACCTGTGCGCATCCAACCATCCTCCGTAAAAGTATCAGCGTTGGCTTTGGGATTATTCAAATAGCCCTTCATGATACTTGTGCCACGCAAAAGCAGTTCTCCTTCTTGATCATCACCAAGCTCTAAGCATTGGATTAGCTTTTTGCTCCATTCACTTTCCATACGAAGATCATTACTTGCCATTTCCATTCTCGTCAATGATCTTTACTTCCACATTTGGACACACGATACCAATCGACCCTATATATAACATGTCAGCCACATGCCGGCATTCATTTCCCTGTTTACAATACCTGGTACGCCACTTTCAAGCGTTTGCATAATGACGCCACTCGTTGTCTCGGTCATTCCATATCTATGTTGTGGCATTTATTGGTACATGTCACATTTCCAGCAATCTCCTCAACTTACCCTTGACGCATGATTACTTCGGGGACGCGGTTTGAGACGCCATCTAAATGTTCTTTGTTGAGCGGAGCAGCACCACATCCAATATACTGGAGCGAGCTAAGATCGTATTTGCGTACAATGGGATTTTTGGCCAATTGCACCGCTACATGTACATACATTCAAGTCAGCATTCTTTCTTCTCTATGACATGTGTGTGTAACCACCAACAACGACTTACCAACGGGAGGGACAATGCTTGCACTTGTGATTTTATACTTTTCCACCAGCTGACAAAACAACTCAATGTTAAACTTGGACATGACAACGACCGGCAACATTTTATACAGCGCATTGAGCACCAATGAACACAAGCCGTAGATATGGAAAAAGGGCAAAAAGCCAACGGCGACAGGTGGCTGTGCACCTTCCTCGAGAGGTGGCACAGAAGGATCAAGGTTCGAAGGTTCCATACCCAGCGCTGTCATGATTTGCGATACAAAGTTACGGTGTGTGAGCATCACTCCTTTGGCACGTCCTGTGGTACCGCTTGAATACAATATGAATGCCAAGTCCTCGCGTGGATTGATCTTTTTCAGTTGAGTCACGTCCAAATGTTGGCTGGTCACGAGAGAATACACCGAAGCAATTCCTTCATGCTCGTGTGGACCAAACACAAAGATCCGATGGCGTGGAATACCCACTTTGGCACAAACACGTAAAAGGACAGGAAGCAATTGGGGTGTTGTCACAAGTGCCTTGGCTCCCGAATCGCTTATTTGGTGAAGAAATTCGGCTATTTTCGTGCCGACGACCCTGATTAATCATACAATGCCTCCAAGATCATCCTTTTTACTACTACTACCTTCTGTATAATTGGGATTCCTACATTTTCCCACTTGAGTTGGCGCCCCTTTTTCATATTCCATCCATCACTTACCCTGGCGTAATCGTAGCTTGAGCACCCAACAACGACATGTAAAGAACAATATGGTCATATTGGTTTGGAGCAAAGCAAGCTACCACATCACCTCTTCTCAATCCCACCTTGTCTCTCCATCCTCGTGCCATTCGACTTGAAAGGTCATATACTTGGGTATAGTTTAACGAACGACCTGTATGGCCATCAATAAAGAGGGGTGTATCATGCGAAAAGAAACGGTTGAATTTGTTGGACTCGAAATGGAATGTGTACAGGTCCAAGTCTGGAAGATGTACAGCAGGCAAGGTCGACTTGTAAACCACCATAACGACGAGTCGAATCGGGTGAAAGGTGAAAAAGTAAACGGAAGGAAACCGATCTCCTTCATGGTATGGGGGAATTACAGTAGTATATATATGCGCTCTCTCTCCAAAAAGGGATGGTGGGAAATAGGGTTTATGTAATTCGAATTTTTAGGAACACTCACGCACACAATGTCCCTCTCCCATGATACGCCTTCCTTTTCAAATGAACCCTGTAAATACGCCTTTCACTTGCTGCATTGTTTAGCAAAAAGTTGAGTTTTGAAAAGCCATGGATACGCGTCCCATTTTCATCCCCCTCAACAACGAGCGGCAAGTACATAGCAACGTATGTGTGTTACCTCCAGATCAATTCAAGCACAGCGCCGCTTACTCGGATTGTTTTACACAGGCATTAATAATAAAGATACGTGGTCGTAAGAACGAGATTTCATTGTTGTAGGGTTGTTTAAAGGGGGTGGAATACTCCATTACAAAGACCATTCTAGTGTTCATTGTTAACAACCCTATCTTTCAAACCTTGCAGATCTCCATTTTGTTTCTGCATTGCATGGTTACACAGGATAGCTCATCACACGGCACAAAAAATGATCGAGATAAAAGTACATATATATTAATAAAGGTGTTGAGGAGGATAGCTTACTACAATAGAATAAGGATAAAGGGCATACAGAATATGTACATGGTAGCGTATCCATACACGTGGTGTATCCAATGTTTTAGCCGACCTTGTTGTTATCGGTGGTAGTGGTGGTATCACGAGGAGGCTGATGATGTTGCTCTTCATGCGCCGCTACTGGTTGGGCCATTTCAATCGTCTGGAATGGGTTTGGAGCAGATGATAGGGAAGAGCTTGTAGAGTATCGACGCAAACCACGATCTTCGCTTATCCTTTGACCATTGCTAACATTCTTGCCTTCTTGTTGTGCACCCGAAGCGCTATTGCCACGGATGAATTGTGCAAAATTACGACGCGAGTTGCGAGCTTGATTTTGTTGTTGTTGCTGTTGCTGCTGATCCTCACGTTGTTTAAGAGCCAAGTCAAGGGTGCGGAAGACTTCATCATCAACATAGTAAGATTTGAATAACAATTCCATAAGCTGCATACGATCCTCCACATTAGCAAGACGACGGCTTTCATCGGATGCAAATACAGCCCCAGCAGCAGTGGGATGATAATGTTGTTGTTGTGGCATTGGATTGCTGCTGCTATCACTGGTATGTGTGGACCCCATATCATTCAATACGCTCTTGTTGTCATCGTAATAAGGTGCTGGACCATAATTTCTCAAGTCGAGTGAGTATCGTTGATGCACAGGGGTGACAAGGGGCACTGCCGTGGTGGATGAATTGATGCTAAAGCGATCTTTAAGCCCATCCGAAATCGAACGACGCATACTACCAAACGACCAACGATGGATCAAACCAAAAGGTGATCTTGCACGATAACCAAACACGAGTGTTTGGAATGCAATGAACAATCCAAACAGACCACCCAAGAAACCAAGTGCATTCAAAAGCGAAAAGATCTTTTGTTCACGTTCTACAAGCGTCGTTGGTGTAGCTGATTTGATGTACATTTCGTTAATGACGCCTTGATTCAGATTGGGTTGCTGGTTGGCTGGATCTTGTGATTGTGTACGTTCGGTCACGGTGATCGATGGCGTCATGTTGAGCACGGGTGAAAAACCCACATAATTCCATCCTACATCTTGGAGGAATTCTTGATTCACAAGCTGGTATTCAACAAAAGATCGGTCCAAGGGTGCAAAATCGATCACTGTTTGCGATTCGAAATCATTACGATCTTGCTCAATCCATTGCTTGACATCTTGTTCGGATAAGATTTGGCTCCTATCGCCAAAGTATACATAGGCATTGGGATCACGTCGAGGAGGATATACAGTAACATGGGTACGACCCGTGGCAACACCATCACCCAAAACGTAAAATTGAAAGTGTAAACGAGTTCCATTGTTCGCCTGTGGGATCGATTCAGGTGCCAATTTCATATCACCAGGGCGGAAAAGATAACATGTTAAATTGCCAAGATCGTTCACAAAGTAAGGCGAGTGGATAGATAAATCCAAAGGCTCAATGTTGTCAATGCATGTGACGCCTGCATCAGTGTCACAGCTCACAAGTGGATACGTGCGATAAGGACGCTGGGTATCCTCTCGAACCATGATTGGGAAACCTTCAAAGCAAAATCGGATGTCTATGTTTGTATGGTTGACATGAGCATACGTGAGAGTTTTACAAGGTTGTGCATATTACCTGGGATGGCAACCAAACCTCCAGGAGCCATGGTTGTGATGGTAAAGGTAGCCTTTGGGCTTCGTAGCACCTGTAATAGAACAAAGACAAAAAAGGCCACAAACAAAAAGAGAAGCAGGACCTTGGATACCAATCGCAATGTCTCTGCCCATAATGGTTCTCCCGTTCTATGTATACCAACCGCGTTAATACAAGGTCAGAGATTTGGTGACATGTTTTCATATGTACCTTGGATTCCAAATGTCATAGTGGATACGCATAATGAGACGCTTGGCACGGTGTCGGAAACGATACAAGATGGCAGCCATGATCAATACAGCAATCACAACCACGACCACAATAGCTGCAATGATCCCTCCCTTGAGCCCTTCAGGTGATGCATTCATGTCCTCGATTTCATCCGTCACCACGTTGGTTACCCATTTGCCCGATGAGAAATCAAGATCACCATTGCTATTGGGAGTGGGCAATTTAAGCACATCCATATTGCTGGTGTATTCAGTGTTGATGCCACCTGTGATCATTTGTATGAAAGTGTGAGCTAAATGAGCTTTACCATGACTTGGTCAACCTACCAAAAGCAAATACCATATACTCATTGGTGATCAAGGCACCCGTGGCATACGAGCGACGCATGGGTGCTGTTCCTTGGATCTCAGGTTCGTACCACGTCCACGTTTGTGTATCAAGCACGTACAAATTATTATAGTAAGTACGATTGTAGGCGGCAAAGAAATCATCACCTAGCATTGAAACATGAGCTCATTGTTGCGAAAGGATGATTAGGATATAGCATCTCACCTCCAAACAAGTAAATGTATCGCTTTTCAGGACCAAGAATTGCTGTAGCGTATGTAGTTGGTCGAGCTGGACCAGTGCTGTGGGTTGTGTCGATGGTGACATTTTCCCAGGTACCATCATTTGTATGGTAGATGACTGCCATATCACTTGGAGTGGGGAAACCAGTTGCTGGTGGCACAAAATATCTTCCTGTTAGGTAGACAATCCTACCATCCCTATAAGCAAAAGTCAGCATGGTGACATGTTGTCTATAAATCGATATAAGAAGAAGGATGACACTTACGGAAGAGCCGTGGCAGTATAGCTATCCATGGTGAAACCAGGGTAGGGACGCTGCGTAAATGCACCCGTTGAGGGATCATATGACCAAAAGTCATGGCGTGGTCTTGGATCGTAGGGACCTTTAAGACCACCAAAGATGTAAACAAGACCATCGGATGCCATGATAGCTTTGAAATTCTGCCGAGCACGAGGGATGGTTGTATTGTCGTCAGGTTGCAAGGTGACGGCCAAAGGTGACCACGTATCGTTTTCAAACGTATAATGATAGGCATGCATGGGTGCTTGATCGAACAAGGTATCTTGATAATATCCACCAAATAACGTGAAGGATGCATTATCAGGCATAAGAGCAATCTCTGCATGTGCCACATGTGGGCCATATTCATTAAGAGCTTTGTAATTGAGATCTCCCGTGGTCGCATCAAACGAAAACGCCGAAAAGTAATTGGATGGCTCGTTGGCTCGGTATTCGCCACCATACGCATACATGACATTGTCGATCGTAAAAGCTGTTGCGCCCAACACTCTAGGGATCTTTTCATTAACCTCCGTGGCTACTGGATAGCTGCCCAATACTGCTGTCACGGCAAGATTCAGCAGCATAAAAAGGCATATGCCAGCATTGTGTCTCCCTGTCATGCTGGTTTTTTCTTCTCTGGTAAAAGGAACACGAAAGAAAAAAGAGAGAGAGAGATGAGAAAAAGAACAAGCTGAAGCGTTCTTTTTGCATTATGTATGTATCCAGAATCAGGGCTGAGCCGTTTCGGTGAGACAATGGCAAAGCTTTTTCTTGAGTTTGTGCAATCGATCTAACGCTTTAAGAGCCATTCTGACTACGCTTGATGCTGCAATCTTTGCATTCCCATGGGTTGCACCATCATGCTTGTACCCGTTGTAAGAAGAAAAAGGCTTCTTAGATACGACTTTTCATCCATTAAAGCGTAACGGATCATCGATCCATACCCCATGGTGCATAGGTAAAGCATTGTGTTTAAGGGACAACTTGGCAATATCATGTCGCATAATGATGGCATCGTCAAAACGAGAACATGATATGGGCGCAGCCATCCTTCAAAATACACTGTTTTTGGCGACATGGGGCGCCACTTGCCATGAAAGGCGACTTGATTTTTTTCGTTCTTTAGAGTCACACTGCGATGCTGTGGGATGCACCAGGTATCGAGCTAAAAATGCAGAGGCGTTACCACTGTACCACATCATCCTGCTTTCACCTCCCTCCTATCATTCTTTTCTGGATCACCTGCAAAGAAATCAAGATCAGAACTCAGATCAATCAAACTCGACATGGAAAGCAAAGCCATCTCCTGCTACTACTACCCTGGCAGTGCAACAACCTCTTTCAACGTCGTATGTAGCATTATTATCAATGCATACAAAAGTCATCCAATCCATCATCATCATTCTAATACAGCTTCTCACTAACAATGTGCTCATTCTTGCTATGGCTCGGAATCATCATACAATGCAAAGAGAAAAGAGCGGCGATCCTTCGATGTTCTTTGTGCCATGGTAACACAGGTGACCTGTGTCACTATGCCCTTGTTTCATTTTTCATTTTACTGTCATCACATGCTTCCATCGATCATGGAAAGAATATTCATGCATCAGCCTACTTAATCCTGCTGCGTCGCGTTATTTCATGGTAAAGTCACGACTACCATGGTACCATCAAAATTCAACATGCATAAAGCGTTTGGGAGGTGGTTTGGGTAATAGCACCACGACACAAAGGTAGAGTCGTTTTCGTGCCATAGCTCTTGAAGAACAATTGCACTTACAAGTTGGCGGCATCCACAATCGTTTTTCTTCCGTTGCTAGGCAACCCGCTCCGAAAAGATTTGCACTCTTCCTAGTGCTGGTCTTCCTTATCATGCTGCTATCTTCTGGTGGATGACATACTCGTTCATCAAATTACCATAGCAATCGTGAAATCAACACCAGGGGTTTCCTTGGATACGTTCAACAAAATCTTTGTTACTTTTCAACATTCTTTGCGCCTACTCGAAACGACATTATGAGATAGCCAACGTTTTACATGGAAATGGTGCATGCTCCTCTCCAGCGCATGCCACAGGAGCATATATGAAATTGGTGTTGTGACGATAGCGAGAAGATGTATATACAAGTATCCCGATAGCAGATGGCCATGTCTATATACACAAATATCAAGGCGGATTGTTTAAATGAAAGAATAGTGTAGCCATGGGTATTAGATTTTGACATGTCTAACAGCGCCCTGCAATGCACGCATGTTGTCTTATGCGGCAAGTGCATCAAGTACGTGCACCATGCATGCCTGTAATGCAGCAACCACCAACACGGATGCTTAATCACGTGCATCTTTCCAAGGTGTTGAACTTCATTGCAAGTAAACGAAACAATAATTGGTGCGTAATAAAAGTGCACTCTTCAATAGAGGCAAATGGCTTTTATTATCCAGTCATTTATGTACAAGCTAGCAATGGATTCATGATAATGGCTTATTCTATTACATCATCCCTTGCATAGTAGAGAGGTTGAAGAAAGTTCAAGCATAAAAATACCAGCAACTCCTACTTTCGTCGATCATGTTTTGATGTTACACAAGTGAGCTGTTTGGAGGTCGCGTGTGCCTGGAACAGCGCATCTCCTGGATTTATAACTCAGGTGGGGTGAGTGCCAAGCATAAGTTAAAAAAAGCAACATGATCTTTACCGGATACAGGCAGTTAATCTTGGCTGCTGGTGGTGGTGGTGGTGCCGCCTCTTTTCCTTCGTCCCTTCTTTCACTACTACTACTACTACTTCTTCTTCTCTCATGGCGCCCATTGATCAGACCAGCTATGAGCATTACCTTGTTGCTCGTCAAGCTGTGCAAGATGACGTGACCAATCGACTGACACCTACCGACGATCAACGCATAACCCTCATTATCATTGGTGTCTATGTGGCAGCTATTCTTATACTTTGGAACATGCCTATTATCAAACACGTCTTGGCTCCCTTCAAGGTAAGGATTTATTAGGTTGATCAAGAGGGAAGGATGGTTGCTCACACCTATAATAGCTCTTGACCGTTGGCTTACACGAATTCTCACATGCTATTGTTGGATGTTTGACCTGTGGACGTATTGAAGGATTGGAAATTGACCCTAATGAAGGTGGTGTCACGCATATTGTAAGTTGTATTGGCGAGGGGGCTCATTATGGTTGTGTGTGCACACACAAAGAGGCTAATCGGATCACGGATAGCGTGGTGGTATCCCGATGTGTACGTTGCCTGCTGGTTACCTTGGTTCATCACTTATAGGTGCCATCCTTGTCATGTGTGGATTTGACGTTTTGGCTTCCAAAGTAGCTTCCATCTTTTTGGGCGTGTGTCTACTATTCACTCTGTGGTGGGCCAAAAACTGGTTGACGCGTGGTATTGGATTGCTATTCATTGGCTTGATCGTTTTGCTATGGCTCGTGGCCAATGGTGTTGGTCTCAAGTACTTTGTATTGTTTGTCGGGTAAGTGGTCCGTTCATGGTATATCAAAACACGCCATGCTCATCATCCCTCATTGTATATGTAGTGTCATGTCATGTCTCTATTGTCTTTGGGATATCATCGATGATCTTGTTTTCCGCAAAGTGCATGAATCAGACGCGTCCAAGTTTGCCAAAATGTGTGGTGGATGCATGTCAAGTAGAGTATGGGGTGCCTTGTGGTTCATGATCAGCTTGATTTTCTTTGTGGCCGGTATCTTGATTGGATTAGCAGCCTTCAAGGGTAAGCGAAGAGCGGAATATGGGTTGCTCTTAACTTGCTAACATGATCCTTTTTTTCTTCTCCTCCACATAGGCGATCAACAACAGCAACAACAAAACCCAGGTTTCTAAATGACATACAACACTACACCATTCACATCCTTCACCCCTCCCTCTCAACCGCCGCTGCCACCACCGTGATATCTATTCATTCACCACCCGCTCTAACACTGTATATACTTTTTACCCTGTTATCGTATTTTGTCATCATGTTTTGTTGTCTTCTACTATTATAAATGTGTTACATCTTCTACAATTTATTGTGTCTAAGATCGTCGTTGCGTGTAACACGAGCTAATAACAGCATATAGATCGGACTTCCCAGTGAAGCTAGCATACATCAGGTAATAAAACAAGCAATGTCATGTATTCAAGGAAAGTTGGATTGCTTTTTATTTACGTAATGGTGTACAAAAAGTGCAATTATGGGGGTCTGTTGCATCCTGATCATTCGTCTATTGAGGTCTTGATGTTTTTCATGTGATGGGAGGGAAGTAGATTTGGTCAATGATGGTTCAATTTGGTTCCGCGACTCAATGGGAGAATTAGTGTGTGATGCTTTGATCCCTCGCGGTAAGATAAAATGTGCATGTTTGATGGCCTTAGAATGCATTAGGGACGAGCTTTCTTGGTTCACAATCGGGTTGACAATAAAGTTGACAATTGGGTTGACAACGATCTTAGCAGAGTGGATCGCTGATAAGTTCATGATATTCTTTGTTGATGTATTCGAAGTCAATAATAGCAAAATTGACAGCTGCTACCGCGTTGTCGTACGACCAGGAACGGATCTCATGCCCAAAGTTATCCACAACGGTCATTTTTTGGTGCCCAAAAGGGACTCTAATTTTCCCTCTATGTAGATGGCGATATACCATGCTCTTGTAGTGCTTCTTCAATGCTAGGCCATAGGGTCGTTGCATTGTGCGATCATGGTTAAACGGTGTGTTGCGCAAAGTTGTGGGTTGTGTTGTCATGAGAATGCTGAGAGCCACAAATGGATCCAAGGGGTGAACTTTGCTGCAATCTTTCACGGTGGATTCGCAAACGATACCACAATTGGTGGGCCATGAATCATATGGATATGAAAACCAATAGGCGAGATTGCTTGTTCTTTCGACCGTAATTTACAACTGGCCAATGGCCCCATATATGAACATGATTGGATCCTGACTATATCGGTCTTAAGAGTTGAGACAACGCTTCGTGGCCTTCTTCATGAATTTTCGATCCACATTGTGCTGGAACTCGACGATAATTGGTCGTAAATCAAGGACTTCTCCTCAAGGACGACATCAGAACGCGAGCCACCGCTCCATTCCCTATTGCCGATCGGATGGTCAGAATCCATTGCTGGCAATTTAGCGGTAGTGATATCGATGACGTTTTTCATTTGAGATGTTGAATGGGCGATCGGGTGTGGCAACAAAGGAGAGCAAGAAGAGGTTGATGGGCGAATTCACGTGATCAATTTTCCTCTTTCCCAGCTTCCGATGATGGTCCATTGTTTGCCGGTCTCTTTGTGCTAGAATGACTTGCCGCAAAGCATGTATTAGTGGATGATACTAAAAGAGGATCGATTAGGAATAACACATACCATAAAAGCTTGATAAGAGAACAATTAAGCCAATAAAGAAAGGATCACAATGACAACAATGACAATGAAAGTAAAAGAAGAAGCTCTATGAATGGCCACAGGGTCAGCTCTCATCCACCGAGCCATGTACAAGATGTGCTTACGTACCATGTGTTGGGGCTTGGAGTGTGTCATCAATCAAGGAGTGATATGGATGGAGGAAAGAGAAGAGATGGATGGTGTACGATAGCAGGCGACAACATCCTTGTTGTTTATATGTACATGGTGGGCGTGGGTATTTCTCTTATCACAAACAGAAAAGAGAAAATGATAGAGTGGTCAGGGCGTCGATGCCTGGATTAAGCCTGTTTCTCTAAAAGAGTCAAGGCGTGATAATGCTCATGCATAAATCGCAAGGTGTTCTCGTCCAATATCAATACCATCAATCAGCGACCTTATCTATCACTTTTTACGTTCATATCGACATGCCCGATCACAAAAGAAATTTGCCATCATCAAAGTACTTGCTTTGATGGTGAAGAAAGACACAATCAGTGACACTCTCCTTTCGAAACAGAGCTTCTGGGTCAAATCAATAAAGTCACATGATATGATAAATTACGGCCTCTCCTTAAAATACAAATGTTCATTATCCAAAAGGTGGCATTTTGTCGATTGACGACATGTAGCAACAAGAAGGAGGGAGGAAACATCCGCTGTGATAAAGCAGCACGCGTCGCGTCTTTTGGTCAATTTCATTATCCCCTTTTCCCACTTAACACCTCAGCAATATGGTACGACAGCAAATACCGATAACCACTACAAGTCGCTCACCAACTTTATTTATGCATATCAGTCTACTTGTGATATCGACCCTGCCTTGGTTGAAAAGATTAAGCAGTTCCGTTTTGCAAAGTACTCGAGCGGCAATGCAGCATTCGTTTGTAAGCAAGAGTCAATGCTGCCATGGGAACGAGACACTCATGTTGGATAGTGCAAATCGATCGCAAAGAGCTCCAGATTGTGGAAGATGAGGTGTACGATAATATCTCTATAGAAGACTTGGTCGAAGGTAGGTTGCTTGGTTGGTTGTCATGGATACGATACTCATGGTGATGATGTGTTAGAGCTTCCCGAAAATAGCCCACGCTTTATCATTCTCAGTTACGAGGTAATTGTCCTACGCCGTAATGCGTGTGTGCTTTGTGTATTGACTCTTGTCTTTTTGTAGTTACAACATACCGATGGTCGAAAGAACTTTCCACTTGTCTTCATTTACTGGTCACCCTCCACGGCCAAGACCGAGATTAGCATGCTGGTAAGCCGTCATTATCATCCTCGTAGTGGATGTATGAAACTCGTGCTTAACCTAATTTATCCAACAACAGTATGCTTCTGCCAAGACTTTTCTCCAAGATGCCATTGACGTCCACCGGGTAAGTCCCTTTTTTTTCTTACATTTATTATGATTACTTTTTCCACATACACACAAGTGCCTATATGTCTAACAATGTGAAATGCAGGGTATTGATATTCGAGAACCTGAATCGCTTACGGCCGAGTATCTCGATAGCCAGCTAAAGCACGTGTAAAGGGAAAAAGGATGCAATAAAGAGGAGAGAATCGAAATTTCGCTAAGCTGATCCAGCAGCGTCCCTGGCAATTTCATGAAAGAGCAACTTGTTCCAATCATCAACAGGACCTAATGTTCAAATAGGTTAGGCACACACACTCTCTTTCTATACCATGCTAACCAATTTACCTGGTAAACAAGTGTGCAAGCAATCTGAATCGGGTCTTGAATGTGCATCACCACGAAGATTAGCCATATTGGATACATTAAAGAATCGAATGCGATAGTCTTGGGCTTCATCAATCATTTCCTAGTAGACGATCGTCAATTTTCCCATACGATGACCCCCGCCTTCCCGCATTTGCCCATTTGATTTACCTTCCAAACTTGATCCATCTTTTCAAACATGTCCCATTGGAATTCACCTTCCTTGCGTGTGGGGGCAAAGGGTGTCTTGCTAGGCTCAGTGTATCGGGAGCATTTGGCATGACCATAAGGTGTGCTTCGTACCCATACACGTTGAACAGGTCTGAGATTGCGTTGCAAATAATCAAAAATAATGCGCATAGCTCGACGATAAGCATCCATCATTTCCTTGTCGGATTCATTGGGGCCCCATTTTAGATCCGTGTGCCAATGAGCAGCCTATGAAACAATACCCGATTGAGTGTCTCTCTCACTTCCCTTTATACTCCTTCCTTATCCCTTACTTACCGTATTGATGACAATATGGTCAAACCGTGAAAGAGCATGCACCCTATTATAGATCCAGTCTCCGTCGTTAGGATAATCGGCAACCCATTGTGGCGCTACCAATCGATTGACTTACCATGGAAAGTTGGTACCCTTACCAATGATATAGCCTTCATCATCATTGGGTTCCATAAGCTTGAAGTCATCAAGACGCACCAAGTAATCCGAACGTAAATAAGCCATAGTGACAGCACCTTCGACATGGAGTTTATCTTGATGGACAAATTGGCTCACCCACATGTTGCGATCACCTCCTGACAGCTGAGTATCACCCGGTGGAGACGTGAGCTTCTCGCCCAATAAACATCCCATGCTCTCAAATTCCAGTTGATTGATAGAATCACCCACAAAGACGAGGGGATGGTTGCTTAGGTATTCAGCAAATCGTTTGGCGTCAAAGGGTACAAGTTCACATTCTGAAGGCTCCCATACGTAATCCATACTAGCATAGTATATATAAGTCCTTGGTTCATTCATTCATACGTTGTTGCTATTGCTCCTTACATGTGTTTGCTTCGATTGAACTCGTTTCCTTCATCAAGACGTCGATAGCATTTGTGAGGGAATCCACCACTGCAGTGGTATCCAGCAACCTTTTCAATGTCGCTTGGCTTATCCGCACGCAGCAGCTTCTCTCGTCGTACCCACTGGCCAACGTTGTAGGTGTCAGAAGTACACAAGGTACCCATATCCTCTGGTATCGTAATCAAGGGCTCAATGGGGGCAATGACATTGGTAGGGCCATCTGATTCTCGTTCGCTTGTGGGGACGATGCCGTCATCTCGCCATGACCAGACTAGTAACCATAGGAGCAGTAACCAAACAAAGGCAACAACATAAACAGTACGAGACCACATGTATTGTGGCATGGATGTATCAGCGCTCGGCATAGTTGTCAGCTATATGCGTGTGTGTGAGAGTGTGTGTGTATGTGTGATGTGCGTATGCGTATATATAGATGTGTGTATATGTTTTGGATGTTATATAAAAAGAGAAAGAAAGAGAACGATGATGATCCTTTCTCTCCTTCTCCGTCGATCAATTTGGCATCGGCTTTTTTGTGTAACAGCCCACTGCTCCGAGCGGCGATCCTTTTTTTTTTTAGTTTCCCTCATTTTCCATCCCAGCAACCACACATCAAACATTTGCCAAGGAACATCAAAAAAGTCATTTTATACAATCATCATCATTTCCACACGTTATTTGTAAATATATCATCATTGTCTTCATCAAAGAGTTGGTGGATACCACGTTGTTGGGGTTGATGCGAAGTGGATGAGTGATCAGGTTGAGCAGGTGGTGTAGAGGTGGATGCAACTGGATGAGTGACATGTGATGAATAGGTGGAGGAGGAAACTGTTTCCATGTTGTTTTGTTGACGTTGTGGTTGTGGTGATGATGTTGTTGTTGATGATGATGGTGGATGATTGTATTGGGGTGAAGAAAAGGATGGATAGGGTTGTGGGTTGCCTGGTGATAATGATGATGATGGTGATGGATGTGGTTTCAAATGTCGTTGTTGCTGCTGCTGCTGCTGTTGTTGTTGAGGAGACTCTGTTGCTGGTGTAGATCGAGATGCTCTCAAATGTTTTGGAGGACCCGTTACAGCTTGCTGTTGCTGTTGTTGTCGACGACCTGCTGGTGAGCGTGGAGAACGTGGTGGTGGTGTTCTTGTTGATGATGGCTGCTGCTGCTGCTGCTCATTTTCTTGGGAAGAAACATCTGCAACGACCACATAGTTGCCTTTGCCTTGTTCCACAATGACATCAACACATCCCTCACGTCGACTTGGTGGCCTATCAGGCATACGTAATTTTCCCTTGCGTACTGATGCCATGCCTCCTCCTCCTGCAGCACTTGTATCCGTTCCACCATAGCCACGTGCACGACTACTACCAGTTGGACTGCTATTGCCATAGCGTGCTTGTTTCCATAACGGTGCCCGAAAATCAACAACCGGATAGTTGTAATCACCGTATACCATAGTGCGACTTGATTCATATAAGGCTTCCACCTCATCCCAAGGATCTGGATCGTCAAACTCCAAAGGTTCAGCTTGCTCAACCACCACCTCGCCATTCATGCCTCGTCCGGCACTCAAGTACCGAGATACTGGTGCTGGTTCTAACCAATGCTTTTTTGCTGTGCTTGTTGAATATCGTAATCCCGCCATGATACGTGATGTGCGACTGCTACCAATGTGGGGCACGCCTTCAGAAGGTTCAAACGATCGATAATTGAACTTGGAGCCACGCAAGGTATCGAGTGAATCCATCAAGACATCCTTCAAGCCAAAAGAATCCCGAATAGCGTACATGATTGGCATTCTCGCCGAATGTACATTACGATCATAATAATCTTCGTATGAAAAGGAATAACTATAATTGCCATGTGCATTAACACGGGATCTCCCACGTGTGCAACATCCCCCCCTTTTACTTACGAATGCGCAATTGCTGCTGGTATCATTTCCAAACATATCAAAAAGTCTTGGATTGCTACGGATATATTCTCGGCACCATCTATAAAACAAAACATGGTCAATGCAACTCATTTTGAATAGCAATCCATGTACTTACCTCCTTCAGGAATAAACCCAGCTGACACCAAAAGAGCAATGATGACGCTTTGCCAAAATGAAAAGAAGATGATAGCCTTGACACAAAGAAACTTGGGGAAAGGTCTAATACAAAGCATGAATGAAACCAGTTCTCTCTGGATAGCGTAGCATACAAAAAGGTTACCTGAATCCTGTCATGTCCTTTTTTGTAGCATAGAAAAAGACCATCAGGCACCACAGACTCAAGCAGACGCTGAGATTGTAAAAGAACGTGAGGTAAAGATAGGAGCCTGACCAACTCATGTCTCCTTCTTGATAATTGCCGGTTGCCTTGAGGATCATTGTGAGGACGGCAAGGACAGGTTTGACGTAGACGAATTGGAGGATGCCTCGCTTGACAAACAAGAATGTGTATGGATCACCCACATAGATCTCACGAGACCACAGTGTCCCAGGAAAAAAGTTCTCGGAGGGTGGTCTTGAATGCAACATGATGATCAATGCTCGTTCGCCTCCCAGCTTGTTGAGTAAGAGATTGAAGAATGCATAAATCACAAACGCTTCGTAAATGTCTCGGAATGTATCCACATAGAATGCAACGTCCAATGATACAAGAGATACGTAGGTACTGATGCCATAAATCGGAACCCTATTGGTGTTGCATAGTAGTTACTACTTGTTACTACCCAACCCCAACTCTATACCGTATGCGTGTTTATCTTACATCCAAAGAATACGAATCACTTGACGTTGCTGATTCTAGAGAGCGATGATAGGTGGGTTGGTTCATTGAGTAAGGGGAGTTCAAAGGGAATGAGGTGGGTCATCGTACCGGTTTTCTATAGTTCTTCCAATGGAGCCATACTGACAAGGATGAAATGCAAGTTGCAACGACAGTGAAGATCAATGCAAGGTGAATGGCAAACGGATTCAACTCTGCTCCTGCACCGCCTTCGCCATAACCGCCGCCTTGCACCGTTGAAAGAACGGGAGCCAACAGCAGCCGCAGCATATTCTGCCAGTGGAGTAGTATTAATTACGTTGTCGCAAGTTGAACAAGTAAAAGAAACGATTCGGGCTTGGCGCCTGGCAAAATATGCATTTGTAAAATTGGGATCTCATGGCAACACAAACATGCCAAGTCAAAAAATGAGAGAATGAGAGAGAGAGAGAGATTGAATAAAGAGATGATTGATTGACCAGCCAAGAGCAACAGCTAAGGAATGCTTGCTTGATCGACATACAATTCCTTTTCTCACAAACGCCCATTCTACTACTATTCATACTGCTTCCAGCAATGAAGGAAAGGATCATTCATTTTCCCCCGTATTTGATATGAAATGATGAGCTATATGAAGAATAATGAAAGCTTGTTCATCATCCCTTGACTACTCTTCTTCCCCAAGTGATGAATACAACAACATCATTGAAATCAGGATGAGAAAACATTCGCAACTCACGACGACATTGATAAAGCAGCGATTACGCGTATTGTCCATGTTGCTTGAAGATGATGATAGAGCACAGAGAAGGGTATGATTTCATTATGTTTGGGAGCAACGTGTAAACATGCCTGTTGTGCTACCTGCTGCATGACAGCACCTCCATCGCCACTTAAAAAAATACGTTCATTGACCGAGCCACGTAAACAGCAACCGGTTCATAGCATCTTGAAACATGAAAATGGTTTCCATGACATGAAAGTCTCTAGGATACGCCGCCCCCTAGTCCAAAAGACTCGATCAACAACAAGCATTGAACCTGTTTTATCACTTTGTTGATATTGCAGTATGCATCGCCATCATGCATTAAAGTGTGCGACATGTCGGAACGACTCAACCGATAACAACAAGGGAGCTACTACATGTAACGGTGTCAAAATACAACATGCAAAGTTGGAAAGTGCTTTGGTCTTTTAATATAGAGACTATCATGGAATAACAAATAGTGCAGCAAAATGCAACACAATTGCCCATGTATCGCCCGATCTACAATGTTGTTGTATAAAACATTCAAGAGCCATTCAATGTCATGTGCCGTTTTACATACTGTCAAGTGAATCATGTTTAATGTTGCTTCGCTTTCATTCCACGTGATGATTCATCCATGCACGAGCGATGCAGTCCAAAGCAAGTATTATCCGCAACTCGTGGACATGTGCATAGCTTTGAGCACATGGTGGGAAGGTAATTGTTGTTGTCATTGTACTTTGAGCCATGAGCAAGCCTATAAAAAAGCAGCTCCAATATGCATGGTACAGAACAAGGAGCCATCCGAAATGCAGTGTCGTCATAAAGAGTAAAATGGGACCTCACATGCCAATGGTGATCACAAGGAACCAAAAATGGGCAACCTGACTCTTTGTTTACAATCACTCCTCTTTTGTCTTTTTTCTTTTTCATTTTTCTCGTCTTCCTTTTCTTTCCAAATACAACATCCACCAACGTGCCAGCCTGTATGCCATTAAAGAAGCTATTCAAGTCCAAGCGCAAGCTTGGGCGGATGGAATCCATCTCACGAAACCTGCCAATGGACCCTTCTGGTATTCTCACACGAGAGTTTCCAAGTCTTGTCTCACGCGCCAAGTCACCTACAGATGTCTTGGACCTTGTTGGCTATCCTCAATTTACGACCGAAGGCGCCAACACGTATACCCCACCACCCATCACCAGTGTGCTTCATCGATCCTCACAACAAACGGATGAAACCAGCTTGGCATCACAACAACAACCACCACCATCGAGTAAACCTATACGGCCTACTGTGGGACCACGACGATCCTCGTTTCATACCTTTTCATACGACCAAGGAGCAACAACAAGTAGCCATTCACGAAAACGATCCGTGAGCACACCACCACCACTCATGATGCCCAAACCAATCAATGCCGTGCCACCCACACAACATACCGTATTACAATCCACTGCAAAGGATAAGACCCAAGTTGCGTCATCACCATCATCAGGTGAAGAAAGTGGCGCTTTTCATGTTGCACGATCATCATGTACTGAGCAGGAATTGGAATCCATTTATCAACAATTGAAGCATTATCAACAAGAACAGCAGGAATGGCTAAAGCGGGAAAAGGAACGTCGGCAAAGAGAAGATTGGATGTATGCAAAATTATGCGAGTTACAACAACAATTACAGCAACTATCAACACGTGTCACTGGTGCTGGTGCTGGTGATATACAACCACTTTCAACATGTTCACCTCCTTTTCGAAGACGACAATCGAGTATCAGGATGGATGAAAGTCATGGTGATGATGATGATCTCGAGCATGAAGCATGTTGTTTATCCGTTGACGATGAAGATGAAGAGGATGATGAAGCAAGTTCAGGCTATGCATCAGAAGAAGAAGAGGAAGAGGAAAGTGAGCAAGAGGATGAGGATGATAGACGATGTCGTTATTATTATTATTATCGCCGTCATCCTGCTACTGCTGCAGCTGCAGCTGCTGCATATCAACAACAACAACACCATCGCCAAAGACCTTGGTCATCCACCATGATGGCTCATCCTTATTACCATCATCATCCTCAACAACAATACCACCGTGCAGCTCACCACTACGCATACCCAAGAGGATCATGGCCAGTACGACGACGAAAGTCATCCGATACCAGCATTCGATCCGTGCCTAATCTTGTTAGGCGAAGTAGTAGCACCGCATCCCGATTTCAGGGTCCTCCTCCATTTGTTTTTCCACATGATGAAAGAATGATACGTAATCGAAGAGCTCCAATAAACATGATGTAATAATTACTATTGTCGATAATAAGAAGAGCGTGTCTATCGTTATGGGTTACAAGTTTGCAGCATCATAGCAATAGGTCATTGTATCTATCCTAGGCATTTGGCAAGCATTACTTGTGGTAGTTAACGTTTATTGTGATGTTTCATCTTGTCCTTGAGTATCGCCTCGCGTATTGTTGTGAATGTAGACTATGGTGAGGCATTCAACGAATATAACAGATATAGCAAATAGAAAGTCTAATGCAGGAGATATGATGCTGTTATTGCAAGAAAGATCAAATGCTGGTTCGAGCTTGGAAAGTACACGGTATTTTTCTTCGTGCTGATAAGGCGAGAGAGTAAACTCTCCTACCGCATAGATGCAATGTATATACCGGCCAACACCATCAGGTCGAAGGTCGTGATGGCGGCGTTGCATATCTTCAACTCGCTCTGCTTCCTTTCTGATGTTGTGAATGATTTTGAAATCCATCAAGTAGGAAAAGGCGTATAGCATGAAACACAGCAATAATACGAAAAGCTGAAAGTAGCAGCAAATTTGCATTATAGCTCCTCGATCGTCAAAAACTTGAAACAGAAATGCAAAAACACCAAGATGTCCAACGATGAAGGCTGCATATTGCAAAATCCTCTTTCGCTTTTCAATTGGAGTCTTGTACATATAATATACGACTCTTATGGGTGGATCAAAACGGCTTCTTGTGGTTGTATTTCTTCCAGGGCAGTCATCGAGAATGTCCTCAACGTATTTCACGGATGGATTTTCTTGGCCCGGCTCCTGATGGGTCTTACATTCATCTCCATCAGCGTTTTTTGAAAACTGCTCGCCTCTCGTCCTCGTCAAATGTTCCCTCAAAATGCCAGGGATGGCGTCCGGACCTCCCTTCCGCTTCACGCATTGATCAGCTCTCCAGTCATCTTCACCAGGAGTCAAGTCCGATAGCCTTCCCTCCTTGATGGTTCGCCTCATATGGTAAACTTCACACTTTGAGTTGACGAGAAATCCAAGCCATCCATGAAGGGCATCAACGCTATGACGAAAACGTAAGAATCTTGGAACGGGAATTGAGCTGCTGACTCTAACATGGTAACGAGATGGATGACATAAAGATCGACTCTGAAGACCGTAGAGAACCGCTTTATAACGCTCTTCAAGTCTTTCTATCGTGTTCTGATTCAATGATTCAGCATAAGTTTCGCTGGATACGTGTATTTCGTCGGATGTTTCCATTAGTATGATTTGTAAATGTCGATTGTGTTTGAGAGAAAAACGAAGAGCAATGAAACAAAGCGACAATAAAAAGAAAGGCCGAGGAAGATTGCGAGATGCCAGAAGATAAAAGAAATGCGGAGGAAGTTTCCAAGGTGCCAGACGATATAAAGAAATGCGTACGTAGGAAGTTTCGAAGATGCCAGTGAACTATGTAATACATCGGCTTGACCTTGTATAACGGTCTGAGTCTACGTATATTATGTGACACATACTCTTTGTAAATGAGCTTCTACTTATTCATGTTCCCTGTCGTCCTTACCGTTGAGCATCGTATATGAAATAAGAAAAGCTCTTTCCAATTTGAAAGAAGAGAAGCTGTTCCCCATTCGCTCAGATCAGGTAGGTGCATGATAGACTTTATTGATACGCCTGAGCTATATTCTCTCTTTGACAGTACCGTGTAACATGATTGCCTTTTCTTGTGAAATCAATTTTACATATAATTTTGATGGCAACACTCTTAGAATATGAGGGCAACAACATTGAGCGTCTCTTGTAGATTAGTAAAATATGAGCCTCTCATAGTAAAATGACATTTGGGATGTGAGAGCACTTACCAGGTCATTTGCAAGAGGATGGCCATTTTACGTGATTATGGTTCTTCATGATTGATGTCGTCAGGGGAACGTGTATTACCATACGAATGTTCTTTTTTTGTATATAAACCATAAGAATATTCGATTTAACGCTTCTAGTGATGTTCCAAAACATGACATAGTTTTCTATCGTAGTTCATCTGCATTATACAGGAACCGTGACTTTGTAAGGATAGAAAGATCAATGGATCAAGCTTTAGGATGAATGGCTACAGCTGATTATCTTCCGACTTGCATAGTAGTAGGTAAAAATGGATTTATAATCTCACTGGGAATATCTGACCATGTGGAAGCAGCAAGCTGCAAACATGATCGTGAACAAATTGATGTTTAAAGAGCATGTTTATTTTGAGAGCATGTTAGATTAATTACTAGTAGAGCATAAAGTACGAAGGGCATAAAGTACAAAGGGCACTACCATGAACAACATGCATGCAAGGTTGTATCGAGGTGGTTGCCCTGAGCCACCTGCTGGCTGGGTTATGTGACGGCTCGTTTTTTCGGGGATGAGTGAACTTGTCAAAGACACAGGTGAAAGATGAAAAACCCGCCTTGTTCTTTTTCCATAACCGCCACCTCCTTGTCCTCCATGGGTAAAAAGTCATTCAAGCCGAATCCTGATACGTCCACTGCCGAGACTTCGAATACTGCTGGTGTCTTATTCTCGGCATTCGATCGCACTGCAGCTGCCGAGCACTTTGCAATTGTAACACACAGCGTTGATCGCCACCGACTTCGGATCTTTAGCACACGATCTGGCACCGTCAGCAACGATTACTCTGCCGAAAACAAAGAACGATTCACTTGTCTCTCTTGGGGATCGGTCATTGACAATGGTGGTCTTGGTCAGGTATATAGCAGCAAGCAACAGCTATGTTTTTGATTTGCTTATCCCTATTGCATATAGTCACATGATGGAAAGGCTGGCAAGAAGCGAAGGACACATGATACATTGAAGGTGGTCGCATTGGGTACAAACACAGGCAACATCCTTCTTTACTCTCTTGCACATGGCAGTATTGTCAAGCGATTATCGGATGCACATACTATGCCAGTGACAGACTTTGTCCTCAACAAGGCAGGCACCAAGGGTTATTCAATTTCAGAAGACAACTATGTGGTGGAATGGGACATTGAACATGAGAAGGAAATCTTGTAAGTAGTTTGGAGGATCAAAGCAAGGTATCAGTGAGCTAATGATGTTTTGGATATCATTAGCAAATGGAAGGCCAATGAAAAGAGCGTCCGTCGATTAGCATTGAGCCATGATCAAACCAAGCTTGCTATTGCTGGTCATGCTATTAGTCTTTGGAATGTGGATGAACGTAAAGCTTTCAAGGTTTGTATTTACTTTTATGGATGAAAGGAGAAAAGGGAAAGAAGGCTAATCTTATTCAATATAGAAATTCACGGGTCATGCTAGCTTTGTCAAAGATCTCGAATTTTCTCAAGATGACGATCTTTTGATTTCGATTGCTGATGATGATCGTTACATCAACGTGTGGGATGCTCAATCAACCAACAACAATGCCAACAACTTGACAGCTCTTACTCTTGAAAACAACGCTTCACAAATCGACTTTTCAGAAACCGAATCTTCAGTATTGGCCGTCGCTGAGGATGGCACTGTGGGTATTTGGGAAAATGCTTCTTCTTCTGGTGTTGCATCTGCTCCTCGCCATCGACGAAAGGCTGCTCGTGTCACTACTCGTCAAGCTGAATCCAACATCAAGGTGATTGCTAGCACTGAAGAGGACAATGAGACCATCATCCCTGTACTTGCTGCAAGCTTTGTCTCTGATCACAATGGAAAGGCTGTTATGATTGCACGTGGTTCGAGTTTCTTGCCATCCTTTGAAGTGGTGCGATACGTGAACGAAGAAACGGGTGCAGTGTTGGATGATATTGTTTTGACCCGACAACAACAAGGCAATCATTTGGTGGATGATGCTTCAGTGGCAATGAATAACTTGGTATGTATATATAGCGGCTTGTATAAGGAAGAGGATGTTGTATATTAATAGCATTGGATTAGAAAACGACTCGCAAGACATACAAGGAAGGTGCAATTAAGGTGATTGGCAATACAGACTTTTCAATGCAAAACCCCACCATGGAGGATGGCCATGCTGCTGGTGGAGAGTCAATAGGCCCTTCTATTGCCGACAAGCTTAATGAGATGGAATTGGAGGATGGCACAGCGGGTGATGCCGACAAGAGCAAAAAGTCGCAGGATACGCCCAACATGCCAGCAGCTGGATCACTGCAACAAGTACTTGTACAAGCCCTTCACACCAATGATCAACATCTTTTGGAGTCATGTTTTATGCACAGCAAACCCGAGGTGATTCGATCCACTGTACAACGGTTACCTAGCACCTATGTGATTCCCTTGATGCAACAACTCATTGCACGATTCCAAAACAAACCCAACCGAGGACCCGCATTGGCTGAATGGATCAAAACGGTTCTTCTTGTACACACCAGCTATCTCATGACCGTACCTGATTTGGTGGGCAAGTTGTCAAACTTTTATCAAGCATTGGATTCACGTCTCGCTGTGTTCCCCAAGCTCCTTGCATTGCGTGGTCGTTTGGATCTTATTCAAAATCAAATCGACACACGGACACGACATAGCGAACAAGAAGCTACCGATGGCACCAATGTCTATGTGGAACAGGATTCAGATGATGAAGCTGAAGCGGATGGATTCATGAGTGATGATGAAGAAGCACGAGCCTATCTCAGTAGCGATGATGAAGATATGGCAGATGCCATGGAGGAAGATGTATCCGATGACGACGATGACCTATAGAAGTTTTCATTTTTGTTTTTATATTCTCATTACAACGCACTCATCTATTACAACACGCAAATAAATGCATACATGAAAAGAATGAATGATGCCCTTTGGAAGAGACACGTGTCGCCTACAAAGGATCACGTTTTAGGCCGTAGGTGGATTTATCACTTCAAATCAACTACTCCAAGATATTTGACCACTTTATCAGTTCAATCAATCATGTCCACGATTCTCACGCCCACTCACATATAAACAAGGCTGTTGTTGCCAACATCATCACACGCCCTTTATTTCTACTTGTACTCATATCATCATCAATGGCCTTTGGTAAGTCTCAAGGATGATAGTCTTTATGTGATTCCTAAAATGAGGGTACTCCTTCATCCATCTATAGCTCACTTCATTGCTTCACCACTTGAAGTGCTCTTTCATTTGGCTGTGTTCATTAACTGATCCTTTGTGGTAGGTATATCTATCATTTATATATATGCATCATTGTTCTTACAAGGATGCCTTGTACACTTGTAGGCAAAAGGCAACCCCAGTCTGATGGGGAAATTTGGGACTCCTTTGTGGGTGACATACTGTGCACAACGACGTAATCAGGGACGAGTCGGGGGCGACGGTGCAGTTAAGAGAAAGGCTGTTGGAACGAAGGTGGATGTTCGTTTATCGTATCTGCAACATGAGTACATACGGGTGTGTGGAAGCTGGGCTTGAAGACGACCAAACGGGCACAAAAACCCTGAAAGAAGGGCGATTAAAGCTACCTCGCCCGTTAAAAGACATATTCGTACAACTAGCAAAGAAAGGCAGCACCATCCAGCATTAAGAGCATCAAGGTTTGCGGGTTCCTGATCTCAGGTAAGCATGATACATAATCATCTTTTCATACGTAGACTAATGTTTATACTACATCTAGGTTTTCAATTGACAGCCTTTATCATGAATTGACCTAACGAAGGATGGAGCTCAAAGAAAACAAAAGGCCACGTGATTTTCCTCGTGCACTCGAACAATTTTCAGCCGACCTTTCTGTTTAATTTGGCAAACACAACAAATCATAGAAACAACTGCACATGTTGCACGATCATAATGCCTTCAATCAACCGATCTCAACAAAGCCCTATTCCCACTGTGTATGCCATCCAACCCAAGCTAGTTCCCAGAAAAGATCATTGATCGACACCACCTTCATGTAACATTTTTCTTGGTATACAATAGCTCAATATCCCCTTTTTTACACAAATAAGATACGCGTAGAAGCAAGCTTTTATTTCTTCCAGCATTGTAATGTGGCTGCTCAGGGTGAAACAAGAATCGCGATTCTTACTATCATACTCCAAGGTCCGAAGCGCGCGTAAATGGGGGAGCGCGCGATCGAATCTAACATGCGCGTGGAGTTGGCTGAATGAGTGAGAGTGTGTGTGTGTGCGTGCATCTCCTTTTGTAACCAAAAAACAAGCCATCCCCTTCTACGTTCTTGCATTTTCCTTTTCTTTTCGATATCACCAGCAACAACGGTGGCCACCACTATTCCATTGACGTATATCCATTGCTCTCCACAACAATTGCTTTGACGATGCAAAATCCTCGTCAAGCCAACGCACCTTCCACGTTGCAGGCAAACACAGAGCGAGCGATGGCACCACCGAATGCTACCACCAACACCTCCACGAAGCAGCAACAGCAACAGACATTGAAGCAGAAACGAAAGTACCTTGCCGATCCAGACGACCATGATGACAAGGACGATGACTTGAACGGATACAAAAAGATATCAAAGATTGGTGAAGGCACGTATGGCGTTGTCTTTAAGGCACTCAAGGATCAAAAGGTCGTGGCCTTGAAAAAGATCAAGTTAAACTACTCGGATGGGATGCCTGTAACGACCATGCGTGAGATTGCTATCCTCAAAGAATTGAATCATAGAAACGTTCTGGGGTAAGTTGGATGGGAGGATGATCTCTTGAATGGATGCTTATTGTATAATTAGGTTGACTGATTTGATCCAACGTCCTAATGCTGTTTATATCGTCACCGATTATCTCGACATGGTAATTGACTTTTTGGATGCTTGATGGTCTCGTGATTAACCTATGTCATTTAGGATTTACGGAGATACATGAATGATGCTGGACGTGATGGGTTGACAGCGGACCATATCAAGGTATTTATATACGTGACACGGCTTTTTGGTTCAATGGCCAACTCAACTCTATCCTTTATAGAGTTACATGCATCAACTATTGTCGGGTTTGCATTATTGTCACACACATCGTATCCTTCATCGAGATTTGAAGCCTCAAAATTTGTTATTGGATCGGCATGGCAAGTTGATTATCGCGGATCTCGGTTTGTCGCGTGCATTTGGTGTACCTATGAGGACATACACGCATCAGGTAATTCCTCCTTGTTTCAACATAAAGGCATACACACTAAAAATGATTCAAGGTCATTACCCTATGGTATCGTCCTCCCGAGATCCTGCTAGGTAGTCGCTATTACTCAACTGCTGTTGACATGTGGAGCGTTGGTTGTATCTTTGCCGAGATGATGATCATGCGACCTTTATTTCCTGGTATGAATGTATGTCCCTCCCTATCATACGTGAACCTCATCCTCTTTTTCCTTGTTAGGGGATTCACAAATCGATGAGCTTTTCAAAATCTTTCGTATCTTGGGAACGCCTGATGAAGACGCGTGGGCAGGTGTTACAATGATGCCAGATTTTAGTGCCACGTTTCCAGGTAAGAACATCATCATCCTCGTTCATCCCATCCGTTGACTCACATGGAGAATACAATAGCCTGGAAACGAAAGGATTTGAAAGAAGCGCTCCGACGTTATCCACAATTCCTAGAATTAGATGACTTGGCGTTTGATTTATTGAAGGTATACTACTACTGAAATCGTATCCAGGCAACGGGTATTCACAGGTGTGCTTTCACATAGCAATTACTGCACTACGATCCTTGCTACAGGATATCTGCAAAGAGGGTAATGTGAAGAACATTGGCAAATGACTCGGCACGTTATTAATGCAACACGTAGGCTTTGGAACATCCATACTTTTACAGCGACATCACCAAGGTCAAATTCTAATTATACACACGCACGCACGTACCCCCATTACATACATATCACACCCACAAGCACGCACGCACACCACATCTGTTTTTACGACTGCATCCTTCACAACACCATACAACCCAAACCCAACTTGAGTTAAATTGATTTATTGCGTATCACCCTCTCTTTCTCCTTCCATCGTATCCCAATCACTGTGTATTATATAGCACATCACCACATATAAAGACGTATTTATGCATGGTTTATTTAATTTACCAGGGAAGAGTTTCTCCTTTGTAATCAAAGAATGTGCCATTGGATGCCTTGGTGAGCTTGTCAAAAGCGCTCAGCATACCGCCGACGGATTGATCGGTGGTGAGAGGAGCATGATCAGTGCCCATATCAGTTTGAACCCATCCTGGGTGAACACACACAATAACGAATCCCTCATCCTTAAGTTGAGCAGCGAAAACACGTGTCAACATGTTAACAGCAGCCTTGGAGACGCGGTACTACAATGAGAAAAAAGTGGATGAGCACTAGCCAACCCAGCAGCATGACATGAAATCAGGTCTCTTTACTTACAGAAGGGTTGAAGCTCTCGGTGGAGCATTCCATAGAGCCCATGATGGAGGAAATGTTGATAATGCGACGAGTATCACGCTTACGAAGCAATGGTACCAAAGCCTGGATGACGATGGATGTGCCTACAACATTGGTGTTGAAATCACTGGTATAGGCTTCAGGTTGACTAGAATAAATAAAAGCACTTGTTAGCCCTGCTTGATGATGTCTTTGTGAATGTATAGATGCATACATGGTGAGAGGTTCGGTTTGAGTAGTAGCGACACCGCTGTTGTTAAGGAGGACATCAATGCCTTCGGGTGCCAATTCAGAAATCTTGTCAGTGGCAGCCTAAACAATAACAAGGGTCCATCCGTTAACCATGTTTCGGTTACTTTTTTTTGCATGAACCTTTTCAAAATACCTTGACAGAAGCGACATCAGTGATATCCATCTTGACAGCGTGGACTTGTTTTCCATCAACCAAGGCCTTGAGGGCGTCCGAACCATCAGGGTTTCTTGCACATGCGATGATAGTATCACCCTTATTCTTAAGTTGCTTGACAAATTCAGCGCCAATACCACGCGAAGTACCAGTAATAACCCAAGTCAAACCCATTTTTTGTTATAGAAAGAAAAGATGCTAAACAATTCACTCGTTGTCGGGCAACTCATTTATAATCCATTCCTTTCGATGATGACAATAAGCCCGATTGCTTGTCCGAAAGAAATGCAGATGGGACAATCTTTTCGTAACATTGACCTAATCCCCCATCCTACTTTTTGTGCTTGTCATTAATACACAACGTAGGAGGCCATGCACATGTTGTTAAAAGTGAGCCACCTGCCACTTCTCTCTCTCTTTACTTTGCCACATTATGCGGCGGGCTGTAATTCATTGTTACACTGATATAGCGCCACTTGTTGCACAGAGACGCGTATAATGATGTGGCCAAAAACCGGGATGGAGCGATGGGATGGCTGTTACCAAAAATTCATTATGCGTGAATTAGTAAGCCAGAGGCATAGAACAGCAGTCCCTGGCATGAATCGTCGTTATTATATCCATATCGCCGAACAACTCCTTCCACTCACGGCCCATTTATTATTCCAGAACCCGTTGCACTGCATTGATTGTCAAAACCTTCAAAGAGACTTCTCATTGTATTAATGAGGTGAGCATCACGGGGCTACTCCCCGAGAAATCTCATCTCAGTGATTTTTCATTACACAACATCCCATCTCATTCTTGAATGTTCTTTACTTTCGACATTATAGTACTATTCAACGTTGTGTAGTACCATGTGACTAAAAGTAGTTTCAGGTTTCATTCAACTTTAATGCTACCAAAAGAGCTATTGGTCTGAACGCATGAACGTTGTGTATGTAGAATAGGACATTATTATGGAGAACAATGAAACAACGTTCAATAGCATCGTCTCTCTTGAGATTAGAACTGCTACTGCTGCTGATGATGATGATGATTGAATAGACACACACATGTGACATCCTGCAAAATGATCCATGTCGGGCATCATGTAGTGGTGGTGTGGACCTTTCTCTCTTCGAAAACCTTTTATTCCCCCACCTCCGTTCTCTCTCTCTCTCTCTTTTTACAACCACCACCGGCAACTTTGATGATACAGGACAAATACATTGGGCTCATTCTTGCCATGAGCTCAAGTCTCTTTATTGGCTTGTCGTTTATTATTACCAAGAAAGGCTTGATGAATGCACAGAGACGGCATGGTAATCGGTTCAAACATAAACGAGTCGTTGGCATGGCACTCATGCTCGTATGCAGGTGTATCTGCGGCTGATGGCAAGCATCACTATCTTCGAAATTGGACGTGGTGGGCCGGCATGGGAACGAGTAAGTTAGACGATCAAGGCTACGTGTATGGGTGTGTATGTGCGTGTGAAGCTTGTCGGCTAAATGGTGCCGGTCTTTTTTCAACAGTGGCTGTTGGTGAAGTTCTCAACTTTTCAGCCTATTCATTTGCACCTGCTATTCTCGTTACGCCTCTTGGATCGCTCAGTGTCATTCTTGGGTAGGTGACAACAACAACAAGGGAGGGCGAGATCGTTCATCATGGTCTTTTTATGATAGGGCCATTTTTGCATCGATTTTCTTAAAGGAGACGCTCGGACCAATTGGACGTGTCGGATGTCTACTTTCGGTGGTTGGATCATTGATCGTCGTACTTCATGCACCCGAAGACAAAAATGTCACCTCGATCGATGAATTATTATTCTACGCCTTACAACCAGGTAAAAAGGGGGAGAAAAACACAAAGGGTCTGGACGAGGGGACTCATTCAAAGCCTAGGCTTTTTATTCTATTGCGCCATGGTCATTCTTATTAGCGTCTTTATGATTTATTGGGTGGTTCCCAAGTATGGCAAAAAGAATCCCTTCGTCTACGTATCGATTTGTTCCCTTGTCGGCTCAGTATCGGTCATGTCTATCAAAGCATTCGGCATTGCGGTCAAGCTTACATTTGCCGGCAATAATCAATTCACGCATCCTTCCACCTACGCATTTGGTATTGTCGTGGCCGTTTGCATCGTTACCCAAATGAATTATTTCAACAAGGCATTGGAGCAATTTTCTACCAATGTGTAAGTGATGACGATGGATTGAATTGGGATGGGTGTTAACGCATCCTCTAGTGTCAACCCTATCTATTTTGTTTGCTTTACAACCGCCACCATTACAGCATCCACCATTTTATTCAAGGGATTCAATGTCGACAGCCCTGTTTACGTTATCTCATTGATTGCCGGCTTCATTGTGATCTTTACAGGTGTCTATTTACTGGATTCTATAGCCCGAGGGGGTGGCGCTGGCGCCCACAGCAATACCAACAACAACAATACACAAAATGGTCATCCAAGAAGCGAGGATGAAGAATACTTGCTCGATGACGAAGATGCTCTAGGTCTTACTGAGCTCAATGATGATTCCGATGATGAAGATCGGCCAAGAAGAACAAGTGCTCAACGGTTTCGGTGAAAGTAGAAGATTCAACGGTCGTCAAGTTGAGTCCACAACACCTCGCACTCTCTCTCTCTCTCTCTTTAGTAGTCAACTCCCCTTTTCTCTCTCTCTGTTGTAATAGACTTATGTCCCCCTACCACTGGGATGTATTAAAGCTGTACATATAATTGTCAAGCAAAAAAGATCAAGCATTTTACATATCACTCGAGCGTTTATTATCATCGTGTTGCTACCATGTTTATAGGCTCATTTTTGACAGTTGATAATCAAGGAGTGATCACGTGTGCATGTGTTCCACGAAAGCCCGCGCCAAACTTCCAATGAAATCGCACCAGCAGGCAATTATCTCTACCTTGTTCCTGCACTAGTTTACTCATCATGAAGCGATCGCTCGTGCTGGTCGCAGCTATTCTTCTGCAATGTCTCGCCATGGTGTATGCAGAGGCCACCGACGCCAAAACACAACGACTTGCTAAAATGGCCAAGAACAACAATGGTCTTGTCAAGCTCACATCCAACACATACACTCAATTCACCGAAGGAAAACGCAACTACGGCATGGTGGTATTGCTCACTGCCTTGGGCGACTACTTTAACTGTGGTCCATGCCGGTAAACATTCGACACGCGCGTGGGTGATGATATAGAATGGCTCACTCACACTTTTATGACACAGTGAATTCGACCCCGAGTACAAACTTGTTGCATCCAGTTTCCAAAGCACCGAGGACCCAACACGCGTGTTTTTTGGTCATTTGGATTTCAAGGATGGTCAAGCTATCTATCAAAAGGTAGGGTTGGATGAATGGGATGAATGAATGAATGAAGGTTGGCTCATGCATGCATCCATCCAATAAGCTGGGTCTTCAAACGGCTCCAAATGTACTATATTTCCCTCCCGCCAAACCTGGTCAAAAAGTCGAACCTGCCAAATACGATCTTGCCAGAAAGTAAGCCATCCACAATCATCATCCCACTGTGCAATGATATCTATTGACACATGTATACACACACTCTAGTGGTTTCTCTGCCGAAAGCTTTGCCAACTTTGTATCACGTGAGAGCGGTACACATGTCCCTGTCAAGCGTCCTTTTGATTATTTCAGCTTTGGTGTCAAGGCATTCTTGGTGGTGGGTGCAGCAGCTATTCTCAAATTGTTGTATCGTCATTTCAGCTTGGTCTTCCATCACAAGAATACATGGGCTGCTTTCTCCATTCTCTTTATTCTTATCATGATCTCGGGTCAAATGTGGAATCAAATCCGTAACCCACCTTACGTCATGCCTGGTCCTAATGGAAAAATGAACTTTGTTGCAGGAGGGTAAGTTGCATCTCTTGGATCATCTTTACATGTCATTGACACTCCATGCTTTAGTTTCCAACAACAACTCGGATTGGAATCACGTATTGTAGCAGCTATTTGTAAGTAGCATTTCGCTCAATGCATGGATCATCATGAGGAGGCTAATACGACTTGGTTGGTAGATGGTATTTTGGCTATGGCAACCGTTGCTCTGGCAGTTTTTGTCCCCAAGATCAAGGATAAGCAGCATCAACGCATCAGCACCTACGTATGGGTCATGTGCATTTTTATCGTCTTTAGCGGTTTGATGAACTTATTCAAGCTTAAGAATGGTGCCTATCCTTTCCGCATCCTCTTTTGAGCATCATACAATAAATAAGCTTTGATGGCAAAGATCACGATCCACGTTCAGCACCCTCTTTGTATAAATGGATGGTTCCTTTTACGATAACAGAGCTCTTCATTTATCATCCACATAGCATCAATCATTTTCTTTTTATTACCCTAAGGATGGTTTCATTGTTATCGAGTTTATCTGGTCGAGATGTTATTTATAAATGATGGACATGTAATGTACAAGGGACGTATTTCGGATGTATATCTACAACTGAATATGAATAGCACGTTGGTATCCATGGCGGCGTTTCCTCTTTCTCACAGCACCACCTCAACGCCTACTCCTCTTATAGAGCACTCACTGATGCCGTTTCCATCGCAACAACAACAACTTCAGTGCTGAAAGAAGCAACATGGAGCGTGTCAAAAAAGGATCGGTGAACCATGTAGCTTCCTCATTGACCAAGAGAGTAACTACAATCCACCCAAGACAGAAGCAGCACAATAGGTATGTCCAAATACGATTTCCTGTTTCTATAAAGTGGTCATAGCGGTAATCGGATATCATTCTTTCCTTTTCAGAAGATCCAAAGCAAAATGGGATGGTTCATTTGATATAAGACGTATCTCACATTTGACTTACTACGTTTGATGATGCCATGGCAATGATCACAAGAAAGCGGGTTTAGATGGATGATACCGGTAGTAATGGAGGATCGGCAAAAGCAATCATCGAGCACGCAATATTGAAGACATAGAATGAATCCTGGGCAATGATGGATGATGAAGGTATCAAACAAGATGAAAGTGGTAAGGTTATTTCACAAGGCACAACGTGTTGGTGGATCGAAATGCTCATTGTAGATGTATCTTCTATGGCAACAAGGACACAGTGAAGTGACAGGAACAAGAACACTCTGAGAGGATCAACCTTTTTATCCAAGTAGGGTCGTCCTTTGCTCGGACATGGTGTCCAGAAGGTAAACAATACAGGTAAAGATTTGGCTGATTGGACATTGTCAAAGGATGGTGATGGGCATTTTCACGACTACAAGGCAGCAAACGGCTGACACATCTACGTACACGGTATGGTGGACTCCACGATTGTATCATGTAGCTATAAAGTAGCATGATAGTGAGTATGGGTCTAGAAAGGATAATGGTCGTAAAGGGCGTCAATAAAATGAGATGAGCTGCTACAATTGACTGGTGCAGATATGTAGTCATGCTCCGTGTAGGATGGATCATGATGGATGAAAACCAATTTCACATTTCAAGCTTCATGCACTTTGCACAAGACACCTTTGAATGCATTGATCATTTTCGGCTTACTGACCACGTCATGGTTAGCTTGAAAAAGATTCCATACGAGCTATCATAGGTGGACCTTACTATCGGCAGATAGAGAAAGGATCCTTCATGCACTCTTCGCCAATAGGATTTACCCTTCAAGATCCTCCCTCTCGCTTTGTCACACATACAAGTCCACCCTCTGCACCTTTAGGTCTATCAACTTCTATCCGCTTGACAATGAACAACGACCACCTTCATATAGCACACGCTTAAAGGCATAGTGAAACATAAAGGCACTTGTAACTCAGAATTTTACAATGAAGCGTGGGGTCCTTAATAGAACAGAGTTGCTCGGCGGGGTCCAAAGCATATACTGCCCAAGTCTCATGTTCGTCATGGGCAACCCCAGATTCACCCAATGTCGCCACCAGCCAAAAATATTTTTGCTCGTCGTCGTGAAAAAAATTCAAGAGGTCGACCCGAGATCCAATTTGGCTGGTAGCGACATTGGGTGGATCTGGGAATGGCCACGATGAACTTCATACTTTGACACAAGATCGCTTTCACCCCGCCGAGCAGCTTTGTTCTCATAAAGACCCCACGCTTCATTGTAAAATTTTGAGATACAGGCACCTTTATGTTTTACATATGCTATAAGCGTGATGCTATATGAAAGGTGGTCTTTGTTCATTGTCAATTAGCTAGACCCTGACAGAGCCAAAGATGCAGGAGGGCTTCTTGGTGTAACTCAGCTGTTTTGCATGACTGGATGGGTCAATGTATAATACTTTATGGATGATCTAGGAACAGGCATGTATTGCCAGCTAACAGCCACTTCCACCCAACACTAACTTTTGTCTACTCCATCATAATGGAACAATGCTCCTCCTCCAGACATTCATTTCCGTGATTTAATTATCTTGATCCGAGCTGATTTGGCTGAGCTACGGTCAAGAGCGATTACATCAATCCACACATCAGCATACGTTCGAATGTCTTCAACTGATTAATCCTTGTTTGACCGTAACTCAACCAAATCAGCTCGGATCAACCTACTTTAATCATGGAAATGAATGTCTAGAGCAGGAGCATCGTCCACCTACAATAGAATGCACAAAAGTTGGGAATGCACAAAAGTGGCCGTTAGCTGCCAATGTATGACATCAAAGTGAGGGTTGCGTACCTATCATGCATCGTCCCTGAAGTCCTGACTTTTTAGCTGAGTTACCCAAAGAGGTCCTTCTGCATCTTTGGCTCTGCCAGGGTCCAGCTACTTCACAATGAACAAAGACCACTTCTCATATAGCATCACGCACACAAACATAAAGGTGCCTGTATCTCCAAACTTTACAATGAAACGTGGGGTTTTGAATAGAGCAATGTGCTCGGCTTGGCCAACAGCACCTTGTGTGCAAGTTTCACGATCAAGCTTGCCAATCCCAGATTTCGCAATGTCGCTACCAGCCAAACTGGATCCAGGGGTCGACCTCTTGAAACTTTTTTCGACGACCAAAAAATATTTTTTGGGCTGTTTGCGACATTGAACGCGAAACTTTCACACAAGGTGCTGTTGGCCAAGCCGAGCCCATTGCTCTATTAAAAACCCCACGTTTCATTGTAAAGTTTGGAGATACAGGCACGTTTATGTTTTACCTATGCTGTAAGCGTGATGGAATTGCTTTTTCCTAGTGGATGGTGTCGGCTGCATAAACGGAAAGAGGCAGAGCTGAGTGAAATGGCATGTGGTGGTTACACAAACACGTCCTTGACAGGTTGCTGCACAAATGGATGATGATGATGATTGCCTTTTGTGAAGGTACGTAAGAAAGCAACATCCAACAATGAAGGTGCGTTAAGGTACGTGTATGACAATAGTGGTTCCATATCACATTTGGATGTAGCGGAAGGACGAGCTGCACATGTAAACCGATTTGTTTATGTAAACCCAAGTAATCAATTCTATGATGGGTCACTCATCCTGAAACTCAATGGAGGGATCACTTCACTTTTCCTCTCAAGGTCATCCCACTCTTCCTTATTGTATCACTAAAGCCATATACTTCTCTCATACCGATGACCGAACCACCTTTATAATTCCATCTTCGAAGTTACATTATGTAATCCACAAGCTAGCAAGGCAAATCAAGTGCGTAATAAATAAACAATGCTTTATTTCATCTGGCTACTTTGTCACTATTGTCGTCTTCGATGTATGTAATCATTTGTACTTGTACTCGTCAGCAGTCGTCCTCTCGATACAATTATATATATGATTCAATCTTTACATTGCTATCCTCCTTTCATTCCGAAACCAATCAAGCGGGTCACATAGAATCAGTGGGTATCATTGTGTCAGTTTTATCCTTGGCTGCTGCCGCCATAAACATCTTCACCCATGATTGCAAACTCGTTGTTGTGCGTACCTTGACACCGATATCCAATGTAATCCATGGAGGCAAACCGCCTTTCATCAAAGATGTAAGCCCTCTCATCCATGTCATCCAATCCATCATTATCCACAGCCGCACCCATGTAACATGACCCATCCTTCCTGGTGACCACGTGCCAAGTACCAAAACGACATCAGGATCCCCCTATCACTGCGATTGATTGCATCCACCCATCCATAACCATTGCAAACCAAAATGTTGGTTGAAACGAGTCATTTAATGGCTTCCTTTTCCATCCTGCTGTTGGTCTATCTCTTTCTCGGCAATTTTCCATTGCAGCTCAACCGGTTGATGATTGCTTGTATTACAGTGTACTTGATAGCTGATATGACATCCCATCCATTGGAATCGTATGTACCAAATCAAGTTGCTGCAAGTAGCTTGAGACAATGGAATAAAGACCTTGCTAATAGCACCCGCTGTTACGTTTGGTTGTGCAGAGGAAACTGCAAGAGCGTGTGTTGTGTGAAGAGATTCGTGTGTTGTAGAAGGGTACCAAGAAGGCTGTGTACACGCCATGGACTTGCCATTCAGTCAAAGATAATCGGATCAAGAGAGTTGTAGGATTGACATGATGGGTTGAAGCAGGACAATGGTTCGCAAGTGGTAGCTGTACTTGAACGGGGGAATAGTTGCGAATGGGAGGAAGAGACAAGGAGTGGAGATTAAGTAGGTTGAGCTGTCGGACACTGCCGTATGGGATCACGTGAAACACGCGCCTGCCAACTTGATGCAGCCGTTGCATGATGAACACCTCCCTGGCAACAACATGATCCACATGACAATAGAGCTTGCTTGGTTGGTATGGAGAAAGTGCCAGTTGAGTATATCCTAATTGCGTCATGTCATCGTTGCCATGGTGATTGGTTCGTTGCTGCTTGTCAATAGTCTTTATTCGCTTCAACAAGTCGTCGTACGCAGCCATTGCAGCGTATTGCTACAGCATGAAGCGACTAGCCGATCTTAGCTAAGGACTTGGGTCACGACGTCGTTTGCTCATTGGTACCAAAAGTAAGAGAGAAGCGAGTCCCTGCAATGCATGATCCTTATGCGTTTCAAACGAGATACCCTATTAACATTACCCACTACAACTTGTCCTTTGTTGATTATGTTTATTGCACGTTCAGCTAATGATAGAGTTGATTTCTATTGCATAGTATCTATGTTATTCAATGTGGCACCTCGTCTTCCCGCTCAAAGCTCTTTTTGTTTTGCTTTTGCTTTTGCTTTTCTGTTTGTGTTTGATATTGTGATGTGCTTTCTAATAAAGTCACCAAAGTTAGATATCGCTTAAATGCAATGCATTGATATACGTACGTGATCAAGCTCTCTGTAATTGCTGTATTATTGATTGAAGTCCAACTCCCTCGCCAGACTTGTTTTTCGCCTCCGGGTCTTACATGAAGTCCAACTCCTTCGCCAGACTCTTTTCGCCCTCAGGGTCTTACATGAAGCCCAACTCCTTCGCCAGACTCTTTTCGCCCTTTTACTTGAGGTCTTACGCATGCGTTCACCAAGCTATTCAGTGTGCCTATAGATAACCATCATAAGTAAACCTTCTTTCAACGATGCTTGCAACGATACAATAATTACATGACAATGATATTGAGGTCTGCTCCATTGAGAGAGCCTTTCTCTGTATGATTGAACTTGCTTTGTCGCAGGAAGATCGAGGACCGTTGTTGTAGGTATGATATGGCTGCTGCCTTTTTTTTTGCTGACGTGCTTTTTTTGTGATATTGCTATGGAACAAAGGCTGGTTAGTTTCATGTATAGATACTACTTGATCACTCACATACCATTTGCTTTTGATTTTGTTGTATGATAGGATTGCTTTCTTGGCATGGTGGTGGTCCCATATCAGATGTAGCCTGATAGCTGTGATAATTGCTCGATGCTTGTGATGATTGTTTCCGGCATAGAGCTCCTCCAATGATAATGCCTCTTCCAAAGTCGTGCCTCTCATTACATCCGTGCGATTGCTTTGTGTGATGTTCCTTGGTAAGAATGATTGCCGCCAAATTGTGCTCATGCGAATTGCACCCAAGGATGGATTGATTCATGAATAGGTTCAAAAGGAGGACCCGTGCCAAGTTGATAGTCTTGTCATCCGCATCGACTTCACCACCAATAAAATGAAGAGAGGACTTGGGCCAAATGATAGTCTTGTCATCCGCATCGGCTCCACCACCATATAATGAAGAGACCCGTGCCAAATTGATAGTCTTGTCATCCGCCACCAATGTAATGAAGAGAGGTCTCATGGCAATAGAGAGGCTTGTCCCCACAATGATAGTCCTTGTCATCCACATCGGCTGCACCACCGATAAAAAGAAAAGAGAACTCTACTCCCCAAAGAGAGCAAGAGCCCTCACTCTGGTTTCAGGAAGAACCCACAGCACCAGAAACAGAACGTGACATCCCAGTACACCAGTGCATCTATAAAATGAAGGAATCAAACATGCAGGATTTACACCCTTCGAGAGAATCCTACACGCAACGCCTACCACTTCAAGAGTGCTACCATGACGATCACGTACCATTCCAGGTCCCAAGTCCCAAACTACGATGCCCGTGCAAGTCGATATCTTGATGTTTTTTGCTTTTTTTCCCAAGTACCCACTTCAAAGATGATTACCGCTTGTGCCCAAACACCATCATCCAAAAAATGAAAGGGCGGCCAAACTATGTAGGGATGTATCACGGCATACACCATGACCCACCCCCACAATAAAAGACAAAAGATGATTAGCATGAATGGTATCCAAGTGTCACTGATTTTAACTTGCCTTTTCAAATCCAATCCCATACCCCAGTGGGTAACATGATGATGATGAGTGAATCGCCCTTTGGCTCTTGATCCACGAGGAGAAGAAAGACACCGCAAATGCTTTGTGACTTAATCGTAGAATGGGAACAAGGGATTCCTGGAACCGTACGTGGTCGCCATGGCAACGCCCCGAAAGTGATAGACGTTGACGTGTAAGAAACTCCCGTCGGGATACCTTCATGCCGATCCTTCCGTATGTGCAAGCAACTGGCATAGCTGAAATGCACGCCTGAATCCGGGCTGGGGTTTTCCATCCACCAATCTATCTCGCAATTCTTGCTGAGAAACTCTTTGGACACCTATATACAATACGCATGTGAGTGAGTGATTAAAGCCATAACACCTATTGTATGTAACTTACTATGCGTCTTCATCGAAGACTGCTACATCTGAGGTACCGAGAAAATCGGTACCCCAGATCTCTGCAAGGGTATCGTCGTCCTCCAATACTAAAGCATTAATAAGAGTTAGTATCGTACAAAGTCATTCATCCCAATGATAAGTATACTTACATGATGATGGTGGTGCAAACTCTGCTTCCGAAAAAGGCAATGTGCATGATGATGGTGATGGTGATGATGATGATGGTATTGGTAATGGTAATGGTGGTGGTATAAATGATGATGATGATGATGGTGTTGTTGTTGCCTTTGGCCGTTGCAGGCGTCTTGTAGGATATGCGATCGGCCTTACTCCATCCTCTTGTTTCATGGCCGAGGATGTGGATGCGGGTGGTGTTGGTGGTTGTGATGGCGGTATTAATGGAGGTGGCCTTGGTGGTGATGGAGGTGGCCTTGGTGGTGATGGAGGTGGCCTTGGCGGTGATGGAGGTGGCGGTGATGGTCATATTAATGGTGGTGGCCTTGGTGGTGATGGTGGCGGTCTTGAAAGTGGGGGTGGTGGGATCCCACTTGTTCTCTGCCATCGAAGGCGAAGTGGGGGTGGTGGATTCCCACTTTGTCTATGCCATCGAAGGCGACTTCGAGGCCGAATAACTGGCCTTCGGATCTCTAACCGTGATCGGTTATTGCTGTTACCTGTGCTGGATGCAACAGGTATTGCTGATGCCGCTGGTGCTGATGATGCAGCTGCTGCGACTACTGCTGCTACTACTACTTCCGGTGTGGCCTCCGGATGAATGGTGATTGGCTGTGGCATCACTTGGGTATATAAAAGCGGTGGTTCTTGAGGTGGTGGTGGTGGCAATGGCAATGGCAATGATGGTGGCGATGGTGATGGTGATGCCATAACTGTGTCTTGCATGTCTTCAACGACTTGTGCTTGCTCTGAGGCACCTGCGTCCTCTATAAAAAGAAAGAGAATTTTGGATTAATAAGAAATCATGCCATTTGGTATCAAGTCCAAGATGTAATCCACTCACCATTCTCTACGATCTCTCGTAAATGTTCAGGAGTACCAGGAGGGGCATCTGGTACATCCGTGTCTGGCTCATAAATATCGAGCTTCTCAAGAGCTTCGCCTATAAAGTTTAAATCAGTTAGCGTCAATGTAATGTAGAAATAACGATCCTTTCATAAAGTATACTTACAAAGCTCGTCTAAGGATGATGATGATGATGATGCGGATGATAAAGATGCCGATGCAGATGATGATGATGGTGCCAATGCAGATGATGAAGAAGATGCCAATGATGAAGATGCCAATGATGAAGATGCCAATGATGCAGATGATGCAGATGATGCAGATGATGTTGATGATGTTGATGCTGATGATGCTGCTGTAGTAGTAGTAGAACTTGGTGACGGTAAGCCGTACACATGCTGCATGGCTTTATGCATAGCCATTCCTCGAAGCAACTTTGGTGGTGACCGTGTGCTTGTAACTTGCTTGGATGGTTTGAAAAGATCCACAGCTGATGATGGGTTGATAACAGCATCACCCTCCAAGGCCGACATGTTGCCATGATGACGGGGCACTTGTGCTACTGGTCGTGTAGAAAACAACATACCAGAATACTCGCAGGCTTGCGCCTTGCATGGAACCACTGGAGCTACCCAGGGTTGACGATTAGCCATGACAACAGGGCTAGTAGGCACCTGTGTCGAATCACTTACCTTTTCCCTGGCCGCCCGCAACGGCACGCCGGCCGAGCAGTCAGCATTGCTAGCAATCGGGACGTGAGTCAACCGATTGTTGGGGCGCGAAAGCCCCCACCGAACCAAAGGAACAACGACACCGAGAAAGAAGGCAATTGGCATCATCCACATGAAGTGTACTTGTTCGAAAACGTTCCACTTCAATGCGGTTAGCACGAGCACAAGAGGGAAGAAGCGAGCCGGTTCTTGATGAACTTGATGTGGCATTGCGGAAAGAGGAGGAAACCCATTGCCATGGCGACAAAGTCAACTTAAAACACCCCGCCCACATTTCACGCCCACTCGATCTCACTTTGCAAATGGCGCGTTACCAAGTCGATTTACGTGTAGAATCGTCTGTAGATCTCGATACAATAGTTTATTTAAATAAACAGTGTGATTTGGAAGCAAACGGATGCGTCAAAAAATCATAGCAACCATAGTGCAGGTTACCACTCTTCTTTAGTTCCCTTGATACATGGCGTGTCATTGTGTCTTTTTACGTGTGGAATGGTAGGTACGTCTCGAAAGTGTACTTTATTATAATAAAGGAGGGTTGTTGAGGTGCAAATGAGCGCGTCAAAGCCGTATAGCTGTTACACTCTATAAAGGAAATGCTCTAGAATTGATGTATGTAGCTTAAAAAGTTGCCAGTAGGTACTTTCGGATGCAGTGATCATATTTGTCCTCACAAAGGTATTATGGTTGTCTCGAGTAATGATCCAGAATCATGTTCCTGCAAGTATGCCATTGTATCCCGAATAGGAAATACAACATGGCCAGTGCTCCGCACCTTGCTATCAACATCACACCCCGACAAGTTGAGCGCTTATGGATCTGTCGGTAGCAGGAAACCCGAAGCTGCTGTCCAATCGTAGTTTCATGGTTCGAGTAAACATATCTACCTCGTCTCATATGTACAAACACCCCTCAATGAGCATATTTGGGCAGAGGTAGAGGTGATCACCGTTTCTTGTTCACGTGATGAGCATGTTTTCCATTGAGGTGAGCATGTCTTTATTGAGGTGAGCATGTCTTCGGTGGCGGTGAGCATGTCTTTGCTGAAGGTGAGCATGTCTTTATTGGAGGTGAGCATGTCTTTGCTGAAGATGAGCATGTCTTTATCGAGGTGAGCATGTTTTCTATTGAAGTGAGCATGTCTTCGGTGGCGGTGAGCATGTCTTTATTGAGGTGAGCATATCTTCGGTGGCGGTGAGCATGTCTTTGCTGAAGGTGAGCATGTCTTTATTGAGGTGAGCATGTTTTCTATTGAAGTGAGCATGTCTTCGGTGGCGGTGAGCATGTCTTTGCTGAAGGTGAGCATGTCTTTATTGAGGTGAGCATGTTTTCTATTGAAGTGAGCATGTTTTCTATTGAGGTGAGCATGTCTTTGCTAAAGGTGAGCATGTCTTTGCTGAAGGTGAGCATGTCTTTATTGAGGTGAGCATGTCTTTGGTGGAGGTGAGCATGTTTTCTATTGAAGTGAGCATGTCTTTATTGAGGTGAGCATGTTTTCTATTGAGGTGAGCATGTCTTTGCTAAAGGTGAGCATGTTTTGGGCGGACATAAGCATGTTCCTTTTTGACCGTCTTTGGAATGAAAAGCCATACCATGAATGCAACCACAAAGGGATCTAAGCCTGCTATCTAATACTGAATTACTGTAGGCGCCCATCACGGCCAATCAGCTAATATGACATAGCCTAAGGTTATCATTATGTATCTTCCTTATGAGCTTTGAAATCACGATGATACACGCAAAGAAAAAATATACATGCTCAAGCCAATGAAACCCTACCCAAGCCGATGAACCACAACACACATTCCTTTTTTGAGGATGATCCTGGAAGCTTTGTAGATGAACCATGGTGATATGCATGATGTTGCTATTGCGTAAAATGTAAGATGATCATAGATTTATGTATGGCGAAGAGCGGTATGATGAGGGGAAGGAATACATATGGTAATAAAGTTAACAAAGACGAGGATAAGGTTGAGAGTGAAATTGGTGATACGATTATTTCTTTAGGGATCGAAAGTTAGGTTTCAAGGTCATTTGCGAGGAGCTTGGTTGTTTTTGGCAGCGTCAAGATAGGTACTTGACAGTGTTTCACAACGTCGCGTTGCAAGATCTTCCTTGCTAACCACACAATGGTCACGGTATATAGATGCTACAAAGAGCAAGTTGTCGATGTGTCCCATTATGTCTAGAAGGCTGCTCTTTTTTGTGGGTATGTATAGTCGTACAAGTTCGGCGGCAGTGTACAGGTGCTGAAAGTTTAGCTGCATAACAAAAAATGCTACTGCGTTGCCAATGATCTGAAAGAAAAGAACACCACCCAAATTGTAGCGATCGATTGATTCCTCGTTGAATACACATAATCGATACTTGACCAGTGCGGGGGGGGGGGAAACGTTGTGTCTCTTTCTCGCATGACTTATGCCACCAACAAAGGAGTCCCAAGCTCCCCATCAGACTAGGGTTGCTTTTAGCCTACAAATGTACAAGGCACCCTTTTAATAACATTTATCAATGTATAAATGATATAGATATACCTACCACAAAGGGTCCGTTAAGGAACACAGCCAAATGTCGTTAGGCAGCAATGAGCACCGCAAGTAGTAAAGCAACGAAGTGAGCTACATAGATGAATGCATCATGAGTACCCTCATTTCTGGAATCACACAAAAAAGACCATCCTTGAGACTTACCAAAGGCCATCGATGATGATATGAATACAAGAAGAAGGGCGTATGATAGTTTTGGTGACAACAGCCCTCTTTTTATATGTGAGTGGGCGTGAGAATTGTGGTCATGATGGATCGACCTGATAAAGTGGTCAAGCGTCTTGGAGTACTAGAGTCGAAGTGATAAACCCACCTGGGGCTTTAAAGATGATGTTTTGTAGGAGACATGAGCATGTTCTATCGACAACAGCAATTGCCTACATACTTATGGCTTTTTATATACTCTCGCATAAACGGCACCTATCCCCATGGATAATTTTGCTGTACACGTATCAGTAAACAAAGAACTAAAAGGTTTATTGTGTTTATCATACAATGAAGCATAAGCATTGATTGTCTTGGTGATCTGCCATCCCGAAATGAGCAGCAATGCAAAATGGCCGCCAGTCACAGCCCACTTGGCACGCGGCTTATTGATCCTCAGGACGTCTTGCTCCTCTTGTACCGCCTCTCAGTATCCTGCACAACAACACTCAGCCATGGCATCGGTGGGAGCCACACCTATATTCACAACATTAAGGCCTGCCGATGCTGCAAAGAAGCCGACAAAACCAACATGCGCTTCCTTCAAAGATGCTTACGATGCTGCCACCCAACGACGTTGCAGGAATGCCTTGATCTTTTCATACGCGTTTTCTCTCCTTGCCACCATTGCATTTCAACTTGAATTTCGTATGTACTTTTTACTCCTTGACGATACGATTGGTCAGCCTATTCATCCGCGTTTCCCTTTTGTTAGTGTCACCTCTTGGTTTCCTGAATTGGCGAACGATCTTGTTCTCGATTGGGTTGTTCATACTCACACTACCACTCTTCCTGATCCGGTATTTGATGAGCTCATGTAAGTAAGCTTCTTGGGTATCATGGATAGCATGCTGAAAGGATTGTATTTGTATATTAGTATGGCGACCTATTGCACCCAGTGGATTGGCTGAATTGATGGGCAAGATAACAGCAAAGGACAATTACATTGTTTTGGCCGTGTATGCGATTTCCGGCATGATGATCGTACGCTCCTACTTTTCTTACTTGATGGATGAGTCTTATACAAGCAATGTGTTCTTCCATCCTCATGGGTAAGTTGCACACGCATGACATGAAGTACAAGTAGGCTTATCACCATCATCTCTATAGTGAACGATTTGGAGTACGTCAACTGAACCAGGATAATCTCTTCATTTCTTTCTATGGTCTGGTTCTTGGTGCTTCGTTTGCAGCCAAGCGTATCTTACTTGGTCAATGGACATACAAAATCGCACCTGTGCAGGTAAATGGGATATTCTTGGTACACACAATCCATTGCTAATAATGATGATGTAGCAACGACAAGACTTGGCCATCAAACTTAGTCTTCCCACAGTAGCACATGATGGAACTCGTTGGGCTGCATGCACTCTCGGCATTACCTATATCAGCTTTTTCATCTTCGGTAACTTCGTATACAGAATGGCTGCTCACATGTACGGCTTATATACAACGTAAGTAAAGGTGTTGTTGAAGGAGAGGAAAGAGCTGTTTTCTTATTTACACGCTCCATAGTATGCTGGAAACGCCTGTGATCGGATTGAGCCGGTGGGATTTGTATCTCTTCTTCCGTGTCTTCCTTGGAGGTAGTTTGGCAGTGATGACATGGGAAATCGTGGATCGCATCTATGATGTCGTTTTTGCTGTGGTAAGTGCTTACTTAAATGGTGTTGACCTATTCATTGACTTGGGATTTTGTAGTGTGAACCCATTACTGCACCTTATGAAAACGCACACCAAACGCTCTTGTCTGGTCTACGACTTGATACTGAACCCTATCTTCAGGTAAATTGCATGCATATTTTATATAGCCAGGTGACTAATATGATTATTCAATTAGAGCATCGCTTATGCCGAGCTTGCAGAGTTGGCCGCTAAAAGCCCAGAACAACGTAAAGCGCTCTTCAAGGATATGGGCAAAGACATGGATAGCACTATTTGGGTACAAGTTTCACGTGAATGCATGAACATCCTTGCTGGAATGCGTGCTGATATTGCAAAGGAATACGACGCTGGCAAGAAACGTAAGTCCATTATTGAACAAACAAGCGTAGATATTAACACGTTGTTTTATAGCTGCTCCTATCCCTGTCAAAAAGGAAGACAAGCCTGCTCCTCCCAACCGTATACAATTATTGGATGTTGATGTGCTCGCCAAACCAAAAGCCAGCACTACAATCTTGGATGATCGTACCGGCAAATTGTTTATTCAAGCATCGACTCTTGTCACCGCCCCTGACACTGCAACAGATACCACAAAGGCTCCCAAACACATGGTATACGACTACTGTTATTGGATCCTACAAAAGGTCAACAAGTGGAAATGGATGCAGGATTTATCCGCTGTTACAGCCGAACGAAAGATTCGCCAGGTCTTTAGCAACTATCCTATCATCTTGTACGCCGTTCAAGGTAAGCCAATGGGAAAGGATGCTCGTTTTGACATGTCATTCTAATCCATTTGTGTAGCTCTTGGTAGTCTGACAGCAGCATCGATGAAGGAAGATCCCTATGGACTTGTGCAACGTGATCTTGGGGCTGTCCTCGATTCCCTTTTGAGTAGCGTAATTGATGTGGAGACTTTGGTACGATCACCACCGCCAGAATACAAGAAACTACCTCCAGGCTTCAAGGGTGATGTAATGCTTATGGAACCTGAATTTATTCTCTTGGGTAAGTGACCACCACCCGCTTTTTCAACAAGTCATGCCTTTTAACCGGGTTCATCTTTGTACTACTATAGCTTTACGAGAAGCCATCTATCAAATTGTGACAGAATTCAGGGATTATCTTGACCACATCCGGGTGAGCAACAAGTACCTAGAAAAGTGGCAACGTTTCGTAGAGTTTAAAGAGTGAAGCAGCTCCCCATTATTGCGTTATTTGTGTATATATCTAAAGCATTTCACTACCATTTGACAAGTGTTCGGTTTGGGTTGGGTTACCAGTGCGTTGGATATGGTTTTCGTAATTGGAAGTGTTCATACGCCACTCTTTCATTTTGCATATGATAACCTTAAAGGATGTGCGAATCTAAATATAAACCCAAAGGTACATAAGGGGTAATGAGTACAAGAACTACATGCGTATGACAAGGCTGAGCATCCAATCGCAAAGGTTTCCGATTAGTTTCGTCATTCTCTTTATGCTGTTTTCATGTGCCACAGACATCGAAATAAACTTGCATTGAAAAAACATTTTACTTTTTCTGTGGCGGTCAAAAAGCGTGGCGTAGAGTAATACAAGCTAATGGGACAAGGAAAATATAAAAGGACAGCACTTCTCTTACATACAACATTGATCACACATCACCACCTATCACCATGTCCTCCTCCTCTTCCTCCTTTGGAAACAAACGCGCTAGTTTTGGAATGCACTTTATGAGCAACAACAAAAAACAACAACTTTATGACCTATTCAACACGTTTGACAAGGACAAGGATGGCAAAGTCTCCGTAGCTGAAATGAAAGAATTGCTGGATCAAACAGGTGTCAATACGGATGCAGTCGCCCATATGGTAAGCTGCTGGCTTTTTGTTGTACGTGTACCTCGTCGTCATGTATTTACTCAAACGACCCATGTTACATAGTTGAAAAAGAAGCCCAATGACACGGTAGATTTCGAAGAATTTGCTTTGGTGTTTAAATCAACCGTGGGTTCGGCACCGAGACGCTTTCCAGAGCAACATCAAGAGTTACGTGATGCATTCAACGTGTTTGACAAGAACCAAGACGGCGTTATTAGTGCAGAAGAACTCTGTGCCATGATGCAACAGCTGGGTGAAAAGATCACTCTTCAAGAAGCACAAAATATGATTGCTGAGGTGGATAAGGATAACGATGGTGTTGTCAACTTTGACGAGTTTTTGCATATGATGGGTGTTCGTAAGAAATCAACCAACCAGGCCAAATCAACATCTTCATCTTCATCCAAGAAACACAAGCGATTATCTCAATTCAAAAAGCTACTCTTTCATTGATAATGATACCCCGTTTCCCACTCTCAAGCCATGTAGATAGGATACCACCCCATTAAACTCTCTCTCTCTCTCGGTTGATGGAAAATGTATTAATTGTGCCTCCTCCGCCCTCATGTTTGATCAATTTCTTGTGATCCGAGTGACACCCAATTTCCTGTTCCTTTTACATGTACCACTTGCATCCAGTTTACAACAGACCACCTTTGCGTTACAGCATCATCAACAACAACAACAACACTCACATCCTTGCTCCTCAATTGATCACAAGCGACTATTATCTCTCCAAATCAGGTGAAACATCCGTCCATGTACCCGATCCTAGCGATCGCCAATTGGTGATCCTTGACTTGAATGGCACTCTGGTATGACTCTTTTTGAATAAACAACCATAACCATGAAGGCTAATATGTGTATACCAATGTAGGTGAGCCGCGTCAACAATGGCATGTATGTACGACCATATCAAGACCTGTTCCTGGATTATCTCTTCCAAGTGGTTTGATGTCATGGTATGGAGTTCAGCACAGCCGCACTCAGTAGCCAACATGTGTCGATTGTTTGGATCACGTCAGCCAGTGTCTATATGGGATCGACGATGCTTTCAGCTTTCAGGATCACAATACAATGGCAAGTTCCCAACCATCAAAAACCTTGAAGCTGTATGGTGGGCCTTTGACCAAGGAACAAAATACGAAGCTCACAACACAATCTTGATTGACGATTCATCCCACAAATCCATTATGCAACCTTACAATGCTATCCATATCAGCACCTTTCATCATCGAGACAGCCGGCTTCTAAACGAAGGGGATAAGGAATTGATTCATGTCATGGAATATCTTGAAGCGTTGAGGAAACAAAGCAACGTATCCAATTACATACGCCATCATCCTTACAAGTCATCATCATCATCATCACCAACATCTACAACTACAACTAATGATCATCCGCATGAACATCAAGTATATTTTTATGACTTTATGACTGGTGAACGTGAGCTAGTTGATCTCAGGTCCCTCGTTTCCATTCACAAAGCCGACCCATCATCATCATCATCATCCTCATCATTGCCCATTGCCATAGCAACAGCATCCATAGAAACATCATCTACTAGTCCATCATCCACCATGCATACAAAGTAATACCTATACCATGTAATTATCCATCATCCATCATATAAAAAGGGGAGGTTTACAGAGCGTAAAGGAGAACATATACCCTCTTTGGTTTTATTCAAAAAGACGGTTACATTAACCCTTTGTTTACTTGCGCTGCTTTTGGGCGAGGAAGTCAGTGTGCTCCTGGTAGGGAGCCTTGGTGAATTCGGTCTTGCCCCACAAGTCTAAGAGAAAAACAACATGTTAGAGCCAATCTTTGATATATCCACACACATTAAAAAGTGATACATACCAGGAGTCAAGAAGCCATAAGTGTTACCAATGGCAGCAAAGGTAGCCTTGACAAAGTTACCGAGAGTACGGGTGGAACCGCGGGAGGTAGTATAACAATCGACGATACCAGCAAGTTGCAAGACCTTCTTGGGAGTAGGAGCAGCAACGAGACCAGCACCACGAGGAGCAGGGATCAAGCGGCAAAGAGCGGAACCACACTTGCCAGTGACCTTGCAAGGAACAGTGTGGGGTTCACCAAGAGCAGTACCCCAGTAACCACGGCGAACGGGAATCACAGAGAGCTTAGCAAGAATGATAGCACCACGGATAGCAGTGGCAACTTCCTTGGAGCACTTGACACCCAAACCAACATGACCATTCGAGTCACCAATGACAACGAAAGCCTTGAAGCGAGTGCGTTGACCAGCACGAGTTTGCTTTTGAACAGGCATAATCTTCATAACTTCATCCTTAAGGGAAGGAAGGAAGTAGTCGACAATTTGGTATTCCTTGATAGGCAAAGAGAAGGTGTAGATTTCTTCCATGCTCTTAATCTTGCCAGCCTTTACGAGACGACCGAGTTTGGTAACGGGAACCCTATGTTTATATACATACACATATGAATAACCTCAACTCATTGATAGATAGCGCATGTCAACCATTACCATTCGGTCTTTTCATCACCACGACGTCCACGGCCACGACCGCGTCCACCGCGACCACGTCCACGTCCAAAACCACCACGTCCTGTTGTTGTTGTTGTCAATGGTTAACAATCATGTTTCACCACCGTGAGATCGGAAGAAAAGGATAAACTTACTATCGGCCGGTGCTCTGTCAGCCATTTGCTATATAAAAGTCATCATCAGTCAATCATCCATCCTTCATCTGATTCATCCATTCATCCACTTTATCCATCCTTTCTCTCACATTCCATAAAACGATGCTTACATATACTTATTTGAATGAGGAATTCAAAGAGAAGGAGCCTTCAATGTGGCACCCCTTGAGTGCGCTCATAGAGCGAGCGGAATTCCATTGCCGTCACGCTTTCTTACCCAACTCACACGTTCATTGGGTCACATTGCACTAGTGATATCCGAGCCAATGATTCATCGCTCTTCAATAAGCCCATTGTTTAAATAGCCTTAATGAACACTATGGATCAAACAACTCGTAAGGGGATATGTACATAATTTATTTACAACATTGAATTCATTAAAAGAGTACTACGATATCATGATTCAAAATCACTCAATGGACGTCCCTATTATTATCATAAGTAAGCATGTATGCTATGTTGGATGACATGTTGCATTTACCTTTGTCTCGGGTACCCAATGAGTAAAGATAACCGAAATGAGCATCAATACGCCAAAGATGATCAATACATAGGGAAGAAAATGACGTTTCCCAGGTGGACCACCCACATCCGCCAAGGCGTTAAAGGCAAATGTGGCTATAATGGCACCGAGTTTACCGGAAGCTGAAGCAATACCATGTGCCTTGGCACGATGGCGAGTAGGAAACACCTCTGCAGGCAATACAAAGGTGGTGACATTGGGACCAAAGTTAAAAAAGAACTGCATAAAGATTAGATTTACAGCCGGAGTCTCATAACGGATATATGTAACATACTTGAGAAATGGCAAAAATGACAATGAAAAGTGCCACTGATGTATCTTGGATGGGTTCCCATCCTGCACCAAGAACAATATACAGAGCTCCCACCATAAGGAAGCCCATGAATTGGATTGGTTTTCTTCCCATACGCTCAATGGTGAGCACGCTCATGACATAGCCTGGAAACGATCCAAGACCCGCCAAGATAAGATTACCAAGGGCTTGCTTGAATAACGTATCCCAAGCACCAAGATCAGTAGGTGCAAAACCCATTGAGCTCAAAATCAAGGCCTGGTTAAGATTGGTACCATAAAAGGCGATGTCCATAAAGAACCTAAGTACATAGTCAATATCAAAACATGTATGCAATCAAAACTTGCAACAAGCTCACCAGCAAAGGCTTACGCCAAGAAGCACTTTTAAGTTTTTCCATTTTCGAAAATGCTGTTTTCGATGAGTGTTGGGGGGAGGTCAACTTTTCACTTTTTGCTCTTTTCTTTACCTGAACAAAGTCTCGAATGTTTTCTCGTCGAATCTCTTTTTGTGTCTTTCGTTTCTGTGGTTGTAAAACATTTTCATCATGGATGGTGGTTACAGTCTTTTCAGAACCTAAACTAGCAGTTTCAGGCTCCCTATTATTGCCGCTGAGATGGGATTGAGATTCAGGAGCATATTCAATCATGGATGTGGGTGCATTGGAAACGGGTGTTTCAGGCTGTGCAACGACCACAAAATCATCCTGTTGTTGTTGTTCAAGTTGTTGATGCGTCGTGCTTTTCTCTTCATCGTCAAGGTTGGATGATGGTACACATGGTCGATTTTTGGCTCTAAAGGTTTCTGTGGCTGCAATAGCTGCGTGTGCACCTTCGGAGTCGTTTTGTACGTTGACGGCATAACGAGGCGATTCAGGCATGGTCCATCGCCCATAGATGGTTGCCACTGCTGGGATACATCCAAGCCCAATACATAAACGCCATACGTAATCAAGGTTGTCGACGTTATCCTCGACAGCGCCCTTAAAGATGGCAAGTAATACCATGGTCACCAATGCAGCAACGATTTGTCCCACACCTTGCATTGAGAAAATAAAGGCAATCATCGTTCCTCGGTTATGGGTAGATGCCCATTCACTATGAAATCACGTGTTAAACATGTATTTTTCTTCTTTGGATCCATTGTTTACATACGAAGCAACTGTACTCGACATTGGATAGTCACCTACATTGATAACAAGGCACATGGTCAACATCCCATCAATAAGGGCAATGGTGCTGTAACCATACCTCCAATGCCAACACCCAAGATGAAACGCCAAAAGCCAAGAAAGCCAACTGCACCAACACCTTCCACGGCGGAAGCGGATGTAGCACAATTGATGGTGGCAATGATGATCAATAAGAGCTCGAGACCATAAATGGATTTTCTTCCAAAGGCTAATCAAGAAGTAGGGTGAACATCCCTTTTCCTTCTTTACTACAGCAGCATCGTACATACCATCACCAAGGAAACCAAATGTTAATTGACCAACAAGCTGGCCAAATGATACCATACCCTTAAAGGGACCTTGAATACCACTGGGCATCTGAGAGCCAAAAATTGAGTGAGTTGGCTAAATACCAACAAGCCGTTGTTATGCATACCTGGTTATGGTCGTCTTTGTAATAGATGTAACCCAACATGGGCGTGACCAGGTTGATGATAAAAATATCGTAGCTAAATGGCAGCTTGCAAAGTGAGCAATTTTACTACTACAATCATGAAAGAAAACTTACGCATCGGTAAAGAAGCCTGTACTACTAATCAATAATGTCCTCGCTTGCCGCCAATTGATGAACCTTTGTGTATCATCAAGGGCTTCAAGAGGACTTGCTTGTTGTTGCGGACGAGGTGTACTAGTCGTTTGCATAAAGAGAGTGGCAAAAAAGAGATGCGTGAATGATCAAAGACTGCAGGGATTTAGCAGTTTGACAGGAGCTGGCTTGTGAGATGAAACGGCATCGATTTCCGTCGGCTCCGAAGGTTTGCATAAATCAAGGTCGAACGCTGCTCCAATCACATTGAGTGCTGACGCATGCTGACGATATGCCTAATCATCATTGCCGCGTGACACAACGACACTCCGCTCCCTGGTACAAGACCAACCCCACATCATCGAACCATTTCCTTATTTCTTTTTTCAAACATTCACTTTTTCCCGATCCTATGGTCCTCCTCCATCTTCGTGTAGCAGCAGCAGCAGCAGTAGCCTACCCACTTTTACGGCATGGCAGTCGATGCATGAGTACCACCACTACGGCTGCTGTCAAGGAAATGACACCCACTGAATTATCAAAGTTGCTGGATCAACAACTCAAGACGGATCCTTTTCAAAAACAAATCAAGTTGATTGATGCACGTGAACGTCACGAAATCGAAGAACATGGTCGTATTCATGGCGCACTCAATATCCCATTCAGCGTTTTCAAAAGTGACAAGGATACATATGCTGCGGCACTTGAGGATGTCTTTAATGGCATCAAGCATGATGACACCACGGTAAGGTATCCACGATGATGATGAATGAATGAAGAACTTGTAAAATTGATGCCTTGGTTGTATATCAAGCTTGTGGTCCATTGTATGTCAGGCCGACGTAGCCACGAAGTGACACAACTTGCTATGGACGTGGGAATCAAAAACAGCTACAACATGGTGGGTGGATTCAAGCGATGGCTCGCTGATGAACTTGCCTATGAGCCTTACAAGAACAATCATTCGCCATGGGTGCATACCATTTTTGAGCCTGAGACGGAAACAGCCCAATACGTCGTTGCTGATATTGGTATGTAAATGTTGTGGATCCCATGCACACGCTTTAAAGAAAAGATTAACAACCCAACTTTGTTGTATAGAAACAAAGGAAGCTTATGTGATTGACCCTGTATTGGATTATGACGCTTTTGCTGGTACAGTGCGACCCAATACCGCAAAAGCCGTGTTGGATTATATTCAAAGACGCCGTCTCCATGTCACCAAGATCATTGATACGCATGTGCACGCTGTAAATATCCCATGGACTACATGATTTGCTTGTTTATTAATGTCTTGAGGTGTTGTGTATGTAGGATCATCTTTCAGCTGCCATCTTTTTGAAAAATGCTTTGCCTACAAAGGTAACGTATTGTTTATCCTTCGATGGGGTTTATGGATAAAAGAATTCATTGAACGATTTCATTACATAGCCTGATTTTTGGATTGGCAACAAGGTGACCGATGTTCAAAAGGTGTTCCGTGAACGCTATAACCTATCCAATGGTGAACTCAAGGTCACTGGTGAACAATTTGACCATCTTGTGAGCGAAGGAGAGTCATGGGTGTTGGGTAAGAATATCCAATGCTCTGCCATCCATACCCCTGGGCACACACCAGCGTGCATGTCACACCGGATTGGCGATGCAGCATTCGTGGGAGACACGCTGTTTATGGTAATTGCGGTGGTGGTGATGATTACCTTGGGTAAACAATAGAACTCATTCCTTGATGACACACAACAACAATAGCCTGACATTGGCACGGCTCGATGTGATTTCCCTGGTGGCAGTGCCGAGCAAATGTATCAAAGCGTACATAAAATGTACAATGCATGGCCCAATGATACACGTATCTTTGTTGGTCATGATTATCCACCTGCTAATAGCCATCGATCCGTAAGTACGATACACGCAAAAAGTGGAATGATCGTTTTACTCAATGACAAAAACAGTATGAGGTGATGACTACATTAGAGGCTCACAAGCGATTCAATGTGATGGTGAATGAGAACATATCGGTCAACGAATACATCCAAAAAAGATCAGCACGCGATAAACAGCTTAGAGCTCCACGTTATATCCACCCATCTTTGCAGGTAAGATCGGTTACAAGCTTGTATGTAGCATCGCTTTTAAAACCTGCTGCCACTCTTAGACAAACCTGCGGGGTGGTAATCTCCCCGACAACGAAAAGACACCCAATGGCGAGCAAGCTGGCAAGTTTTTCAAGATACCTGTTCGTTGGGCAGAATAAACGGGGTCGCCTAGACAACCACAACACTTGTAACCATAGATTTACTTTTAGCTATTGTTTATTGGAAAAAAAAAGTGTTTAATAGACCTATGTATTTGTTTAAAGTAAGATTGCATTTGACATCCATCCAGTGGGAGCGAATCCATAGCAGCACATGTGCCAATGACGTCAGCAGCATGGGCTGGTCGGGTCGCAAGTGGCGAGTTTTTTTTTCAGCAAAAGCCAAAACAGACACAGCTGTCGATACGTTGTTCTCCCCTCTCTCTCCCTTTTAATACAGAATGTTCGCTCTTCGTCGTGCTGCCATCCGTGCTGCTCCTCTTGCTGCTCGCCCTGCCATTAGACCCTTCTCCGTCTTGGGTGCTCGTTTCTGTAATTACCCGATTCCATGGACACTTTACAACAACAACAACACACAACGCGACTAACATGCAACGATTCCCATTCTTTAAAATTAGCCGGTGCCGTTTCTGCCGAGAGCATTGAAAAGAACATTGGCCCTGGTGCTGCTGATGGTACCGTTCCCACTGATTTGGAGCAGGCCACTGGTCTTGAGCGTGAGGAATTGTTGGCCAAGCTTGAAGGCAAGGAGCTCTTTGATATGGAGCCTTTGAACATGACCCACATTGGTACTGTCCAAGACCCTATTGTCGTCAAGTCTCATGATGCCATTCGTTTCGTTGGCTGCACTGGTATGTGTAAAGGAAGATGGATGGTGAAGGAAGATGTATATGTATGAGAGAATGGTCATGTTCAACGCGTTTTTTCTATAGGTTTCCCTGCCGAATCCCACGACACCATTTGGATCTCTTTGGACAAGTCTCACGAACACGATCGTTGCCCAGAGTGTGGTTCCGTTTTCAAGATGGACTTTGTCGGCTCTGAGGATGCCCACCACCATTAAATTTCATTGCAGATCCTTTGAAGAAGAGCGCAAGCATCTCACATGATCCATTTCATATCGTTGCATTCACCTTGCTTGCACTTTGATTATCGTAATGCGTTTAGATTCGTTTTGCAATAAAAGAAAAAAACTTACATGCAGTTTGTATCAGCTAATGTATCGATATGGGTCGACGACGTGTGGATTACGTGATTGACATGGCAAATTCTCATTGATAAACATTTCACAATCAGCTCTCAGAACCGATTTGTATGATGGCATGGGTTACTACTATACTCCATGTGTAATGATAATGCATTCCATTGTTGCATGATGCTTCGATATTATCGGGGATAGAAATATGATCGATGGCTTGTAGATCAGTGACCCAACCCTGTATATGCGTCACCGTCCTTTGATTATAGCAAGAGTGGTTGTTGGACAACATGTAACCATTCGATGCTAGAAAATGAGAAGCTGATGCATAGGTTGTAGCATGTCTTATCATAGAGAAAGGAATCTGAGCTTGACCATTCTTTATTCAAATCCAGGTGCCGTTGCCAAGGGATTTTGATTGCTGCTATCATGTATACACAACTCGAATGCCAAAACACCCACACAATAAAGATGCCGATTCACGACGCACCCAACGGGTTCTTCTACTCTCGATTTGATCACCGCTATTGCTGTAGTTGCTGTTGACTTATGCCTGCCAATGTGTAACCCATTCTTGGTAATTGAAGCTACCCTGCCAAGCTGGCTTGTACCTACCGCGTAAATCTACGTGGCTACAATGCACAACTTAAATAACCATTCTAGCCCCCATCATATACCACCCATCCATTGTATCTCTTTGATTACTTACATTATCCAGAGATCCGATTATCCAAGTGTCTGCCATGATGGGCAATCTTCTACTGTAAGCAGCTCTGTGGATCAAAGCTAATGCATATGACTATCCATAGCCTTTAATAGTTTTTATAATCTTTCACAACGTGAAACATAAACACGATGGGGGTCACTGCTATCCTGTAGTCGGATCACCATTATTTGGGAAAGCATAAAATGGCGTTTCTTGAATGAATACTATGATATGTGTGTGCGGAGTAGGTGTACTGCCGGAACACGAGGTATAGGAGCATTGAAAGTGCACCCATGGAATATCATGGTGGGCTTCCAATCGAAATTCAAGATATGCATTCCATGCCATTAGCATCGCTTCAAGGTTGACCATCACAGAGTAATCTCTCTTTTTTAGACTTGTAAGAATCATTTTCGATTCATCACACATGTTGGATGCAACCATTATTGCAGAGGTCTTGATTTGCGCTTCGAAAGATTGCAAGCAATCAGCTGCGTAGTTTTGGTACCTGAATAGAACAAGGGTCATATCTACAGTACTGGCTCCTTTATTTTTTGAGGGCGCTGGGTAAAGTAGTAAAGGACATCTATCAACGGCATGAACCGCCTGCTTTCAATGGAATTCCCATGATCTCCGTTGTACTACATCAGGGGTGCATATGGATAGCAGTAGGTCAGCCATAGCTGTTGGAAGATTGTGGGCGTAGGACGAAGTTACCTGGGAACTCCTTTATCTCAGCGATAAGGTAGGAAAGGGTGTATGTCTGCTGAGCAGTTACACACCCCTTGCATAAAAAAAGGAGGCTTCTTTAAAAGGAGTTCATATGGTTGGTTGGCACAAAGGCATCATGTAGCGGAGCAACACCTTCCTACAACCTTTCTAGCAGCTTTGGCCGCTGTAAAATACTATAAAAGCACGCACGGCGGTATGCGTTTATGATTGTTTTATACTCTTCTATTACTACAAATGTTGCCCTCTGTTTTTACTCTCTCCGCATTCATTGCGCTCGCTCTTGCTAAAACCTGGACAAGCGAACAGACTGATAAAGATTGCGAAATTGTTGTGTTCGGCGATAACGCTTACAAGTCCAAATGTCAAGACGAAAGCATAGCCACCAAAACGGAAAAGGGAAAGGTCCATAAATCTGGCAACCTGTACTTCTGTAACATCGACAAAGGAAAAAGTGACTATTCCGTTCAATGCGGTCGAACCTGCGACAAGAGTTTTATGGATTGTGACTACATGTGCCGCCATAAATCTGCATCTTTCTGGACTGGTAGTTTTAAAACTTCCTATTATCTCACGGCTAAATGCCCCTGAAAAGAAGCATCTGGTTTCTTTGTATCTCTGTCAAGTTGATTCTTATTATCCAATAAAGATACAATCGCTAGTTTTATTTGTCCCTGATGTGTACATGGAGCTCAAGAAATCAAAAGTGTAAAGGGTTTGCAGTCTTGCGGGTGATTTGATGGGCTCCATACAAGCACCAATGCATTTATTAAGCCGTCGGGACGTGCTACATAATAGAGGCGTTGTACTCCGCGTATCCATGCACCCTTTTCCACCATGAATACATCGGCCGAAGCCAAGTTTCGTTCACTCAGCAAACGTGCAGCAGAATGTCAACGACAAATTGGACGCTTGAGCAATGTGGACTCTGTACGCATCCGTGAAGAAACGGCGGCTCAAATACGTAGCGATCTGCGTCAACTCGATCAGGACATCAAGGTATTATACCACTCATCGCAAGCCCTCCATGACAACTACTCCAGTGTATCTTTAAACGTGGCGCATCTTGGTTTCATTTAGTTCGTACACCAGCTTATTGAGCAAGAAGACGAAGAGTCCTCAAGGAAGATACTCTTGAACAAGCTCAAGGAATACGAGCAACAGTTTTCACAGTAAGAAAGACGCTTCACTTTATATACACAAGTTATGGCTAACAATGGACGCTCTTTTTGGCAGACTTCAATCATCATCAAGAAATGCTTTATGGGCCTCAAAACGACGTCTAGAAGAGCAGGAACAGCAGATGCGATTTGAGCTTTTCGGCAAGAAGGATCAACACGACTTTGAACAATATCAGCTCAAGCTACGCAGGAACCAAGGGTAAGGAAAACGGATGCTTGGAGTGGCAATTCAAGGGTAAAGAACTAAGTTTATATGTGATAGGCAGGATGAATCATTGCTACGAGCCCATACCGATGTCACTGAAGCTTTACGAAGAACGAGTACATTGATGCAACAAGAGCTGGAGAAAAGTTCTTATTCGACAAGCATGCTTGGTAAGTCTTAGACGCGGGCATGCGCAAAATAGCATCCTGACATTAAAGTTGGTAGTTGATTCATCACGCACCCTTCACTCGACATATTCCGAATATCAAAATTTTGGATCTCTTTTGACTATATCGAAGCGACTGGTTGGGCAATTGGAGACCGCGGATTGGTTGGATCGTCTTTCGTTGCTCTTTGGTCTTAGTGTTTTCATGCTGGTGGTTGCATACATTATCAAAAAGCGGACGTATGACGTTGGAATTTCATGGGCATCATGGATCATGGGCAAAACATCTGCATCCAAAAGAGCTGCATCATTTGCTGGGGAAACTTTGGCAACAGCAACATCCTCTCTCATGGCAACGGCAACGAGTAGCACAATCTCCTCCTCTTCCTCCTTATCCTCCACAACCAACTCGATCATTTCCTCCTCAACTACCACAACAACAATGTATACCATAGAGACTACGCTTTCAGCACTATTGAAGGACGAGCTCTAAGTCGCTACATAGCTGTCTTTTTCTTTTTCCTTTGTACAAGCAACTTTAATACATCGTATTCTTGCACCGCATTACGCATTGTTGAGCGACATATGGTGTCTCCCTTGTATACACAGGCTTATCCCCTACTACACTTATATCGTGCCGATAAGAACCTCATGCTGCACTCGATCATCGATCGGTACCTTCGCATTGCTACCCTAATCACGTGCAATGGGGATATGTAGTCAATAAGTTCTATTTATGGTTTGCAAGCAATAAAGGTGTGACAAAGGTTTAAAAGACAAAGCACATTAATTGTAAAGTGTACAAAGAGTAGGTTGAGAATGGAAATGAAGGTATGCTACAGATGAGAGGTTTGTTATGTGTAAGGGAGTGGTATTGGCATTACTACTACTTGCGACGTGCCACACATGCACCAACAAAATCCCAGGCAACGGCTCCAATAAAGAGTACAAATGAGAGCATTCCCCAAAAGATGCTGACATTGTAGAAATCGCACCACCCATCACCAGGAGAGCAGGGGTACTTTGCAATATCTACAATTGTACCAATGCCCCACAAAATCGCCAACAACAGGTCAATGGCTGTCATGATGACACGGTTAAATTTGTGGCCGTGTGCTACTCGACGATAACACCAAAATGACAAATGGAAAAACGACCATAGGATGGTAAGGATTGCCTAAACAACAACAACATGTCTCACATGAGTAAATGCATAACAACGTGTGTGAGAGCAAACAAACAAATAGAATTTTAAAGCGTACCACTGCCCATAGAAAATAAAAACACGCCGCATTGTCAAAGGGTACATCTTCTTCTGAGTACTATAATAGAGATACAAATGAGCCAATGAGACATACCAAATGGAGAGATGCCACTTACAGGTGATGCACCAGCTGCAAATCCAAGATGACCAATGGATGCAATGAGTTGTAGGAAACGCAAGAGGAGCCTGAGTTTGGAAGGGTTCAATCGCTTCTCATCCCACACAGCAGGTAAAGCTGTTTCTGCATCGTTGTTCTTGTTGTTATTGGGACGAGGTTTACCCCCAGCGGGTGGAGGCGGGGTTGCTTGAGATGTCACCTCGACTTTGGAATAAGCATTGTTGTCGCCTTCATACGTGTTGTTGTTGCTCAGGGTGGGTGAAGCATAGCGAGTGCCTGAATATTGATAAGCGTTTTGTGGTGTGGAAGGAATCGAAGAGGGAGGATCTTGATCCCATGCTGATGAAGTGGTCGGGTATTCGGTTTTGTTGGACTCATTCCAAGTAGTTTGTTGAACCGTGCTGTTGGCCCGATAATCCGATGGCGATGGCATGCGAGGAATAGGATCGGGTGTTGAACGATGTTGTTGAGAAGGCGTTGACGACGACCAAGCATTGCCATGATCATCTTCATAGGCATTGCCATAGCGAGGCCCATTGTTGGTCCCAGACCATGGATTATCTTCAAAAGGATTGTTGCTTGTCATATGGAAAAAGAAAAAGAGTGGAAGAAAAAAAATAGGACAATGCTTGGCATCCAAAAACCGCTTTTTGAAAAGCTTGTGTCCGCATGCACTAGTCTATTTTGGGTGCAATTGACTTTGTGGTCGCACCCCCCAAGCTGTGTATGTGTGTGTACTCCTTTTTCCTTTACCCTGGCATTTATCAGTAGCAAAATGAGAAAGAGGCCTGAAACAGACAATGGCATGCTATCCAATCCCAATGAATCATTCAATTTGGTATGATGCTAAAAATAGCCCCTTGTATGCATGTTGCTAGGCAACCCTGGGGACGAATAAATCTCAAGTCACTGCATGAATTGGCTCAACTGCGTCATTCTACTACACTTTGAGAATACGTAGCTGCATAATCCAATATAGAGTTTTGCCGTGAACGCTCACACCATTGATCCATGTTGAACGACCCATTTGAGCCCATATTGCCATGGCAACATTAAATCACATTCCATCATCAATCATAATACAGCTACTACCTTAACAAGTTCGCCACCATCATAATAAGGGATCAATGAAATGAATAATAGGCGCACATTAAATACGATAGGGATCATCTTGAAATGCGCGTCGTAACACAAAAAGTAACGAACAAAACCGATCATCAGCACGCTAGGATGACGCTTGTATACATAGCTCTTGTTGCCATTATCATTTGGTGCACCGTGCGCAGTGAATGATTGATTTACCATTGGAGGCGGGTAAACAACTACATATGGCAAATAGGTTGAAAGGTCGCATGAGCTGGTGTTGGCTTGGCAAATAAAAGATACGCAATCAGTGGCAGGCTTCATTCTTGCTTCTTTTCCCTGTTTCATTCTCGCTACTCTACGCCACCACCACCACTCATGGATCCCAATGATCTAAATCGTCCTCCCACAGGATTTAGTATACAGCCTTATCACTTTCAACATGATCCAGCCGCGTTTCCAGAACATCCATTACCACCGCCACCAACACCACCGCAACATCATCATCAGCCAACACCAGCATCGTATGACCATCAGCCTCTACTCTCCACTGTTACATCAGGTCCACCACCACCACCTCCACCCATACACGGCAGCATTCCTTTAAGCAACAATCATATGCATCATGGCGTTGCTCCTCGAAGACAACCACGTCGATATAAGACAAGTGAGTATTTTATCATCATCATGTCGCATGTTGAATCATGCTCAAAAAAAGTGATCATCGTATAGCACGCAAAGTCAAGCTACACCGTGGCCACCTTGTGCTTGATTGTCCAGTGCCTTCTCGTTTATTACAAGCGGTACCTGCCAAAGATTACAAAGAATTCACAAGCATGCGATACACAGCAGCAACATGCGACCCTTCGGAATTTGTATCCGATGGCTACAATTTACGACAACAACTCCTTGAGCGAAACACTGAATTATTTATCGTGTTGACCATGTACAATGTAAGCAAGCATGGATGGGATGGGCTTTTGCATGTGACTCAAACAGCGTAACTAGGAAGATGAAGTTTTGTTTGCACGTACGCTTCATGGTGTGATGAAAAACATTTCGTATCTATGTGCGCGTGACCGATCACGTGTTTGGGGTCCGAGTGGTTGGACAAAGATTGTTGTGTGCATTGTTGCTGATGGGCGTGACAAGATCAATCCACGGGTACTTTCACTTTTAGCGGCATTAGGCGTGTATCAGGATGGTGTTGCCAAAAACATTGTGGGTGATAAAGCGGTGGAAGCACACATTTACGAGTACACCACACAGCTCTCCATTGATCCTGCAATGAAATTCAAAGCCGCTGACAAGGGCATTACGCCATGCCAAATCTTACTTTGTATCAAGGAAAGAAACAAGAAAAAGATCAATTCCCATCGATGGTTCTTTCAAGCCTTTTGTCCTCTCATCCAACCCAATGTCTGCGTCTTGATCGATGTTGGCACGCGTCCTGGTCGTTCATCCATTTATCATTTATGGAAGGCGTTTGATATCAAATCCAATCTTGCTGGTGCTTGCGGAGAAATAAGAGCCATGTGTGGTAAGTTTGATGATCTACACGCTTGTTGTAGGATGGGTGATCTTATACATGTACTACTTACAGGAACAGCGGGAAAGGCATTATTTAATCCCTTGGTGGCCTCACAAAATTTCGAGTACAAAATGTCCAATATTCTTGATAAGCCTTTGGAATCCGTATTTGGGTACATTTCAGTATTGCCAGGCGCATTTTCAGCTTATCGTTATTCGGCCTTGCAAAATGATGCCGATGGTCATGGTCCTTTGGAAAAGTACTATCTCGGCGAAACCTTGCATGGTGGTGATGCCGACGTCTTCACAGCCAACATGTATCTCGCTGAGGATCGTATCTTGTGCTATGAGCTCGTAGCAAAAAAGAACTCGAATTACGTCTTACATTATGTCAATCGAAGCTATGGAGAGACCGATGTACCTGATAGGGTACCTGAATTTATTGCCCAACGTCGCCGATGGCTCAATGGATCGTTCTTTGCAGGCGTTTATGCCTTATGGCATTGGCACAAGGTGTGGAAATCCAATCACTCTTTGATACGCAAGATGATGTTCATGGTTGAAAGCGTATACACGGCCTTCAACATGCTGTTTACTTGGTTTGCCATGGTATGTAAAAGATAATAACGACATGTTCATGATGTTCGATTGACTCAACCCTTTTAGGGCAACTTTTACCTTACCTTCTACATTTTGACAGCGGCTCTCGCATCAGAATCACTGGATCCAGCACCCTTCTCAAGCACTGTAGCTAATGTGCTACATACGATCTTCAATTACATTTATCTTTTATTACTCATTATCCAATTTATACTGGCGCTCGGCAATCGTCCTCAAGGAAGCAAGTTGGCTTATACAGCTAGCTTTATCGGATTCGCAGCATTGATGATCTACATGATCTTTGCCACTTTATGGATTACAGTGGTTGGTGTCCAATCAGCTGTAAATGATTCTGGAAGCTCCTTTGGTGCCATGCTTGGTGATGCTTTATTTCGCAACATTATTGTTTCATTATTGTCAACGTATGCGTTGTATCTTGTCGCAAGCATATTGTTTCTGGATCCATGGCATATGTTTACGAGGTATGCTGTTGCATCATTGGCATTACGTACGATCACCCATCCACTAAACATCGACATCTATAGCTCCATACAATACATATTGCTTTCTCCAAGTTATACAAACATCCTCAATATCTACGCATTCTGCAACACCCATGATGTTTCATGGGGAACCAAAGGCGATACACAAGTCAAAACCGATTTGGGTGTGGTGAAAACGGGCACCGAAAAGGAGGGAGATCAAACAGTTGAAGTGGAAGTGCCTACCAATCAAACCGATGTTGACGAGGCGTACGAAATTGCATGCATGGAACTTCAAACAAAGCCTCCAGCAGAAGAAGAGCATTGCGATCCACAAACCAAACAACTCGACTATTACCGTACTTTCCGCACACGCATCGTCTTAACATGGATCATTAGCAATTTAGCATTGGTGGTGGCTATTACCAACTCGGCTTTTGATGGCATTGGTAGCTTTGATACTCGAAGCATGATTTACTTGGGATTCATCTTGTGGAGCGTAGCAGCATTATCTCTTTTCAGATTCTTGGGATCTTGTACCTATCTCATCATCCGCATATTCACAGGCTAGATAATAGTACTGTAAATGATGTAGCACCATTTTCCCCTTCCTCCATGAATGTAACATAATCCTTTGAGCAGCTTTTTTTCTTTGTGTATTTAGAAAGCGGTATGGGTATTCTATATTAAACAGTAGCAGCAGTACATAGTCTAATGCAATGATAAATTCGTCACCTCTTCCTCGTCGAAATCTAGCCTGTGTAACATGTCAATCGGATTTGCATGAATGACCATCATCCCTCACACAACATACCTTAGCATCAGGATACGTTTGACTTCGGCTACTGTCAATCGCCAGCTCACGGGTCCAGCCTTCGCACCCCAATAATCATAAATTTCGGACGGCTAGGATATACATGTATGAGCTCATCGTAGAGGTGTCTCTCTCTCTATACGCTATTACCTCTTCAAAGTTCAACAATGTCGCCATCTGATTAAGTCGAGTGAATCGATCCCGAGAAAGCCATTCAGTCATTGAAGAAAGATGATGAATCACAGAGCGTAGATCCTTGTCAAAGCGTAGTGCTCCAAATTGGTTGAATCGAGTTTGTGAAATGATACGTTCCCATTGTGCAGTAATAGCATCCAAGAGCATCCCCATGAGTGTACCAAAATTTTCCTCCGTCAACGTGCGTCGATAAATATCGATCATCTTGTCAAATCCGCTTTGGAATCGCTTGACGAAAAGCTCCTCAACGTCCGCTTCATTGTATTCATCCTCATCCAAGACGTATTTGACTTCCCGATAGCCATGCTGGAATAAAGGTCGTATCCGTGGCTTTAGGATTTGTCCCAAGAGTTGCTCCAATCCGCTCTGTAACAGACGTTGGAATTTGGATGATGCCGCTGAAAGAGCATTCAATGCCTTGTCCGCTGTCTCTAGATCCTTTTCCTTGTTCTTCCAAATAGCTCTATCCACATCGGGTCGTGCGTCTTGTGCTAAACGCTGCATGTACTCGGCACTCACATTGAGATTATTCAGCAACACCTACACATTGAATCAGCCTACGTGTCCTGGCCCCCCCTCCCATAAAAGTATGTCCTTCGACTTGCCATGTAATTGATTTTAGCTTGCTCTGCAGATCGTTCAGCACTTCGACCACCCGTTTCTTGCCCTGTGAACGCAACAGACATCTTTTGCTGAAAGACTTGAAGATAACCTGCATCGAGATCCTTGAGGATATTGTTAACTGTCGAAACGAGAACTTCGGGTTCACACGTGGTGATGCAACGCTTGATGACCTTTTTCAGAATAAAGAATACATCATCCACGCAAGTCGATGTTTGACCAGCTGCAGGATCATAATCATCCAATTTCATGGCCTATGTAACAAGCAGCAAGTAAGCATATCATATCCCAATCAGGATGATTATGGTACTATTACCTTTTCAATGTTGCGTTTGAGCAAATAATTGTCAATGACCAGGTACGAATTCATCAGCTCACGCGTACGTTTGGTTAATCCCGAAGATGCCAAGAGGCCATTGTCACCATAAAAGCGCTTGTCCTTGCCATGCATAATGACGTCTTGTGTGCTTTCATCCGTGCCAATAATCTCCATTTCCTCGTTGGCGCGTTCATGAAGGAATCGATAAAACAAGGCACTACGTTGACCAATCAAGGCAAGCTCCAATAGATTTGCATCCAATTGACGGGGATCCACAAGCTGCGACGCATGTTCACTACCACTTGTAGGTTGATTACTTGATGGGCTATTGACACTCCAATTGGTTGTCGAGGATCGAATCATGGCAATATTCAAGGATTGGATTTCTACAAGCTACAATAAAAAGTTAGATCATGGCTGATGGGGGTGTGCCAAGTTGACACTACTCACCTTTGCCTCAAGCTTGCGGTTTTGAGTAAATTGATCCAATATCAACCCACATTCCTCGTCGCTTTCCTCTTGCAAACGTTGAATGACTCGAAGCATGCGTCCCTTGCCATAATGAAGTTCAACCAGAGGCTGATGCTGATCAATAATCACGGCAATGTTCTCAAAGAGACGGGTAAGGATATCGGCATAATAGGTCGGTGATGTGGCTATATATATAAAAGAACCATCAATATCACTCCCCAAAGTGTATAATTGTTTATTCTTACCATTTCCCATCTTGAGCTCTTCAGCGCATCGGCCTTTTACAATATTGCATACAAATCGTGAATATTTGTCGAGGCCTTCTGCTTGGCATCCAATGAGAGGGAACAGCTTGAAGTAACGCGTGATATCGGATTCATTGCGTTGAACCACAGCATCGTCGAAGCGTTGTGAAAAGATGTCAAAGAGAGTGGATTTGGCATCGGCTAGTGTTTTTGCTGGATGATCTGGGTTTTCGGATGTAGGCTGCAAAGGAGGATAAATCAATGAGCATGATGTCTACTCGAGAATAAAACAACAACGAACCACTGTAAACTCGGCCAGCGAGCCATGCAAGATGTGATGATCAATTCGTGAAGCGCTTTGTAATAGAGTTGCTGCAGCATCGTAATCCTTGTGTTGCATAGCGTCTTGAATACCACCAACGCATCGTTTCAGCTCTTGAACATCTTCAACATATTGAATGCATTCTTTGGCCCTTGACTACATTATCTATAAGTCCCTTGCTTCTCTCCATTATACCTTGCATCCCTATTACCTGCTCCAAGTCGATCTGTCGCACCTTGTCGCTGATACCTTCAGCCAAACGCGACGTCTTTAGAATAGTGCTCATCATGTCTGACGATTCCTCCTTGAGATGACCCAGTTGTGGCCTAGTTGCAGGGTTTGTTACTACTTCTCACATACACGTATACACTCGTTCGCGTTACCTTAACAGGTCCAATCGACCTAATTGCTCGACAAGGGCTGATTCCTGGGACAAGAGTTGATCCAATGAAGCATCGATGCGCGTTTCTTCTTGGTCAAGTTGGCGAAGACACTCGCGAATGTCGTCAATGTTGGTCAGGGACTCGAAATTGCCGGCGAGGACGTTATCATCGGGTGTGGTAGAAGAGCGTTTCACTGCTGGCGGTGGTGTCGTGGGCGTATCACAAGACATGTCGAGAAGAGAAACAAGATAATTCAGTCAATTCCTTTTACTCCATTCGGTAATGGATTTACAGAATGACCTAGGCACATCACTTTGGCACATGTAGGCTTATATGCATAAACAACGCATTATCACATGAAGAGTCTATATTACACCATTCTTCTCCCATACATTGTAAATCTCTCATAATCCATAATAAAAAAACGAGGATTATAAAGTCGTATCAAATACACCGTACTTCATTATCATACACAAATGGATCATCATATAGGTTGACAACAATAAACGTGGAATCCAACAGCTTATTGGAGCCTTTTATTCGCGCATGTCAATGAACACACATGTTTAAGCGGAAGCCTCTGCAGCCTTGCCACCACGCTTAGCGGGCTGGGAACCTAAATCAATCAACCAAAAGCGTCAATCACCTCATCCCAAACAACAACTTGTATTTGTGTATTCTTACCCTCGCGGAAACCGTTAAGGAAACGGCGGTGGACAACCTTCAAGTGGCTCATGCGGCCAGTACCGGTGGTCTTTCTACGCTTAGCCTTCTCAGACCAGTTGACTATAATATCATAACCCATATAAGCCATCCATATCATCGAGTCGTATATAGTGAGATATCTTACACTTGCGGATCTTGGCAGCGGGATAACCACAGCTGGCACAAGTCTTCTTTTGCTTGTGGTAAGAGCGGTTGCCGCAACGACGGCACAAGGTGTGCGTCTTGGTCTGACGTTTACCGAACGAGGTAGTACCCTTGGTCTACAGTAGAAACATGCCCATGTGAGTGAATCTTGAATTGGGGGATCGTGGGTGGTCGTAATATAGCATCATCTCTTCATCCATCGAATGAATCCATTCATCCATTCACCCATCCATTCATCCATTCAAATATCGCACTCCTTTGCTCTATGGAATCCCCTCGTTTACTTGTCATGCAAGCTACATACCATTTTTCAGTGGCCGTTCGAAAAGAAGGGACAGTAGGTTCCACCCATCCTTCCTACATGAACCGCCTCGCCCCAGCGGGGTCTGACTCTACTTTCCAAATTCGGTTTCCACTTGACAGCGGAGCACAATGCGTTGCCAGGCAACCTATCCATCACTCTCTCTCTGTAACATGCTCCATATTTCCATTCCCTCTTTCAATCCAAGCGATCCATATTTTGCAAACATGAGCTGAAAGCACTACACACCTTCTAATTAGTATTGAAATAAAAAGAAAGAGCATTTATATTTAAGCTTCTATAGGAATGCCATCTTGATCAAATGTGATAAATTTCTTGAAGTCTGAAATAGAAAGGTTACCTAAATGGTGCCAATCCGTGTGCTCAGGAAAGGAAAGCACTTGTATACCATAGCGCTTGACCAAAGTAATGAGGCACTTGCCACCAGAGCGAGCTTGATGAAGATTGGACTTGAATTTGTTGCTGTTGGATGGGTCATGCTGGTTGAATAGATGCCAAGTTGGTGGTGGGGGTGAGAGCCCTCGTACATACTGTAGTTGATGCATATGGATGTCTGTTGAATGGCCATCAAGTTCGGGACGCCTCTCTCTTCCAATATCGCCATAACTGTACAACGCCTTTCGCCATGTAAGCCCATTATCAATTCCATATAATCCATCATCTTCCTCAGCCGTATGCACGTGGCATAATCCATCGCTCATGCTGACGACGTCCCAAGTAACCACAGCAACATTCCAAGACTTCACATCACTGCGCTTGATTGCATCCACCCATCATTGCCATTGCAAATCCAATATCTTGGTTGAAAAGAGCCATGTGATTGCTGCTGACACGGTTCCTTTTCCCATCCTCCCCTTGATCTATCTCTTTCTTGGTCATTTTCCATCGCGAAGATTGCTTGTATGGAGGCGTACTTACCTGATTGCGGGTATGGCATCATCCATAGGAATCCATAGGTATCGAAGGAAGGTGCTACACGTTAAGAAAGCTGCTCCCATATGCTGTTCACGTGAAAAAGGCTGTAAGGCAGGTTGCTTCAAGTAACTTGAGACAATGGAGACTTTGGTAATAGCAACTGCTGTTACGTTTGGTCGTGATGACGACTGTGCAAGAGCGTGTGCTGTAATAGAGTGAAAAGGTTGGAACGCTGCTTGAGACAATGGAGTGTAGACCTCGCATATGGGAAATGCTGCAATACGATTGGCTGTGGTAGACGAATGTGTAAGAGCATGTGTCGTGTCAAGAGACTCGTGTGTTGTAGAAGATTGACAAGAAGGGAGTGTACACGCCATGGACTTGCCATTCGGCCAAAGACAATCGGATTAAGGCATTCGTAGGATTGACATGGAGGGTTGAAGCAGGAGAATCGCTCGCAAGTGATAGTTGTATACTTGAATGCACCAACAGTTGACAATGGGAGGAAGAGGGAGTAGAAGAAGTGGGAATTAAATAGGTCGGACACCTCTTGTATAAATCCATGTACACTATACATCAAACCTTGATTATGAGATTGCCCCTCTCGAACCTGAAACTTTCACACAAGGTGCTCTTGGACATGTTGATCACGTTGATCTAAAAAAGACCTCATGTTTCATTTGAAAATTTGGTAAGGAAGGTTATAATGTGAGTTTACTATGTAAGTCGAAAATGGAGGTCAGCGCCAGATTCATGATCTATCCGAATACTATGTATTACCTTGGGATTCCCCTTTTCGAATTTGAAACTTTGTCAGGAGGTTCGCTGTAACATGCTGATCACCTTCATTCAATTAAAAACCGGAGGCTTCATTGTGAAGATTCAAAATGCGGGGGCGGTCCAAATGGTGGATGATGGGGTCAAAAGAGCGGACGGTCCACCGCCCCGAAGTTGCACACTTCCAACTTGAAAATTGGTCAGAAGGGTGCTCCCAGTATGCTGATCAACTATTTTCTAATAAAAACTTCATGCTTCATTTGAAAATTTGGAATGGGAGCGTCCAAAAGTTTGAAAGACGGAGACATTCGCAGGGTCTGCGATTCATTAATTTTCATGTTTGCTGTTCCAGCGTAGCTCAGTCAAATCAGCTCGGATCAAGGAAGTTGAATGATGGAAATGCTCGGCTGGAGCAGGAGAATCGTTCACATGCAGTGGATTTAGCGAAAAAGCCAAATTGGAGGAAGGGGCTGTTAGCTGCCAATGATGAGCTGGGTACTGAATAGTGTATATGGTATCATACATTGCCCCTCCCGATCATGCAAAACTGCTGAGTTACACAAACACATCCCTCAACATCTTTGGCTCTCAGGGTCTGGATACTTTACAATGAACAACGACCTCTTCTCATATAGCATCACGCTTACAGCATATGTAAAATATAAAGGTGCCTGTATCTTTATGTTTTACTTATGCTGTAAGCGTGATGCTATATGAAAAGGAGTCTTTGTTCATTGTCAAGTAGTATGACTATAATAGAGCCAAAGATGCAGAGGGACGTGTTGTATAACTTGAGTCAGTCAGCACAGGCGATGCATGATACTTGTACACTATTTAGGAATGGTTCATAAATGCCGGCTAATCACCCATTCCTCCCATTCTCCATTGTTGCCCAATCCAATGGATGTGAACGATTGTCCTGCTCCAGCCCAGCATTCCCATCATTGAACTTTCTTGATTCGATGTGACATGGTAGTAAGCCAATGGCTGTTGTTGGATCATCATTATCATGTAAAGCGTAAAATGGCACACACCCTTTTGCTATACGTGAGGATCATCATTTCTTTTATTTACGTGTACCCATTGTCCCTTGTGAGGGTGATGATCATGATGGGTGGATGGTGTGTATAGGGTAATTGATGAGTGGCCTCAGTGTAATAGCAGTAGGGGATTTAAACTTAGGGGTCGGTAGCTCCACGACTTGAGACAACGCTTCTCTTCTTTTTCTCCCACCTTTCCTTATTCCATTCACAGCATTGCGATCAAGGTAATGTAGTATAAAGGAATGCTCTTGTTGGCTGTGAGGTATTAATGTAGTTCTGAACATGCATTGTCAGGGAGTTAGCTGAAGAATGAGCGTGGTGAGTGGTTGGTGGTTGCCATGGCGATATCGCTGCTTCCTCTTGTCCGTTGTTATTCCCGCCTTACGCTTGGTGTCAACAGGTACATTCAGAGTCCAATGTTGCAGCCGAACTGGTTCCATTGACGTGTAGCTTGTATAGAGAGCAAGTTTGGTTTCAAGACGTTGGCTGGTTTGGCGTTTTATTTCGGCTTAACTATACTACACCATGGTTTTCGGTTTCCAGTAACCAACAACAACGGGTCTTTGTGTATATGGAAAAGGTAAGTACAATGAAACAAACAATGAAAAGGGTGTTTATTGTGTGTGTGCTAATAATGAATTGAATAGGTTTCTTTGGTCAGGCAATACAACTTGGGGCATCATCATCATCTCTTTGGGTTCAAGTCCCAGCCTGTATCAAGCGGCCGCTGCGTCGCTCTGCACTAGCCAAGTGTGCTGGAAAAGCTTCTTGGAACGCTTCCAGGGCTCTATAGGCCTGCGTTGAGTTGAGGATGGGTCGATGACGATGGATTTTTGGAAGAGCATGGTCACCGTGTTGAGGTAAAAGGGGATTTGTAACAGCTTTAACATCAGTGTGAACCAACACGCTCTTCTCGTGATAGGATCGTTCTTTCCCTTGAGGATTTCTTTTCATGAGGTGGGAAATGATTGGAAGGATTGGATTAGGGATCATTCTTTCTTTGGAGAGGATGAATGAGGACAACTATGAGCCTGGACTCTACGTAAGTGAGTCCTTCCTTGCCATGGATCGAACTGGCCTTGCGTGATTCGTGCAGTGCTTTCTCAAGAACAAGGGGTCGACCGACGTTGCTCGTATGGTGGTAATTTGGTTTGTGAATTCCTTCTGATTTGCTTTCTTCCTTGGAGAGGATCGCCTACCGGTATACCAAATCGTCATCATTCCGGTACCAGATGGTCTAACTTGCCTGCTTTCTTATTTGTAGAGACGACGATTACTATGATTACCACATTCACAACAATGACGATTACGATGATCACCCCATCTACTAATGATGACGACAACGAGATTCAAAAGGAAGCCTGCAAGATCCCATTCTTTTCAACTTGTGTATTTTTGGATGTTGGCGTGACGGATGAGATTGACGACTGGTGACGAGTACGAGTAGGAATGATGACGGAGGACGACTACGGCGATGGTGGTGGCAATGTACAGTACATAGCAAGATAGCTAGATGAAATAAAGCATTGTTTATTTATTACGCGCTTGTTGGAGGTTGCTAGCTTGTGGATTACATACTATTGCTTCGAAGATGGAATAATAAAGGTGGTCCGGTTATCGGTCGTGCAACAAGTACATGGTTTTTATTATACAATAAGGAGGAGTGGGAGGCGGGATGAGCTTGAGAAGAGAAAAAGTGAAGAGATCCCTCCATTGAGTTTCAGGATGAGTGACCCATTCAATATGGATACGTATCTTTTTACATATACAAATTGGTTTATGCAGCTCGACTTTCTTCTACATGCAAATGTGATGCATACCTTGACACACCTTCATTATTGGATGCTGTTTACTTACGTACCTTCACAAAAGGCAATCATCATCATCATCATCATCCATTTGTGTAGCAACCTGTCAAGGACGGGTTTGTGTAACCATCGCATGCCAGCTCTCCATCTTTCCATTAATGCAGCCGACACCATCCACTAGGAAAAAGCAACTCCACCACGCTTGCAGCATAGTGAAAACGTAAAGACAGCCATATCTCAAGATTTCACAATCAAACACAGGGTTTTTAATGGAGCAATGGGCTCGGCTTGGCCAACAGCACCTTGTGTGAAAGTTTCGCGTTCAATGTCGCAACTAGCCCAAAAAATATTTTTTTGGTCGTCATCGTCGAAGAGGTCGACCCCCAGATCCAGTTTGGCTGGTGGCGACATTGCGAAATCTGGGATTAGCCACGATGAACTTGAAACTTTCACACAAGGTGCTGTTGGCCAAGCCGAGCACATTGCTCTATTCAAAACCCCACGTTTCATTGTAAAGTTTAGAGATACAGGCATCTTTATGTTTGTAAGTGTGATGCTATATGAGAAGTGGTCTTCCTTTAATGTAAAGTAGGTGGACCGTGGCAGAGCAAAAGATGCAGAAGGACCTCTTTGGATAACTCAGCTAAAAAGTCAGGACTTCAGGGACAATGCATGAAAGGTACGCAACCCTCACTTTTATGTCATACATTGGCAGCGAATAGCCACTTTTGTGCATTCCCAACTTTTGTGCATTTTATTGTAGATGGACGATGCTCCTGCTCTAGACATTCATTTCCATGATTAAAGTAGGTTGATCCGAGCTGATTTGGTTGAGTTACGCTTACACAAGGTTACATCGGTTGAGCTACATCGAGCGTGCTTTATGTGCAGAGTGATGTAATCTCTCTTTGACCGCAGCTCGGTCAAATCAGCTCGGATCAACCTACTTTAATCATGGAAATGAATGCCTAGAGCAGGGGCATCGTTCCCATGCAGTGGATCTCGCAACAATGATGATTGGATAAAAGTGGCCGTTAGCTAGCAATACATGCCTGTTCCTAGATGATCCATAAAGTAATTATACATTGACCCTTTCATTCATGCAAACGTGGCTGTGTTACACAACACGACCCTCTGGATCTTTTGCTCTGTCAGGGTCTAGCTACTTGACAATGAACAAAGACTACTCTTCATATAGCATCACGCTTACAAACATAAAGGTGCCTGTATCTCCAAACTTTACAATGAAACGTGAGGTTTTGAATAGAGCAATGTGCTCGGCTTGGCCAACAGCACCTTGTGTGAAAGTTTCGCGTTCAATGTCGCAACTAGCCCAAAAAGTATTTTTTTGGTCGTCGTCGTCGAAGAGGTCGACCCCCAGATCCAGTTTGGCTGGTAGCGACATTGCGAAATCTGGGATCGCCCACGATGAACTTCATACTTTGACACAAGATTCCTTTGATCCCGACAAGCACGTTGATCTATTAAAGAGCCCACGTTTGATTGTAAAGTTTGGATATACAGGCACCTTTATGTTTGTAAGCGTGATGCTATATGAGAAGTGGTCTTTGTTCATTGTCAAGTAATTAGACCTGGTAGAGCCAAAGGTGCAGAGGGTGTGTTTGGTAACACAGCCGATTGGGCAAGGCAGGGAGGCGCAATGCTATTGGCGGAGAGTGCATAACGGATCGTTTCCGTATGGTAGGTCCGCCTGAGTTAGCTTGTATGGAATGGCTCGTTCTCATGTAAGGTTGCATAAGATAGCTTTAGCTAAATGTTGTAATAGGTAAGCATGGTAAGCCCATGTTTTTGTGACACGTTGTATCAAGAGGTCATCCTTAAACTTAATGCAAGCTTTTATATAACAAGCATTTACACATCATTGGACGTCTTCATATACAAGCGTTCGCGAATCGCATCTACCCTTTTGTCTATCCTCATGTTATCTATGTAGGAAGCTTTAGCGAATGTAATTATGTAAATGAACCAACTACTTCAGGGAACCAAGCTTTATAAGGCACATGATGATACAACACGACTACATAGGGATATGTAATACACAAGTTTTACGACCTGATGGTTGCTCACACATGCACACGTATCAGAGGCCATCCATACAATTTTATTCTATGAATCCATCATCAAAAAGCATCTTTGGGTTACAAAATGGGCCAAGGATTGCTCAAGGTATAAAGTATAGAAAGCTCTCTGATCCAAAATGAAAAAAGGTTGTTGCTCCATGATAGTGTCGTTGAGATCCAACATCCAACGCTTGATCATAAATCTTCTGCTCGGATCCTTTTCACTCCTTTTCCTTTTGGGCTTTGACCTATCCATTTTTACCTTGTCAACAAGATGACATGCCTGCCAATGGGCATAAGAGGAGAAACTTACTGGGGGATATCGATGATGAAAAAGATTGCGAGGATGATGGCTGTGGATTCAACAGTTGAGACCGGCTACCGAAACTGAGGATGGATGAATGCGTTCGTATGTGATTATCATTTCCTAAAAGATACACGCACCATCAGTAAAGGATAGAGCATAAAGTAAGCATGTTCCTCTTACCATTGCCATTCAACAAAGTTGACTCGCTCAAAGGTTGTCGTGGTGCATTGTGAACATTGTCTTGAAGTGATGATGAAGGTATTCGAGTTGGCACAGGATCTGGGGTATTGTTGTTATTGTTGTTGTTGTATCGTGAAGCAGTAGGATAGCTCATGGTGCCGGTGGTAGGGGTTGTTGCTGTTGCTGTTGTATCAAATCCATTTGCAAATGAAGAAGGCCCTGAAGTAATGGATGGTAATCGTTGTTGTGACATGTCTGGAGCAAAGCGGGCGGATGTAGGTGGTATTGAAGCCATTTGATCTGACAAGACCTTGATTCTCTTCTGGATCCCTTCAGCTATGTAATTTGTTATTATCCCAAGCATTCCAAAAAGTGTCCAGTTTACCTTTTATAATATGGGGTGTATCACCTATAGGTAGAACAGGGGGTCATCAGGTCAAATGATGCATTTATTCTTTGGTATTCTTACCTTGTTTTTGATAGAGCGACATCAGCAGACTTACAACACCACTAATGATCTAGAAGATTCCATCCATCCTTTGTCAAACACTTTTGAAATTCACCAATCCCAGACCTCCTCCCCACCCCTTGCTCACCTCTTGTTGACCCGAAATGACATTGCGTAAAGCTGTTGCCTCGTTTTGCAACACTTCAAACGCCGCCAACGCATTATGCAGCCGTTCTTCGGTGCTGACGATTCGCTTGTACATGGGTCCATAGAGGTAGTCGTCTGCATCACTGAATTGAGAGGTCGGCAAATGCATACGCGACTGAGATTGATGACGGGATTTGGCACTTTTTCGCTTGATGTTTTTGAGATCATCCACAGCTCCTCGTTTGAAAGAAGGATGTCGGAACTCCCAGTTTTGGTTTTCATTCGTGAGATTGGAATGGATCATGTCATTGACCTTATGAAACCCATACACTAAAGTACGTATACATGGAGATGAGATAAAGGTAAAGAGCGAGAGAACAATCCTCATTCATCCTAGGCAACTTACTATTGAGTTGACGAACAAAGCTTTGCCAATTATTGTGCTTAAAGTATTGAGGAAGAACCACCTTGGAGAAAGAAGTAGGGTTGCTGACACTGAACAATTCGCCATTCTCAGACCATGAGATAAGATGATGAATGGATGGATCTTCCAGCATTCTACTTTAGGTATGAATAGAGCGAAAGGATAAAGAGATAGAGATAGAGTGACATACTTGTAGAGTTTGTTGACAAAGGCTGCTTGTGTCCTCATAACGGATCCTGAGGAACTATCTGCATCATTGGTCCCTGAAACTGCTGCTGGGCTTTGCTCAGTCGATTCTATTAGGTTATCATGGCTTTGAAAACAAGGGGAATCAATATCAACTTTTGTTCAAAAAGAGCCGAGTATTACCGTGATTCGTCATGGTCGTCGTTGCTGTTGTTGGTTGGATTCGTTCTGATGATACGGTTGAGAGCATCATGTTGAGGAAGATGGTCTGTACTTGTTCCGTCAATCATATTACTGGTCCACTGACATCGTCGGCGTGCGCTCCGCGATTGTGCAAGTCGAGGAATGTGGAATAGTGTTCGCTCGTGTAGAAACGTACAAGCAAGGCCCGTTGAATGAGTAGACGCTGTCGTTTGCCTTGGCGTCAAAAACGTGTGAGTGTGAGTGTGTGTGTTGTGTGCAGGGAAAAGAAGAGCGGGGAATGGTTAGGCGTTCAATGCAAAGTAGGACAGACAACCGATACAACACAACCGCGAAAGAAGAATAGAAGCTTTTTCTTCTTTGACGCTCTTGGAAAATCTTCCATGGAAATACCAAAGCAAGTAAAGTTGCACAAAGTGGCAAGGAGCACATTGGTTGGTAGAAGGTCTCCTTCCTGTGGTCAAGTCTAGGCCCAAAAAGTCACATCTTATTATGCATCACCTCCATATCACCAAGGAGACCGAAAATTGCCCTCCCATGTACAACGATGCTGATCTCTATCAATCGGATGCAGTGCTGATCTGAACACTTTTTAATAGTAATGGATGTCAACAAGAAATAAAATAAATAGATGCTTTACATGTCTTTGTAATCATTGATAGTGCATACTCAACGTCGCATAGCAACCAAGCAATTTGCGTATAGAAGGAAGAAGAATAGTAGTTTATTAATGGCAGCTTGAATCATTCATGCATGATGCATTGTGCCTGAATTTCTTCGCTTTCAATTCTTCGACTTGGTCAAGAGAATGAGGAGAAGAGCTCTTAGGAATGATCGACGTATCTATGCTCCAAGGGCCAAGGTTCTGTTTTCTGATTTTGGGGTACAACTGATAACCTCATGGTTGTTGTTTTTGTATATGCACCATCAAATGCAACATCTCAATTTCAGCGTCCGACGGTAGGCGATGACACCGAAATCCAACTTTTAGAGATGCATGCAATGTGTATGAGTAGGCGACCCACCAAACCGTATGATTAGGCCTTACCTTATGACAAGAACCCCGATACTACAATGACGACCACAACGACAATGAGAGCAGGGTAACAATGAAGTGACCACAAAAATTAGCACCTACTATTCGCATTATGCAAGAAATGAGATACGTACAAAACCTTGGGCATTCGGCCATGTATGCAATCTAAAAGCGATATGATGGATCAATAGGTTGGTGCATGAGCTGATAGAATGATGGGAACATACGTACCAGGATTGAGTCTGGAGAGCGTAGTGTGATGGTGTCCAAGCACAAATCGGGCCAAATTAAGATAGGTGATAGATAACATCAATTCATCTTAAGCACATTCCCGATATGTACAGAAGAGGCTTGTCATTGTCAGGCTCTTCCTATGTAAGAGTGGCACGCAATAGTGATGATCTAATTACTATATTGCTATCAGCAATCGAGCCCCATAGCCGCTTTGTCTATATACAAGGAGCTACTTATTCCCGTATCGTGAGAGAACATGGACATCGAAAGAATTTATTCAAGGCATTCAAAAGGTATGCTTCGCTAATTTGACCCTCAGCGATCTAAATTGACACAAAAGGCTTTCTGCAGCAGCAGCGTCACACAACTCAAGCGCATATTTTTTCTCGCTCAGCGGCTTCCTTGTTCTCGACACACCACTCACACACCCCTCCTTCACACACAACTCATTCTAAACATTCACCATGGCAACTCCACGAAAACGACGCACACAACGATCCGGCAAGAAATTGACTCGGAGGACAGCTGACAAGCACAAGAACTACAAGATCAAGGCATGTTCAATAGAGAGACACACAATCCAGATCCGATCGTCTAACGCTGACCTTGGATCAATAGGGCAATGCTATTATTAAAGCCAACTGGGACAAGAAGCAGACTCTTATGCAAAAGTAGGTTGATGATAGGATTACCATTTGGGGCTGTTTTCAACAAGGTGAAATAACTCGTATGCATTTGTTAGTTACCGACGACTTGGTCTGTTAACATCTCTCAATCGCACAGCTGGTGGACGAGAAGTAGCCAACCCCGATACCAACCCTGCTGCTGAAGAAGCAATGGAGGAAGATCAAGAACCACGTGAATTACAGGATGATGATATTGAAGAGCTGAAAAAGACATTGAAGCCTGGTGAAGGTCTTATCCAACGTGATGACGAAGGCAACGTTATTCGTGTTATTGTGGGTGAGGCCAAATCACACAATGATATTCTTGATGCGGAGCCAGCACCCGTGGAAGCAAAAACAGATGTTGTTCGAGGTATCTATGAGGATCCATATGATATAGAGAGAGAGACATGCATCTGAAACCAACCGACGTTTTCGTTTTTCTTTTTTAAGCACTCGAGGAACAAGCCAAAAATGGTGTCAAGAATATCAAGTATCAATCTGAATACCAGCAGAGTTGGATTGAGCAATTGATTGAGAAGCACGGTGATGATTATCAAGCCATGTTTTGGGATAAGGAGCTCAATGTCATGCAATTGACTGAAGGCCAACTTCGGAAAAAGATCAAGCAATATCTAAAGGAGCATCAGCAGAAGTAGTAGTAGTAGTGGTAGTAATAGTGATTGATAATGGATCGGAGAGTTTACATTGTGCATTTAGAATATACATGTATAAAAAAAAGCATTTATCCATAGTTTTACCTTGTGGTTTCAGACCTTATTTGCCGAGAACGAGACAAAAAAAATCGAACGCGATGATCACTTTGCCTTTCTTTCTTTGTTTACGCTTGTCAACAAACATCAAAAGCAAACAAATACTACAATAATGGACCCCACGTCTGATCCACTCGATGTAGCCGTTGCTCTTGCCCAAGCCATGGGTCCCACTGACACCAGTGGTAGTGGTGGTGGAGACACCACTATGCCTGCTAGTGACCCTACGACTCCCAACAAAGATAAGCTATTAGGTGGGCTCATGTCACCACAAGATGCTCTCTTGTCGGCAAGCAATCATCATCTAAACGTGCCCATGTTCACAACCACCACTTGTAATGATACATCACCGCCACAACAACCACAACAACCACAACAACAATCCGAGTTGGTGGATCCGCTGGATACAAATTCATGCTTGTCGCTTTTGCAAACATCTGTCAATCCACAATCACAACCAAATATCAACAATACAAGTGCAGGTATTCCATCCTCATTTGGGTTATCGTTTGACAAGGCTTGGCAAATGCCATTAGGGTGGCAACAAAGCAATGCTGCTGCTGCTGCTACACCCAACCATGGCATCACTTCTGCTGGTATCTTTTTCCCTCCTACACCACCTGTTGAATCACCTGCTACGGGGAATCATCATCAACATTCATCCTCATTGGCGTTTACACAACAGCAACAGTTTCCTCCTCCATGGCTTGGCATGACACCCAGCAGTCATCCTAATGGTATTCCCTCCACTCATAATAATACTACTACGACCTTGGGTAAACAACAACATCAATCACCATCCGAGATGAATCCTCTTGACATGTCAAGTTTTTGGCCGTTTCCTCATCCCACTGCTCCTCAACCCAACATGAATCGTTCAAATCGACACAGCATAGCCATTGGATCCAATATTGTTGATAATAGTAGTAATGCTATTACCAAACCATCCACAGGACGTAGAAAATCAACACCTGCAAGAACGTATCGCCGACGTACATCCTCTCAGCCATCGGTGGCATCGGTGGTTTCACTTTCTGCTCATGAACCTGTGGCTCATTCTATCAATGGTATTGAACACATTACATTCTTGTACTCCCATGATCGGCTCGTCAAGGAATATACAGTGCGCACCGATGCAGCAAATTGTCCACTTGAAGACATCCCACTAGATTTCCGTATGGTCAATGCGGTATGTTGTTTAATATCATCGTCTTTTTATTTACGAATACACATGGCTCACGTAATGATACATATAGATTTATCCACGAGCCAATGTGGACAAGGAAGAATATGATGGTAATCGTTGGGAATATGAGACCAGCTGTAATGAACTTGGGTGGAAATTATGTTGGCTGAATCAAGAACAACTCTGTGGCCGAAGAGGTTTAATTCAACGTGCGGTGGATTCATATCGTAACCGCCACGCTCATATGCGATCACGTCGTGTCACTCGGCAAGAAAAGGTGGCCAACGGTACATTACGTCGTCGGCGTGCTAAACGATGCTAGAGAGAGAGTGTGTGTGTCTATAGTTTCAATAAAAAGAAAAAGGAATTGCCTTTATGCGGTACACTTCTTTTTCCCCCCGCTACATACATACCTGTTTGACAGCTACAACTTGAATGTCCATTGACACCAACGCTTGGATCGCACGAGTCCAAAATGACATTGGAGGTTGCCACGATTTGATACAGCATGTCGTCAACGCGATCGCCACGGCTCAATCGGCACCACCTCGCATCCCATTGTTACCACGATCGAAGGGTCTTGTGCTGCATGGCAAACCGGGTTGTGGCAAAACGAGTCTAGCATTAGCCATTGCACGTGAGTCATCCATCACACGCACACGCATATGCACGTACCTATGTTTATACGTTTCTTCTTACAATAGATCATTCTGGATTGCCTTATCGTGTACTCAATGGCCCTGACATTTTCCAAAGTGGTATGTGTATGCTAGTAGTACCATGGAATCCAAGACAAGGTTTATATTGACATAGGATACACATAGAGCAAGGTGCAAGTGAAGCCAAGCTGTTGAATTTCTTTGAGGATGCCAAGGATTGTATTGTTGTTTTGGATGAAATGGACATGTTGGCAGGTCAAGAAGTCAAAGTAGCGTCAGCATTGCTTTCGGTGATCGATCGTGATCAAACGTTTCTCTATATCATCGGTAAGTTGGGACAATGTAGATGGATTGAACAACCATAGCTGATAGTATGATGGATGTTTAGGTGTCACGAGTCGTTTACATGCCATCAATCCATGCTTTCTTCGTTCTGGACGCCTCGACGACATTCAGGAAATCATCATCAATACCCCCGCTGCAAGATACGAAATCCTTGACATCATGACACAAAGTAGGTATCCTTTTGATGGAATGGATGGGTGGATAATAATAATAATGAATGGCGTATAGATCTTCCTTTGGATGTTTCTGATCGACCCTTGGTGCTTGAAAGGATATCAAAAGTGACGCATGGCTTTGTACCGAGTGATTTGCAGCTTTTATGTACCCAAGTCATTTTGGAACTTGTGCGACAAAAGGAGGCATCAACGGCCAACTTTGAGCAATTTCAACGTGCACTTGAACATGTCAAGCCATCTACATTGTCCGAATACCGGGTACCGCATGTCAAGTTTTCAGAAATCTTTGGTCTGGAGCCGATTATTCATGAACTCAAAGTAAGGGCGCGCCAGATCGCGTATTTTACGTTTGTTCTAAAGGTGACATTTATTAGGCATCTGTGATTCATCCCTTTCATCATCCGGAATCTTACTCAAGCCTAGGCATATCACCACCCAGAGGTATCCTTGTCTATGGTCCACCGGGTGTGGGTAAAACCATGCTATGCAGTGCATTGGCCTATGAAGCAGGTGTCAACTTTATGTTTGTCGAGGTATCTTTGTATATACGCCCACCCTTTTCTTTCTTTACTAAATGATACTACGTATAGAGTTCCCAAGTACGATCGAAGGTGGTTGGTGAATCTGAAAAGAATCTTGCAAAGCTCTTTGCTCAAGCACGATCCAATGCTCCTTGTTTACTTTTTATTGATCAGGTAGGAGGAGGAGGAGGAGGAGGAGGAAAAGCAATTGAGGAGCCTTGCTTTCTCACGTGGTTATTTCAAAGATCGATATGTTGTTACCCAAACGTGGAACGAGCTCAACATCTGAAAATACGAGTGATCGCATTGTTACCGGGTTCCTAACAGGTATGTATATATGGGAACGGTTGCTATGGCAGGAAACTAAAGGTCGACATAGAAATGGATGGCTTATTGACCAAAAAGAGATCAAGTTCAGCGCATATCGATGTGCTCGTTGTTGGTGGTAAGTGTGATCAGCTTTTGCATCTTGCAGAGTGTATTCATGACCCTCTTTTAGCCACCAATCGTATCCATGTGATGGATCCTGCTGTGCTCCGCCCAGGCCGTTTTGATGAACATATCCATGTACAGATCCCTGATGCTGAGGTAAGGAAAAAGTAATGACAACGTATACAACAACCACTCAATTGATGCTTCTTTATAAAGCAACGACTACAAATCATTGATGGATTGGGAAAGAAAATGCCTACTTTACTAGCTGAAGAGGAACGACAGCGATTATCACAAATGACACAAGGATGGACAGGTGAGAAGAGGAGAGAGAGCGCGTGCGCTTTCATTCAAGAGCAAAGAGATTGACATGGTATGGTTTTTATAGGTGCTGATCTGGATAACCTCTTTCGAGAAGCTGCATTGGCGAGTTTACGGGAAAATATTGAAAATGACAAGGTAGGATGATGAGGATGGGTTATGTAGTAGGCTGGATCATGGGCTCATGTGTTATTGATGTAGATTACATTTGCACATATACACAAGATTGTCACCGAGAAGCAATCCATACCTTCTAAAGCTCAAGATTGATAATACATATTCCTATAACATGAATGACGGTACCTGATGAGATGGATCTAATTCGCTTTTGGCCAGTAAGCCATACATGGGGGCGGTGGTTTCCATAGCACGTGCCGCACGTGCATTTTAATTTCTTTTTCATGAGATATCAATTCAAGTTGGGGAGAAGGGGGTGTGGGTTATAGAAGTGAAGACTTTGGATATAGCTTATGATGTTGTTCACTGATGTTGGCAATAAAACAATGATGAAATGATACCAAGTATAAAATGGGTTGCTATAGAGAGTGCATGATTTTAGGCTTTATCCCGTGTTACCGAATCCCACTCGCGTGGGTGCAGGGTGTGTGCGTGCGGTGGTGTGAGTGTGAGATTTCCAGCTCAAATGGAATCCCGAGCTCTCCGGGGTGCATTCTCTTCCTTTACTTTCTCTCTCTATCTCACTTGGTTTTATCTATTGTCAAGCTTCAACCATGTCACTGCAAGTGGAGCCTTCCCATCTACTCTCATTTGAACGTAATTCAGCATGCTCCATTGTCCTGTCCAAGCTTTAACCGATTCAATAGGACCATTGACACGCATGGTGAAGAACCACCTTTCGCTCGAAAACACCGGTTCCGAGCCTATCATATTCAAAGTCAAGACAACAGCACCCAAGCTTTATTGTGTACGTCCCAATGTTGGTCGCGTGGAGCCTCATTCAAAAGTTCAAGTAGAAGGTAAAAAACACTCGTCGTCGTTGCACGCGTTTTCATAGTTTGCTAAGCAACGAATCATAGTCTATCTCCAAGCGTTCAAGGAAGAACCCCCTCTTGAGAAGCCATGCAAAGACAAGTTTCTTATCCTCAGTGCGACCGTCGACGCAGCGGATGCTATGACTGATTTGCATGCAACGGTAAGACCCAATTGGAGGAGTCAAAGGACACGGGCAGTAATCATCCTCATCTTGTGTAGTGGAGTCGTATTGAATCAACGGAAAAATCACGCATTAATCAGACCAAGTTGAGATGTGAATATCGACAACCGAATAACACATTACCACCATCACAAGAACAACAACAACAAGAGGCAGAGGAGAATATGGATGTATCAACGATCACTGCGAATGAATCATCACTGTTATCCGTGGCAGCAGCAGCACCAGCTGAGGAAAAGAATGAGGCATTGGAACAAGCAAGGAAACAATTGAAGGAAATGCAACAAAAACTTGACGCATACCAAGGAGAGATTTCCCATCTTCGACAACGTAACATCAACAAGAACAACGACGAATCTCCTACCACCACCACTTTTGTTAAAGAAACACGTATCGAATCGACAGGCTATCCTCCATACATCGTTGCCTTGGTTGCTCTCGTCGCTTTTGTTTTTGCTTGGGTGCTTCTTTCCCTCTCCTCCTCCTCCTCATCATCATCCTGATCATCAATTGTATACGTCTGCGTGCTAGGATACTTTCATTCTCTTAATCATTACTATATCATTGGAAGAATAAGTTTTTAATGTGAGATTCGTGGTTGTTTTTATTATATGGAGTGTGGTTCGTTTTAAATGTAAAGAAGGAATAAGCGTTGATGAGTGATCCATAGAGAATAAACTCAGGTTGCCATGGCGATGGTAGTACTTGGTAGATGGCTCTCAGACGACGTTTGTGTAATCTAAAGCCCAACAATGGCAATTATCATTGGGAGGACAAAGAGGCCCAGCATCCCACTCACGCTGTACCCGATGTTTGTTGATCATCAATCAAAATGCAAACATACATAAGAGCAAAATTGAATCAATGCAAATGTGGATAAAGCGACAAGAGGAGTGAATCACTGCCATGGGGACCACACATAAATATAACAGCAATGGGGTACATACACACACGCATCAATCTACATCAACTCCATTGCTTTGGGTGGCACCTGATGGTGTAACGCTTTTGCTTTTCCGTGTCAAAAAACCAATGATGCATCATGCAGGGTGACGTGGTGGGTGGTGGAATAATATACCATTTTGTATTCTGATCCTGGCCTTTTGTTTCTCTCTTTCTCCCCTTTTCTTCCCTATCGCCTTCTCCTCTTGTGTTTGGTTGCTCCTCTAATCATGGCGACGATAACATTGGAGAAGCGTGGGGTTCCTTTTTTCGATATCGGTGATGGTTTTGAGGATGTGCCAGGTACCTCGGCCTATAGTGCTCGGAATCAAAGTGGATTGATCACACAATTGTTGGTGTGTGCGAGCACTGGGTTACTTTGCTTTCTTGTGTTTTGCTTTTTACGTCCACGGTAAGTTGCAATCTACATATCAGCAACATCTCCTTCCTAACTTTTTGGACCCATCAAGGCCAAGCTGGTCTGTGATATTCGCTCCACGAATGAACATGAAAAGGTTTGGTCACATAAAAGCTGCCAAAGAAGCAACACGCTGTTTACAGACATGTATGCAGACACAAGCCTCCTGAACTTCCCAATTCTTTTTTCGGCTGGATCATCCCTTTCATCAAAATCGATCATCAAGAGGTGATGGATAAAGTCGGCTTGGATGCTGTAGTGGTAAAAAGACATAACCATGTGCGTTACTATACTCTCCTTTATTTACTTTCTCCTTATCACAGATCCTCCAGTTTATCACAATGGCAATCAAGTTATTTGGTGTGTGCTCGTTTTTCGGCGTAGTGACACTTGTACCTATCAGCGTGACAACAGGAAATGCCACCCATGCAAATGTCACTGGGCAGCTGGATGAATTAGCCATCACTGTGTTAGAAGATGGATCCAATTATCTCATCGCCTACTTGTGTTTCACGTACTTTTTTTGCTTCCTGACCTTCTTTTTCCTGCATCGGAATTTCCGCTCGTTTCTTGATCTACGTGCACGTTACTTGCTTCGTATGCGAAAAACGCTTTCCAGCCGTACAGTGGTAGTTACCGGTATCCCTCATCCGTTACGTACAGACGATGCCTTGGCCGAGTATTATTCTCATCTCAATATCGGTGCCGTCAATAACGCACATATTGTACGCCATTTACATCATCTCAATTCATTGCTCCGAAAACGTGCACGCGCCTTGCAAAAGCTTGAAACGGCCTATACGCAATATTGGGGCAACCCATGCAAAGTGCCTGGATACGATCCTGATCAGATTTTAAATCATCTCAGCATGACCAACAATAGCGACCCTATCCAATTCATGGAACAAGAAACCGCCATGGCAGCTTCCCTTTTAACCAAAAAGCTTCCAAAAATTCGAACAGGGTTTATGGGGCTTTGGGGTAAACAAGTGAATGCCATACAGTATTATACAGAGCAATTCAACGACTTAGATCAAAAAGTACTCGAAGCAAGAGAATCATCCACCTTTGAAATGACCAATGTGGGGTTTGTCACCTTTAAGCATATGGCGAGTGCTGTAAGTACAATGAATGAATGAATGGATGGATCATTGACATTGTATTCATTTATATATGTATATAGTTGATTGCATCCCAAATTGCCATTCACCCTGAGCCATTCAATTGCCGCACAGTCATGACCTTTGAGCCTCGTGATGTGCTATGGTCCAATATCGCTGTGCGTGGACGTGAAAGATTGGTGCGAGAGCTCTTTGTTTGGGCAGTGACCATTCTCTTATCCTTCTTTTGGATCGCGCCGATATCAGCATTCTCCACCCTTACCAGTCTTGATGCTCTAGAACGCGTATTTCCTCAACTTGTCGCTGCAGCGGATGATTCAGTGTTCCTTCAAAACATCCTACAAGGACTTTTGCCAACAATAGCTGTCAACGTGTTTATGGCCGTGTTGCCCTTGATTTTTGATGGTACGTGAGAAAAAGACCCCACCACCTTGGCATCCTATGTATTGACATGGATCATCTACTACTATTAGCCCTAGGTATTATTCAAGGATTACGTTCACGTAGTGCAATTGCCGAAGCCACATTCAGCAAGTATGTATCTCACCTTCATTTTGATGATAACCTTCAATGTCTAACACGTAGTACTACTCTACTAGATACTTTTTCTTTCTCTTGTTCAACGTGCTATTGGTGTTCACCATTGCAAGCACGATTACCAAGACGTTGGAACAATTGTGGAACCACCCCGCTGCCGTAGCTAATTTGTTGGGTACCACACTGCCAGCGGTAAGATGACAGCAACATGGATGGATGATACATTTGTACTTAAATCATATGTGAAGGTTGCACCTTTCTTTATCAATTATACCGTATTGCAAGGGATGCTTTTGTAAGTAGGATGTGTGGCCAAATCTAGATGACCCCCTGCATGGTGTCGTACTGATTTATTACCATTTCCATGCAGGATGCCGCTCAGCTTGCTCTTATTTGGTGCATTGATCATCCGCGGGTACTCGCACGTCTTTTTGTGTAAAACGCCTCGAGACTATGCCAGTAATCGTGCACCATGGGCATTCAATTATGGCACAGGCTATCCACCACTGCTACTCATCTTTATCATTGTACTTGAATACTCCTCTATCTCACCCATTATCCTTCTCTTTGGCACCATTTATTTCTGTATTGCCTATGTGGTCTACAAATACCAGTTGCTGTATGGTAAGGATGACATAGAATGATGATACATGGTGTGAAGGCTCATTGTAGATTGTTTCTCTTAGTGTATTTTCAGCCGTTTGATGCTGTGGGAGGTGCATGGACGATGGTGTTTCCTCGCATCATTCTTGGCATGATCCTGTTTCAATTGACAATGACCGGTATCTTTGTGCTAAAGAGCTTTTTTACGCTTGCTGCATTGTGTGTACCATTGATTGTATTCACTGTGCTCTTTAAATTGGGCATGGATGCAGCATTCGATCGCAACAGCAAGCATTTGCCGATGCAGATTCTACGTGATAAGACCGATCAGTTACCTGGTGGTGGTGGCAACAGCAGCGGCATGACGAGTGATGATGACGATGATACATACGATACAAGTGACGAGAACGATAGTAGCAGCAGCAGTGATGATGATGAAGAATCCGAAGCAGCACGTGAGCGATGGAAAAAAGCAACGAGAATGGCATCGCAAATGGTATCATCGCCATCCTCAAGTCGTAAACGACATGTACGACGAGTGATTTTGGATGAAGATGACTATGCAGCTATCCCAGATCGTTACACGGATTATCGACAACCTCCCATGGAACTTAATCCAGGTGTGTTGGACACGGGTCTCAAAGCCTACGCCAACCCAGCATTGATTGGTATATTGCCACAACTGTGGCTACCTGTAAAGGCTGGTGAGGTGGGCGCTACAGCCGTACCAGCAGCATCCAAGCGATTCTCTCGTCGGCATTATGCAAGTCATGTGGTGGTTGCAAAAGACTTGATGCAACTTTTAAAAAGAGCCGAATCGGTCAAGCGACGGACCACAAACAATGATCATCATCAAGAACCAAAACGAGGTCTTTTAAGTCGCTTGTTTCCATGGAAACCTGTTGCTACTGCTTCTACTACTCCCACTACGATGCAATCCATCGATGCAGCAACATCCTCATTTGCAAAAATAGGCAATATGGAAAAGGCTGGAACATCTCAAGAGCATATTTTAAGACCATCAAGTACAGATGGAAAACAAGATAACCGATCAAGCCATGGTAGTAGCAGCTGTTCACCAGAAATAACCTGATTTGGTAAACCGAAAACAGCTTGCATTTCTCTCTCGCTTTCTTTCTTTCCAGTGGTCTTTTTATTTTGCTAGTGTTTTTCCTCTTTCCCCTGCCCCTTTCTTGTTCTTTCACACGCCAACATTTCCTCCACACACAACCACTTTGTACATAAGCATTTGTTTTTTATTCCCAAATGTATACCACTTATCCAAAGCAACCTCCTTTTTATACTGCTTCCCTGGCAGGCCCAGGCAACATTACAAAGCAACATGCGCCATCCACACGACAGCAACGAGGTCGTGATTCCATGTCCTCCATGCATTCCAGAACAACATTGTCGCGAAAAGGTGTGTGTGTGTGTGTGTGTGTGTGTGTGTGTGTTTTTCCAATGAGCGTCATGCCTCGTCGCCCTTATGCTTATCGTTCTCTCTCCCTCTCTCTTTCCAACTTATGCAGAACCCAGTTGGGACTCAGCAGCAGCCGATGAAGACTTGTATCGGATACACCATCATCATCCAAGAGGTGCACCTTATTATTCGACCCTCGTAGAACCAAGCATGACACTTGGAGAGCAATGGCCACCCCATGGTCATAAAGTGATCAAAGGATTCCAACGAGTCACCTATGGTCAACGACCCAAGATCCTTGTTCGAGAAAAGGTACATAGTTTATTATTCTACTAATAGACATGAATGGAAGACTTATTTCATGGCATGATATGTAGAATATGGCTACCTGCAAGCCGCTCTATGCATTAACAACCAAGGTCGTCAATACCTATACCAAGATCGATTCTCGATTCCAGTACGATGCTGCACATCTCAATCCGAAGCGTGTCCTCACCAAGCCGAGTAAACCAGCCAAGAATGATGGGTATGATAACGAGAATCACGATTATATCTTGCGAGTGAATGATATCCTTGGTGATGACAAAGAGTATCAGTAAGTGATGATGATTGTGCTTTTGAACAATCAAAGTAATACCATTTATGATAGGTATCGTGTGATTGATCTCTTGGGTCAAGGAACCTTTGGACAAGTCGTAAAGTGCGAGAGAATCAGCAATGGTCAATTGTATTCGGTCAAGGTGATCAAGAACAAACCAGCTTATCGTACCCAGAGCAGAATGGAGGTCGAAATATTGAAACAGGTGAGTGTGTGGGTGGGTGCACAAGGTTTTCCAATGTAGCCATCACATTTTGCTTACTCACCTATGTACCTATTTAGCTGAGTCAAAAGCTTGGACCGGAGCATGAAGATCACATCTTGCAATTGCAGCATACGTTCAATCACAAGAACCACTTGTGTCTCGTCTTTGAGCTACTATCATTCAACCTCTACGAGCTTATCAAGCAAAACAGCTATCGTGGTGTGTCTCTCAATCTGGTGCGTGTGTTTGCTTTACAATTGCTCGATACCTTGGCTCTCTTGAAAAGTGCACGGATCATCCATTGTGATCTCAAACCCGAGAATGTGTTATTGAAAAGGTATAGAATGACATCATGCGTGTAACATTGTTATTGACGCCCACTTTTCTTGTTAGTGTCAAGTCGCCTTCCATCAAGGTGATTGACTTTGGATCAGCATGTCATGAATCCAGTCGCATCTATACGTATATCCAATCCCGCTTTTATCGGTCACCTGAAGTCATTCTCGGTTTGCAATACACCTCAGCTATCGACATGTGGTCACTTGGATGCATTGTCGCCGAATTGTTTATTGGTATCCCATTGTTTGCCGGTAGCTCCGAATATAACCAACTCAGTCGCATTGTGGAGATGCTTGGGTAAGCAACAAAAGTGTGCGTCTTGGCATGATGTTTAACCTACTTTTTATGTAGAGATCCACCACAAGATATGTTGGAGATTGGCAAAGGCACAAAGCAATTCTACAACGTGGATGAATCCTCTGGCAAACGCGTGTATACGATGAAAAACAGAGAACAGTACAGCAAAGAGCAGCATAAGATGGAGTTGCCAGGCAAACGTTACTTTCCTCAAAGGACGCTACCAGATCTCATTATGAATTACACGCCCAGACCACGTTCAGGATCATCATCAACATCAGCCACACAAGTGCCACCTGCACCCTTGGATGAGCAAGAACGTCAACGAGGTTTGTGTGATTGTTACTTTGGATGAAAGCGCCTTGACTCATGAGAATCATCCACACCCATATAGATCAACAAATCAGACGTGCTTTGGTTGACTTTTTACAAGGCTTACTACAACTCAACCCTCTCAACCGATGGACTCCCATACAAGCACGCTATCATCCATTCATCACGGGTGAACCATTTACAGAACCTTATGTGCCTGAAGTTCATATGAAAGCCGCCATGAAATTGCAACAACAACAACAGCAGCAGCAGCAATCGACTACTAGTGAGATGAATGAGATTTCCGGATCACAAGGAAGCAGTTCAAGTACGAGTGGTCATGCTGATGGTAACCATGTCCAAGCGCTTGAAGCGGCTGCCATGGCTGCTACCTCCAAACGATCACGTGCACAATCCATGGGTGTGCCACAAGCGCCTAGTCCAATTCAGGAATTGACAACACGGCAACATCGACATCGTCGTTCTCAAGGCAACTTGGTTGGTGTGTTACCACCCGAAGCTCCAGGTGTTGCTGTTACGGGTGGAACAACATCGGATAGTAGTAGTGTGGAAAAGCACACCGTGTATGCAAATGGTGTCAGTGGTGGTGATCCACAACAACAACAAGCAGCCGTAGAACGCAAAGTCAAGATTGCTGCCCAAGTCAAAGTACGCTATGGCTCACGTGATTCATTATGTATGCCAGATCAAGTTCATCGTGGTGGAAAGGGTGGTGATGATGCACTATTACAGCAACAGCGGCCTGCAGGTCGTTTGTCGCATGCTGGTGAAGCTGCTGGTGGATTACTAATGATGCGCCAACAAGAAAAGGCATCCTCTTCTCAAGGTGTTGCAGCTGCCATCAAGCGACGTGCCATTTTATAATAGAGCTTTTACTGTAGTGTAATGTTTTTTCTTTCTTTCTTCATACCAACTTAGCATACCAATAAGAGCTGTCTTCCATAACAATACATTTGAGACAATTGCATACTTTACATCGGTTGGCCTGAATACTCATTACTTATAGAAGTAGACAGATAAGCAAATGATCTCCCAGCTTGGTGAAGCATACACATGTTGCTGTTTCCACTTCCTATAACATCACAACGGTTGCCATGGTGATGGTCGTCATCTGTTCCGATAACCAGGGTCACTAAATCCAATCTAAGACAAGGACTTTTTGATCCAAGTTCACGCACGTTTATTTTTCTTTTGAAGCGAAAAACTCTCTTGTAGTTCCACAACTATCAAATGTGCATCCTGGACAACGCAAGTACCACTGCTTTGATACGATGCCACCCTCTTGGAGATGTTCCTTGACGATATCGGCCATGGCTTGGACAAAAGTAGGATCATCATTCAGTGATTCAGCACGCTTGAATCCAGTGATACCAGCCTAAATAAACATCCACACACACAGCAATGAATTCCATTATCCCCCTATTTTCCATGACGACAAGCACGCATTTACCTCTTCAGCTTCCTTTCCATATTCAAGATCCAGTTCAAACAAGGTTTCAATATGATCGGTGGTGAATGCAATGGGAACAAGCAAAAGATTCTTTTTGCCAGCCTCGCCATAACCCTTGATAGCATCGGATGTTTGAGGACCAAGCCAAGGTTGAGGACCCACTTGGGATTGCCAAACCAAACGATATTGATACTTTTGACCAAGACGCTCCATGACTTGATGCACCGTATGAGCCACTTCCGATGGATACGTGTCACCTCGATTGACCACGGACATCGGCAATGAATGGGCCGAAAAGAGAATCACTGCATTGTCACGTTCTTCAGCTGGGTATTCTTGTAACTTGGCTTCGATTCGTTTTGCTACAGCCTACAAGCACGCTTATTAATGAATAGTCCCTCATTGTTGTTGTTGTATTGTATATAGATACCTCGATGAATCCAGGATGTTTTGGCCATCGATCAATGATGCTCCAATCCAAATCTTCCATACCAGCCCTGACAATGCCTCTGTGTAACTCATTCAAGCTGCTACCCGTGGTTGAACATGAATATTGTGGATATTGAGTAAATACCACGGCACGTTGCACGCCATCCTTTTTCATTTCCTCAAGCGCCATATCAGTGGATGGTTTGACGTAGCGGAATGCAATGTAATGTTTGTGAGGAGCTATAATAAATAACCATGTGAATACAATTGGGTTGCCATGCCATCATCATCCTATATTACCTGTTTCGGGAGAGATCTTATCCAAGATCTTTTCCATGGCTTCACCTTGCTTTTGTGTCCAAGCTAGAATGGGCGATCCTCCACCGATTTGTGCATATTGTTCCTTGATACTGGGTGTGCGTCGATTGGCAATGTACTTTGCAAGGTGCTTTTGTAATGGCAGTTTCATAATATCGCGATCGGAAAACAAGTTGAGCAGGAAATCGTGAACGTCGTCGAGTGTTTCTGGACCGCCCATGTTGGTGAGCAATACAGCCGTTGGTCTAGCGTGGCCATTGTGTGTAAGAAAGAAGAAAACACGTAGGGTTTATGTGGGTGTGTGCTTACGGTTTCTTTGCTGTACTAAAGTGACGCATCGTGGTGGTGACACGATTAAAGGCTGCTATCCTTGCCGAAGGTGTTGTCAGGGGCACATGAGAACGTGCTGGTTGAATAGATTAGTAACAAAAGAATGATCATGGAATAAAATGATGAAATCTACCAAACGCATAACGAGCAAACATGGCGTGTCAAAAAAGTTTAAAGGAAAAGGAAAAAGAGTGGGGACAATCGGCGCAAGGACTGAGTCAACGAGCGTCGATCGAATTTATAGCTGCGAACACACAGAGTGAGATCTCACGTTATACAACAACAATTTTGAATGGAAGATGCAGGCAGCATGATGGGTGATGGTGTGTGTGTGTGTCTATTGTCTTTACGATCCAATCCCACACCATATCCCTTTGGATATCTAGCAGCACCGGTTGGCTTGCGAATCCATATCATTTTTGTGCCGGTCCATTTCCAAGTGGTGGCCAATTCTTCCTTTCCTTTTTATACATCATGTCTTATTACAGAGACCGCACCGCTGAATTAAGGGTAATTAAATAACATCATCATCACTATCATGAATGGATGCTAACATGAAAAGAAAGGGTGACGACAGGTACCTACATCATCATCGACATACACGTTCATCCATATCTAATGCGCGCGTTTTGAAGCGAGGACTTTGGTCCACGACGTCCACCTGCTGCCACTTTTCGATCAGGAGGAAATAATTATGGTGCCCGTAACCAACCACCTGCCGGCTATAATCCTCACGAATCATATGAAATGCGTTCTCCTCCAAGTTATGCTGGTGGTGTTGGTGGTGGTGGACGACAACAACAACAGTCACCACCCATGGCAGCAGCAGCACCTCCACCATCACGTCCACCACCCCAATTGGATACAATGGATGGATTCTTTCACGAGGTATTATAAGGCTATTGTTAACGTGAAAAGGGGAGTGGAGGTATTTACCAAGCAACATGCATACGTAGGTTGACGATATCAAGAATGAGGTTGGGGCAGTAAGCGATAATGTGGATCGCATCGAAAGACTTCACACGTCTGCACTGATGAGTTTTAACGAAGAACAATCACGCTACATTTCAAGAGACTTGGCCACGTTGAAAAGAGAAACACAAAAACGAAATTTGGATATCAAAAATAGGCTCAAAGGTATGCAGGTTGACCAATGTCATCATGATGGGATAAACAAAGGGGTGCTTGGATAGAATTGCAGGTGGCCAATGCGAGGACCGGAAATGCATCGGATGCACAAATTCGTCAATCTCAGGTACATTCCATATACAAGGTGGATCATCAAAACGTATAATAATAGGCTGAATGTTTCTTATAAAGACTGCTGCATTGAGAAAACGGTTCTTGGAGACGATTCAAAGATACCAGGATGTGGAGCGTCTTTATGACCAAAAGTATCGGCAACGTGTAGAACGCCAAATCAGGATTGGTATATAAAGATCCATTGAGCGAGAAGAATGAAGCACTCAAACCATCCTTTACAGTAAAGCCAAATGCTACACAAGAAGAGGTCGATCGATTTATAGATTCGGATGATTCTCCTCAGGTGTTTGCCCAATCGGTAGGCCTCACTCATCATGGACCCTACTACTTTTTTATGCTCACCTTTATCCTATGTATGTATAGCTAATGCATGCCACCCGAACCAACCAAGCAAGAGCAGTATTATCAGAAGTACAAACACGTCATGATGACATTAAGCATATTGAAAAGACGATATTGGTAATACTTTGTTGGGGATGGATAAAGGAAAAGAGCATAAAAACTGACGTTGTAACATTCAAGGAACTCCATCAACTCTTTTCAGATATGCAAATGATGGTTGAGCAGCAAGGCGAAACAGTGACCAATATCGAGCAGCATGCAGAGAACACGGTTGGCGATCTAAAACAAGGCAATTCATTCCTTACAAGGGCTATTGCAAGTGCACGTGCAACACGCCATGTAAGTTGACGAGGATCGAGGATGCACCTTTTTTGTTAACGCGAGCCGGCCACTTTAGAAAAAATGGTGCTGCTTGGTGCTTGTGATTATTATTTGTGTAGTCATCGCCATCCTGGTTTGGTGGTTTGCATTTGGACATCCCGTAAGTCGATTGGTCCATATAGCGGCTCGTTCACTCATCATCAATGTCTCTTTTAGGGAGCAGGTGGAAATACAAGTAGCTAGACCTTACTACGTGTACCTCTTTAATAAGACCTATTTTACTACGAGCGATGTACCAAGCATCTTTGTTTATTTATCTGCAAGGGGTGTTGTATGTAGCGTTCTGTACATATGGATCGCCATCGCTGTAAAGTAGGATGCATGTATGCATCGTGAACGGCCATGTATCCATCTTTTGGAAAATGCATGATCGAAACTTTGTCGTGTCGATCCACACGTATTCGTATGATCAGCATTGCATACATAAATCGTGTATGGAGAGAGAGAGAGAGAGAAATGAAATTTAACTAAGATGCCAAAGTGCACGGCCAAAACGAGGGTTGATCTTTAGAAATCATGGATCAACGTTTCAGAGTAGAAAATGATGCAGCCTATACGCGCGGATGGAGCCGTAAATACAAAACTCGACTTGCTGCTTAACCTTGGTACTAAATAGAATTATGATTATGGCTATAGACGTATATGCCAAAAGATCCATCTTTAATCATGTCATCCACACCTTGCTCATCCTAATGACTTGATCCATTCCTTATGCAAGATGAGTAAGAAGGAATTCATTGTGCAAGGTTCAATGCGATTGTTGCATTCATAGTTACAATCAATGAGCGTCCAAGCCATGATCAGGTTTGGATGGTGCATGCATCGCATTGAGCCTTTTGCTATGTATCCCTTGTCATGGCTCCTTTTTGGGTTCTTTGTTGATATTGTGAGCTGGTCCCATTTTCATTTTTGAGCAGTAATAATGCTACATCTCTGTTGCCGAAGTTTCGTAGCGTATGCAGCAGTAAGGACAATATCACCACCACGCCTTCCCCAGCGGGAACCATAGGATGATGCTTCATTCACACACACACTCTCTCTCTTTCTCATTTACGCTCCTTAAACAAGAACTGTATGTGGCTGTTGTGTGCATAAGCGGAGAGTACAAGGAGGTGGAATATGGGTGGATGAGAAGAAAAGAGAAAAACGACTACAACAGGGGAAAGAAACACGGGATAAACAGCTATAGAATACAACCCGGGATTATGCTCCGAAAGAAAAAGATTGCCCCACCAACCACAAAGGCATCTATTACAGCATCCTAAAAAGTAGAGTTTGGCATAAAAAGAAGCATCCTCATTATCATCCCACGAGCTCTTCTTACATGTGTTTCAGAAAATGGCAGCATTTACTGCTGCAGGTGGTGGTGAGTTTTATTGGTTACACCAAAAGATGCGCACCGTGTACCTGCTGCATGAAAGGGGGGGGGATTGTTGTTGGACAAGAAATGATCTCTTGGTTGTTTATATGCGTGGGCGGCGGTGGGACAAAAAAGAGAGTGTGTGTGTGGAGCATTGTAAAAGGACGCCTTGGTTTCTTTCTTTTTCTTGTGCTCCTTTTCCCTTTTTACTCTTCATGTTTGAAAACAAGTTTTTTCCACGTCGCCTTCGGCAAAAGTCTGAAGAAGCTATCAGCAAAAGAATTACTCGCTTCTTTCAGCCACGTCAGCAACACGGAGGAGAGCTTACACAGCAACAACAGTGGATGAATTATGACGATGACAGCAAATTAGAGATACCCGATACCGTCATTATTGGTGAAGATGGATGCTGGTTACCAAACAACAACCATGATGGGGATGACGATGCCATGTTGCATTCATCATCCACAGTACCTGATTTGTCTACATGTGCCAGCCATACAACAGACGACGAAGACTTTTATCAAGATGACGACTCTTCTCGCAAGATGATCATGCAGTTTTCTTCTAACGAAGAATATCAATCACAGCAAAAGCAGCAGTTGAGTTTGGCTGAGCATGTCCGCTTAGTACTTGCCGATGCATTTGACGTGGCGGATGAGCAGTTTGAAAGAGAGCGCTGCATCATTTCACCCACAACGCTCTAAAAATTGCATACATCTCCCAACCTTATTGTTTACTATATATTGTATGGCCCGTATACACCCACCTACACACACGCATATATATACATTATCCTTATATTGTCTCCCTTAGATTGTTAAATCTACTATACTACACCCATACATCCAAAAATTCACCATCATAGTAGTAGTAATACCATCATCCTCGTATAAAGCCAAGTAGTAGTGATATACCCATTCACTTTTATTGCCTGTTGGCTACACCTTTATACAAACAAAGAGTCATACATACTAATAATGTCGTTCCTTTTTCCGAAATGGAAGAAGGATAAAGCTTGTTGAATGAGACCAAGAGCTTCATTGTCAATGCCTGTTCGCTGTGAGGGGCTGTTGAATGAGACCATACAAGGTGGATTGTATTCAACTTTGGTGAAGATATCAGAAATGGTTTGCTGAGACTCGACCCGTACTTTGCACACCCATGTAGGAGCTATAACGTCAAAAGGGGAAGGAGACAGAATAAATAATGCTTTGTAAAGTGGGATCAGCATGTACATATTTTATTCTTGTTGCATAATGATGTTCCTATCAAGCTTTCTCTGATTTTGACGTCCACTTGAAGATGATGAACCTTGGTGAGTGTTTCAGATGCCACCACAGCAGCTTTTTCTGGACGCGGTACTTTTGTTTTAACAATAAGCGAACTTCATTTAAATGATCATGCTTCTCGTATCATCGAGCAATGTATAAATACCTCGTCTTCACGCGCCTTCAAATGTGCTTGTTTCATTTGGCCCAGCAGCAAACCTTCGATGTCTTCTATAACATAGCTCCATGAGTGCCAATACAACAAGATTAGGGATCCTTACTTCACTTACCGCATGAAAAAGTAGAACATGGCATTTTCTCGTTGTCTCACTTGGTGTATTCGTGTGTAAATGGTGATGTTTGATTCCACTCATTGGCCGGATGCTGTTGCTCGTATTCGCTCGGCCGCAGCGTTGTATTGTCGGCTCTCATGGATCACCTTGGTCAAAATGTATTGTTGTAGCGCCTGGCCAATTCTTGACGATGCGGCGTCTCGAATATTTTGCCTCCTCTACTCGCAACAGGTATGGGACATGTATCTCTGAAAGTAAGATTGGTGTTAGTTGCATGAATAGAGACATAACATACAACACTCACTGCGCAAATGGCCCGATAACATAGTACATGGTCTTCTTCTTATTCCCAGATGTCCATTTTGGGTAGCATCAACGCCCATAGAACCATTTTCCAGCATCGCCTTGACGAATTGCAATTTGGCGAAAATAATGCCCCAAGACTTCAAGTTGGTACAATGCCATGTTGTTCGGTCACACCTCAATGCACCCTTGCATATAACGATGAACCGAAAAATCTGATATACGGTCCACTCGATCCAAAGCCATTACATCTTCCTTAACGCCCATACATAGAATAACTTCGCCTGGAGGATTTCCTTCTCGATGGTGTGGAAGCACAACTTATTGCTGCCACTTTCTGTGTTGTTATCAAGGGCCTTCAGCGTACGATGTCCTCTTCGTGTGTGACCCATTCCAGATTCACGGGCGATTGTTTTGTTTATTGCCGTCAATAAGATGTAGCTGGATATCCAATTATCACTGAACGAAGGTATAGGTGACCAAGATGTGCTGGTTCATGATCTCAACAATTGATTTGGCTTTTGCTCATCTGGGAGCCGTTGTTCTCGCGCATTGGTGTCCCGGTTCCAAAACGCTGGCATCCTCCACCAAAGAGTTGGATATAAGCAATCACACTTTTCGCTTCAAAAGATCACGTAAACAAGGGAAACCACACGTGTACGCCATCATCTAGACTATCTCATGGTTATTACAATCCAATCATAATTCCAATTTGGCTTTTCAATGTATACCTGTGCAATGTGAAGGGCCATGTGGAAAGCGCGTGGATGATTGTATGTGTCTGATAATTCCATACACCATCGCTAAGCGGCACACCCATATGAATTCATGTTTTCATTTCCATCCAAGCTCGATTCACAAACGATGTAGCAATTTGGTGGTCCATGAATCCATTTGTCGCTCTCATCTTCGATGCAATCAACAATGTCGCCGTAATAGCATTCCATCGCCGGTATAAAACCCGAGGAAGGCTTCTCTTAGGTTGTTGACACAGCATTTGCAATTGCAAAACATTCGTCAGCCTCTGATGGACCAATGCATGGAATGTCGTGGGTCAAGGGAACGATTGCCTTGCTGCAGACATACAACAAAGACTGGATCAATGGCCAACAAAGATACAATGGAGATCCGCTTCTGTCCTTGTCACGTTGCCGAGATTGTGCTCCAATACCTTGATGTACGGCTATTGGATGTATTTGTACATAATCAGTTGTATCACCACGACGCTGTCTTTCGTTGTTGGGACGACGACGACAACGACAAGGCATTTCAGAACGACACACGAGAACTTGAACAGCATATCGACATGGTGAACACCTTGCACCCAATGGCCACCTTGTTGGCACCCAAAGCATGTATCATCTCCATTGTCGTACCATCCATCATACTACGCGATCAGATAAGCTCGTATGTCGATGTCAGCGTCAACATTTGGCGTCGTATCTGAACGCGGTTCCTGCGCACCATCATCAAATGGGATAAAGCTGATGGATAATCATTGCAATTGAACATGTTGTCAAAGGTTGTCTCTTCTGGTTATGCGTGGCCTGGTCGCAGCGAGATGGTTTGCTAGCCATCATGAACGTGAATCGAGCTTGTTGATTCTTGTAATGGCTTCATTGAAGATGTCAAGTCCGGATTTGGTGCTGCATTAATATTCACACTGCCAAGTGTCGATCTTTGCTCTTGTGGAGGGCTGTGTAGAGCATCTTAGATCATGCTGCAGTGGAGGTAGCCGTCACTTGTATGAGTTGCTTCGCTGATACTTTAGGCGGATAAAAATGTCATGTGTCGATAAACGCTGCGTCTCGCATGAGCTGGGGGCGTTGAAGACATGTGCAACAGGAAATGAAATTGCTGAAGCGGTGTCTGATTCTGCCACCAATGTTGGTTTGGAGATGATGGAAAGCTGACTCCTCATGATCTGAAAATGCGATTGAGTCATTAGCCCACTACTATGACATCGAGGCATGATATGATACATACCTCTTGGCTTTACTCGATACCGGCTATTGATCTCCAAACTGGAAAGCGGATCCAAAAGATCGATGTCATTGTCGTGTGATGAAGGCATCTTCTACAATGATAATGAGTATGTAAGTAAGATGAAAATGAAAATGACAATAGCGCAGACGCTGCTTCTGTAACCACTACCTTGATGATCCCATCTTCGTCCACAATATAGATGTTGTTAATGAAGCAGGTTCCCTCCACGTATATGATCCGTATAACGGCCGTATCGTCCCAAATCTTGCACTCATCATATGCCTTGCCGTTTGATCCTTGTAGTGCATTGAAGTTGACCCCCAGGTTCGCCATAGATGAGACTTGTATCTTGTATTCTACGCCGAATTGACACTGGTTGATATTTTCTTCCTTTGCTGTCACCCCATGCTTACCTTTGTCGATGGGTCGACTTGTGAGAGTCATCTGGAGATTCCACCCAAGAAGGCGTTGGCGACAAGCACATTACATAGTGCGCGCAGATCGACATAATAGATGCGTATATGAGCTCGTATGTTGCGATGATAAGACCACAAGGATCTTCACCAAATGAACGTTGAAGTTCTCCAATTGTATGAATTGCTGGTAGGATCGCTCACCATTCCTGCCGAGTCGTATAGCGGCCATGCGAAATGTCACTGACTGAACATCATCGATGGGAACAATGCGCTTAATTTGCCATCGCTGTCGAGTACTCTTCACCAATCTTTGTAAATGCATGGATCTACGTCAAAGGAAATGCAACATGAATAGCTTATTCACCAAACAATATGCATAGGCTTTACCTTGTAGCAACAAACTCGCCATGTGCCGAATTGGATCCACTTGGTGAAAAGTTGTCGGCTGCCGAAACCAATGGACTGGACAGATGCATTGATGTTCATGTTGTCAGGTGTCAACCTTGCTCCTTGCCCAGAGTCGAGTATCAATCATAGCACCTTAGATGACATTGGTCGGCTCCTCAAGGATTTCCTGTGAAGATGAGGTGTCTTGGACGGTTCACCATTACGAATAAAAACGCCATCTGCCGATAAACGGTGCGTCTCACAAGAGCTGCCATTGTGGTCAAGCCTGCATGTTCGCCATTCAGAAGAAAGAGTAGCGCCCAATTGAGCACCGAAAAGCAATCGTGGTGTTGAGCATGTGCGATTGTGTACTGAAACAAAGGAGAGCAAGACGAGGTTGATGAACGAATTCACGTGATCATTTTTCCTCCTTCCCAGCCTCCGATGATGGTCCATCGTTTGCTGGTCTCTTTGTGCTAGAGTGATTTGCTGCAAAGCATGTATTAGTGGATGATACTAAAAGAGAATCGATAAGGAATAACACATACCATAAAAGCTTGATAAGAGAACAACCAAGCCAATAAAGAAAGGATCACAATGATAACAATGACAATGAAAGTAAAAGAAGAAGCTCTATGAATGGCCACAGGGTCAGTCCTAATCCACCGAGCTATGTGCAAGACATGGCATACGTACCATGTGTTGGGGCTTGGAGTGTGTCATCAATCAAAGAGTAATATGGATGGAGGAAAGAGAAGAGATGGATGGTGTACGATAGCAGGCGACATCCTTGTTGTTTATATGTACATGGTGGGCGTGGGTATTTCTCTTATCACAATCAGAAAAGAGGACTGCAAAAGAAAATGATAGAGTGGTCGGGGGCGTCTCGCCTGGATTGATATTGGGAATAACAGGTTTTCTTTACTCGAATGAAACCGGCTGAGGGATTGATTTTATGTACACAAGGAGGACTAACATCATCCAAAAATGAAATCGAGCGCCATGGTCATACATCCCAACACAAACATTGACCCACAAGCAGACACATTCAGCATAACAAAAACGAAACAGGAGCGTAAACATTCGCAGCGTGACCCTGATGACTATGTTTATAAAACGAAGAGTCTATTGAGATGCATACTATACAAGAGATTTATCATAATGTCGCTTCTTCTTTTCCGAAATGTGAGGAGTGAGGAGAGAGTGTGTGTATATATATTCAAATGTCTAATGACGGTGTGGTGTTGTGTTGCTTTTGAATGACTGAATTAAGAAGAATAAACGTCGCCGGATGGGTTATCTTCAGGGAATGGTGGGGGAGAAGAAGTCTATAAACGACGACAATCAATCAGTACACGTTGCCTAATGGCACAATGATATCCCTTTTCTATCATACCTTCTTGGGTCGAACGTATTCATCATATACGGTCTTTTCCTTGAAAGGTCTTGCGCCGAGTAAATTCTCCATATCCTCACGAGTGATCACTTCCTTCTCCAACAAGAGCTTGGCAACCTTCTCAACATCTTCCTTATGCTTGGTGAGGAGATCAGTGGTGCGTGTGTAAGCATCTTGAATGAGACCACGTGCTTCATTGTCAATCAAAGTGCCGGTTTCTTCAGAGAAAGGCTTTTGGAATTGCTGTTCGCTTTGAGGATCGTTGAAGGAGACAGGGCCAACCTTGGGGTTCATACCATAGGTGGAGACTTGAGCATAGGCAATCTTGGTAACCTTTTGCAAATCATCATGGGCACCGGTGGTGATGGTATCGAAAAAGATCTGCTCGGAAACACGACCACCAAGTGTCATACACATACGATCGAGCAATTGCTTTTCGCTAAAGAGGTATTGATCCTTGGGCAGATATTGTGCATAACCAAGAGCAGCAACACCACGAGGGATAATGGAGACCTTGAGCAATGGATCGGCATGTTGAAGGTACCAACCACACACAGCATGGCCAGCCTCGTGATAAGCAACGGTCTTCTTCTCCTCAGGTGACAAGACACGTGATTTCTTCTCCAAACCAGCAATCACACGCTCAATAGCTTGTTCAAAGTCAACCTCGGTCACTTCATCCTTGTGATGACGGGCAGCAATCAAAGCGGCTTCATTACAAATGTTTCTATAAAAAAAAAGAAATGTGAGTGGTGGTAAATAGAAAGAAGATGTATAGAACATACCTTAAATCAGCACCTGAGAAACCAGGAGTAAGAGCAGCCAATTTGCGAGAAAGGCTTTCCATATCCTCACTGGTCTTGATAGGCTTCAAGTGGACCTTCAAAATAGCGGCACGACCACCGATATCGGGACGATCAATGGCAATATGACGATCGAAACGGCCTGGACGCATCAAAGCAGGATCGAGCACATCGGGACGATTGGTGCCTGCCAATACAACGACATGTTCGCTTTCATCAAAACCATCCATCTCGACAAGCAATTGGTTGAGAGTGCTTTCACGTTCATCATTGCCGCCCATGTGACCACCCTTGCCACGTGCTTTACCAATGGCATCAATTTCATCGACGAAGATAATGCAAGGAGCATTCTTTTTGGCGGTAGCAAACAAATCACGTACACGGGATGGACCCACACCAACAAACATTTCCACAAATTCAGAACCAGAGACGCTCAAGAAAGGAACACCTGCTTCACCTGCTGTTGCCTTGGCCAAGAGTGTTTTACCGGTACCTGGTGGACCTGAGAGGATAGCACCTTTGGGAATAGTGGCACCAAGACGTTCATAAGCACCGGGGTTCTTTAAGAACTTCACGAACTCCATGATCTCCTCCTTGGCTTCATCCGCACCAGCGACATCCTTAAACTTGATCTTGACATCCTTTTCTTGGTTGAACATTTTGGCCTTGCTCTTGCCGATACCAAAGATGCCTTGTCCACCACCACCAGGACCACGCTTGGTCATGTAATAAAGGACACCAATCAACAAGAGGGTGGGTGCAAAGTGTAACATGGTGTTGAGGATGCTGATTTCATCGCGATAGGTCACAGGGATACGTTCACTGGAAGGAATACCAAGCTCGTTTTGTGCGTCTTCCAATTTCTTTTCAAAGCTGTCAACCGAACCAATGCTGAAGTAGAATGTCTGAGCATTAGGGACACCAAGCGATGTTGCCTCGGGCCGTAAATGAACCCGCACCCGGTTACGATTAAGCACCACCAAACGATCCACCATGCCCTTGTCTAGCAACGAGGCACGAAAAGCTTGCCAGGTGATTTCTCGTGAATCCTCACTGGGTGCCGTCAACTTCCATAATACATAGGTACCCACAGCAGTACCAAGAACCACATTGCCATTGATTTGAATCTCTGGAGGGCGGTTGCCACCACCACTACCACCACTACGGTTGCTGCCCTTGGGAGGTTTAGGAACCTGGTCAGCCGATCGCTTTGCATGATCCGATGCTTCTTCAGCTGCCGATCGTTTGGCATTGTTGCTCTTGCCAAAGAACCCTTCGAATCCCTTGGGAACATTGAATGGCTTGTCGTTGTCTTCATGGTGTTCCTTCTTCTCAGGTTTCTCTTTCTCGGTCGAGTACTTGCGTGTGTTGTTGTTGTTGTTGACTCGGCGATTCGAAAGCATGGCTGAACGCTGCGATGATCGTGCTGTTGCAGGGACAGCATTTCTCAAACCGGCCACTTGTCGTCGAGTGCCGATTTGGGCAAGTCGTGAAAGCATAGTTTTGTTGTGAGAGAGAGGGAAGAATAGAATAAAGGAAAAAGGCACGGTCGAAATTACGGCCGGATGACGAATATCCGCAGCTGGCTGGCTGGTTTCAGTTGACGGGCCGCTGCTGTCATTCATTTCCACCCCCTGGCTTCTTTTCATTGTCTGTGTAATCTTGCAACAATAGCCTTATTTTCATCCCTTCGCTTCATATGACATGCTACTCGAGAAATAAATAATAGGTTACATTACCTTTATTGTTGTATTGTAAGAGACATCTTTTCTATACAAAGATACCCAATCACAGTGTATTGGATCATCTACAGCAATATTTTAACCTATGCAACTTTAACGTTAAAGTTACTACAAAAGGTGTTGCCCTGGAGAAAAAAGTTGTCAAAAGGTGGGTTGATTGGCATCAAAACTTGACCAGTGGATAACTATCGGACCACGATCAATTTGGTTTCATGGTATTAATAAGGGATCGATGGATGGCTACAATTGTAAAACATGCATACAACGGGGTTACAAATCCAAGATGATCCATTGGGTGCATCCACCACCTATACCAAATCCCCCCCATAGTCATGCAGGATGCGCTCGCACCCTTTCTTGGATTGTGATAAACAGGTCTATCTGATCATCGGTGATTCATCGTATCGATTGTTTGCTATGCTATTGTATTTGCATGCAATGTCAAACTCAAACCACATGTAATCTTGATCCCATAAGAAACAAACATTTGACACTTAAAGACCCGGGATGCTTTGAGCCTTTTACATGCATCCTCTTTCTCATTGATTAATCTTGTCATTGATGGCCTTTATGCTACCATTGATATGCTATAGTGGGTTGATCCTACTATTAGCGTCTTTAACCAATGCAAAACGGGTGGAGCACAATTGGGATGTCACCTATACAACCGGTAATCCAGATGGGCTGTTTGAACGCGTGGTGGTTGGTGTAAATGGACAATGGCCGTAAGTCTATACACACACAAGTTGTTCTTGCTGATACAAAAAGATGACATGGATGATTGCAGGTTACCCATTGTTGAAGCTGAGAAAGGTGATACGGTGGTGATCAATGTTCGCAATCAACTTGATGATTGGACTACCACTTTACATGCACATGGTCTATATCAAAACGGTACCAGTTATCAAGATGGAGGCCCTGGTGTGTCCGAATGGTAAGATGGAAAAGTAATACGCTCACCATTGTAACACTGACACGGCTTACTCTATTATAGTGGCGTACCACCAGGCGACTTACGCACCTACGAGTATAATTTGGGGGACCAAACAGGCACTTATTGGATCCACAGCCATGTCGACGTGAGTTTGCGTGCGTCAATGCTGTTATCAACCCTGTGTACTTAAGCTCTCCTCGTTTAGACTCAATACCTCGATGGCCTTCGCACCCCATTTATCATCCATGATCCCGAGGATCCTTACAAGGACCAATATGACGAGGAGCTGATCGTTACTGTGTCCGGTAATACATGATAACATGAAAAAAAAACAACCAACTTAGCATGTATGATATAGATTGGTACCATAACCAATCGCGAGTGAATGCCGAATGGTTCCTTAGCAAGCAAAATCTCGATGCTGCTGAACCAATGCCACGTAAGGATAAGAAGTGGTGCTTTATTATTGAATACGAACTTGCTGACAACATTGAACCATAGAATCGGGTGTTGTGAATGATCAGCCAGATGCCAAGTTTTATTTCGAGCCTGGAAAGACATACCGTTTGAGACTAATCAATATGGGAGGCTACACCACGTTCTACTTTAGCATCGATGGACATGAATTTGACATTATCGAGACCGATGGTGTAAGTAGTTACAACTCGTTTTTTTGTATGAATGTGGCTCACACACACACACACACACACACACATTGGCTATAGGCTTACACCGAACCCTATCGAACCAAAAACGCGTATCTCACGGTGGCCCAACGCATGTCAATCCTTGTCAAGGCCAAGGAAAAGACCGATTTGAATTACTTTATGCATTTCGATATGGACCAAGATCAATTTGATCTACCGCTTAATGGTCTCAATCCTAGTAAGTAAACGATGTCTGTTCATTAACATGTCACTCATAACAACAATCATCGGCAACAGATATCACGGCCAAGATCATTTACGATGACTCGCATGACAACTACGCACCTAGTGAAGACATTGGCATGAAAAGTCAATTTGATGATTTCAATTTACGCTCTCTGGAAGATCAAAACAGTGTTGATCCCGATCGAACGCTCAATATCACAATCGAAGAAGGCATTACTACCGATGGTCTTAATCGGGGTATGGTGAATCGTATTCCTTTTATCAAGCCTTTGACGCCCATGCTGTTTTCGGAGCTCACAATGGGAGGATTGGCAAATGATCATCGTATTTACGGTCCTCAAAGCAATGCCTACATTACCAAACACCTTGAATTTGTGGAGCTTGTTGTCAACAATTATGACGAAGATGCCCATCCATGTATGTACTATGCTGTTTGATCTACGCAAAAAAAGTGCTAACAACTTTTAAAAAGTCCATTTGCATGGCCACAAGTTCCAAGTGGTGGCTCGAGGCACACACAAAAAGCAAATGTATCATGAAGGTGATGGCACATCGGTGGGTAAGTGGAATCTGGAGAAGCCTGTATTGCGAGATACATTACGTGTCCATGGCCAATCATTTGCTGTGATCCGCTATCGAGCTGATAACCCGGGAGCATGGTTATTCCACTGCCACATCGATTGGCATTTCTATTCGGGTATGGGTGTTGTCATGATAGAAGCACCTGATCAAGCACAAGAAATCATGCAAGTGCCTCCTGAGCTAGCTGCTCAATGTAAAAAGCTTGGCTTACCATCATCAGGCAATGGTGCTGGTAAACAAGGATATGATTTATCGGGTGCACCTCATGGTATTTATTATCCTAGGGATGAACCTCTTTCAGGCGATTAAGAATAAAAGCTGTCAAGTGGACATGTGTTGGAGGCATGTGACGATTTTATTTAGAATTTCCTGCAAGAGAGGGAGGATATTGGGGGGCTGCGGGTGTGTGAGTGGAGTTCAAATGGTCTTTCTCTCTTCCTCTACTCTACTCTACCAATGATGGATATCGATCGTCCCCTCGATGACATAATTAAGAAGCGAAACAAAGGTGGTCGACAGCAGCAGCAACAACAAAGGAAATCGCAACAGAAAAACCAGCGAGGCAATAGCGCCAAAAAGCAATCCAACAAGAATCAGAACAAGAATGCGGGTGGCAATGGAAGACAACGACGCAATGACAAGCTCAAGAACGGCAACAATGTCAATCTCGGCGTAAGCAACAAGTCAAAAAAGTCGATTGGCAAGGCATCAGCATCACGTCCTAACACCAATATCTCATCTCGTCTGGTACATGCGCACACACACTCGTTCTCTTTTTTTTGACAAGGCACTGATAGAGTTTTGATACATAGGGCCAACAACCCAAGCAAGAAAAGACCAACAAGACCCCAATTGATCCAGCCAGCATTGTCATTACCAAGAAGGTTTCTCGCCGGAATAACAACATGAACAGCAACAGCAACAACAACAACAAACAACTACCATCCATGATTCGAGGTGTGGGTCATAACAATGCACAACAAAGTGTGATGCATCGTGGACTTTCGATCCGTGGCGCTTCGTATGGTGCATCCTCTTCTTTTGGTTCCCCGATGGGATCATCCATGGGTGGTGGTAATATTCATGGCATCAACATTCGAGGAGAATCAGGCCCTGCTACGGTGGTCATTAGCAATTTGGATCCTTCTGCCAATGCAGAGGACATCAGGGTAAGAGAGGATCGAAAGAGAAGGAGGTCTGATACTCATACACATGTTAGATGATCTGTGCCCAATTTGGACAAGTGGCCCATTGTGAAGTATTGGTGGATAGGACAGGACGATCCTTCGGTGAAGCAGAGATCGAATTTACTCAAAAGAGTGCTGCATTGGAGTGTATCAACAAGTTGGATAATGAAGTGGCTGATGGTAAGGTGTTAACAAAGGGAGATGGCGATTTATTGATGTATACAATATAGGCCGTATTTTACGAGTTACATTACGCCATCGACCTACTATGGTATCCTCGAATTACATGAACCAATCTGTTCGATCCGTGATTGCCCCCACGCGTTCAGGATTTACTTCAGCACATTAGCTATAAATACCATCCCATCATCATCCATTGTCGTAGTTGTGAAGCATCATAATAAAAAAAGGAGAAAGCATACATACATTTGGGACGAACAAAGAAAGTGGTGATGGGCTACAGCAGCAGCAGCAGCAGCAGCAGGAGCTGAGATTTCAAGCTCAGGAGGTGGTGGTTGGTGTTCAAGTGGCACTGCAAGACACACCATTGGAACCCCCTCTCTTTCGAAATGGCACCCCAGCAAAAGTCAGGCATCGCCGTTGGTATCAACAAGGGCCACATCACCACCCGTCGTGAGCTCAAGCAGAAGCCTTCTCAACGTCGCGTATGTAGATGGATGGATGGGTGGATGGATGGATAGATGATATCATTGGATGCAATATCAGTCAACTCATTTCGACCAACCCTCCCATTCACATTCACTAGGCTATTGGCAAGCGCACTGCTTTCGTTCGCAGCATCGTCCGTGAAGTTGCCGGTTTCGCTCCCTACGAACGCCGTGTTATGGAATTGATCAAGAACTCCCGTGACAAGCGTGCCAAGAAGCTCACCAAGAGAAGAGTACGTTGTTTCTTCTTTATTGACTACATAGATACGTACGTATATATATTGACATGGCTTTTTTCCTATAGCTTGGTACCTTTGTTCGCGCCAAGAAGAAAATTGACGAGCTCCAGGGTGTCATCGCCGAGTCCCGTCGTCAGCACTAAGCTCTTTACGTTTTTTCGCTGTCATTAAACATTACCCCCCTTCAGGGACAACAATATGGATGAATGATGTATCGTGAAAGAGATGAATTGGGAATAGGACGTGTTGTGTAAAATGGGTGGTATATAACAACTTAAGACATGCATTGGTTGGTTGCTAGGCAAAAATGCTGGTTGCCAGGCAAAAGATACACATGCCAGAGCCTTGCCAACGTTTAAGCAACAATGATCAAAAGAAATGGATCCTTAATGTACTCTTTGTTACAAACGATAAGAATAGATATCCTCATTGTTTATGGGAAAAAATCATGATACAATCAATTATGCTAGTCATTTACACGGAATCTACAAAAAGAGAGCACCGTTTGCATTAATATCCATCCATAAGGCAATGCTCTCCTATCCTTTTCTTTTCTTACCAGTGACGAGCTTGTTAAGCTTAGCAACCTTGCCAGAGACAGTCAAATCAATGCTCTTGTCACCAATCTCAACGAGGATACCACCGAGGATATCAGGCTTGACCTTGTTGGAGATCAAAAGCTTCTTGCCTTCAGCGAGCTTGCTCTTTTGAAGAGAGTCGGCAATCTTGTTCAAAGTAGACTTATCCAATTCCTATATATATACCTTGATAAGTCTTCATCCTTGATTCCATCATCATCATGATTTTTGTTACCTTGGCGGAGGTGACAACCAAAGGAAGTTCGTTGCGGTGAGCACTCATCAACTCAGCGTAAGCGTTGAGGACCTTGGCGGTTTGGTCAAGACGGCTGTTTTCGTTCAATACTTCAAAGAGGTTCTTGGTCAAAGCGTTCACATTGCCAGCCTTGGAAAGAAGAGCCTTGATACCATCAGCCTTAGCTTGAGCGGTGACAGTGGGGTTTTCAAGGAAGGCTTGAACAGTCTTGTCCTTGTTGATGAGGTTCTGGAGCTGAGAGAGATCGCGTTCAACGGCATCAAGCGAGTTTTGACGAACAGCAGCGGTATAAAGAGCGGTAGCGTAACGACCATCAAGACCGAAAAGAGTAATGGGAGGCTACGGCATGGGTGAAGTCAATGCGGGTTGTTCATGGGGTCGCATGTCGCTCTCTCTCTCTCTCTATCAATATCGGTATCGTTCTTTCTTACCTTGGGAGCAGCGGCAGCAGCATAGCCACGAGCCAACTAGAAGCACAGTATCATATCATATACGTAAATAGGGTAGTATTGATAATAAAAACACAAGGTTGTATGTACCTTGGGAGCAAGAGTGGTCAGTCGAGTGAAGCGGGAGGCCATTCTATTCTCTGTGTGTAAATGATCAAGAGGACAATCCCCCAAGGCCTGCCAGCCTGAAAATTTATTATGACAGGGGTGACGTGGTACCGCCCTAGTGTGTGTGCGCTGTTTGAGCATCTCCACTTCCTCCTCCTTCTCAATTCATGCATCCTCACACTAAACTTTTATTTTCTCACAACGGACTATTACAACTAGAAAATTCATTCACGCTAACATACATGGATCCCATGCACGATGGCATCCTCTTCCACATTCACACCTTGGCACATACGTGGTAGTGCATTCACATAATCGAGTACATTCACAACCCATACCCGAACCATGGCCTAATAAACAAGCATGAGTTCCATGTTGATTCCCAATAGAAAAGGTTTTGCTTACAATCACAATACACAGAGTGCTTGTACTTGACGCTTTGAGTCATTTCCTTGTTCGTTGTTGGAGAAACGGGGGAGGAGGTGTTTAGCATGCTTCGATCATCCGATGGCTTCTTGTCAATTATCTTGATTGTCAGAGTAGTCATTGTTGTTGTTGTTGACACGATAAAGTTGAAAGAAAAAGAAATTAAGAAAAACGCTTGGTGGCGTGTAGAATACATATAAGCATGGTCAGCACACATTGTGAGTCGTTCATCATCATCTGACAATGATAACAAGAAGCAGCTGATGACCCGAAACATAAAGATAACGTCCGTGTGAGAAGAACAATTTATGCCTACATGCATGCCATGTATGACCTAGCACAGTTTTTGACGTCGTACACATGCCCACAGTTACTGTGGTTGGTAACAACAACAATGATCCTATTGGTAACAGCTTTAGCATTGTCAGGGCGTGCCATCCCGCCACCACCCATTAGATCACATTACACCAAAAGGATACGTCAAAAACTTTGGCAGCGTATACAACATCTACAAGGAAGCATGATACATTTGCAGCATCACCAATGCTCACAACATAGTCTACTTTGCTCGCCGGCCATTTATTTGAAGCATACAGAGACCAGCACTTTTTGGTAATGAACACTAATAGCAATATCCTTTATGCGAGAGTAGGTAGTCTCGATAAAACCCGCCAGGTTGAGAGTTGAGTGATCAACCAGGTGGATGATGAAGAGGACTTCACATGGATGAAGGCTTGGATTAGAAGGTTCCTATTCTATATGCTGTGCCAGTTTCTCTGAACAAGTCGACGAGCTCAGTTTCCTGATCTTGATTTTGGTTTTCACGCCGAGCACAGTTTCTTGCTCATAGTGTCGCTTGTCACGCCAAGCTCGGTCAATAATGCCGCTGATCGCTTTCATATGGTTGTATCTGTCACGGTTCAAGAAAACACGGCCTTAAAGAAAACCTCGCTTGATGATCAATTGCGATCCTGGTGGGCCTGTATACGGACGCTACAGCGCAAACTTCACCAAAATCCATGCCTACGACACCTCGAAAATCCATGTCTTCTCCCTTCATCAGCAGCTGAGATCAAGGGGATCATTGTTTCTCGTATTGTTCTTCGTAGCTCAGCCATGAGGATGAGTTTGGCCTGGACGCTTTTTCCTCTTGACTAGTCCACGCACACTGTAAATCCTTATTCCGTCCGTAAGGAAGACTCGTTTTGGATTCAAGCGTTTAGTCGTGGTCCTTGAGGTTGTGGCACATATGGTGATAGCTGGCCCAAATTGGATGCAGCCTTGTAATACGCCCCTTTGCCTTGATCGAATCTCCACAGCATCTTGTGTGATTGTGTCCTGAAACGAGAGAACAAAGAAAGTGGGAAATGGGTAGCCCCCTAAGATATAACCATACACGAGCTGAGTCTGGATGAATGAAGGCACCCATCGATAGCCTGCTACTATAAGCTGTCATGATCCCCTACACAACCACAGCAGCAAGCAGTGTCGTGATGTTGTCGGGATGTTGTTGTAGATGTTAGGGAGTATAGCAACGCACCAAAAGTCTCTCTTTCTAAAGCTGCTTGAATATGGCAAATAGGGTACAAGTACTGGGAAAGACAACGATAGAAGAAAGAAATAGACTTTCTTTACTTTGACAAAGCAGCTCTTTATATAACCAAGGATTATCGGACTTGATGGTGTCATTTTTGGTGGGTCATGTGCAGCAGGGTCCATGATTCCCGACACGCTCAATATGGTGACCTTGTTGTTGACAACCATCCTCAAGTAGATGGTGTCATATTCTCTTTAATGGCCCTCTCTCGTCCAAGACAAAGAAATTCTATCAAGGCATTCAAAGGGCTTTGAATCATCCATATCGCATGTACATAGGATTACTTGACATCATGGCCAGCAACAACACAAAGAAAAGGTCGTGGATTGTTTTTTGTCTTGCATTATATACATAATTCCACTAAAATGATGCTGATAACAAGTGATGGCATATCAATGCTTTATTCAGTGGACTGCTACTACAAAGGAGGGTATCTAGGAAATGCTAGCTATGCAATTCGCATATGAGTTTAAGACAGCGGGACCAAATTTGTCCTTGTGCTTTTTCCCTTTCCGTTTTCTCCTCTCACGCACAATGAAGTTCGTCTCGCGTTCCATCGTCGATCAGGATAAGGAGTTAGAAATCAACGACCAGCAGAATGAACAGGGTACTACTACCACGAGAGCTTTCTTAATGGGATACCAAAGCATGGAGACTAATGGGTTACCTGGGCTGTTTCAGATGCATCCAAACCACAACAAGAATACGATCCACGCACGCTATTTGAACGATTGCAAGAGCAACGAACGATCAAAGAAGAACAGTTCCAGGAAGCTACACGATTGAGCAACTTGATCAAGCGGGTGGACGATGAAGAAGCCGAGTACTTTGAGTCACTTTTGGATGTTCAAGAGAAGCTTGCTCTGGAACAGCGACAAAAAGAGCAGGATGAGATTGCCGCCTATCGCAAGTGTGTGTCATGATATTCAGGATATGATGGAGAGAACTTAACATCCTACTAGGGCTGTGGAACAAACACGCACGACAGCAGCACCCGAGTTACCGGTTGCCGTGACAACAACATCAACGACAACAACATCAGCCGCTGCTAAGAAACCACCACCCCATCGACGCTCCTCCGCTGGTAGTTCCAAAAAGGCAGCATTGGATGGATTGGTGATTGTCAAAAAGAAACGAAGTGCAGAGGAAAGCGAGGATGTAGAGGAAGATACGCATACGACCAAAAAGGCAAAAACAACGGGTAAGAGCACAACCGAGAAACGAGATGACAACAACAGCAACAACACTACAGCAGCTAGTACGAGCAAGCCAACGTCTTCAGTCAATACCCTATCTTCCCTTATGGCGGCATATAGTAGTGATAGTAGTGATGATGAGGAATAAAGAAACAATGAAACCAAGCAAACTTGCATACAATCAATGGTATCATATTCCCCCTCACTACTCGACCCATCTCTTAAGAGAATCTAAGGCAATACATAAAGGATGACACATTATAAGATGGCATCCCATGCTACGTAGAAAAGCTATATCACATGACCTGCGTAAATCATGCACACTATTACAGCTGCAGATTGATTCCACCGATGCTGTAGTATGTACACCATACTGATCCCATCTGATGCTATCTCCCATATGCTTTTCAACATTATCACTACTCATTCTGCTTTTTGTCATAAGTTTTATGGTCGTGGATGCTCCCTCACTTGTGCGCTCATACTTCAGCCCAAACGTAAAAAGTAACTTGGCAAATACAGTGGCAATCAAGTTTACGGTATGATGAACTTTAATTATTCTATTGCTGTGATACTTTAGTCAAAAGGTGTCAACAGGTCCATCACCTCGTCGGTAACGGGAGGCACGGCAATGACTCTGGTGACCACACCGGCAACGTGAAGAGCTTGGAATAGATTCAAGTGGCGCGTTTCGATTTCGCAAATATAACCTCTCTCTTCTTTTGCCACGTCATCCGACCACAACGGTGTTATAAGCTTGCCTCCTTGACGTCTAACTTTTGCTACGTCGTTGATAATAATGCCCTCTGGAATATCTTGACGGTAAACCACCTTGACTTTGAAAGTGTCTATTGTTTGTTGTTAATTAGCAAAACTGCCAACATCTGCAATAGCAGTGCTACATATACCTGACATAATGAAGCAGTGAAAAATGGATAAATGAAATGAGAACTATGGGGAAAAGGCAGTATCAATCATTGCCTTTTTATATTTCATGCAAGCCGTGTGTGTGCGTGTGCGTGTGTCATACATATGCAAGGCGGAGTGGGCTGGGAAAAAGGACGTTGTCAATAAGCCTAACTGGGAACAAGGCCGAGGCCAATCTCTGAGTGGATTCATAAAGATGATGTACGCAATGGCAAGGTTGATGCACATTATGTGATACAGCATACCTCCTCCTGGGGGCATCTCCGCTTTATGCCAATCCTTCATGTAATCATCTTCCCAAAGTCATCCATGCAGAATAGCTAGTGTCATGTGGCAATATTTTCATGCGGAAGAGGAGGTGTCAGCTACTACAAGAAATTCATCGTATCGCCTATGAATAGTACTACATGAGCGATAGTGGGACTATAAACACGATAATGCTCTTTAATTAAACTATCGTAGTGATAAAAGTGCAATGAACGGGAAATCTTTAACTCGTTGAAAAACGCGATAAAAGCGGAGGAATGGAGATACGTAATAACTACACTTTGAGGCATTCGTTCACTTGTCATGATAACGTTAGAGACAGCGGACGGCGTTGAGACCATTCAAGTTCACAAAAAAGGAAGTCAAATGTTATTATCGAGATAAATAAAAATGAGCCTTGTTTACGATCATGCACGATAGGGGTACACAAGCACCCGTGGTGCGAAATTAAGTCGTACCAGGACATGCGTCGTGCTTAAGCGCCAATGAGATCCATTATAGATACATCATGTATGCGGTGATGTATGGCTGCACAACAACAACCTCTTGGTAGCTTAGAAGCCGGATGGGCGAATCAAGTTGAATCCGAGTATGCAGCAACTTACAATACGATATCAAACAAAGCAATGTCTGTAGGATGCAATGCTATAGATTTAAGCACTGCTTGATGAGTAGAACAGTCATTTTAGAAAACCGCTGGATCACATGACCTACATAACCCATGCACACTCATATAGCCCACCGATGCATACTACACGCCATTACGTGCACCCTACTAACTCCAAATCATGCTATGTATCTCCCATATGCTTGTCAACATTATTACTACTCACCCTGCTTTTTATTGTGAGATTGGTAGTCGTGAATGCTTCCCTTATGTATGCCCCTCAAACTACATCCAAACTTAAAAAGTAACGTGGCAAATACGGTGGAAATCAAGTTTACGATATGATGAACTTTTTATTGATCTTGTCCAGTTGCTGCTATAGATTCAGGAAAGCTATGTTCCAACATGTACTTGCGTCGGGATCGGAAAACGGTGTCGTTGCGGTGACGCTATGGACATATAAGCCATTCACGAACTCCTTGTATATGCATGTACATCAGAGGGTTTCTTGATGATGCCATACAGCATGCGATAGAAAAGCCTTGGGACAATCATTGAGGAATTGCCATTGTTCCTTGTCTTGGTGGCACCTTCGTGATTACAATAGGTAAATACGGTATACGGCTGGCATGTGTGTGACGAAGTAAGGAAAATTGATGCACGACGTAAGATGTTGACGGGTGATCTCAATTGTCTAGCTTGGTTGGCTAGATGGAACGGCTCCAATGATCGTGTTGACTCCGTTGATTCGATATTTTGTGCTTTCACCCAGCTATCATGATCGAGGTAGATTCTGGTGTGTTGAGGGCATACGTCGAAAAATATTGATCCTGGTCCCACTTTTGGTGCCTCGTATGTATCCAACCGAATTGCCGAAACAATCGACATGTTGCATGACTGAGTGCCGATCATGAGTTTGTATCCATCCCGTGTACTGCGCATGACAGGCCATATGTTCGATTAGATTGGTGTGGTGGTGAGGCCATGGATGCTCCCAATAGATAGCCTTGAGGCAAGCACAGATAAGACCCATCAGAATAGCCATCCTTTTGATAATGTCGCTTCGCTATCTTTGCGAAAGATCCTTGCGATTTTGTGTTGACGCCACGTTGCCAGTTCGCTGCGCTGCCGGCGCAAAAGATACTTGTGATATACATTGATGCTGCATAATCGGTGAGTATATAAACGAAGAGGAATGTATAAATAATAGTTACACCTACCACAAAGGGTTCATCAAGGAACACAGCCAAATGTCATGAGGCAGCAATGAACATACCAAGTAGTAAAGCAATGGAGTGAGCTACATAGATAAATGCATGAGTACCCTCATTTCTGGAATCACATAAAAAGACTATCCTTGAGACTTACCAAAGGCCATTGATGATGAAATGAATACAAGCAGAAGGGCGTATGATAGTTTTGGTGACAACAGACCTCTTTATATGTGAGTGGGCGTGAGAATTGTTGTCATGATGGATCGAACTGATAAAGTGGTCAAGCATCTTGGAGTACTTGAGTCAAAGTGATAAATCCACCTGCGGCATAAAAGGTGATTCTTTGTAGGTGACATAAGTATGCCAGTATCCACGTGATATGATCCCTCCTCCCTCCTGCTGACGACGTACCAAGTAATCAAAGCAACATTCCAAGGTATCTCATCACTGTACTTGATTTCATCCACCCATTCATTCATGGCCATAGTAAATCCAATAGGTTGGTTCAAAAGAGTCACATGATCGCTGCTGACATGCTTCCTTTTCCATCTGGATGTTGGTCAACCACCAGGTAAAGATTGCTTGCATTGCGGGGTACTTGATGGCTGATATCACATCATCCAAACGAGGCATCACGTTCTAAATGTGCCAAGGGATCCAAGCCGGTCAATACATCCAATCCCTTCCATCCCATGTACCAAACTCATATCCATACCCATATCCATAAGAAGTCGAATGCATTGAAGCACGTTGCTACGCGTAAATAAAGTTGCTTCTATACAATGGCTCTCTGTTGTCCACGCAAAAAGGCTGTAAAGCAGTCGCTGCCAGTAACTTGAGGCAATGGAGTAAAGACTTTGCTAATAACAACTGCTGTAATGAGCGCTGTTACGATTGGTTGTGGCAGAGAAGCGAGCAAGAGCGTGTGTTGTGGCAAGAGACGCGTGTGTTGTAGAAGAATGACTCCATGAACTCGCCATTCAGTCAACGAGAGTCGGATCAAGGCAATCGTAGGAATGACATGGTGGGTTGAAGCAGGACAATCGTTCGCAAGTGGTAGTTGTACTTGAATGGGGCAACAGTTGAGAATGGGAGGACGAAAAGATGAGGAGGAAGTGAAAGAAGTGGAAATTAAAATGACTTGAACAGATGTTGAATCATATTTCTTTGTTTGAGCGTTGTTCAGTCAAATCCTCTCGGATCATGAAAGTTGAAGGATGGGAATGATGGGCTGTAGCAAGACAATCGTTCACATGCATTGGGTTGAGTAAAAAGGGTGAAGGGGAGAAGGGCTATTGGCTGGCTGGTATCAAATAGTATAGAAGTATCATGCATTGATCGACACGTTCCGAAATTTTGGTTCAGTTACACACTCAAATCCCTCTGCACCTTTTGTTCTATCAAGGTCTAGCTGATTGACAATGGAAAAAGACTACTCCTCATATTGCATCACGCTTAATGGCATACCTGGTACATGATGAATCATTACTCGATAGTTTTATAGACAACCATAATACCTTTATGAGAACAAAAATGATAACTGCATCTGAAAGTACCTGCTGGGAACTTTTTAGGCCTCGTACCTCAATTCTAGAGCTTCTCCTTTATAGAGTGTAATAGCTATGCAGCTTTGACGCGCTCGTTTGCATCCCAACAGCCCTCTTTTATTATAATAAAGTTCATTTTTGAGACGTACGCACCATTCTACACGTAAAAAGACTCAACGACACACTATGTATCAAGGGGAAATAAAGAAGAGTGGCAACCTGAACTATGGTTGCTATGATTCTTTGACGTGCCCGTTTGCTTCCAAATCGCACTGTTTATTTAAATAAACTATTGTATCGAGATCTACAGACGATTCTACACGTAAATCGACTTGGTAAACCGCCATTTGCAAAGCGAGATCGAGTGGGCGTGAAATGTGGGCGGGGTGTTTTAAGTTGACCTTGTCGCCATGGCAATAGGTTTCCTCCTCTTTCTGCAATGCCACATCAAGTTCATCAAGAACCGGCTCGCTTCTTTCCTCTTGTGCTCGTGCTCGCCGCATTGAAATGGAACGTCTTTGAACAAGTACATTTCATGTGGGTGATGCCAATTGCCTTCTTTCTCGGTGTCGTTATTCCTTTGGTTCGGTGGGGACTTTCGCGTCCCAACAATCGGTTGACTCACGTCCCGATTGCTAGCAATGCTGACTGCTCGGCCGGCGTGCCGTTGCGGGCGGCTCGAGAGGTAAGTGAGGAATCGACACAGGTGCCTACTAGCCCTGTTGTCATGGCTAATCGTCAACCCTGGGTAGCTCCAGTGGTTCCATGCAAGGCGCAAGCCTGCGAGTATCCTGGTATGTTGTTTTCTACACGACCAGTAGCACAAATGCCCCGTCATCATGGCAACATGTCGGCCTTGGAGGGTGATGCTGTTATCAACACATCATCAGCTGTGGATCTTTTCAAACCATCCAAGCAAGTTTCAAGCACACGGTCCCCACCAAAGTTGCTACAGGGAATGGCTATGCATAAAGCCATGCAGCATGTGTACGGCTTACCGGCACAGAAGTCTACTACTACTCCGGCAAGAACATCATTGGCATCATCATCATCACCACCTGCATCTGTATCATTGGCATCATCATCATCATCATCATCATCATCTGCATTGGCATCTACATCATCCGCATCATCATCATCTGCATCGGCATCATCATCATCCTTAGACGAGCTTTGTAAGTATGCTTTATGATGAAAGGATCGTGATTTCAACAGTACATGGACGCTAACTGATTTATTCTTTATAGGTGAAGCTCTTAGCAAGCTCGATATTTATGAGCCAGACACGGATGTACCAGATGCCCCTCCTGGTACTCCTGAACATTTACGAGAGATCGTAGAGAATGGTAAGTGGATTACATCTTGGACTTGATACCAAATGACATGATTTCTTATTAATCCAAAATTCTCTTTCTTTTATAGAGGACGCAGGTGCCTCAGAGCAAGCACAAGTCGTTGAAGACATGCAAGACACAGTTATGGCATCACCATCACCATCGCCACCATCATTGCCATTGCCATTGCCACCACCACCACAAGAACCGCCAATTTTGTATACCCAAGTGATGCCACAGCCAACCATCACCATCCATCCGGAGGCCACACCGGAAGTAGTAGTAGCAGCAGTAGTCGCAGCAGCATCATCATCAGCATCAGCGACATCAGCAATACCTGTTGCATCCAGCACAGGTAGCAGCAATAACCGATCACGGTTAGAGATCCGAAGGTCGGTTATACGGCCTCGAAGTCGCTACGGTAAATGACAAAGTGGGAAGCCACCACCACCACTTCGCCTTCAGATGGCAGAGAACAAGTGGGATCCCACCACCCCCACTTTCAAGACCGCCACCATCACCACCAAGGCCGCCACCCTTAATATCACCATCACCGCCACCTCCATCACCATCACCGCCACCTCCATCACCACCAAGGCTACCTCCATCACCACCAAGGCCACCTCCATCACCACCAAGGCCACCTCCATTAATACCGCCACCACAACCACCAACACCACCCGCATCCACATCCTCGGCCATGAAACAAGAGGATGGAGTAAGGCCGATTGCTTGTCCCACAAGACGCCTGCAACGGCCAAGGACAACAACAACATCATCATCATCATTTATACCACCACCATTACCATTGCCAATACCATCATCATCATTACCATCATCACCCACATTGCCTTCTCCGGAAGCAGAGCTTGCACCACCATCATCATGTAAGTATGCTTACTCATTGGGATGAATGCCTTTGTATGATACTAACTTTTATTAATGCTTTAGTATTGGAAGATGACGATACCCTTGCAGAGATCTGGGGTACCGATTTTCTCGGTACCTCAGATGAAGTAGTCTTCGATGAAGACGCATAGTAAGTTACATGCAATAGGTGTCATGGCTTTAATCACTCACTCACATGCATATTGTATATAGGTGTCCAAAGAGTTTCTCAGCAAGAATTGCGAGATAGATTGGTGGATGGAAAACCCCAGCCCGGATTCAGGCGTGCATTTCAGCTATGCCAGTTGCTTGCACATACGGAAGGATCGGCATGAAGGTATCCCGACGGGAGTTTCTTACACGTCAACGTCTATCACTTTAGGGGCGTTGCCATGGCGACCACGTACGGTTCCAGGAATCCCTTGTTCCCATTCTACGATTAAGTCACAAAGCATTTGCGGTGTCTTCCTTCTCCTCGTGGATCAAGAGCCAAAGGGCGATTCACTCATCATCATCATCATGTTACCCACTGGGGTATGGGATTGGACTTTAAAAGGCAAGTTGATATCAGTGACACTGCTTGGATACCACTTTTACTAATCATCTTTTGTCTTTTATTGTGGGGGTGGGTCATGGTGTATGCCGTGATACATCCCTACATAGTTTGACCGCCCTTTCATTTTTTGGATGATGGTGTTTGGGCACAAGCGGTAATCATCTTTGAAGTGGGTACTTGGAAAAAACAAAAAACATCAAGACATCGACTTGCACGGGCATCGTAGTTTGGGACTTGGGACCTGGAATGGTACGTGGTCGTCATGGTAGCGCTCTGGAAGTGGTAGGCGTTGCGTGTAGGATTCTCTCGAAGGGTGTAAATCCTGCATGTTTGATTCCTTCATTTTATAGATGCACTGGTGTACTGGGATGTCACGTTCTGTTTCTGGTGCTGTGGGTTCTTCCTGAAACCAGAGTGAGGGCTCTTGCTCTCTTTGGGGAGTAGAGTTCTCTTTTCTTTTTATCGGTGGTGCAGCCGATGTGGATGACAAGGACTATCATTGTGGGACAAGCCTTTCTATTGCCATGAGACCACTCTTCATTACATTGGTGGCGGATGACAAGACTATCAATTTGGCACGGGTCTCTTCATTATATGGTGGTGGAGCCGATGCGGATGACAAGACTATCATTTGGCCCAAGTCCTCTCTTCATTTTATTGGTGAAGTCGATGCGGGTGACAAGACTATCATTTGACACAAGTGCTCTCTTCATTACATTGGTGGCGGGTGACAAGATTATCAATTTGGCCCAAGTCCTCTTCATTTATTGGTGGTGGAACCAATGCGGATGACAAGACTATCATTTGGCACAAGTCCTCTCTTCATTTTATTGGTGGTGGAGCCGATGCGGATGACAAGATTATCAATTTGGAACAAGTCCTTTCTTCACTATATTGGTGGTGAAGCCGATGCGGATGACAAGCCTCTCTATTGCCATGAGACCTCCCTTCATTATATCGGTGGTGGAACCGATGCGGGTGACAAGATTATCAATTTGGCCCAAGTCCTCTCTTCATTTTATTGGTGGTGGAACCAATGCGGATGACAAGACTATCATTTGGTACAAGTCCTCTCTTCATTTTATTGGTGGTGGAACCAATGCGGATGACAAGACTATCATTTGGTACAAGTCCTCTCTTCATTTTATTGGTGGTGAAGCCGATGCGGATGACAAGACTATCAACTTGGCACGGGTCCTCCTTTTGAACCTATTCATGAATCAATCCACTCTTGGGTGCAATTCGCAGGAGCGCAATTTGGCGGCAATTGGTCTTACCAAGGAATATCATACAAAGCAATCACACGAATGCAATGAGAGGCACGACTTTGGAAGAGGCATTATCATTGGAGGAGCTCTATGCTGGAAACAATCATCACAAGCATCGAGCAATTATTACAGCTATCAGGCTACACCTGACATCGGTCACCATCACCATGCCAAGAACGCAATCCTATCATACAACAAAATCAAAAGCAAATGGTATGTGAGTGATCAAGTAGTATCTTCTATACATGAAACTAACCAGCCTTTGTTCCATAGCAGTATCACCAAAAAGCACATCAGCAAAAAAAGGCAGCAGCCATATCATACCTACAACAACGGTCCTCGGTCTTCCTGCGACAAAGCAAGTTCAATCATGCAGAGAAAGGCTCTCTCAATGGAGCAGACCACAATATCATTGTCATGTAATTATTGTATCGTTGCAAGCATCGTTGAAAGAAGGTTTACTTATGAAGGTTATCTATAGGCACACTGACTAGTTTGGTGAAAGCATGCGTAAGACCTCAAGTAAAAGGGCGAAAAGAGTCTGGCGAAGGAGTTGGGCTTCATGTAAGACCCTGAGGGCGAAAAGAGTCTGGCGAAGGAGCTGGACTTCATGTAAGACCCTGAGGCGAAAAACAAGTCTGGCGAGGGAGTTGGACTTCAATCAATGATACAGCAATTACAGAGAGCTTGATCACGTACGTATATCAATGCATTGCATTTAAGCGATATCTAACTTTGGTGATTTATTAGAAAACACGTCTCAATATCAAACACAAACAGAAAAGCAAAAGCAAAAGCAAAACAAGAAGAGCTTTGAGCGGGAAGACGAGGTGCCACATTGAATAACATAGGTACTATGCAATAGAAATCAACTCTATCATTAGCTGAACGTGCAATAAACATAATCAACAAAGGACAAGTTGTAGTGGGTAATGTTAATAGGGTATCTCGTTTGAAACGCATAAGGATCATGCATTGGCAAGGACTCGCTTCTCTCTTACTTTTGGTACCAATGAGCAAACGACGTCGTGACCCAAGTCCTTAGCTAAGATCGGCTAGTCGCTTCATGCTGTAGCAATAGGCTGCAATGGCTGCGTACGACGACTTGTTGAAGCGAATAAAGACTATTGACAAGCAGCAACGAACCAATCACCATGGCAACGATGACATGACGCAATTAGGATATACTCAACTGGCACTTTCTCCATACCAACCAAGCAAGCTCTATTGTCATGTGGATCATGTTGTTGCCAGGGAGGTGTTCATCATGCAACGGCTGCATCAAGTTGGCAGGCGTGTATTTCACGTGATCCCATACGGCAGTGTCGGACAGCTCAACCTACTTAATCTCCACTCCTTGTCTCTTCCTCCCATTCGCAACTGTTGCCCCATTCAAGTACAACTACCACGTGCGAACCATTGCCCTGCTTCAACCCATCATGTCAATCCTACAACTCTCTTGATCCGATTATCTTTGACTGAATGGCAAGTCCATGGCGTGTACACAGCCTTCTTGTCACTCTTCTACAACACACGAATCTCTTGACACAACACACGCTCTTGCAGTTTCCTCTACACGACCAAACGTAACAGCGGGTGCTATTAGCAAGGTCTTTATTCCATTGTCTCAAGCTACTTGCAGCAACTTGATTTGGTACATACGATTCCAATGGATGGGATGTCATATCAGCTATCAAGTACACTGTAATACAAGCAATCATCAACCGGTTGAGCTGCAATGGAAAATTGCCAAGAAAGAGATAGACCAACAGCAGGATGGAAAAGGAAGCCATTAAATGACTCGTTTCAACCAACATTTTGGTTTGCAATGGTTATGGATGGATGGATGCAATCAATCGCAGCGATAGGGGGATCCTGATGTCGTTTTGGTACTTGGCACGTGGTCAGCAGGAAGGATGGGTCATGTTACATGGGTGCGGCTGTGGATAATGATGGATTGGATGACATGGATGAGAGGGCTTACATCTTTGACGAAAGGCGGTTTGCCTCCATGGATTACATTGGATATCGGTGTCAAGGTACGCACAACAACGAGTTTGCAATCATGGGTGAAGATGTTTATGGCGGCAGCAGCCAAGGATAAAACTGACACAATGATACCCACTGATTCTATGTGACCCGCTTGATTGGTTTCGGAATGAAAGGAGGATAGCAATGTGAAGATTGAATCATCTATATATATAATTGTATCGAGAGGACGACTGCTGACGAGTACAAGTACAAATGATTACATACATCGAAGACGACAATAGTGACAAAGTAGCCAGATGAAATAAAGCATTGTTTATTTTATTTATTACGCACTTGATTTACCTTGCTAGCTTGTGGATTACATAATGTAACTTCGAAGATGGAATTATAAAGGTGGTTCGGTCATTGGTATGAGAGAAGTATATGGCTTTAGTGATACAATAAGGAAGAGTGGGATGACCTTGAGAAGGAAAAGTGAAGTGATCCCTCCATTGAGTTTCAGGATGAGTGACCCATCATAGAATTGATTACTTGGGTCTACATAAACAAATCGGTTTACATGTGCAGCTCATCCTTCCGCTACATCCAAATGTGATATGGAACCACTATTGTCATGCACGTACCTTGACACACCTTCACTGTTGGATGCTGTTTACTTACATACCTTCACAAAAGGCAATCATCGTCATCATCCATTTGTGTAGCAACCTGTAAAGGACGTGTCCGTGTAACCACCACGTGCCGTTTCACTCAGCTCTTCATCTTTCCGTTAATGCAGCCGACACCAATAACTCCATCACGCTTACGGCGTACATGTAAAATATAAAGATGTCTGTGTCTCTAAATTTTACAATCAACCCTGGGGTCTTTGATATGTTAGTGATGCTCATGAATGCGTAATAAATATATAAATGACAAGGTGGCAAATTAGCTTCCATGGAAACCCATGTACTGACAAGGATGGCCACGCGAAGGCTTTGCCGTCACCCTCTCCCCTACGGTGCACCAAGCCGGATAATGGGGGCTGCCATTGCATCTCCTATGGCATCTTCTATAGGTGCTGCTCGAGTCAACATGTTCGGTCTGATAAAAAGGACAAAATAGCACCCCACGCCCACAGAGGCCGACCCATAAGAGCGAAAAGCAATACATGATCCCATATCTACCACAAGGCCACTGAGTAACAGTCTAACTTCCAACGGCTAAGGCAGTAATCCTCAAATGCAATTGATAGGGCCATGATAGGGCTGACCACACTGTCGCAAATGAATCATATCTGCCAACGATGCTTTACACAAAAGAGTAAGGCACCATCCCGTTCTACCCATAGCAAATAAACATCCGCCATATCAGTAGTAGCTGCCATCAAGCGACCTTCTTGGGTAGGCGTCATGAGAGACACATCATGCACTGCAACAAATAAATCCGGTCTTGATGAAAAGCATACGCGAGAAGCCAAGAGAACGTCCAAGGTATCCATACAAGTACTTGAGGAATGAGATCCGCCATGGCACCGATAAAAACATTGCTCTGAAGATCCACCGATAAAGAGACGACTTGTAGGTAGCTGATTTCCAAAACCATGGAAACGGTATCCTTGACAACCCCAACTATAAGATAGAGATCTCTTGCTTGCTTCTGAGACACCCACCCAAATTCAAATGTTGATCTTCGTCGTCCAATTCAATAGGATTCGCCATTAACAGCTGTAAGGAGAGACTTTGATGGCACCAAAGAGCATGCGAAATTATAGCTTGATGGGATGATGGGCCTATAAAACTGCATATCACTAATTTATCTTTGAGGTAATGGTAACAATACTTAGCCAGTGTCATATGAGAACCCACGATGTTTGACGCCACCCAGTAATCAGAACACATTTCCTTGCTGTAGAGATGCCGACACAGTGACCAATTCTGATAGCCGTTTCTCCAAACGATACTTGATGATGAATGCCATGAGAGATGGATACACCTTGACAGCACCAAAAGGACACGTAACATTGTTGTTTGTTGCTGATGTGATACATCCATAAGATACGTGCGGTGAAGATGGCTCTTGAAATCAATTGGCCAATAACGAGAACACCAGAGGATCAAATAAATGTTGTTGACACTAAAGATGTGGGCTCTGTTGCTCATTGCTGCTTCTTGCTTGTAGCTGATATGATCCACCGATAACAGGCATGCGTAGCAGGATATCCATTGAAAGGGTTGACAACAACTAGGACCACAATAAGACGAGATAAAACTTGACGACACCAAAAGGTATAGAACTTGCTGCCTTGCCGCTGCAGATGCAAATAAAAGGAAGTGTCCAATAGGTGGTACAGTAACGAAAACCATCGAACGATGTAATAAGGCAAGCTGACACTGAAGGATGCTATAGACGTTGCTGTTTGACCCGAATCCATAGAACGATACTTAGCAATGATAGCTGCATCCATGAATATTCCAAAGGACCAAAATACAAGTAGTTTGCTGAATAACACACATACTATAATAAAAGAGGGGGTTGGTTGGGATTGGAGCCAAAAAATGTGTGACCCACTATTTACCAATGAAAGCCATATGAATAAACCCCTGTCGACATCCAATGATAGCTGCATCCATCAAGAATCCAAAGGGAACAAGACAAGTAGCTCGCTGAATACCCCACATGAAACAGGGTGTTAGTAGGCATTGAAAGAAAGAATGGATCATTATTTACCAATGACAGCTGCATCCATAGAAATCCCAATGCACCAGAAGACAAGTAGCTTGCTGAATAGTCCGCACACTATAATCAAAGAGGAGGTTGGCAGGCGTTTAAGAAGAGAACGGATCACTATTTACCAATGATAGCCATACGCACGAAAACATGTCGACATCCAATGACAGCTGCATCCATGATAACCCAAAGAACCAGAAGACAAATGGCTTGCTGAATAGACCGCATACTATAATAAAAGAGGAGGTTAGCAGGCGTTGAAGAAACGAACGGATCACCATTTACCAATGATATCCATATGCACGAAAAGATGTTGACATCCAATGACAGCTGCATCCATGAAAACCCCAAATGACCACGAGACAAGTAGCTTGCTGAATAGTCCGCACACTATAGTAAAAGAGGATGTTGGTAGGCATTGTAGAAAAGAACGGATCATCAGTTACCAATGATAGTCATATGCACGCAATCCTGATGATATCCAAATCCAGCCGGTTCTTTGCAATCGTCCGCTTGTTGATAAGGCCCGCTACAGTGGTACTCGGCTTGAAAGCGATGGAACGATACTTTATGGGCATATGCAGTGAGAAGGTTGAGTAATATTGATACCACCAAAGATAGCATACTTACATGATGCCGAAGAGCCCTTACAAAGAGAGACAACGAGACAATCCTTGCTGCCCAAGACCACATGCAAATCGAGAAAGCATTGTGCATCGAAAAGCCCAAACCAGATCCTAGCTGCGGAGTGACGTACATATGGCTAAAGAGCGATGTGAATGGCAATCGTTTTTCATTGGAAATCGAATGCAGCTTGACGATGAATGCCTTGAGGAGATGCATAAATGACCTTGGTAACACCAAAGATGTCAACGTGGACTCTCATCGCTTGTTGATGACATGATCCATCCATAAGACACGTATAGTTGTAGAGATCCATCAAAGGAATCGCCAATAACCAGAACCACCAAGAGATAGAAAGCTTGCTGATATCAAAGATATACAAATTGTTCCTTGTTGCTGATGTGATCAATCGATAAGAGACCTTCATTTCAGGATGCCCACCGAATTGCCGATAACGAGAAGAACCAGATGATGGGATAAAGCTTGATATGGAACCAACGATATGGATGCTGTTGTTTGTTGCTGATACAATCCACGCATAAAAGACTTGGCTGACATTCTCCAGAGAAATCGCCCATTGCCTGGTAACCAACCACCCGAGACGCAATAAAGGTTGACACCACCAAAGACATAAACATTTCCCCATGGCTGACATGATTCACCTATAAAAGATGCACCATAAACAATTGTCCAAACTCATCCAACAATACTTAGCAATCATAGCTGTGATCTTGTAAACTCCAAAGCACCAAAAGACAAGTAGCTCTCTGCAATGGTCCCTCTAAATAATAATGGTAGGCGTTTCAGCAAAGGTCCCCAAAGAGCATGAGAGTCATACATACCTGAACCATGGTGATCACAAGGAATTGCAACCAAATACACCATCCGAAGGCAATACAATAATCAATCTGCAGCGTCAAGATGTACACATATGTACCGCTTATATCATTGGATCCTGAAATTGGCATCATAAGAGATATCCACCTATCTCTGTAAGAATTCCCCAGGAGAGCACAGTACTATACAATGACATCCTTGACGTGCTGATTGATCAAAATAATCGCCCAACCAGAGCCTGACCTAATATTTCTTTCGTAAGCACACTTGAATCCAACCAATCCATAATGGACACTCTTACCTTGTGGTATTCTAAATAGCATCTTTGCCTCAAATAGAAACCGTATATCCATGCCATCCAGTAGGTGCTGCTGCTGTTTCATTGCAAGGCTCGTTAATTAACAGGCTTCGCTTTGTACATCCAATGCCATGCATACCATTGAGCCAACCATACAGCATTCTTGCTTTGAGATCCGTATCCTGTTGCTGCCAGAGGTAGTATCATCCAATGTATTCAAGCTACAGTAAATGTAATGTGAGATAACAAGGATAGCATTCGCTTTTCATGTCGACATACCCAAAGTAGCAATGTGTTGGGACGTCTCCTTGATGGTAACCATGAATAGAATACACACGACACACGACGCCCCCTTTGGAACTTGTATAACGAGAAAACAGCAACCTACACGTGAACTTTAGTACCTCAATGTCCAACTTGAATAATAAAATAGTGCCGCGATTGAGCGTACATGTTGTATTGCAATGGAAGCATGAGTCATGGGCAGATCGCGCGCGTACTTGTTGCTGAATGTCTGCAACTGGAAAGTGTCGCCATTGACCACATGTGCACCCCAATGAACGCTGTACATTGTAAGGAAATGCCAGCAATTAACGCGTTGTAGTTTGTAAATGGAGACTAGCTTACCTTTTTTTGTGAAGTGGAAGTGAAGAAGAGTGGTCTCTTTGTTCCTCCTGTTCGCTCCAATTCGTGCACTCCATGCCACCCCGCTTGCTACAGCTATTACTGTTTATACGTACCCTCAACAATATCCTATACTTTTAGCTCCATAAGAATGATCACTGCTCAAGACTTCAATTGAGAACAGCCCTCGTAATTAAGCTATTAGGTCTGTGCGAATTCCATCGATCGATTAGTTATGCAACTTCACCCTGAACCAGCTTGTGTAACCTACTGTGTAACCCCTACCAAATATGATATCCGCGTATCAAGTTTATCTCACTTTCCACCCGTCGAATTTGCTGTCCCTTTCAATGCAGAAAACAACCAAGTGATCCGCCCATTGCACATCTAAGCTGATCGTACGGTACCCAAAGTATTATGTTGAATTCAATTTTCATTCAATAAAAAGTCGAAGAACACGTAGCACACTGTACTGTGGATGTTTATCAAGTAGATACATGAGACATAAGGAAACAATATAGCCAAATGGAATAGGGTATGGGCGAAACATATAGAGTCATCAGGGATAATTGTGTCATCTTATTCTTGATTGCTGTCGTCATGATCACCCTTCATCCATGATTGCAAAATAGGTGTTGTATGCTTTGGCTCGAGTATTATTCCAGTGTCATCCATAGCTGTGAAACACCTCCTTTCGTCAAAGACACAAGCCCTCTCCTCAATTCCATCCGAACCATCCTCCTCCTCAGCCGTATGCATAGAGTATGATTCATTGTTCCTATTGATGACGCGCCAAGCAACCAAAGTAACATTCCAAGACTTCTCATCACTCCACTTGATCGCAACCTTCCATCCATAACCATTGTAAACCCAATATTGCAGCTGACATGCTTCCTTTTCCATCCAGCTGTTGGTCAATCCCTTTCTTGGTCATTTTCCATCACAGCTCAACCAGCTAAAGGTTACTTGTATTGTGGCATAGTTGATGGCTGATAGCGCATCATCCAAAATAGACATCACGCTCCAAAAGGGAACCAAACCAGACAACGTATACACTTCCATCCATCCCCATATAGCAAACCAATATTCAGATCCATATCCATATCCACAAGAAGTCGTATGTATTGAACCAAGTTGCTACATGTAAATAAAGCTGCTTCTATACAAGGGCTATCTGCTGTCCACGTGAACAAGACTGTAAGGCAAGTTGCTGCAACTAAAGAACGCTGTTTGAGACAATGGAGTAAAGACCTCGCTAATAGCAGCTGCTGGAATGAATGCTGTTACGATTGGTCGTGGTAGAGGAGTGTGCAAGAGAAGGTTTAGTGTCGAAGGACTTGTGTGTTGTAGAAGAGTGACAAGAGGGCTGTGTACACGCCATGGACTTGCCATTCAGTCAAAGGCAATCGGATCAATACGATCGTAGGGTTGACATGATGGGTTGAAGCAGGACAATCGTTTGCAGGTGGTAGTTGTATACTTGAATGGGGCAACAGTTGAGAATAGGAGGAAGAGGGAAGAAATTGAGTGAAAGAAGTGGAAATCATATAGATCGGACACCTCTTGTATAAATGCATGAACATTACTTACCCTATACACACCATCCACCCAAACACACAACTCACCCATCGTCATCATCACCCTCACGATAGACAATAGGCACGCGTAAATAAAAGAAATGATCCTCACATATAGCAAAAGGGTGTGTGTCATTTTACACTTTACTTGATAATGATGATCCAACAACACCCATTATTGTTGCCATACTACCATGTCACCTCGAATCAAGAAATTTCAATGATGGGAATGATGGGCTGTAGCAGGGCAATCGCTTGTATGCATTGTATTGGGCAACAAAGGTGAATGGAAGGAATGGGTTATTAGCCGGCAGTTTACAAATAACTTACCAATTTGATTCTTCTGATATTGGATGATGTTTCTGTGTTTGAGCATTTTTCAGTCTAATCTCGTCGGATCAAGAAAGTTGAATGATGGGCATGCTGGGCTGGAGAAGGTGAATCGTTCGTATGCATTGGATTGGACAACAATGGAGAATGGGAGGACAAAGGTTATTAGCTGGCATTTTGAACTATTCCTAAATAGTGTACAAGAATCATGCATCGCCTGTGGTGAATGACTCAAGTTACACAAACACGCCCTCTGCATCGTTTGCTCTATTATAGTCATACTACTTTACATTAAACAAAGACCACTCTTCATATAGCATCATGCTTACAAACATAAAGGTGCCTGTATCTCCAAACTTTACAATGAAACGTGGGGTTTTTATTAGAGCAATCTGCTCGGCTTGGCCAACTGCACCTTGTGTGCAAGTTTTACTACGTTCATCGTGGCCAATCCCAGATTTCGCAATGTCGCTACCAGCCAAACTGGATCTGGAGGTCGACCTCTTCGACGACGACGACCAAAAAAATATTTTTTGGGCTAGTTGCGACATTGAACGCGAAACTTTCACACAAGGTGCTGTTGGCCGAGCCGAGCCCATTGCTCTAATAAAAACCCCACGTTTCATTGTAAAGT